AATGTCAGACTTTGAGTAGATAGTGGAACAGGCTGGGGCAAATTATAATCCGGGATCTGGGGGGTGTATGTAAATGAATTACCTTGACATGTAAAAATTGTTGATACATTACTTATCCAGCCTTGGGATAATGCAAGTGTTGAAAGCTGAAACACACATTAACTTCAACACCCCAGAACTGACAGCCAATAGACCCAAGTAATGACGAAATCATGCGAAAATGAAAAAGCAGGAGGATATTTGAAGCAAATCTTTAGGCAGATAATGATCCGCTTTGTCCAATATTCATGTCATTGTAGCTAATAGAGGGATGAAGAGATGAAACTGTCTCTAGTTCACACCATTTGAGACATATTTCAAACCCCCAAATCTATCATACTTCATGAGTCTTTCCAGTATTTCCTTTCTAGGGCAAATAACTAAGGCGTTTCCGTTACTCATACGTACACTGTCTTTCAGCTAAGGCTATGGCAAAACATATTCCAGCCTTTCGACCCGTTATTTTTACATACATTCAAGTGGTTTTAGAGTTTGTGGGGCCTTGTAGCTTCAAGTTAAAACTAAACACCAGTTGTGTATACTGCGCTGTAGAAACCATTCCTTATACCTGACGCACGGGCTCGCGGCATGAGAAAGAGGGTTATAACAGGTATATCGAATGAACCCACTAATAAGTAGCTATGTCAAACCCACGCTACGTTTACTCTCAGAAACAATCACTTGATGAAGCTGTGGCTAATAGTTCTATTAGAAGTCAGGGACTAATATTCCCTTTAACTGATCCTGTGCCAAAACACCATGCAGCGAGCAAGTGACCTTGACAGGCTAGCTGTTGTGGAACAACATTCTACCAAAATACATACGAAATATGTCCTAAACAAAGAACCATACCACCCAGCTGTAACTCACCCTCCGGTGATCTCTTCTAAGACATGCGATTGGTTGTTTTGTCGCCCAATAACATGTAAATATGCCTATAATCAACCTTTAAGCTCCGGGTACTGTAGATTTTATTCCAGTTGAAGAACTGTGTCCTAATAAGGCACTTAGATACTGCATACGCTTACTACTTGGAAGAAGGGCAGATGATATGTTCTTCGATTAGGAATGATACTGGGGCATTTCTTACTGCAGTCTCTCTCCGTATTCGCTTAATTATTACCTTTTTAATGATAATATAGTGATATTAATCTAGCGACCCGAAATTAATTTTACAGACGGCATCGTTATTTCTTTGGAGAATGCCCAATATCTCGTTGTCTGAGCTCATGGTACATAACGATCAGATCGAGGCATAGCTGAGGTCATAAGGTGCATGATTTTATATTAATCTGAGCTGTTGCAAACAAACGTGCGTGGGGCTTATACTTTTCTGGTTAAATGAGTGATTTCCCTATTGAATCCTTTACGAAATATTAACTCGCTTAATTCAGAAGCCTGTGGTAGTTATGCTTGATGTAACTGCGTGATCCAGTAACGTCAGCATCACCATACTATTTTCTCCTTAACGTGGTACTTTGAAGTTTATCAATGGTCCATAATTGACCCAAATATAACTACATACGACGTAATACAAGACTCACGAATAGAAGTTCAATCGATGGAGGCGACAGATGTCAATATTTGATTACCGAGCAACCTCTTGAGTTGGCATGTACCGAGCATTGACCTAAAAGAAGTCAAAACAACGATATACGCCTTCTAAATATTGGATATAGAATTGCATAATAACCGTAGATAATTATATTCTCACAAGTGCTTTGACATACCCATCTTTCTTGAATCATCTGGACCCCAAAGATCACTTTATTGAACGTTTTTCAAGCTGATCAGTGACTCTTGATAAACGTTAATTATAGGCTTATCGAATGGTACAAGGATAAGCTATAAACCAAAGGTAAGACTTACAGTAGACACTAAGCGCATATTTCATACTATGATTGAAATGCATATCGTAACTGAAACGTCAATCAAAAGAGAAGTACAATCGTCATGACACTTTCTTTCCATGGTTATCGGCTCGAATGTGTCTCTCGTATAATATTGGACGCGTCCTACCTACATATGATAAAGTTCAAATCGCCGTGGAGATGGTCATTTCAATGCTACAATTGGCGTTGGCCAAGTAGGACATCTGCGATAGCGTGGAAACATTCTTAGCGATCAGAGAATCTAGATCAGTTCAAAGCTAGGTTGGTATATGTTTATCCTGTCTCTGCATATGTAAAGGATCTCAGATCTGAGATGTTAGCAATGTAAAAGATGTCAAAGTCATGGTGGATAAGCAGAACCACAACATGTGAACATTGGTGAACGTTTAACACCTTCTAACTGGAAAACATCATTTGGTATAAGATAATGGCAATAAGACAGGCTCATCAATATCAGACTCTGAGGCAACAACCCATGTAATTTTCCCTCGTTTGAAGTAATATGTACCCTCCTTGTGTATTAAGCGCACATCCTATCCTTGGGGAGTAAGATTTGATATTCTGTCTCTTTCTGACGTCTGAGAGACTGGACTTCGTAAATCGACCAAACTCTTTGTAATAACACTCGGCTAAAAATTAACGGCAATTACGTTGCAAAAGTACGCAATGGGAGACTGTGTGCATATTAACCCAGGGAACTGCATCATGCTAGTATCACCACAGCTCAAGACATATGTCTAAGGCTTGGTTCTGTATAAATATTTGCAACCTAGAATGGTTTGTGATATCCGACCTTGGGATTCGAGTTTCAGTTCTTTTGCTGAATTAATCGAATCGTAAACTACTGTAACAGTTAACAGTTGTTGCACCTCTGTTATGTTTTACTGGAACAGCTTGGATCATGGACTGTCAAGATTCTGGTGTGTCTACAATGGTTTGAAAGGGACTCTTCGAACCATGGTATTTCCTGATTTTTCCAAGTTCCTATGAACTAACCTTTGAATTTATATTGTCACACCATATTGACTAAGAATTATCTGACTGTCATCATTCCATGTCACTAACAACGCTTAGCCGGTACTTGAAGTCGAATGGTGCCGTATCGATGACTGCTTAGTTGTTGAGTGTGTAAGACATGGTGATATCATTAACTTTTGGAAGCCATAAGCTGAACCCTGGAGAGCACAGGTTATAATTTTGCGGTGGAATTTGTTAAAAAGCACTCCTTGTAGTTAATTTCATCGAAGCATACGAGACCTGAACAGTGTACATGGAGTTTGTCACTTCAAGATTATAGGAGTGGGGAACTTACTTTAATAATTTAACTGCACCTTGCCTTTTCTACAATTATCTATATGCACATGTCATCGCCTACTGAGGTCTATTTCTTCACTGTGACAGGGGAAAACCGTTTCAAAGGGCTAGAGTTGACAGAGCTATGCGATCCAGGGTGCACACGCAACACTCTGTAACCTTGCAATGATATCCAAATGCTCTACAATTATGTATTGGTATAGGCAAATCTGCTGCTATCAAACATCATCCTCCAGACGCACTTGCTGACTGGACAAGTCACCACGAAATGTGCACTTGCAGTCAACGGCTAGCCACTGCTGAGCAGGACCCAACGTTGATCGATATGCGACCCACATACGTTTTGTTACATGCCTACGGAGTGACTTGTGGGCCACAGCCTAAGGTCTCTGAGTGTACAACTGTCGACCGCGTCGCCAAAAGCAAGCACATCCTCATACACTCGCAGTTTAATAATAATGAAGCTAATACTTGGAATTACTTAAGAACCGTCAAGAAGGACCAGTAGATGGCCAACTGTGTCCTTCCTTGTTCTTCGTCCTTCTTACGTTCCGCACCCGTCGCCTAGAGCTTCTTTCCAGATGAGTCCAGGCCAGAGAAAGTGCTCCCCGTTGGCTGTTTTTTCAAGCCCCGGCTAAAAGCACGGGCTTAAGCAAGGCAGTGTAGGCGAAGCAGCTGATTGCTGGAACCAGATTAGGGAGAGTGACGAGCTAATTAGCCGTTCATCTCAGGCAAAAACAAGCCCATCTTGACTTATTCCACTCACAGTTGAAAGTTTTGAACAGCAAACATACCAGGGACTACAGACGAGCAAGAACAATTCCCAGAGAACAATATTCAAATGCATATAAGCAAAGATACTCACGAGTTTTCCTTCACCCTCGACGTCGACGCCCCACATAGGTGGTACTCTGTTGGAGAAACCCCCATCTATACTGTTAACGATGTGGTGACAGGCACAGTCACGCTCCGAGTCAAGAAGGATATAAGTGTGAAGGATATCCAAGTGAAAATATCAGGCCGGTCAAAGACCAAGGTCAGCATGATGGTGAAGAAGGGCGACAAAGTGAGGGAGGAAACTGAAACAACAGATCATGAACTTGTGTATGACGTTGAGACCCTTTTCCCTCCTCTAAACGTCAAGCAAGTTTCCAAGAACAGTAAATTCACTCTGGTTCCAGGTGAGTACGTCCATCACTTTGCGCTGAGATTCCCCTTCAACGGTATGTGTGGTGACCCACAGTCTGTTCGAGAGTCCAACATGGACAGCTCTAGGTACGAGAGGTCCTCCTCTAAGCACCACAGAACTAATGATGGCCAAACACATGTCAGGTCCATGCTACCTCCATCTTTCACAGTGACTGGTGAGAGAACACTGGATAGCAAATCTGTTGATAAAGCATCAATCACATATCAAATCAAGGCTTCTTTGCACAGAGGTGAAATGCTTGCGCCCTCCACTAGGCTCATTCGTGAGCTTGATCTCGTTCAGCCAGGACCTGTATTATCTCAAATACCATCGATACCTTTGATCACTTACTATACCAATACAATATTTTCAGGAAACAGCAGCTACAGACTCAAATTGATCTCCCAGCAGACCATTGTCCCTGGCTACCAGGAGTGGCAGTTGATGTTGCAGTCAACGACAAATCGGCCAGTCACCATTGACTCGTTGTCCTTGGGACTTGAAGGGAAAGTTTGCATCTACTCGGCCAACTTTAATACCAAAGTCCACCATTATATACCGTTGAAGAGCTTTCACAATGTGCCGATATCTTCAGTGGCGTTCGAGCCTAATCCAAATAATGAGCCAGTATTCAAATATCAAGCTGACCTTTCACAATGGCTCGATCCAGTCGATTTATCCAACTCTGTGAGTGACTTTACAACGTGTAATATTTCGATCAGACATGCTTTAATCTTAGACTCTATCATTGAGGGGGCATGCAGTCAGTTGGTGGCCCGAGATATCACTGTGTCAGGCCCACCGTTGGAGGAGGATGAATATGCAAATATTTATGGTCATAGACCATCAAGTACTTTTGAGCCATCCCAAAGTATCCAAGAAGGAAATCCTCCCATCAAACCGCAAAGGCCAACAACTGTTGCCACGATCAGTTCATCATCGCCAATTGAAGAGGTCCCACCCCCTCAACCACAGCGACCAGAACAGCTTCCGTCTTACGAGCAGGCAATTAACTCTTCCCACTAAACAATTCTCCTAATCTGGTTCTTGGCCTACACAACTTGAGTCACATATAGACATGTTAGGTTAGATTATACGTCTTTTCTGTACTCTATGGGTTTATACGTGTAGATGTTATTTTAGTTACATTACTGTCATTACATAGTTACATTCACTGAATGTGCTAAATCTTGAGGTAGTGACATAGACGGTTTCCGCTCATTTTGGCTTCTTCGATCTAGCAAACGTATTCTTAGCCTACTATACGCAAATCACCATTGGCACACTGGCTGAGTTATAAGCCGGTCTTGTCCTCTCGTAGAGATGATGTCAACAATTTAGCATTTCCTATGCCCAGGTCTCAATGCTAGCCATGTGCATTTAGCCGATAAAGCTATGTAATTTGAAGTACAGCGGTTTACAGTTGACGGACTTCATCTACCATGTGCTTTGCATCAAGTGCAATGCTGTGCAGTCGTTTAACACTGTAATAACCTTGCTTAGCACTGTAGAGGATAAACTGGCCATGCAGAATACGAAACAACACAGGCCCAAATGAAACATACGGGTAAATTGTGTACTGTGCGTTGCCATATACATTCACTGTAATAAAGAGGTATATGTTCATGGTCATGTTCCCATGCGCAGATGTACATGTAACTTTCGTTTGTTGTGTTTCATAATTTATCTAGTCCTCTTCGAAATAAGATCCCAGGATCAATTATCCTTCAGCGAACCTATAAGTGCATACATCTATTCTAACTACACTGTATTAGGAGCATCACACAAGTGATCAGTCAATCCGGGTGTTTTAAAACCGGTGCATCAAAGTTGATTACCCTACACAGCTTCTGGTGAAGGTATACCTCTAGGCAATGAAATATATGCTTCGTTGTATGAAGCCCCTGTACATAATCTTGAATAAACATGTTGTTTCTCTTGGAACATGTTCATTGCGAAGACAGCTTTTCCAGTGCTTCCTTCACCAAATGGCTTCCTTTCGGATCCAAATTCAATGCGATGGTATACTGTTTAATGGCATCATTCTTTTTACCAGCCATACTGTATAATTGACCCAATAGGTAGTGAACACTTGCCTCGTCTGGCGCTATGGCAACCAAACTCTCAAATTCAATCAATGATGCATGGTATTGTTCCATTGAAAAGAGCAACTGCGCCTTTTTGAAACGTGCGAGTGCACTCAGTGGCTGAATCTTACATGCCAATTGATACTGGTGTAGGGCCTTGTCACGTTCGTCCAATTTTTCAAGCATCATACCCAAACAACAAATCAAAATCACATTAACAGGGTTTATATCAAGAGCCTTTCTAAAGTGGAATTCTGCACGGGGAAAATTGCCCAACTTCAAATAAACCATACCAATACCATACAATGCGTTGTAATGTTTTGGATCCATCAACAAGGCAAGGCGGAAACTCTCCAATGCATGCTCATAGGCATCGTTGGCCACATATTCATGTCCTTGTAGAGTGTATGCGTATGAAAACTTCTCGTCGATCTGAGTGGCTCGGTGGAAACACTTTATAGCTTCATCAGGTTCTCTTGTCAATGAGAATAAGTTTCCGATCGCTACCCACGTCTGTGGGGCATTTTTGTCAACAGAAACCAACTCATGAGCCAAATGGCATAGCTCAACTTCTTTGTGGAGATGCCAAAGCAGTGTCGAGTAGTATTCCATGTCTTCAATCCTTGTTCGATCTAGTTTTCTCAATTTGTCAAAATACACCTTTGATTCGGGGTAATTCACAATTTCGAAATGCAGTCTCCCCAATTTACTTAAAACCCATGGCGTCTCCAAGTGACTTTCAGGGAGTGTGTTCAAGATCCTAATCGCCTTAAAACAATCAAATCTACACATTGCCTTGTACCCACTTGCATACGTCGCATACAAAGACAATAGATACTGTGCACCAAGGTTTTCATGGGTCATAAAGTTGGAAGTTGAACCATCACTAGACCCCAACAATACCTTTGTCTTCTTTTGAAAGAATTCAGTTGCTGAACTCTTTCGAGGTATGTTAATTTTACTTCTTGATAGAGGCTGTCCGGTTGTGAGTCTTGAAGTAAGTTTCCCGGGTCTCTGATTCTTAACCATCGTGTCCAATACAGGCTGTTGTGGTTGTTTGAAGGTATTTGTATCACGGCTTGTTGAGGAAGATCTCAGTCGTCTAGTTGGTGCGCTAGGCATCGCTGCTTGGTTCAATCTTGGAGTCTCGAACGTATCTGAAACCACTGCTGTTTTTGGACTCGAGTCTGCATTTCCAAATGATTTAAAGGGTTGAATATTAGGTGTTCTAGTTTCTCCAAAGGGATCCCTCAGATCAGAATTATCATATGTTGCTGTTGAATCACCAGATAATGGGAATGAGGATGGATTAGATGGTGTCTTGTATATGGCCTTCACCCTGAAATTTGCCCTCAGCTTATTTAACTCTTCAAATGAATCCCAGATGAAAGGATTCCGCTTCAACGCCTTTGAGTGGCATATTGCGCTCTCTTTGTTATCACCAATGGATGAATATAGCTTCCCCAATAGGTTGAAGAACGTTGCTGGGTCTGGCATCAACCTTCTCTCAAATTCGTACGAAGATGATAGGGAGAACTGTTGGCTTTCCCAGGAGGACTGCGTACTCGTCAACGCATACACTCCCTCCACCCCTTTCTCCAACTTCAATGCAGCCTTAGCAAACACATAAGCGCATCCAATATGCTGGGAGTTTGCAGTCAAGTTGTATGCACATTTGAATCTAGACTGTTTCAATAGAACCAGTCCATAGAGAAACTTTGAGTCCTCATTATGATCTCCCGTCTCAGCAACTAGTTTCTCTGCTGCAAATAGCGCTGACGACAAAAGATCGTTATCAAGACTATACACAACAATAGATCGTAGTTGTTGGTTGCTGTACTCCTTCACAGCCGTTGACATAGTTCCGTTGCTCGTAGATTCCGTCCTTCAACCAGATGCTGTTCTGTTCTTGTATGTTTGATGTGAGTTGATCTTGATAGAAAGTCGTCTGTTCTTCCAGCAGAGGTGAAGCACGTGTTTGTCAACGTTCTCCTTCTTTGATAAACAAAATCTTGATAAACAAAAAACAAGCCACAAAAGGATTAACCGCTCAACTCAAACCATAGTGAGATGGAAGAAAAAAAAACACACGCATCAAAACACTCCCGGAATAGATAAAGGAAAACAATACAATTCCGAGGGATAAACACTGTCTGTCATTTGACGTTCGGTGTCACTAAGACAGCGCGACTAAATGGTACGTGCAGCACCTCTTGTTGCTGAAAAGTGAAAGGTTAGGGTTTCTATAGTGATACGCCCTCCACGAAATTTCAGAAATGGCCGAAGCGTCTGGCTACCGCGGTCCAGCCTTTTGGTGCGGTGTTGTCTTTTTTCTGGTTTTTTTTTTTTTTGCTTTCTCTTTGGGCCTATTTTCGTGGCTCCAAACTTCGAGATAGAAACCACCCTAGAATAAAAACAGAGGTTGTCTTGTATTGCTCAACGAATCTGTTTTTCTTCTTTGACCCACATCTTGCTTATAGCATTGATTCTGTCAGTTACGTGGAACTGTCTGCTTTAGTCATTAAATCTACACTTGTATCGAGATAGCAACGTTAGAAGCAGCGGTCATTTCACAGTTGCATCAATTCAAAAAGGACGAAACACAAAGGGAAAGAAGGATTGGTGGATGAGGTTGGCACTTTTGCTAGTGAGCTGCTTAAACGCAGCCAAAGTGATGGCATGGGACCCGCTTGGTATGTACATCGTGACTGTGCGCATATGGGCGTTTTGTACTAACTGGAAATAGGATGGTCTCCCAACTACTTTGAGCCAGGACAGGCTGTTGATCTGTATGTGAATAGGGTCGAGTCTGACACAACACAGTTGCCGTATGCCTACTACGACTTGCCCTTCACATGTCCGCCTAAGCCTGAAACTAAACCTCTGCATTTGTCATTGAACGAGGTCATCAGAGGTGATCGTATATGGGAGTCCGATTACATATTGAACTTCATGGAGGATGCCCCATGTCATCGTCTGTGTGATCGTTTAACACGTCCTGAAGGACAGAGAAGGGCCGATCAGCTTATCAGAAGTGGATACGTTGTTGAGTGGTTAATCGATGAGTTACCAGGTGCGACGACCTTCATCAGTTCCACCGATAAGAAGAAGTATTACGCTTCGGGCTTCCCTCTCGGATTCGTAAGAAATGGGAGAACATTCATACACAACCATGTGATGATGGTTATCAGATATCACAAGGAGAAAAATGGTAAGTACACCATTGTTGGATTTGAAGTTTACCCAAGAAGTGTCAGTGATTTCCATTGTCCGGGTGCGTCTAAGAACTTTGACAATTTTGAACTCGATGTTGATGCAAAGGATACCATTCTCATACCATTTACTTATTCGGTATACTGGAGAGAAGAATCTGCGATAAGCTGGAACGATAGATGGAAACTGTTTTTCAAGAGTGAAGTCGATGACGACGAAATGCACTGGATCTCATTGGTGAACTCTTTAGTCTTGGTCGCATTCTTATCAACGGTCGTTGCAGCTGTACTCTTAAGAACATTGAATCGTGATATTCAAACTTATAACAGTCTGGATATTGCAACTAATGGCATTGCAGTGGAAACAGATGCTAATGACTACACAAATTCTGGATGGAAGCTAATCTCAAACGATGTTTTCAGAGAACCTTGGAGCTCAGTGTTCTTGTGTCTCTTGTTGTCATCCGGTGTCCAAGTGTTCTTCACAATCATTGGTGTATTAATAGCATCAACTACTGGATTAATGGGTCCGAATGTGAGAAGCAGCATCCTCAGTACGTCATTACTGTTATTCATTGTCGGTGGATGTGCTGCTGGCTATTCTGGTATCAGATTTTACAAAAATTTCACCCAGGAATTGTTTGTCAAACGCAGTTTTGTATTGTCCTTGATCTTTGGTGGTTTCTTACCATTTGTTGTCTTAGTCTCTGTCTTGATACTGAATTGTATCGTATGGGCGAAAGATTCATCAACGGCGTTGCCATTTGGAACTGTGGTACTGCTCATCTTTTTCTTCTTGACCTTAGAGATGCCATTGTCGGCAATTGGAGGGTTTATTGCTAATCGTTCAGCACCTTCAAAGATCAATGCAAACCTCTCCAAACCTATCAGATCCATTCCAAGACAACCAAAGTTCACGTCATATATCTATGCCATACCAGTTTTCGGTCTCTTGCCGTTTGGAACCATATATGTTGAGTTATTATTTGTCTTCAGATCCGTGTGGCTAGAAAAGACCTCTTTCTACTACATGTATGGCTTCTTATTGTTCACCATCTTGTTTTTGAGCGTCATTGTTATGGAGAGTGTTATCGTTTCCATATATGTATCCCTAACATATGGAGACTATAGATGGCAATGGAGATCGTTTATAGTTGGTTCCAGCGTTGCTTGGTACGTCGAAGTGTACTCCATATATTACTTCTTTGTCTACCTAAAGGTTACTGACTTCAGCTCAATAATACTTTACTTGTCATATACCACAATCCTAAGCATTCTGCTAGGTTTTGCATTTGGTGCTTTGGGGTTATATTCTGCATCTATATTCATCTACAGAATATACGGTGCTATCAAGGCTGAGTGAATGCAACACCGAGAGCATGGACCCAACAACGCATAAATTGTTCTACAACAATCACATATACCTGTGTATATATAACAGCACATAAACGTTAATAATAACAATGCTATAATGATATTGCATTAAAATCTTTAGTATACATTGAAAGAGGGAAAAAAAAGAGCGTCTAACTTTGGGAGCGGTTCTGGTGGTTATGGCTGTTGTTGTTATGGTTATTGTTGTGGTTATTGTTATGGCGTCCTCCACGGCCTTGATTATAACCGCCCTGTTGTCTGTTGTAATTGCTTTTGTTGTGTCTATTACCGCTGTAGTTGCCCCTTCTATCATTGTTCTCGTTATTTGATCTGTTTCTCTGCTGTTGGTTTCTGCTGTTCATTGCCTTCACCTGAGGAATCAATTCTTGTGGCAATCTAAGGTATTTGATATCTTTACCCTTAACAAGGATCTCACTCAGCTTGGTGAACGTTTCACCATCGGCACTCGTCTCGATGGCATCTTTCAAAGTCACGTTCATCCAACTATCAGCCTCGATCAGGATGCCGTTAACTGTTTCGCCGGATTTGAGCTCCACAAGAAGTGGTTGTCCCTTTGCATGTGTCACAAGGTATATTGGCAGCTAAAGCACAAAAAAGACGCACAATGTTAGTAACAGCATTATCAGCAGCTGCAATGAGTCGCACTATCACTCACCATATCGTTTCGATTAACACCCAGACACTTTCTCACTACATCAACAAAAGGCTGCTGACACTCCGTTGATTTCTGTTGACTTTTTCACATAGTTCAAGCACTTTCGATAGGGCCACCCACGCCATTACCCTGCCTTCCCGCCCCCATTACAAAAGAAGTGAAAAAAACTACAAACCAAAACAAACAAACACACACACCAAAAAAATACACGAAAGAAAAGGCCCACCTTTTTCGTCTAGAAACTTGGATTTGTTCAATTCTTCTTGGAGAACAAAGGAAGACATCACCTGTTTTCCCCTGCTTCTTTAGAACTCTAAGGGCTGTAAGTAAGAGTCTTCTTGTTGAGCTCTCGTGCTGTTGTCTCCGCCCCGCCCCTTGTTTGTTTATCTCTCTTCGTACAGATCGAAAGGGCGAAAAGGTCTCTGTGTATTCCCTTTTTGTGTGTGGACTAAGTGTTGTGGCGCTTATCCGTTGTTTACTCCGTGGAACATTGACCGTTTGTGAGATTAACAACACCGTATCTGGTTGATCTTCCTGTGCTTATCTTTCCGTGGGACTCGCTTTTTATACACCTCTTGGTGGCTCTTGTTTGCCTGGCTGTTGGCGCATCTCTCCCCCTGTGACACATAAAGGGCCAGCGTTCTTCTTCAATGTCAAAGCAAAGCAATCGCAAAAGCTTCGAAACTCAGCCATATGGCAGCCGTTCTGGTTCCAAAGGCCACTCGCATCGTCGTAACACTGGGAATTCTGGTTCTGGGACCAACGTCAATGGCAACGGCGGTTCCAATGGTGCCGTTATAAACACTGACAAGGTGACTGATGCCGAATTTCAATCACATCAGAAGGATCGTCTTTTGTATTTGATTATGTGCTCTATAGGCGCGCATATAAGGATTGCAACAAACTCTGGTGAATACCTGGAAGGGACGCTGGAAAATATTGACCCAACAACGATGAAAGTAGTCATTAAGCAGGATTCTAGTGTTGTTGCTGTGAATTTTGAAGACTTTACTGATTTCGAAATATCCAGCGTTGACCTCTTCAACGAAGCGGTTGTTAGAAACATTGGTAGCTTCAAAACAGATTCTGATATCTCTGCTAATAAGGCAAGTGCACCACGTCGTGGTGAAAACATTGAAAAATGGGTCCCAGAAGTTGGAGAGAGTACTGGTCTGGAGCTTGAGGGGTTGACGCTTGAAGACTCCAAAACTGATAACTGGGATCAATTCCAAACGAACGAAAGAAAATTTGGTATTAAATCTGAGTTTGATGAACACATGTACACTACAAAAATCAACAAGGATGATCCAAACTACAAAAAGAATTTGGAAATAGCAGATGCGTTGGCGAAGGATATAGAGTCTCAGGGCCATTCAGGAAATGCCCATTTGGCTGAGGAGCGTGGTGTTGCATTTGATGATAGTGGAATTGATGAAGAGGATAAATATTCTGGAGTTGATAGATCGGCCAAGACAGTCTCCAAGGGTGATGCGTTGTTCAATTCTTTGATGAACAAAGATAGTAAGAATGCAACGTTTGAGAGTGAAGTCAAGAGTAAATATATTCCTCCAACACAGAGGTCTAGATTGGAACACATTGATCCGTCAATCGTCTCGTCGTCTAAGGTTACATCGCTGCAAAAACCTTCCCAGGAACAAGCAAAGCCTGCCACGATTCCCTCAAAACCACCAGTGTCCACGGTTAAATCTTCTGTGACGAATTCTAAATCACAGGATCAGAAAAAGAACAGCAACTTGAAAGAGATCAACTCATTGAAGGAGTTCTCACAAAACTTTAAGATTCATTCAAAAATTCCTGAAGATTTGTTACCTATAATTACCAAGGATAAGCAAAAACAGGATGAGATTGTGAAAAAGTCCGAGGCTGAGTCGAAAGAAAGGAACAGTACAACAAAACAAAATGCTCTTCCCCCTCAATCTCAAGCCCAAGAAAGTCTCTCAAAGGTTGCTTCTGCACAAACAAGTGCTACTAATACGCCTGTATCCAAAAAGGCTGAACTTTCTTCATGCAAGCACCATCATAAGTTGAATGCAAAGGCTGTGCCATTCACCCCTTCTTTCAACTCATCCTCTTCAAGTCCAGTTGTGTCTAATGTATCCACTCCTCATTTCAATGTCAACTCGCCAAGATTGGCACAATCGGGATACAGATCAAAAAGATCACATATGTCTTTGTTTGCTCCAGACAAATTACCATCAGTAGACAAGAAGAAAAAACTGGGAGATAATTTTAACTTCTTCAAAGCATGCCGTGCTGAGTACAATTCACTACCAAAGAAGGATGTGAAGCACCCTTTCACGCTTGAAAGACCCTTCAACACACCACCAACATGGAGTGATAGTACAATTTCGTACAGAACTTTTTTCCCTGATCCTTCCACGTTGAAGTCTCCTATGTTTGCCTCCATACCTCAACAACAGTTTCAACCAATGCCGATGATGAATGCGCCAGGACAGTTCTTGTATCCGCCACAACCCTTCATGCAACCTATGCGCCTTTCACCTCAAATGGCACAACCAGGATTATCAGTGCAGCCATTACAACCGATGTACATCCAACCAGGAATGATGCCTGGTGCACCAATGGGGTATTCTGGTGGGTATGCGAGAGGTTATCAAGTTGGTGGGCCTGTACCAATGCAATTGCAACAGGGCAATCCAGGCAGACCGCACAGTTACAACAAAAACCATTGAGATTACAAGAGTTAAGTTCTTCTACTTATCACTCTTTGTTACATCAAATTAGCGTAAATACAATATCACTTTGGAATTTTTAGTTCTTTTCGTTTTGTCTAATCCTTCCCGATATGCTCGTGGCAAGTTATCTATTGCAGAGTTAGACGTTGATGTGGCCATGCTCATACTTAACAAACTTTGTAGCCATCTCAACAGCAGCAGCACCCCAATCTTCACCGTGGTTGTGCATGCCTGGCTTCAATCCTGCTCTAACTTCGGCTTGTTCCTCTGTAAGAACCGTCAAGACACCAAAGATAACTGGGATTTCAAGGGTTTCGTTCAATCTCATAAGGGCATTAGTGGTTGAGTCACAGATGTACTCAAAGTGCATGGTGGAACCTTTAATCAAGACACCAATTGGAATGATAGCATCCAGCTCAACACCAACAGTCTTTCTAAGCTTCTCTTGGAGTTTTCTGGTACCGAATGGCAATTCAAAAGAACCTGGAACGGTCTCAACAAAGATGTTCTCCTCCTTAACCCCAAACTCCTTGAGTTTCTTGATGGCACCACTGACGAGCGCATCAATGATAGCTGTGTTCCAGCGAGCATGGACAATACCGATCTTCAAATTCGAACCATCATATTTCTGGTCAACGACACCCAAACCCTTAATAGCCATCTTGTTTTGCACGATATAACCTATGTATTTCTATACTATGAGATCAAAGTCCCTGTAGCTATTGCTGGAGAGGTGGGAGAGAAAAAAAGAGCGCTATTTTGTATTTCCCAGGCTCGTTGATGCATCCCCGAAGAGGGGGTGCCACAGTAATTTTTTCTCCAGGCACAATTCACTGTGCCGGCGAACGATGGCTTCAGAACTCTTTCAATTCGTAGCTGTATAAAAAAGATACTTCACCATTTCAGGGATTTGCCATTGATCAATTGAACCCTTCTGTTTGTGAGTTTATCGTCATTCCGTATTAGTAACTTGCTGACAAATGATGTTGTTCCCAGGTTCGCATTACATGTGATTCTACGAAACGTTCAGTACAGAGTGCCCTCATCACCTGTATTATGACTATCTATGTGTCTAGGGACACTGTAAAATTTTCAAAACAAGAAGAAGCTTCTATGGCCAAGTTGGTAAGGCGCTACACTAGTAATGTAGCGATCCTCAGTTCGACTCTGAGTGGAAGCACTTCCTTTTTTTCAATCTGCTTTCACCGGTCATGCATTCTGGAATGCAGCTGCATGCGTCACGATGAGGAAACATGCATATCAGCAGTCACTAGAAGATGGTGTATTCAGCATAAGTGAAATGAATACAAGAGCCCAAATGAGCTTGTAACGCATTTAGAAACCAGGAAAGCTGATGTTGGTTATTTTTAGACAGGGAAGATATTACATGGTAGATAACGTGAGATTACCTGAAATTTCTACGTGACTGAACAGTGAAGGACAATTGTAAATTAATAAGAATAAAAAACACTGTTGGCGTCTTTAGGAAAATAAAATTACTGGTTGTTACATGTATAATTCAAATCGTATATATTGTGTTATAAATTCTCATTCTCTTTTGGGACAGTAACAAAGGCAAATTAAGCCCTATCAACCTCTTATTATGGAAGTCCCAAGTAATCACAAATGGCTAGCACCTGGGAGTGGCCATGGCTTTGGAACGAAGTAGCTGATCTCCTTTGTAGCGATACCTGCGTACGCATTGTACCAAGCCAGAAATCCAGTAATCACACCAAACACACCACCAGCTCTTTGGCAACCAACGTGACGTGTGAACGAAGCCACCGTTAACAGGATGAATGTGATTTCAAGTAAAAAGAACATGGAGAAGAAGGCAACAGTGGACTTCATGGTGCAAAGCAGAATCAGAAAAGTAAAGATTACCCAACCTAGCAGGAAGAATCCTATAGCATTTTCCAGTTCGATTGGATCGTCGTAGGCAGCTTTGATTCCAAACCAGTCAATTTCAATAGCTGCCCAGCTCAACCAGAAACAGCCATACGATGTTAGAACCACACTACCAAAAGTGTTCTCAAGGGCAATTTCCCACATTCCGGCTAAGATTTGCGCAAATCCTCCATAGAAAAACGCAGGTGCAACTGCAACATTTGGCGTTCTGATACCCATTGCCCTTGCATTAGCCATACTGAGAACCAGTGTTGTTAACGCGAACCCACAGAGACCAATAGGGACTGGATTGGCAAACTTACGTTGTGGTTGAGCGTGGACACCAGGTTGAAGATCACCACCGAAAGCACTCCATAACTCTGACTTACGAACTTTCATTCTTCCAAGCATGACAAACTCATCGTTAGGACCTGCTGTTCTAACCTGAGAGATTGGGTGGGAATCGTAGTTCAACTCTCCCAGTGAAGAAATTTTCTCCAAGTCCTCATTAATACTAGACATCTTGACTTTTTACTTGTTGTACTTATACTGTAGTTTTCTCAACAGCAACATGATATATTCAGTCCTGGTGGAGTGTCTATAGTTCTTATAGTTGGTCTTGGACCCCATTTTTGAACGAGTTCTCCAATTCCATCATTGCACCTCTTTTTCTGTGAAGGTTTCACAACAAGTACTACACCACAACTTCAAATTCAGCATCTTCATCACCACCCTAAAGCAGTACTGCTTTTCGAATGTTGAAGGTGGAGACTACCCTTCAAAGTCCACCTAGGAATCGCATGGTTGCTTACTGAGTACGCACAAACAACCAGCATAGATGGAATGTGGAGTAAACTTGTGAGGGGGAGGGGGATCAGGCGAGCCTCAGCCTGTTCAAAGACCATCTCTGCCTTCCAATGGTTAGCACCCTGCTTCAGCCTATTCCAAATCTCCCCTGGCTTATGGGATCATCTCTATTGCAACCAGTGGATGCACCAGTGGTTGCCCCAGCACTAATCGTTTCCTGCACAAACTCCATGATCCGCCATGCGTTCCCAAATCTCGAATCTCCACAGTTACAGGAGGAATAGAGTTCAAAATGAGCGAATACCTCGAAGCAGAATTACACGCAACTTTTAAAGGCACTCTGCGCTACCCCAAGGGATCTCAACAGTGGAGAAGCTGACGTCTAACGTCTCATGGCTGTGTGGACCATCCCAACACCACATACTTGTTGATATAGACTGAGATGGTCCCATTCCATTGAAGACGGCTGATAAAATGTTGAGAGTGGGCGCCCCAGACTTTTAAGTGGATTGGTCTCTCTTAGCACAACGCTGGGGTCATTTCCCCACCAAGTTGTGGTGCGGATGAAGGGTGGAGTTGTGATTTGTGAGAAGCAGCTAAACGTGCTGTACGATTGGTGTCACTGTGATTAGCCAAGGTGGACAGTGGTTCACCAGAGGGGAAGCACTGATGCAGAGAACTCGTGTACACGGTAGATCTACACGCCCTTGTTAGGTATTACAACGTGGTTCTGGCTCCACATGCAGATGTGCCTTGTTCAGGTATAAGGGGCTATATATGCTGTAGACTGTTCTTCTTTCAGTATGAGTACATAACTGGCTGTGGAATCAACTCTGCAAACCATCACCAATATGGAGGAGGATATAGGCATGGCCTCATGTGTCTTGTGGTTCCATAACCACAGATGTGAGCTGTACCTACGGTAATGTTTTGAGAGTATTACAGATTGGCATTAAGAGTGAAATAAATACAATAAATAACAAGATTGGAGCGCGAGTGGTCGTCTCAAGTGCAAAGGATACCGGACCTTGGGTCTATACTGTTCAAGAACGCTTTGCACCAGGCAAAGGAAGTGGAATAGCAACGACATAACTGTTCTCCTTCGTCGCCAAACCTGCAAATGCGTTATACCAAGCGATGAAGGAGGTGATGACACCAAAGACACCACCGGCTCTTGAGACACCGGTCTTACGCGTGAACTCTCCAATGGTCAGCAGTAGGAAAGTGATATCCAAGAAGAAGAACAGGGAGAAGAAGGCAACCGTTGATTTCACGGTGCAGAGAACGAGCATGAAGGTGAATATGGTCCAGCCCAGGAGGAAGAACCCGACGGCGTTGGCCAGCATGATTGGATCGTCATAGGCTTTCTTGATACCGAACCAATCGATCTGAATCGCGGCCCAACTCATCCAGAATCCACCATACGACGATAAAGCTGTGCCACCAAATGTGTTATCTAACGAGATTTCCCACATACCTGCGAGCAGCTGGACCAACCCACCGTAGAAGCACGCAGCACCAACAGCTGCGTTTGGGATCGTGACACCCATCGCACGCGCATTCGCCATGGACAGCACAAACGTTGTCAATGCGAAACCGCACAACCCCAGCGGAGCAGGGTTGGCCAAACGCTGTGGTGGCGGGGCGTGCACACCTGGCTGCAAATCACCACCGAATGCTGTCCAAAGCTCGGAGCGCAGAACCTTCTGGTGGCCAATCATGAGGTACTCATCCTGGTCGCCTGTGGTGTACACCTTCGACACGGGAATCTCCCCGTGTTCGACGTCCGGTTTACCTCCAGTCGACGCATAATCCTGTGTCTGAGGGTTGTTTAGTGTTTGGTTTTCCTTGTCCGACATGTCTAAAAGTCTTGTCCTTGGTTGTCTGAGTATTTGCTCCAGAAACCGTTGGTGCAGAGACAGAAAATGTGGAATTGTGTGTTGCTTTTATACCACGAACTGCCACAGGTATACAGAGGCCCGTTTAGAGGACAAAAAGGAAAGCTACAGCTGATAACGTGAAGCGGTCCCTTTTCCCTTTTGCCTACAGGCGTATGAGATCCACAATGTACGTGTCGGGACTTTTAACTCGCAGCGTGCGCTTCGGGACCACGCGCAACCCAGTGTGGGGTTATTGGTGGGACCTTTGTCCGGCTTTGTCTCCATCGGCTTTGTCTCCATCGGCTAGCTGCAAATATGGGACATTTCGTTGCCGTTAGCTGGAGACATGCCCTGCTCCTCCAACAGGGCCCAGCTCACGGATTACAAATCACCATTGTAAAGTACGCTCTACACAGCATAGCCCGGTTGAAAAATTTTCTCCTGTGTTTCATTTCTTTTCATTTCATTTCGTTGCTTTCATCCTTCAGCCGTCATGTTATGTGTGGGTGAGGTTGTTCTGTCTTCATGTAAAGACAGAGGCGCGCGTGCATGAGCACTGCGAAGGCATCACAATAGCACAGATTGTTCCAAGAAGTTGCGAGGATCGCTTGGAGCTTGGGGCTCTCTACAGGGGGGGGGGGCATCTGGGGGAGGGGCAGGACAAATGTGTATCAACGTCTGTTGCTGAGTCCTTGCCGTCTACCCCTCTGCTCTTCCCCAGGGTGTAGAACCGTTGGTTCCTGTTGTTGAGGGGAACATGGCATAGAGGCAGAACCGACTTCTCGGCAACCGTTGTGATCCAAGTTTTAACAATGTCTTGATAACGGTTTGGTGTTTCTTGATGAGAGGTAAGCTGGGACGAGCAGAGCTTCAGTATGAACGATAGGGATAGAGCCAGTGATGGAGGACGCCTTTGTGCGATTGTCTGACAAGAAAAGAAATTGCAGGTCTGAGTGGGGTAGACCTTATATTGGCGCGATGCTACCAGGCTCTACAGGGGGATTTAGCCGGCTGAGTGGGCAGACCCACACCGTCAGCTGTTTATTAGGCGGTGCACAGCATATATTTAACACGCTGACCACCGTGACCGGTTTACGTTCTCCTTGCACCCGTATAATGTATTCGTAGCACGTTAGAGCTGGGCTGTGAGCTGGTATTTGAGGTGACTGGGAACGGTTCGCGCTGGCTGGCACATCCATTCCTACAAGTTACAGGTACAAGTTGTCGGACATGCCAACCAACATACGTTGACAAGCTACAACACCGGAAGGACTCCGACAAGTGTTCCTGCTCGGTTCAAATGCCCTGCAGTAAATGGGCCATGTTCCATACGTTCACTTTCAACGAACACGGTGGTGTGTGTAAAAAGCAATCCTCAACATCTGTCAGCCATTCACCCAGGGAATCGAGCGCTTCTTCTGCCTCATCACACCCTATCGTGCGGTCCAATCAGCTAGAGCGTGAGAAGCAGCAACCGCAAAATAGTCACAAAATCTGTTTCCCAACGGGGGATCATTCTACCTTAGACGTATATCATATCTACTGGGACGACTAGGTTGTATCGTCGATGTGCAACATGCATCAGATACGTCGAAATGATGTTCAAGACACCAGTGGAGCCTTCAAAAGTCATTCAGAAATACGGCTCTGCCGATGGTGATGTCCCGCTTTTTCGAGTCCGATCTGGCATTGGGCTTTCGACGTGTGGTGCGACCCGTTTGTGGTGAGATTGGTAGGAGACGCACTGCAACCGTACGAGCTTCACTTTGACAGTGTGAAATCACACTGTGATGTTTCATAACCAGCACAGTCGCCGGTTCTATCGTACACCATGGCCGAATATATGGTAACTGCTAGAGGTTGGCCTTCACTCCGCAGATTTCATCCTGAATGCCACTGGGACCCCGTCATGACCGGGTCCGGCCCTTAGAAAATGAGCACACCCGTACACCACGGGTCTGGCTGCCCTAATATTTCTGTGACGAGGCGTGCGTGTGTCCTTAACCAGTTTTCCTCTCAATTTTTCACCAAAAAGGTTTTTTTCACTGTTCAGAGCTTTCTCACCTTCCTCTTTCACTTTTTTTCTTCTCCTTATGAACCTTCCATAGTTTTAAACTAACGTGATGAAATCTCGCGTCTATCTCTTCTAACGATTCTTCCCTCGGAGGTGTGAAAGCACATTTCGAGAATGGATGCCTTTTAGGCGTTCTGGGTTTCGATGGGGATGGGCATTCGACGCAACCTTTTCTTGTTACATAACTATTTGGATGCTCTAAGGAGAAGTTCTGATTTACCTCTAAGACTGTGCAGAAGGTTCATCATCGGTTTATAGCTCGTAGACGTATAATGCACGTGCACTCATACCACGTAGCACGGAAAAAAGATTACAAAACATTTGACTATGAAGACTCTAAGAAGTGTTGTATTTGAAGCTAATTACTCTTATTGCTCTTCTTCAAGTCAGCAACGTCCAATTCGGCTAAGAGAACAGAAGCTCTGACTAGTTGGATAACATTAGTCAACTGCTTGAAGAGATAAAAGGGCAAAGAGATGATTGCACCGACGGAGAAGACAGAAAAAGTCTTGCCAAAGACGGTAACGTCCCAAATTGGGAAGTATGCAAGGTACAGCGCCACGTAGAACAACTCGTTGAAGAAGCACATCGTGAAGAGAACGTTTCTATCTGTGTAGTACAATCTCAACAGCCAGTTGCTCTCCTTGTCGATGCTCTTGTGAGAAGTACCACCGGTCTGTAGAGTGGCATACATGTGCATGTAATGAGATGCCAAATCTAGGGACACCAGCAGTTGGAAGATGAAGACATATTGAGGGTACAATACGCAAAGGAAGCAGATCAAGGAACTGGTTGTACATCTATCCGTAACCATATCCAAAACCGCACCAAATCGACTGGTCTGATGGAAGTGGCGGGCCGCATGCCCATCGAGCGCGTCCAAGAGACAAGATACCGAGTAACTGGTGATGCAGTATAACGGGTGGCTCTTCATGAGTTGAAACGACACAATGGCCGTGATCACTCTCAGATACCCAATGTAGTTGGGAATGTAGTGGAAAATCGTGCTTGTCGTAGCAATCGTTGTAGACATCTTGTCAAGACCAGAGGTATCCTATTCAAAAACAGTATCCGAAGCACCAACACTTCCGGTGATACTTGTAGTCTTTCCCTGTGTACGAGGAGAACACACCTATTGTTTACTGTTATGGGAGAGAAGGTATGTTTCTTTTGGAAAAGTTTACCCGCGATGATCGATCGGAAGGTCGGAAAAAACACACACAGCACACCATATGAGACAAATAGCCTAATCCGGTAACACACCCAATTAGGCACTGTCGGAGTGATTGGGGGTATAAAGTGAGTATATGTTGGCTGTTTAGTAGATCTGTGAGGTTGATGGAGATCACTTGATCATCTTACGTGGATTTGTGCGTTAGTACTCCTTCGTGTTTGATTCCGGGTCCCCAAGCTTTCATTGTTGATTCCTTTTAGGGCTCATCGGCATCTCATCTCGATGTGAAATTTTTCAAGGACATAACTTCTTCGGAGCTTTAACAACTCCAACACGGTGAGAGCAACTCGGAGTGAGACTAAAAGTGAGGAATATGGTTACTCCTGCCATCCCAATCTCCTTGATATTGGAGATCCTTGAGGATCCTAAGCCGGCCCATGTAAAGCACGTTCTCAAATCATTGTATCTCTGCCCAGAGACCGTGACATCTGCGTCAAAGGCAGATCTCAACCATTTTGTTTCAAGAACTGCAAACTTGTTGAACAGCAGGGAAGATTATAAGAGATGGTTTGGATGTCACATCGTGCAGATTGTGTCTCTGAATCCTGTTGTGATCACCACATCCGGTGTCGGCTTCATCACTGCGCTGTTGAAACTGGTCCATCACCAAACCTCTGTTACCACTGTGGTGTTCCAGAATGCGGTTTTGGCCTTGAACTCGATCATCATCAGCATCAGAGGTAAGCCTGTCTTAACGAGGGAGATTCTCACTCCAAACTTGCCGAATATCATCTCAGCTCTGTTGGAAAACTTGGAAAGAGACGTTTTTACTGTGCTGCCAATCTTGAAACAGCTATTGGTAAAGAACACTACAACTTTCAAACCATTTGTTAAAAAGCTGGAAACCAAGCTGGTCAAACTGTTGGTTGAGAATTTCCACACCCTGGATAGCTCATTACAAGAGGAGGTGTGCCAAACGTATGCGTACCTCAACTTGATCAAACCAACTCAGCACCAAACCCAACCTGGATCTGCTCAACCACTGCCTGATGACCAATGGAGACTGAAGATCTTACAGCTTATGGATGAAACTCGCAATGTCATCATGGTGTATGATAATATCATTGAGCTAAGCTCAGAAAGAGAGTCTATGGATCTTATCAAGCAATTGCCAAGTTTTGAAAAGAACGACCATCACATCTTCCCATTTCTGCACATTGACTTATCCCAACCGATCACATTGGTTTCTATATCTGAGAGAATTGATGTGTTGCTAAAACTGTTGACAGCGCTCATCACGGTGCCAACGCCATTCCCTGTTCGTATTCCGTTGGGACAGTTGGTGCAATTGGGGAACTTATTGATGGGTATTTCACCAAATTACATCTCGATAAAGCCAGAGTTGAAGAAAGACCACGACCTCAAACAGATGATTTTAAACGATATCATCAAGACTCAAATCCACGGTTGCAACTTGGTTCTTAACATCTCAAAGACTTACAAAAAATTGGTATTACCTCATTTCCCTTCTATTTTGTCAAGTTTAGAGGTTATTGTTCCTATTAAGAACGAAAAGGGCAAGAAAGGTATCAACATTGACACCCAGTGTGCACTAAACATGGAGTCAGACCTTCTTCAGGTCATTCAAACTGTGACGGAATTGTTACACTTGGTGGATTCGCTAACGGAATTTGAACTTGTGAATAAACTCGTTGACGTCTCCATTCTTCTCCTTTCAAAGAGAACACCATTGGAGAGTCTGTTGCAGAAACAGCCAGTGCCAACGAGCATTGAGAACAATTCACAGAGTCAAAAGAATAAGAAGAAGAAGAAAAGCAAAGATACCACACCGTTGGCTGATATTTTATCACATGCAGAGTTGTTTGAACTGGATCCACCAAAGCGTACTGTCCAGGTCATCGTATCATTCTTTGGAGTTTTAATTAAGAAAGTCAGTAAACTCGATGCAAATTACAAGATTAAGGTCATCAAGTATATCATTGCCAGTGCTGTTAAGCAACAATCCATTAACGGCACGATAAATGCTCTCACTGTGGAATTGCTGGAGTCGCTGGTCCTGTTCCCAGGTGTTGGTGAAGTTTACTCTGTCTTGCCAATCGTTAAGAGACTGTTACCAAACAATGAGAAGTTGAGTCTTCTAACCAACCCAAGATTCCCTATTCTCGATGTAAAGTACAAGCCTCGTGCCCAAGAGACTGTTGAAGACGACGAAGACGAAGACATGGATGAAATTGAGGTTTCTGTTGTGGAAACCATAGTCAAGGACACCTTTGTAGAGGACTTAAAGATCGCAAAGGAGGTGCCAAAAGAGACTCCAGCTGTCAGTGTGTTCAAGACAGAGGAACAGATACAGACTATGGAGTTCCCAAGTGAAGATGCTCAGCCTACTGATGAGGCAAAGACCCGTCCACTGGAAGAAGAGGACGACACCCCTTCCAAACGCATCAAGATCCAGCAGTCAGCTCAAATTGCTGAGACGGAAAAACACATCGAAGATGAGAGCGAGAACGATGGGAGTGACTTTGAGATCCCGCTTATCGATATCGATAGTGATGAAGAGTGATGAGATGGGATGGGATGTCTGGGTGTCGTGGTGTCTGGGTGTCTGGGTGGCGTGGTGTCTGGGTGTGTGGATGTTTGGGTGTTTGGATGTCTGGGTGTATAGACACGCCTCGACAAGTTTCTTACTCATCGGCTAGAAGTTGTAAACACACATCGTAGCACATGTTCCCAACAGCCTCCCTACCTGTTCTAGAGGCTACCCCCTTATATAATTTATCTGCAGATCTCTAGCTTCGGTATTCAGTTGTCTAATTGAAACTATGCCCAACGCACATTTGTTTGTTTTAATCCATGGGTTAGTATGCCACTGTGTTACTGAATGAGTTACATTGCTTCGAGTTTTGACGCTAACCCTTCACAGCCTATGGGGCGGTGCCAATCATCTGAAGGCTGCTGATGAGATGATTCAGAGTTGTGTATCTTCACCGAATGAAGAAATCCACACCATTAGGCCGAAGACCTCCTCGCTTTTCAAGACGTATGATGGAATCGAGATGATTGGTGACCGTATGCTGGTGGAGATCATAGCAAAGATAAACGACTTGCACGGTGAGAATGTTGTTGTCACGAAGATCAGCTTTATTGGTTACTCACTTGGAGGACTGGTATCAAGATACGTTATCGGAGAGCTGGAGAAGAAGAAGATATTCGACGACATAGAGCCTATGTTCTTCTGCACGTTTGCATCACCACATCTCGGTGTTCAATTCTTTAGACGGCGTTCTATGATTTTGAACTTTTTGGGCAGTCAAGTGCTCGGCCTCGTTGGATCAGAACTCTTCATCAAGGACCGTTCCAAGATTCTTGTGAAACTTGCAAGTGATGAGTACCTGGAGGGATTAGGTAAATTCAAAGAGAGATTTTGCTTTGCGAACATTAGACATGACCGCACAGTGAGTTTCTACTCTGCCTATATCACCGATAAGAACCCATTTGATGCTCATTGGGACAGTATTGAGTTGTCATTTGACTTTGAAGATGGTATTCTACCTACCTATCGGGTACATGGTGTCGATGTGAAGCCAAGGTTTGTCAACATTGCAAAGTCCAATTTTGTTGGTCCTGGTAGGGTTTTCCGAAAGAAATCGCTTCGGAAGAAGTTGAGGTTTATCGGTATAATACTGGCTGCGTCTGTTATACTGCCAATATGGATCCCGGTTGTTCTTACTGCGAGTACCATCGCCTCTATTGTAAGTTACTTCATCGTTTCAACACACAAGAAGGTTGAGTTTGAAGACTTGAAGCGTCCTGATTCTTCGAAGCTATCAGCCGGCTTTGAGGAAAGACTACAAGAGGCTACTGGCGAGGCCTTTGAGAACGCCATCAATATTGGCCAGTACGATGCAAACACCGATTGGGACGAAACCAGTCATGGGGATTCGATAGCAACATTGACACCTATCGAATCAGTGAAAGCTGTTGACGCCGAATTCGAAAACAGACCGATTGCAGCCTCAGTGATATTTCACGATACCAAGCCACTGGCTTTGAACGCTGACCGTCAATATATCAACGAGAAGTTGAACTCGTTAGTGTGGAGCAAGTTTGCTGTCTACGTCAACGTGCTAAACGCACACGATGGAATCATTGCACGGAAGGGGCTGAAGAGAAGCACAGCCAAAGGGATAGCTGTTATTCGTTTTTACGCAGAGCTCATCAACAAGAAGCTGAACAGCCAAGCTGAGTAGTTGAAACAGTGCATCTGGATGTAAATGAATAAAGCATGGCACCATGCGGTTGATTGGCATTGGAATTTATTGCTTAGGTCCTCCGTTGGTAGGAGGTTGATGTTGTGGGTGAAGTTGTAAGGGTGTATGGTGTGGATTGATCACCTTGGTTATTGAAGAGCTTCGGATCACGGCATGCAAGCGTTATTCCTATTGGTCAATCTTGAAAGTGCGATGCAAACGTGACCATGTGGAGACCACGAGCAGATCACGATCAGACCATGTTGGATTCTTATGGAGACCACCTTTGGCTATTAGAGTTGATCCTTTGACTTGGTGGTCATAGCGAAGCAATGTCCTAGCATTTTTATGGTTGCCGGGGTAACAAAGAGCCAGAATTACATATATAAGACAACACGTTCTGGTTTATTCTGGACGAACCATGACCCAGTCAAGTTAGAATTCAATATATATGATGATAGAGATCAATTCTAGTGTGTGGTAATCTTAAAGTCTCTCAATTTTCCCCTGTTGTTGAGGTATGGGCAAATCTTTCCTTTCTTTGATGACCAATTTATGGGTAGATATCTGTGCAAGTATCCAAGAATGCACGCTCCTACTTGGTGGGTCTCTTAGCTGGAGCATTACCGACAGCCAGCTATGCCTGGTGAGAACTTTGAGACCGAGTACCGCTTTTATTAGTATACTTCTAAGCATCGTTCTAAGCATCATTCCAATAGGCTGAGATGCCCAGTGCCCACCGTCACACCCACCTCCCTCCACCACCGCCGCTGAACGCAATTTGACACTTTTCCAATCGCTTAAAAATCAGCTCGGAGTTAACACAAACCTTAAGCGGAAATAAGAAAACATTAAACTCAAAAACTGTGGATGCGACAAAAAGAAACGTTTTCCTTTATCGCTGTTGCCAGGCAAAGTTTTTTCTTTCTTTTGTATGCAATTCCGTATAAAGAATACTCAGCCGTCTCAATTTAATTACTCATCTTCTCCTTTTTGGATCTGCTCTGTCTTCCTTTTTTACAGCAATTGGCGATCTTATCCACAGCCCTTTCCAGTTGTTTTTCCCTCTCTTCAATTGCCACTTTCCCCCTGCTGAGAGTGCCATATCAGAGATCTCTTGGTTGTTCTGTGCTGGTGTGATATCAACGTGATTCTGAGCCCTTGTTATCCTGTTGAGCTTTCCCGTGCAACCCCGTGTGTGAACTTTTACGTATATAGCGATGACTGAGACCTTGTCACCCAGTGGTGCAATTGAGAGCACCATTGCACAGTACAAGGCACGCTTGCACACCTTCTACTACGAGAGCATTGCGCCCAACATCGGGCTTCTGTTCATAGTTCTGTCCCAGTTCTTCAACTCCATCATGGTGACCACCACGAAGCTTCTGGAGACGGATCCGGACCAGACCGGACCCCCGATCCATCCTTTCCAAATCCTGTTCGTCCGTATGATCATCACCTTTGCTGGCTGCTTCACCTACCTCAAGTTCTACAAGAAAGAGGAGCAGATATGGGGCCCTCCAAGCCTTAGGTTCTGGCTCGTACTGAGAGGTCTGACCGGGTTCGTTGGGGTGTTCTCAATGTACTACTCCCTACTATACCTCTCGGTGTCTGAAGCTACAGTTATAACGTTCCTGGTTCCGTCTGTAACGGGGTTTCTTGCCTGGGTGATTCTTAGAGAGAGATGGTCCTTGATAGAGGCTGGTGGTGCCTTGATCTCACTTGTGGGTGTCATGCTCATCGCCAGACCTTCTTTCATCTTTGGAAGCGCAGGTGCCGATGCCGGAGAAGGAGCTGACGTTGACAGTGCCAACAGACTCAAGGCCACTCTAATGGCTCTGTTTGGAGTGTGTGGTGCCAGTGGTGTGTATATTGTGATCAGATTCATTGGCAAACGTGTGCATTCCTTGGTGATGGTTCAGTATTTCGCCGGCATCACAGTGCTGATCAGTCTGGCAGGCACCATCCTTGTGCCAGGATTGGGATTCAGAGTCCCTCAGAGTGGTAGACAGTGGTTCCTGTTCTTTGCACTGGGTATCAGTGGCTTCTTCATGCAATTCCTACTGACGGAAGGCATCCAACGTGAGAAGGCCAGTAGGGCATCAATGATGCTCTACTCGCAAATGGTCTATGCCCTCATTTGGGAAGTCACAATATGGCACCATCTTCCGAGCTTCTGGTCCTGGCTCGGCATCTTCATCATTCTGACGGCTGCGTTCGTCGTCGTCACCCATAAACCGAAGGAGGTGACCAAACTCCCCGACGACGAGATGCCGTACTCAGACTTGGAGAACGACTCTACGGATACTGACGGTGCAGAGGCTCTTCGTTTATAGATTATATATCCTTTCCTATTCTTATTCTCTTACATCTTTAAACATTAGCATTTCCCTGGTGTATGTGAACTAATCATTCAATCAGAGAGCTCATCCTCCGGTGGTGGGACATATGGTGGTGGCTTGAAGAACTCCTGGTCCTCTTCAACATGCTTCTTAAAGGCTTCCTTATCATCGACAAACTCGTAGACATACTCCAGCTCGAGGTCGTGCACCTGTCTACCAAAGATGATCAGAGAGTGCAACGGTTCACCAGCATCGTACTCAGCAAGCTCTTTCAAGGTGGCAGCTTTGAAGGACTGTGTTGGGGCTCCCAGTCTTGACACAGCGATGGCTGGTGTGTTCGGTGTGTAGCACTTCTCTCCTCTCTTCTCCTCAATCTCAAGAAGCTGCTGTGCAGCAGTCTTGATATCCATGTACCTTGGTGGCTCGTAGATGAGTCTTCCTCTGGCCATGTTCTCTATGCTCTGCTCCTTGACCTTGATGTCGAGGAGCACGAGCGTATGCAAACCGATCTTTCTGTTCTCCATGATCTTATCGTAGAACGAGTCTGGTCTCCAGTTCTCAGTGAAGAACACCAGAGATACGGTCTGGCCGAATTGGTAGAGCTGCAAGCCGCAGGCCCCCACAGCGTTCATCACAGAGGCATTGTGAATGGCCTCCACTTTGATGCCCAGCTCCCTTGCTCTAATCACGAGATCGGTGTGGGTAGTCGCACCAAAGACATCGCCAACCACCAAGAAAGCAACGTCGTCGTTCTGTGCATTCTCCAGGATGATGTCAGAGCCGGACTCCACCAGCTCACGGTCCGCAAGCACAACCTCACGGCCATAGAACTCCTCCAATGTCTCCTTGGAAGCAGCCATGAGGATGGAGGTGTACGCCTCGAGATAGACACGCTTACATTTCTTCACAACCTCCAGCCCACGCACGGTGATATCTGTCTCGTACGAGAGACCAAGACCCACAAGATAGAGCATCCTTAAACAGTATACCTGCCAATGGCAACGGTATTCTCTGCCATTGCCCTGAGCTGATGAGATGAGCTATTGAAAATTTTCCCGGTGGTTTTAGTCTGTTGCTGTGGAAACCAATATACCGTTTTCAGAACGTCCCGAAAAGCAGTACAAGCCCACCGATACACTTCAAAATCAAAACATAGCACATTGCTATGGAACAAACCTGTACACATTCCACGGCGTATATTGGGATAAATGGTGATGGACAGTAGGCGTATCCAAAGGCTTGGTGACGCTGTCACTCCAGTGGTGATTAGCTTATTGCTGGTGTACGGTTCGTGGGTGTACTCCTACTATATATGCTGGGAAGAGCTGCGCCAAACACAGCATCGAGAGTCTGTCGGGGTTGGGCTCATTGTAGGGAACATCGTACTGTTGGTGCTGCTGTTCACGATCTGGCTCCAGATCATGGTTCTGGGACCTGGTGTCCAGCCGAGACTACCTCCTTACAGGCTGCTGGAGGGAGCTGGTGGGCCGGAGTGTATCGAGCCTCCTGCGGTGTTCTCGTGCGATGAGAGAGGATACCCTGTCTGGTGCTCGAACTGCCAGAGTATCAAGGCCGAGAGAGCACACCACTCGACAAGGTTGGACCGGTGTGTGCCGAGATTCGACCACTACTGTGCCTTCATCGGCTGTGTCATAGGCAAGAGAAACCACCGGCTGTTCATGCAGTTCTGCGTTGTGTTTACGCTCTACTTTGTTTACATCATCACGTCCATGGGCATATACTCCCGTGATATACAACGCAGGGCCGGGAGCCTGAACCCGAACATCGTCGTGTGCCTGGTGCTTGCTGCCGTGTGGCTTGTGATGGTGCTGGGGCTCACGGGCGAACACGTCTCGTACCTCGTCGCCAACAAGGCCACCGTCACCGTCATGGACGCCAGGCGGATCAAGAAACAACGCCTCGACGACCACCAGTACTACAGCGTCTCGACGAAGGAGGGCCGGTGCGTGGTCAGCTTGAGCAAGCAAGACTACAAGGTGTGGGATCACGGCGTGGTCGCCAACATGAAGAGCGTGCTGGGCCAGAGCCCATGGTTCTGGGCCTGGCCCGTCGGCTCCCCCGTGGCCAACACGGGCAACCCACACGCTCGAACGTACGATGATATCCTGGGCGACTACGCGGAGGCCCTCAACGAGGACTACATCCTCCGAGCTGGCGAGGTTGCCGTGTAAAGTATCGCCAGGCCATTTTGAGATGGCCCACTACAGGGGAAAACGTGATCGCGAAGAAGGATCAACATCACCGCTTTCCACGCCGAGAGGCCTGCTTGCTGCTCTTTCACAGACGCTATTCAACGTGCAAATGAGCGACCAGAGAGACCGTCTACTGCCAGAGGTGGAGGAGCACTACGGTTCTGTTGTTGTAGATGGTGGTGTGGCCCAGTGGCCTAGGAAGGCGAGCCATCCACGCAGGCTCATCTCGTACATCGCAGGCTGTGTGATGGCATTAGTGCTGGTGATGTTGGGGTATGCGACGTTTCTGTCGTATGAACGGGCTGATGAGCTGATCCAGCAGTCCGTGGAGATGGACGTGCAGAGTGTCAGGTTTGCTAAGCTGACAACAAGCGGCGTACAGGTCCAGATCCAGGCGTTGTCGGTGGTTGACTACGACCGGATACAGAATGACGACTACTCCAGGGCTCTGTTCAAGCTTGGTGGCAGCGTGCTGCGGACAGTGACACTACAGTCAGAGCCAGTGCACATTGCGACGGTCTTTGACGACATGGAACTGAACCTGGGGACCATGAGGATCCCCCCTGTCACTGTGGACATACACAACCACGGCGAGACCTTGGTGGACGTTGTAATTGACGTCAAGCCCGATACAAAGAGCCTGTTCTCGATCCTGAAGAGGCTGCTCCAGGACCCAGACGAGGTGATGAAGCTGCGTGGCTCAGGGATCATCAGCGTGACTTTGGGCTTGATACCCTTGGGCTCGTTCCCGTTGAGTTTTGAACACCTCGTTTCCACTTCAGAATACATCGATGCCATCGACTTCGACCGTTTATCGATTCAGAACCTATCGTGCTCTGAAGCTGAGGCTGGGTATGGCATTTCCGGACAGCTCATGCTTCCAAACCCAACGTTTGAGAAGACCATTGTGGGATTCCAAGCCCCATCTCTTCAATTTGACATCTTCAACGAGGATTGTAATGGAGACTCAGTCTTAACGATCTTTTCAGACCTTATTACGTGTGATTCGTTCCATCTGTCTCCATCAGATGAGAATATCACCGTGAATTTCTCAACCTCAGTGGGGCAACTAGATGGCCGGTGGAACGAAATATGTATCAACGACGGTATTTCGCCATTAGACAGGGTTCTCAAGCAGCTAGTAACCAATGGGACTGTACCGGTATCTCTGAAAAATATCAATATACCTTCAATGTCATCAGAGTTTGTGAACAAGCTGTTGAAATTTGTCGAACTTGATGTTGATTACAAGTTTCCTTCTTCAGATGGTGGATCATTAATGGATAGTGTGATCCATAATGTATCCTTGGAGAATTTGGCTTTACAGATGGACAGCGACGGGGAAACAACGTTTGTTGATGGAGACGTTGAAGTTTTCGTTGCTCCTCCCAAGGGACTTGTTGATGGGATTCGGATCATAGGTCTTCGTGGAGGTCCAATTTTGTCCTATCAAGGCTCGCCATTTGGCGTAATTGACCTCACAGAATGGCACACATGTGGCAACCATGTTGCTGATGAATTTCTCGTTGTTACCATGACCTTGAATCACTCCCTCTTGACGATAACCGACAAATCTGTGTTCCAGGCCTTGGTAAAGGAGGTGTTTTTGAAAGGCTCTGCTGAACTTGGTGTGGACGTGAGCTTGGATGCTAAACTACAAGTACGTACTGTTGGCACGTTCCAAATCGATGGCATCAAGACCAAGGGCAAGACGACGATAAGCCGGTAACTTACGACTAAATATTAATTTAATGAAACTAACGCGTTAATTGGAAACGAAATCTGACTTTATACTATGTGAATGATTAAACTCGACTTTTCTCTGTGGGATTACCTTATGAGTCCACCTCCAGATTCGATGCGATCAACCAGGTGGAAGAGAGGAGACGTCAACAACATCCTGGGCGTCGACGGTTGGTCCTTCAAGCTCAAAGGCAGAGGTTGGGGTTCTTGGGAGGGCCATCATACCAGATCTGGAGGACTCCAAGATACCGAATGGACGCATCAGGGAGAGGAAAGAGGAGACTCTTGATGGCTTAGCACTCAGCTCGACAATACATGATCTCTCAGAGATATCGAGAACCTTACCACCAAACTGTTCACTGATGGCTGTGATGGCACCCAAGTATTCGTGCTTCATTCTGAGAATCTCGGACACGGTCAGGTTCTTTGGGTGGTACTTCGACGAGGCCACACTATCAGATGCAGAGGTGTCACCATGTTGTCTCAAAAGGTCTTCAAAGTACTCTGGACCCAAAAGGGAGATTCTGGCAAGCAGAAGCTCCCTTTTGATGATCTCGGCGTTCGTGTAGTCCAAGACGGCGTAAACAGGGACCAAGCCTTCGATCTGCTTTCTGGCCTGTTCAATAACGGCGTCCTTCTCCCTGAGGACGATGGTCATTCTGGAAAGGTCGTTAACCTCTGTGTGGGAAACAACGAGCGAGTCGATGTTGAAGCCTCTGGCAGCCAAAGTCCCGGACACCAAGGACAGCACACCCGGCTCGTTCTGCACAAGACAGTTGAGCACGTGTGGTCTATCTGGCACCTTGAGGCCTGTTGGGGCCTCGTACAAGATCGACGCAACCGCACCTTCGGTACTCCACTTTGGAGTCTCCAAAGTTGGAAGAGGTGGTCTGGACTTGTTTCTCAGCAGCTTATAAGCCATCGCAGCCGTCGAGCTTGACGACGACTGGAAACGACGCTGAACCAAAGGTCTGAACATCGTAGCCAATTGATGTTGGTTGTGTATTCTCAGATTGGCAAAAGGAAGTATGGGGAAAACGAACAAAGTGAGAAGTCAACAGTTGTCAAATTTTTCATAGCGATGAATCACACGCCGTGGACGGTGGTCGAGTCAGCGCGAGCGGTGCGCAACGCCGTAAAATTTTCACCGGGCCGGTCTGGGAGACCCGGGGCTCACATGACATGTCACGTGGTCTATGGGCCGGATTTTACAAAGGCTAACTGCTATTTCATATCACCCGCTGTGGTTGACATCGTAGAATGGGAGACTGTGTGGAGAGATACGGTGGCTGGATTCATGCCGTGGAGTCCTTGCTGTGGTACTCATCTATCCACATAAGTGTCTCGTGTGTCTTTCTTATGGCGCTTAGGTTTCCCAACGCCTTTTGGGTCTTGTTCTCCAACTTACTCAACGACGTGTTTAGCTCATCAATCCTCTTATCTGTGCTCTCCTTTCTCAACGCCTCAACGTACGGTTCCACTCTGACCATTCTGGTTGGTGTGCCTCTTATGTCCTTCCATTCGGGTGGCATTGATCTGTGTTGCTTACTCATTTTGGTGGTTGACTTGGGGTTGTATGATGGTATGTGAACATATTAGAAAGCTGTGATTAGAATGCCGAGGTGATATTCCGAGATTATCTTCCGAGATCATATTCCGAGCATCGCTCTTCACTACAATGGCATCTAAATCAATCACAATTAAACAGTACAACTTTTCAAACCCAATCCCTCTGGCCAACTTCAAATGGCATCCATGCCGTTGCTGTCGGACTTCATAATGTTGTAGTCTTCAAAGAGACCATATAAACTGGCATATTCCTCGCTTGTTAATGTACTTGCAGTGGACACCGGCGTCGTTGAAGTGGCTGAAGGTGTCAATTTGTTAAACAGTCGATCGAAATCCGCACTGTCATCTCCAAATAAATCACCAAAGGAGTAGTTCTGTATGTTATTGTGATCATCTGCACCATTGTTCTTCTTTAAGCCATCAACAGGGTCATAAAAATGGCCATTTCCAGTACCACTAGGGTTAACGGCACTGTCGGCATTGACCAATGGACGCAATACATCATAGGGGTCATTGGCTGTCTTGGCCTTTAAATAATTCAGCTCTGCATCAATGAACCCCATGATACTGTTGCTCTTTGGTAATTCTGCTGCGGTGAATTCTTGCATGAGAGCTCCACTAACACGTCTTCTGTCATTTGCCAGTTCGACTACCTTGTGCCCTACTGCGTTGAAGTTATATGTAGGGCTCTTGAGAAGTTCATACATCAACCTGCAAAGGAATATACTTTTCTGTATGAATGCGCTATTCGTACTGATACCACGCATCAGTCTCAATAACCCTCTCATGTTTGACAAGATCTTCTTGTGGAAATCTTCAATCAACGCAGCACGTTCTGAATTGTGAGGAGCAAGTTCTCTGCACTGTGTGAGTTTAGCCAGCAATGATGTACAGAACATGAATGTCTTTCTCAGTGCATCAAATGCTGCAATCTTGATAAAAAGCTTGTATCCAGGTTCGAAGTACGTCCTTAAATTGAAGAACAGATTGAGCGACGAATTGATAATCTTCATTGCTAATGTCAAACAGTCATCAAACGTTTCAAATATTTTCTTCTTATTGTTCACTTGATCAAAGTGATGCAGGAGTATAATCTTTAGCGACAGCAAAAGAGAATTCAACTCGTACATCTGGGCAACTTTCTTTGCTTTGACGAATGATTTTGAATCTCCGTTCAAGACCTGCTTCAAGGAAAGAGAGTTCATTGCAATGAAGGATTCAACCTCATCAATAAGACGAACAACGTGTAACGCAGTTGGGGGTCTTCTCTGCTTGAAACATGTCAAAGCTATGTGTCTATAGAGCTTTGTCTGTGCATCAACAATCTTGAAATTATCAGTAATGCACATGTCTACTTGATCCATCCCTGGATAAATGGCTGGCAGTGATGTCGTATACGAATCTTCGTCCTGACAGAATGGTAATTTTCCAAGCATGACAGCAAATTTAGAGTCCATCTCAAGAACGGTATGCCAGATCTTCTTCCATAGTACACGATGAGTATCTGTATTCTGATCTGGCATGATATGCATCAATGTGTCAGGATCAGAGTGCAGTCCCATACTTTGGGCCACAGAGTATAGAGCACCAAACTGTGTTTCTGTTTCAAAGTTGTCCTCGCTGTCATCGTCCAACGAACCAAAGTTCGAGTATATCTTCAACATCAACATTAATTGGAACACTTTAACCGAATACGTCTTTCTATCCAGCTTGTAAGTATCCAGACATTTTTTGGCAATCTCTACACAGATTGGCGATATCACTAATCCTTCGAGGCCGTCAAACTCTGGTCTTTCTTGGAAATCACGGTCCTCCAGACTTAAAAAGCCTAACCTCAAGACGAGGAAGAGTAAACCAATGGTTGCATAGTCGTATTTACCTCTGATATTAAGTTTGTGGGGTCTTTCGTTCGAGAAATTAGACGGTCCGATGATGGCATCAATATCTCTGAAGAAGACTTGTTCTGAAATCAAAGGTATGAATGGATACACAATCTTGAAAAACCGAAGGGAGAGTCTCATGATAATGTTATGTGTTGGTAACTCTTGTAATATCAGAGCATCCAAGTTGGGGGTTGCATCAAAGATTGCCTGTGTACGTTTACGTTCATCAACCTTGAGTTTTCTGCATTCTGATAGTTCTTGTAAGGCACGAGTACACGATGGTGGAACAATGGACTTCAACGCCTCGAGAGTAGATGTATTCCCATCTTTCATGGCAGCTGCCAATGATTCCCAAAGTGATAGCCAAACAAGTTTCAAATGGGGATCTCTTTTCATCACTGCAAGCGTAGAGAATCCACCATGGAACTCAAGTCTCGATTTGATCAACACAAATGGTATATCATCGATACAATGAACAATGGCATCTGGATCGAATCCATATAGCGGCCCTCTAGAAGGATCTGAATCCAAAGTCGTGGGCGGATACACAACATCTTTCGCAGTCTGCTGAATTAAAGGTGTTGATGTACCACCAGAAGTTGCTAGCTCATGTACTGCGAGGGATGCTTCGATGTGTTTCACTCTGGCGCTAAGTTCCTCGTAGCTTGGAGTTGATCCGTTGAATAAATCATGGTGCTGATGCTGAGGCTCATGTCGGTGTTGTTGATTCATTTGTAGCATGACACTTTCATGAGACTGTTGAGAACCCATGTGTTGTTGCTGAAGTGGCCTTTGCTGTAGCACTTGGTGTTGGTGCTGACGTTGGTTTTCGTGATGTACATGGGCTTTTTCCTGCTCTTGTTGTTGTTGCAGCTGTTGTTGTTGTTGTTGTTGTTGTTGTTGTTGTTGTGGTTGTGGTTGTGGTTGCTGAGCCACTTGGGCAGCGTGAACCTCTATTGGAGTGACTCGTTTCGCATGCTTCCACAGGTCCTTTGAGTTGACCCAGTGGGGCTCCTCGTAGTGACACAGGTGGTTAACACCGCTCTTAGTGCACCCGCCACACACAGGTCTTCGTTTATCACACTAGTCCAACAGTTAGTCATCATAGACTACATATATGTCCAGAGACAAAACACGTACCTTAATCTTTCTCTTCCTGCAGACGGCACATGAGGTTGGAACCCTCATGCGCTTTCTACTCTTCTGATCTCCAGGTATTGGGACATCCATCGCTGAGCATGAACTTACTCTGCTGCTTGCCTTTCTTCCGCTTTCTCTAGAGAGTGTAAAGACTCGGAGCTTTCTTGACAGGTTTGATGGGCCTCTCAAGCGATGATGTTGATGATGAAATAGAAGATATTCCTCTCTGCCTTTCCAAAAGTCGACAATGCGGATGAGCAATGGACTTTAAAGGCTAATTCAACTAAAACACACACAGACTCCCTGTAGCAGCGATTAGAGATGCTCTTGTAGAGCAAAATCACAAGATATAGAGAGCAAAACAAAACAGACATCACGAAGGGTTTTTTCGGAGATGCCGGACGTCCCGTTGTCCGTCGTTATCTCCCCAAAGTCCGCCAGTGCGCCCCGTTGTTAATGAGCGTGAACAAAAGAGCCAACTACACGATACACTGTCCTAATTGTTATAAAAGTCCACCCAAATTATATAGAAACACCCATGTATATAGTACAGTGGATAATACATATGCTTATCACGTGAACCATCCGCCGTTCATCATCGAGGAAAAGTCCATATTGCCTGCGTAGTCATTCGGATTGAAATTCAACGGGTTGATGTCTGCATTTGAGGTGGATGGTGCACCACCATTTGTAGTAGTCGATCCAGGAGCTGGCATTGAGGCGCTATTGCTCATCAACATATCAAAGATATCGCCAATAGACTTATCGCCATCCATGAAACCCGGCTGTAACATCGTCTCTGTGAAATCCGGCATCTCGAGGTCCACGCCATTGAGACTCGGAAATGCCGTGACTGAACTCTTTGTTGGTTTCATGACATCCATTGGAGATGTTCCAGCTTGAGGAGTAGCTGCGATAGAGCTGAGAGCCTCTGGAGATTCTACCTTGGTACCTGAAAGCGATGCTCTGGTTCTTGGCGTCTTCATATCAGCTGGTGAACTCTCATTAGACTGCTGAGCAACTGTAGACCTTGTGGCACTTGTCTCTGGACTATATATTGGACACTTCTTGAACTGTTGTTCATCGGAGCTGAGAACCAATGGGACGGAGTTCAACATGTTAGACACCTCTCCTGTATCGTTCTCGACATCTTGAAGGTTATCAGTCTTCACCATGCTCTTAACAACGTTAGTTGGCTTTCTTAGCAGGATGATAAAGAATCCAACAGCCTTGGCCATTCTCCAGCTGTACGCATACTTGTCCCCAAGCTTCTGTGCCAAATCGTGAAACTTGTCCATATGTCCGAGCAAAATCGTAGCTAAGGTCTCACCCGAATTAACATCAACGTGAAATGCAGATGAATATTGCTCAGATTCGTCTTTGATCTCAATATGATCAAGGTCATGGTTTCTATGATGGTAATTTGTTGGTAAAATACCAGATGTTGAACCTGTACGGGTTATTTGAGACCCTTCATTGATATAAGCGGGTTTCATGAATGGTCCACATCTAGACCTGAGAATCAAAGACACCATGAACTGCATCGAACGATGGCCAATAGTCAACAGTTGAGGTGCTAATATCAAATCAGCACCAGGGCCAAAGTAATCCAGACCACAGTCGAAGAACAACGTGCAATTTCTGTATCCTTCCAAGGCACAATTCAAAGCTTTCTGTGCGTAAGTCTTTGCAATATTAGCAATCTTGGGATCCATGGACCCTCTGGGTTCAAAATGCACGTAGAGAATATAGTTTAGAAGATAGATCAACATGTTAACAGTGACATGAGCTCTCATTTGAATAGCTCGAGTGCCTGATGAATATAATGGTTCATCCCTTGATCTATTCACTAAGATCTTACCAAGTTGTGGGAGAGCGTTTTTGTCGTTGCTGACGCCAAAACCACTGATGCTGTTCTGAAGCTCATTGATAAGTAAGTCAACGTGAAATCTCTTTGCAGGTTTGTGTACATTGAGTAATACATCCATTGTCCGTGATAAGATATCGTCCAGTTTAGCCTGTGCATGGATGTTCTTAATGACGGTCAATTCTTTGAAGTCATTATCGGCAACACTCTCTTCACATGGTAGCATCGTATCACTGAACTCCTGATAATTTTGCAGTACTCGTGGACACCCCAAATTTACACTCTGAGAAACATCGAGTGATATTAGGGTGTACCATACTTTTCTCCAAAGGTGTCTCTGTCTCTCATCCCCAAAGTTTTCAAAGTTTTGGGGATCACGGTGCAAACCTATACCCATTGCCATTTGTATAAGCATACCTAAGAATATTTGTGAGTCTGCGCCGTCTGCTCCATCACCATCTTCAGGTGAGTACATGAAGTACATCCTCAAGAACAACGAGCACTGGACGATCTTCAACGAAGATTTGCGCATCAACTTGAGGTTTGAGAAACAGTGTTTGACACAATCGATAAGCTCTAGAGGCACTTCATTCTCCTTCTTTTGCATCAGATCAACCTTCTTGGGATCATCATAATAAGTCTTTGTGTTGACAGATTTCCCAAGGAGCTTGTTAGAGTTGTTCATTGGTAAAGTGTTCCAAACAAGTCTCAAGATGATACAAACCGTCCCGATGAGTGCAAAATCGACACCGTGTCTGATCTTGATCTTGATATCCTGTTCTTCGTCGTCAGGACCTCCCATTATCAGCGTCACCTCTTCCCTGAATTCCTTTTCATCAACGTATGGCAAATAAACGTACAACACTTCAAAGTATCTCTCGATAAACAACCACAGGATCTTCTTCTTTGGCAGATACTTCTGCATCATGGTTACTGGGTCGCTCTTGAAATCTTCCGGTGACACTTTCCTCGTCTCTGATTTGGAACTGTCGTTTGAATTACTCCTCGTAGATTTACGATGCTTGTGGTGATGTTCAGAATTCGAGTCCAAACTATTGAGAAAGCTGTTATCGCCAATCATGAGCGGGCAAACGCGTTCCTCCTCATCGTCTTCTTCTTGATCAGTCACTATCCCGTTGTCAGCCTGCTCATTACAGCCATCGCGTGTACTTTGGTTGTTGTTGTCACCTTGAAGATTGGCGCTGCGGGAAACAGGACACTTAGCCGCTGGCGCTGTTTTCCCAGACACTGGACATGCAAGCGGTGTAGTATCCACTTCTGGTTGTTTTGATGTTGATGGTTTCATGCGATGGGCTGGACATGTTGCCGCTTCTGTTGCAAGCTCTTTCAAAGGTCTAGCGCGTGCCACGGGACATTCGCCCCTCGGTAGCACCAGAATGGGTTGTTCCACATTAGCTGGCACCACCGTCCCAGTTCCAGTGACCTGTGCAACTTGATGCTGTTGTATGTGTCTCCTATGCTTGTACTCTTCAACCTGTTTACGCACTTTGAATATGTGCGCCCATAAAACACGCAGGTATGGATCACCTTTCATGATAGCCAGCCAAGAGGTCGCACCTAGGTGGGTTGTCGTTGTGGATTTGATGTGCAACATATCGAACTTCTTTGCCAAATTAAGTGGCTCATTTCCTGGGCCGTCAGAGTCTGACAACGTCTCTTGTTCATTAGCACCGGTACCGCCGAGATCATCTTCAGCACAACGTTGATCGTTCAACTGGGCCTCCAATTCCTGTATTTTCTCCTTCAACTTTTCCATCTCTTCCAGTGCTTCAGGGTGTAGCTCGTCATTGGAGAGCGGTTGAGCCCAAGGAGGGTCTATGTAATGGCATAGGTGAGCCACGCCGGTCTTCTCGCAGGCAGTACAGATGGGCCTCTTTTTGTCACATTTCACCTTCCGTCTCCGACAGATCGTACAAGATATCGGTACCCTGTTTCTCTTTCTTGAAGCAACAGCGGTCGACACCGATGCCTTTCTCTTCTTATCCTCGCGTTTCGTGTTCATCCTCTAACAGGCCGGAATGGAATCTGGGTTTGTCAGCAACAGACACTAGTGGTGGCCTCAGGTCCCCAAAAAAATTTACGCTGTTTCCGGATAACGTCTTCTTATTTCTTCTCTCTGTGCGCTGGAGGTAAAATATCTGTATCTGTCGACGTAGATATCGTACTCCTCTCACTCGTAATAACTCCTCAAATAGAAGTCCTCGCTCTTGTTTGAAGTTTATGTTTAAGATTGGAAGTTGAATAGAAAGTTTCGGGTATTTCAAAGTGGAGAGAGAGATCGTGGAACGGCTTTTGTTTTTCTTTTCCCTCTCTCTCTTGTGTGTGTAAGAGAGCTGCTGGACTGCAGTATAAGAGGAATGGAGTTTTTCCTGTCCAAATAAACAGTTAGGCAAAAACTCTGGACAGAAAGGCGAAAAAATTCCACCCACATACGCAGGCAGACGCACAAGCACTGGACGCTATAAGAACCACAACTTTCTCCCTCCCTTATTTGGGTCGAAATGGTTTTTTCAGGTTTCTTTGACGCACGAGATGCGTTAAAAAAATTGTAGAAAGAGGCTGTACCCGAAAACAGGAGGCACAATCTATTTACAATGGCGTTTGTCCTTACTTTCTTTGCCTCTCTTTATCAATAAAGTTTACTTTCAGTTCATGCGATTATCTGCCTGTTAGTACAACCACGACAAGTGTACGAGGTCCTGTTTGGGCAATTAGTGTGTGTGTGGTTTTTTGGCGATAAATTGATTGGCATTCTCCACGATTATATCCTTGGTTTCTGCGAAGACATGTTGTTCTGTTAATCTGCCTCTAGACTAGCGTAGTTTGCACATACTGTCAAGAGAAGTTCCAAGAGTATTGTCTACAAGGAGCACAGGTCCACACACTCACCAAAGGTCTTGAAGGTGTGCGTTTTGTACACCCGGTTGTCTCTCTGGAGGGGCTACTCATCTACAAACAGAGCATTGAATATGAAACTCAAAGAGGAAACAAGTGACGGGCGCTTAGGTGGCAAGTTTTATCCCTGGAAAGGCTAGCAGTGAATTTAGAATCACCTGTTACAAACATCTAAACAAGGGGGAAGGGGTAGAGCTCCTGCTAAGGAATTTCGTCGCTTTCCCCCGATAAAGTACGTAAACGTGTAGAACGGTGTTTTAACCGTGGTCTTAGCGGTTAAGAGCCTGGTTCAGCTCATCGCACTTATATCCGGATTGGGCCCTTATTGTTCCGGCGGAAACACCCGACTTTTTCATGCTTTTGTGACATCTTTTGCGAAGGGGAGCTGATAGCCGTTACATCATCGAAAGCGTGGGCGGTTGGCACATTGCAATTTCGCAAAGCGAAAGCGCTCCATGCACCGATATCTCCACATGCGTACTTGAAGTGAAAGAGCTCTCATCAACAACGGCAATTACAGCATGGGTTGATGTCGTACCAGTGCCGGTTTTACAGTTTCCAGCCAGCTAGGATTAAACTCCACGTTTAGAGTCTTACATATGTTGTTTAGCAAACGCGGCAGCTTGTAATAGCATCTGCTACGTATAGATTTGTGATATATCGTGTCATCGTAACTGTCAAAAACTTCGTAAATTAAATACGCTATATACAAGAGATCAAAATACACACCAATAACAAGAGCTAGAGATGGAGATTGTAGAATATGATGTCATCAAGTACATCAAAGGAGGTCGAATATTATTACTTCAAAAGTGTATGCCGTATTCAGCTGCACTCTGTTTGAGAAGGTACTCTTCTATGTCATATCCAGAGAAGAACTCGTTCAAAACGGCACTTGCTTCAACGTCAGCATCCACTGACGCTCCGTTTGTAATGTCACTGCCTTCGTATATAGAAGAAGCATACCCCGAGTTCAGAGCTGTTTGTGCTGGGAAACGTCTATCATCCTCGAAAACATAGTCATTTCGTCCGTCACTCGCAATGTCTTGCATAACCTGTTTCAGCCAGCGACCATTGTCTTCAAACCCAATGGTACCATCAAGTGGAGAGTTCGATAAGGACCCTATAAGGTCAATCTCCTGGAAGGCTTGTAATGTCTGCCGAATTCGCTCCAGGTGTGACGTGGTGAACCTGAAAAACACATCATCGTCGCCAATGGACTTGAACGAGTCTAAAAGGTGTTGATCAAGAGGCGAAGCATTTGCTATTGCACCGCTGGGTGTCCTTAACAGCCTTGATATGATGAATGAGTGTGCTTTACTCACGACCCAAGCATGGTAATATGTACTTGAAATCGTCTTGTAAACGTGAAGAACATGTCTCGTAGATGCTTCAGCAATTGCCAATATCTGGTCCATTATTTGTATTTTCTGGCTTTCTATCTGAGTACAGCATAACTTGAACACTTTAACCCTTGCTATGATGCTAAAAAACAGTTGGTCCAACCTATGGAGACAACTTTCAAACCTTGGTATAATCACAGCAGGGCAACCGAAATGTCTTTGAAGATCAAATTCTGTATTCTTCTTGTCAAAAAATAGTACAATAGGATATAACAGGGAGCCTACCCTGAGTATTTCACAGCAATAATGGGCCGATTGTTCCACATCCATTCTTGAACAATAGTGCAAAAAGATATGATAGTACAGTATTCCTAACAAGGACACGCAATCCATATACTGAACCATGGATCTGTAGTTTAAAGCCCTTTGCGCCACTGTGTCACAGGGCCTTGCTAATATCTGGTGGACATCTGGCAATCCCACTATGTACTCCTCCAGCGGCCGTAACTCCCTTTTCAATTCAAAGAGTTTCAGGGGCTTTCTTAAATTCAGGGCTTCGTTAAGAAGGGAGTATAACAAATCGGATAGTTTGCTGTAATCACAAAACGATTTGTCAAGTGAAAACTCATCAGGTGTTGAGGATTCATCCAAGTGTGGAAGGTCTGTATCATACATGTTTTTGTCGATCAACGGGTGTCCTCCAACAACTGTGAGTTGGTACACATCAAGTTGCATAACCATAAGCCACAGTCGACGCAGAAAGTTGTTTGGTGAATTCGTAGCAAAGGGTGTCTTTGTGGGATCTCTGTTGATTGAGCACTGAATAGCATGATGCAACAGTTGACCCAATTTCCCCGGTGTTATCGCAGTAACACAGTCAGCCTCCTCTGGTGATATCAGCTCATACCATCTTTTGAGTAAAGTGAGCTGAAACGCTTCAAGGGTAACCTCTTTCAGCTTCTCGGTTTCTTCAATACACTTTTCGACTGCAGTATTCACATCTTTGGATATTGGATTTGTAACCATATGTTTTTGATCATCTGTCCATTGAGATTCGGGTCCAAACACTGGATTATCCAAGTTGAACAATGACAGAGATGCGAAACGCATAACAAGAAGGACTATTCCAGCTGTGGAGCACTGTTGTCGTCTTGTGAAATTGATCGTTGCTGTTGGGTCGTTTCGACCGCCAATCAAATTTGTCACATCCTCCTCAAACACTTCCCTTAGTAAAACAGGGTAAACCAACGCTAATTCAGAATCAAAGAATCTATCAACTAACAACCAAACCAGTCTTCGATCCTTCAAGTAGCTTGAAACCAACGTCACAATGGGCATATCATGTGGATTCCTCAACGGTATTTTCTCCGAACCGGCATCAACTTGTGAACAGAGCACTTTACTAAACTCACACGCCTTGGTGTCATGTTGACACTCTTGTAAAATCGTCTTTTTGTTTCTTATTGACAAGGTGATTGAGTTTAAGAACTTGTCCTTTCTTAACAGAGATACCCATGTTAACGAGCCCTTGTAGCTCATTCCTGGAGCTGGGAAGGAATCCCTATGGAAGTCCACTATTTCGTACTCACTCTCGGGCATAATCCCAAAGGCAGCGCTACCATTCCGCTGTTCATTTGGTGATGTCTCTGCCAAAGTAGTTCCCGACGACGAACTTAACGAGTCACGGTCAGATTTCAACCTCAATGCCGACTCCAGCAGCTGGATACGGTTGTTGATCTGTTTCAACCCATTGGCATAGTCGGATTTCGATCTCGACGAGGCATAACTTGCAGGCGTTGTGTCCATGAAAACCCTATCGGGCTTGAACTTGTTTATCGATGTGCTTCTTCCATTTGAAGGCACATTGGTCTCCTCGAGCAATCCACCAAGACCTGTACGCATCCCATTGCTCACCTGGATATCCCAGCTGGCGCTACCATATTGACAAGCATTAGGGTTCTTTCTCTTTTTACAAGCGCTGCAAATAGGTCGAGCTTGGTCGCACTATACGTCTGGTTAGTAATCTCCAGCGGCAGGCGCTTCATTACCCTGAATGACAACAACAACAACAAACAAACAAACAAACAAACAAAATTACATAATGTAATTAAACGTTACCACACTGCGGTGAGGAAATTCCCGTTGCGGTCCGTCGTTTGTACTTGTCGGGGTGATTTCATACATGCCTTTGTTTTCTTCTGACGACAAACAAAACAGCTACGCTGTATCCGCACACGCTTCCTATCGTGCTCCTTTTCCAGTGGATCCATTGTTGCTGGTTTGGCTAATTGAACAGCAGCAAAACAGTTGATGGCACAAGAGATTAAAAGACCCCAAATACCCAAGCAGGTGTCTCGATGGCAAATGTGACCTCCAAGGGCAAAAGCAATTAGGGCATGAATGTCATAATAATATATATTTTTGCTGGTACACGCAGCTGGCCCACGCTGGTGATTCATACTTTTTCCTGCCCAGTTAGCCCAATTCGCCTCTTTATGCCCGCGAACTCCGTGCAACGCTTCAAGGCTTGCATTGTTCACTAGCGCTCTCTAGCGCTCTCACGAGCTGGAAACTACAAAGGGCTCTAGGGGCTCCAATTGGGAGACCAACACATTGACCAACATTGTTCTCTATGTATCTTTCAGTTGGCGTGCAGAATTCTAACCGATAGAAACTGACCCCTCCCTTCCACTGAGGCTGGAAAGAGCTCCTTGTACTGTAAGCTTTTTCAGAAGCGGACTTAGGCGGGAAACGTTGGGGCCCAGTGGAAGATGTTTTTTCGTTAGAGCCGTTTAGACCCGCTCCACTGATTTCTTTTACGGTAGCGATACAGATGGTCTGAAGCTCACCTGTGTGACCCTACAAACTCTGGAGTAAGTTAGAATGCTGTGCACTCTAACCCTGCTAGCTGTCCAGCTTCCATTGGCACGTATCAATGCGCTAGCGGTGTAACGGGTTTGCGGCACTGAAAGTGCAACATCGTACATTTGTCAATCGTACAGTATTAGTCATCGGCCATTCAGATGAAACCTCGAGCATGTTCTCTGTGTGCTGTGCCACATGCGCTGTAATGGGTAACGCTTAGATGGAGTGTACGTATCATTTGTGGCTTACCAAGTCGCAGATCCATGGCTTGTTCCATCAAGTGGGTACAACCTGTATGCACTGAGTTGTGTCCGAGCTTGACTGCATTGCAAACGGCCAGGCAGCAAGTGTGGCCAATACGTGACACAACTGCCCAGAGAACAGCACTCAACTGCTCTGGCAACACCGTGTGATCAATTCAACAGTTGGATATAAAAGGACATCTTTGCCATCGCTTCATGGCAGTTGGTAACTAAGCTATGCCCACGACCCGGGCATATCCCGGTATAGGCTACAAATAAGCTATAGCCGCTTGCTGCGAAGTATTATCCCCAGCCACAGTGCACATCGTTCTCTTTCTGACTCATCGCTGCTAATTCCCCAAACTGTGGTTCGGTCATTGCGATGACTTCCCAGCAAAACAACCGTGGTGCACTGACCAGTCCTGGGGGAGAAAAAAAAGGGCAGCACGTCTTGTGTAAAGTACTCGACTGTTGATGAAATGTTTGCCGCTGATATAAAGTGAGTTGAAGCACTTGATGACGACACCTGTTCTGTAATTTTTGCCATCCAATCTAGCACTACACGGATGAAATCCCTTAACTTCAACTTGAAGGATAGACTCACAAGGGAGGAACTTGTAAAGTTCCTCCTATGGTTCAAGAATTTCTGCATAAAGCAATGGTTCTTTATCGTGTTGGCGATATTCATTGGTATTGCTAAGGCAGCTCCAAACTTTGCACGCCAACATGGGCTCATAAGAGCTGAATACACTATAGGGTATGGAGCGGTTGCTGTGATTTTCTTACAGTCAGGATTATCGATGAAGACAAGGGATCTGCTGAAAAACATGGGTAACTGGAGAGCACATATCACCGTGATGGTGATCTCCTTTTTGCTAACAAGCTCTATAATGTTCGGGCTTTGTTCGGCCATCAAGAGTGCTAACAACGGTCACATAGATGAGTGGGTGCTTGTTGGGCTGATTGTCACTGCAACTTGTCCAACTACAGTGTCTTCAAATGTCGTCATGACAACACAGGCGAACGGGAATGCCCTGTTATGCCTGTGTGAGGTATTCATAGGGAACATGTTGGGAGCCTTTATCTCACCTGCCCTGCTACAGATGTACACCTCCAACTCTTCCTGGAGCTTTGCCAACCCTGCCAATGGTAACAGTATCGAGCGGTTATACGGTGATGTGATGAAACAGCTTGGGTTGTCCGTCTTTGTTCCTGTGTTTGTTGGACAGCTGATTCAAAATTTATTCCCTTCACAGACTAAGTGGTTCCTCACGACGTTTTATTTCAACAAGGTGAGTAGTTTCTGCTTGCTTCTCATTATGTTTTCCTCCTTCTCAACGGCTTTCCATCAACACGCTTTTGAATCGATACCTAAGGCATCTGCGATTTTCCTGGTATTCTTCAATATCGGTATCTATCTATTCTGGACGGGGATTTGTTTCCTATGTTCGAGGCCTTTCTTCATCCCCATAATCTTCAAAGAGAAACCAACCACGGAGTCGTCAAGGTTCTATACTTGGAGCTATAAATTCTTCAAACCTTTCTACTACAACAGAAGAGATACTATCTGCATAATGTTTTGTGGAGCAGCAAAGACCGCAGCATTGGGTGTATCTTTGGTTACTGCACAGTATGGATCCCAATTTGAGTACTTGGGTAGACTATTGGCGTCGTTGGTTTTGTATCAGGCTCTTCAGGTTATCACAGCACAAGTGTTGGTTCATTGGTTCAAGAAATGGGAGAAGAAGGACCATCCCGAGGATGCTCCAGGCGATGAAGAGATGGCGAAGGGAGGGGATCAAGCGTCTCACAATGACTTGGAACTAGAAGAAAACGAAGAAGATGGCCCTCTCAAGGTTAAACTGAAGCAACGCCCACACCAGGTTGAGGGTGTATAGAATTTGCATGTCGATTACGACCATTCGTTACGTGTTTGGTTTGGTTTTCATATAAATCATTAATATTAATACATACTGGAACTCACGTTCATGCCCTAGTTGAGGATCGATTAATCCTATATAGTACAAGCCCAAAAGATTGGTCATCCCAACCAATCATACACCCACCAATGTCGAAAGCCAGTTCGACATGGAAAAGCTATATTGTGCCTCTAATTCTTCTTGCCAGCTGGATGTCCTTTTGCATAATTGTTACCCTCTTTGCGTGTAACGCCAATAGATTTGTATCCTCTAGTAGACTGACGAGATATGCCTCTGACGCCTCCTGCAGCGCTAGCAGAGCAACGCTTTGCCATCTAAACACAACATTATTCGATATATCAACGTACTGCTGAGCAACTTCACGTACAACACGAGCAAATGGAAGCTTGGAGATGAGCAAGTCTGTGCTTTTCTGAAAGTTGCGAATCTCTCGAAGCGCTTTAGTCCCCGGTCTGTAACGGCGCCTCTTTTGTTCTTTGGCAATTGGATCACCTGGTTGACCTCTTAGTCCCTTCGGTACACTCTTCAATCCCTTAGGTACGCGGGCCATCGTATAGCTTCCAAGATCAATTCGGCAGTCTCTTCCAACACAATAGAAACCCAATAACAAAGAACGAAGCAAAAGAAGAAGAAAAGACCTCCATGGGATGAAGGAGGAATCAGAAATGGCTGGTTTTGACGCGTAACATAAAAAAACTTACCCAGATCGAAAATTCCCAAAAGGGTAATGAAATTGAATAGTTACCCTGTCCCTGCCGGAATAGGAAGTTTTCGCGTTATTGTGCAAAACTCAACGACCGAGCGTATTCCTCGGGAGAATTTGTATACGCAGGCCAAACATCAACAACAACAAACAACAACAAATAAACAAACAAACAAATACGCAGCGGTAAATTGTTTGGGAAGGCATTATGGCTCCATTTAACGAGAATTCTTACTTGGTAAGTGAGACGTTTCATCTTGTGCTGACACGATTTACTAACGAGCCGCCTGTGCTTTCTGAAACAGATCATTTCCCCTGGTTCCAATACCACATTGGTTCAGTTTGGCCTTGGTGAGTCCTACTCTCCACCAGATATTGAGGTTCCTACGGTAGTGTACGCACATCCTACGCTGCCAAATGCCTTTGTATCGAAGGGCGATGCCGGTAGTGCAAAGATCCACCCGATTATAAAGGGCGAGATCGTCAACCTGGCGGCTTTTAACTACTTCATCAAGTTGTTGTACAGATCTGCGCTCAAGACCCGACCAGAGGTCGTTAACGTTCCAATGGTTCTTATTGCATCCTCACAGTGGTCTAAAATCGACCAAGAACGTATAACACAGTATGTTTTTGAAGAGATTGGGATTTCTGCGTTCACCATTCTCCCTGCTGCTCTTGGTACTATTTATGCCTATGGCGGGTTGCCAACTGCGTTGGTTATTGACATTGGCGCTGAGAAGACTGAGATCGTTCCAGTAGTGGACTATTCTGTATTGAACAGTGCAAAGTCTGTGATTCCATTTGGTGGTGATCACATAAATGAGACTTTAAAACACCTGTTACCTAATCTGTCTGCTCAACAGATTGAGTCCCTGAAGAGAAGTGATATCTACGAAGCATTAAGTGATGAGGATAAGAAGAAGTCATTCTTCGGAATCGATGCATTGGATAAAGATAAAGATGATGAATTTGACGTTGCTGCTATTGTCACTTCAGGGAGAACCAGGGAGATCTTGGAAGAACGTGAAAAGCAAGATAAGGAGAAAACACCAAACTCCCAATTGGAAAACAACACGTTCATAGACGAATCAGGTGAAACGATAACTGTTGGGAAAGAGAGATTCAAAGGAACTGAAGATTTAATCCAAAAAATATCACATGGTGTATCCGAATCGTTGAAGAGAATCTTGGATCTTCATAAACGTCAAGATGCCTGGGATCACATACTAGTCACTGGAAGAACTTCCAGAATTGTTGGTTTCCTCGAAGCATTGAATACTCAACTGGTTGATGACCACCTAGTGGGTAAAGATTTACACCAATCATCCGCAGCACAGGCAGCTTTCCAATCGACTGTCAACAGTAATGTTCAAATTTCACAAGTCCCAAACTCTATAAGACTGGGTAAAATGCCTGAGTACTTCCCTGAGTGGAAGAAGATTGGCTATTCAGATGTTCAATTTCTCGGGGCTGAGATCTTTGCCAAACAGATATTTTCAAGTGGTAATGAAAGCATGTACGTGACACAATCTGTATATGCCCAAAATGGTCCAATGGCGCTATGGGACTTGGCGATTTAACCTGTCCTTTTGATATCAAGGACAATGTCGGTGTGGTTTTTCTTTTTTCTTTTTTCTATGGTCCATTGATGGGAGTTTTATTGGAGAGACGTTGTTCAAATATGTTGCATTATAAACTTATAAACGCTTTCTGTGCCTGTCAGTTGAATCTTTAATTTCATCTTGAAAGATTAGCCTCATTGTTTCACGTCTTGCATCAACCACTGCATCTAGCTTGTTGCCCTTCGGCTTTCTAACACGGTTATTCCCCGTGTCTTGATCATTGTTGTCATCCTCAGAGTTGTCATCCTCAGAGTTGTCATCCTCAGAGTCGTCATCCACATGTATTATATCCTCTTCGTCATTGTCGTCCCCGTCCTCGTCGTGTTCATCTTCACTGGAAGAGTGTTTATCGTAAAACTCCTCGAGAAACTTGTCACTATCTTCTGTGAAAAACTTCCCAACTCTCTGTTGTAACTCCACGTCTGCGTTTGCCTCCGACACTATGTCTCTCCATGTGAATGCCCTCATGTTGAATGCGTTCCTCGTCTTATGATCTGTAAATCGCTCCAACGTATCGTCGATCTTTTGCCGTATCGAATCGCTCAGGAACTGCGGAATTGAGAGGTGTTCGATGTTGGGCTCTCCCCCGTACCGTTCATGCTCGCTCCTGCTTATCCGATCGTAAACCACTCTCTTGAAAGCTCGGTCTAACTCCAGCTCCAGGTACTTGGTGGCCCTCTCCACCTCATCCACAGGTTGTGGTTCCTCGTCGTCCTCGCCTCGCTCTTGGTCTTCCTCACCACAACCATCACTGGCAAACACCATCTCGCGATACTTCAACACCCTCTCTGTTTCAGGCTCATCCACGTACTCATCCAGCACCTTGGGATCCGGGACCTCGTGCGAGGACACCGGCCACGCTGTCCACTGATTACGTGGGAACATCCGGTCTTTCTTCCGTAAAAGATGAGCAGAGTACAGGTGCACTGCTAAGTCCTCGTTGTGTTCCCTCTCCAGCGAGCCTATGGTTCGTCTTATCTGCGCGATCTCGGCAGGCCCGACCTCAAAGCCTTCGTCTTCTGATTTCATCGTCTCTGCGCTCTTCGTCCTCCACCGCTGCTACGTCCTCCACGGCCTCTTCTCCTGTCTCTTGAGCTAAAGCATCAACACGCAATTGGCAATACAAACACTGCCCGCGAAAGTGGAAAAAATTCGGCCGTCGACCCTTTTCGTCACACTGCTTGAGTGGAAGGGCTTCAACACGCGATCACACACCAAGCAGGAGGATGCCGTTGTTAGAGGAAGTCTCGGATGCTGAGGATATCGATAACTTGGACATGGACTTGGCCGAGTTCGATCCCAGCCTCAGCACGCCACTAGCGCCAAAGCTGGAGAAGACCATTGTCCGTTCGCAGGACTTGGAAGAGGAGGAAGAGGCTAGGAAAAGAGAGCAGTTGTTCCCAACGGACGACGGCTTCGACGACGGCGCGTTCACCGCGGCGGATGCTACGAAGCCGCTGCCTGATGATGTCCAGGAGACGCTTAGAACGTTACAGATCCTCTACCCGTGCTACTTTGACAAGAACAGATCGAGACAGGAAGGGCGCCGTGTCTCCAAGGAGCTGGCGGTGGAGAACCCGCTGGCTCAGACCGTGCAAGAGGCGTGTAATTCATTGCACTTGATCACGATGCACGAGGCGACCAAGACACACCCACAGGATTGGGGTAACCCTGGCCGTATCCGCGTGTTGATAAAGGAAGACGGCAAGCCCGCGAGCGTACTCGTTGACAACAAGCGTCACCTCATGAACCAAGTCGCCAAGTACCTGAAATCTCATGAAACGACGTTAGAAGCCTCCAAGAAGACCGTGCTGGTGCCGGAATTGAGGAAGATAACACCACAGGAGATCCCAGTTCCAAAGGGGCTGAAGATGAACAAGATTGTTCCACTACACAGTCCATTGCAGTTGAACACGGATCCAATGTTCAAGAGCATCTACGAACCACAGCCTGAAGCATCGCCTGTTCCACAGGCTCCAAAGGTGCCAAAGCAAAAGAACAAGTTCATGCATGTTAGAAGATGATTGGACGCTTTTTTACGACACGGGTTCTCCGGTTCTCTAATTTAATAAGCAGTATGTATGTACTTGGAGTAGCGTAGTTATCCTTCCTTTGTCTCTTCCAATCCCTTCACAACGGGTTCAGCTTCACGGGTGTTGTTATCCTCAGAGATCTCCTCAACAAGTGCACCGTTCAACAATCCACATCTAGGACAGATATACCTAACCTTCTCTGGTGATAGACCTGGAGGTGCAAGTCCATTGTGGTTCAGACATCTAGGACATATCAGTGCAAACCTATGGTCGGCATCAAGCTCGTCCGATCCCGCCACGGAATCTACGATCGAGTCCAGCCAGCCCTTGTTCTCCCTAATGTTCGGTTGTTGTTCAGTTGACTGCTTCTTGATCTCATCCAGCTTTTGCTGTCTCTCCAGAATCTCATCGTCTAGCTGTGCCCTCAGGTCTATGCCATCGGCGAATCTCGAGAGCAACGCCTGTGTGCTGGAGAACTTTGTCTTCTCTTTCAACTCCTCGATCTTGGATTCGTGTTCGAATTGGAGCCTCTCAACCTCCGCTTGTTTACGGCTGTGACGAATGGAAGAGATCCTTGTCACACTCTTAATGAGGCCGACAATCACAATGGGCACAACGAGTAACCAGACCAGATTTGTTCTCGAGACGTTATACCAGCGTGGACTGGCATTCCATAAGGCATATGAAATCAACACAATGTATCCACTGATCCCGTAAACCTTGATGAACCTCTTGAGAGCCCTTTCCTGGTACTTCACCTTGGAAAGGCCTCTCTCGTTCGTTGCAATCTTCCTCGAAATGAGCTCCAGCTGCTTTTCAAAATCGGTGGGGTCAAAGTCCTTCGACTTCAGGAAAGATAGCCATGCCATTTCTTGTGTCTCTGTCTCTTTTAATTGGTCTGAAGGCACCGCTTTGATGATGTTTCTGAGATCATATATGTATAACTGTGTTGATAGCAACAGCGAAAAAGTGGTGTTTTGTGATTACGTAATATTAGCTATACAACTGTTATACACGCCAACTCATCTCAGTCAACATCGAGATCAATATCTTTCCCAGTGTGCTTAACCGTGTATAAGATTGACTGTAGTGGGCTCATACTGTTGACTGTCTTCCAGGCAAAAGGTTTCATCTTAGTGAGCTGTAGCAATCTCCTCTCCAATTCGATTGCCTCTTCCTCTTCTTCCTCATCATCACTGTTGTTATGAACTTCCAATGCAGGTCTTTTGTAGGTGTAGCTCTTGAAAGTCACAATATTTGACACTATTCTCTTACCGATGAGCCCACTGGTGATTGGCTTATTTCTTGTGTGTGGCTGATACGTTGAAGATGCACTTCTCAATATCTTTCTCTTTACGAGTTTATCCTTTAAGACGTCATTCTGTCCTGGATGTGGCTTGTTGCGGAGCAATTTGTTGACATAGGTGTAAAGCTGGCTCTTTTCGTTCTTTAAGGAACGAATCTCAAACTGGAGTTTTTGAATGGTCTTGTCCTTTTCATTTAACTGTGAATTCAATTCAGACGTGAGGGAAGACCTTGGGACTTCGCGGTGATCTAAGTCCTCCTCTTCCTCGTGATCTTCTTCAACGCCATCCAGGAAATTGAACAATTCATCTGCATCTGAGTTGAAAGCCTCAGACTCTGATGAATCATCCAGCAGTTGATCCTCTCCGTCCTCCGAATCGGAGAATGTCATGTTGACATTTTGAGTAGACAGCTCCAGTTCTTTGTTCTTTTCAGATAACTCGGCAAGTGCTCTTTCCAACTGCCCATCAAGCGACGAGATAATCTCTTCTTTATACCTCAAGGTCTCCTCAAGCTCCAAGATCTGATGGTCTGAAGCCCTTAGACGCTGTTTCCATGTCTTTTCAGCCTGCTGCCACTTGATTAGTTCCTGCTCGAAAGTATCTGTTTCGCTTCTGATCTTCTTCGACAATTGCTTATTGAACTGGTTAGCATTCTTCAAGCTGGCTTGAAGCTCACACATCTGTTGTTCTTTCAACAAGAGACCATGTTCTAATCTCTCTTGTTCTGCCTCTGCCTCCCGGGTTAGGGCAATCTGAGCTACCAACAGCTTCTCAAGGCTTTGATCCTTCGGCTTTTGGTGAGCGCATGGTGATTCGTTCTCCTGGTTACTCAATCTACGCAGCACTGCCTGTTCACTGGCCATCTCTGAATCCTCTTAAGCTTCACAGTACCGAGCCCCCTTGTTGAAGCTGTTGAAGAAGGCACATTGAAAAGTAAACAAAGGCCTTTCCAGAAGAAGCCGAAGAAAAAACAAACAGAAAAATAAGCGAAAACAAAACATACGCGATAGGAAATATTTCCGTTTATGGTAACCAATCATAGGCAGTTGATTCAGCGCCATTTTATCATCCTTGTGTTGTCTATGGGCCTGTATGGTTGGTTCTTGGTGTGAGCATATGTTCTTGGGCTCAATTGAGATTAGTTGAATAGGAAAGAGGCCTTGTTAGATACAAACATTGGGCTTTGGTCCTATGTGGTGTGCGGGTTTAATATGACACAAACGTGCTGTATCGCCGGAGATAATTATATTACATTATATTATTACATTATATCATAGCGTGCTTTGATTGCAGTTTATAATCTATTATGGGAGAAGACAATGTGTTTCTATCATTCCAGCGTATAGATATGTCTTCTGAAACCTGAAGAAGTTAGATGGAATGAATTTACGAGTAATTATTAGAGTATTTTTCTAAATATCAAATATACAAAATATCAACAGCAGGATAACAGATTTTGGATTAATAAAATGGACATATCCTTTTTAGAGACTCACACAGCTCTCAAAATTGATAAATCATGTGATATTGACGGCCAATTGATCAAATAGACTGAAATTACAATATCGACATCAATTAAGTTAGAATTAGATACACACTGATGAAATCAAACTGCAACAATTAAGCTAATATCAACTGACAACGCATACGCACAGCTGTGGTTAGGATGCGACTATCTCGAAAACCACTATGTATAGTCATGTTGAGTTCATATACGATGCCATCTACTAATTATAGACACATCAGGTGCTTCTATTTATCGTTATATAGACCGTAAAGCTTGATTTCAGGACTCACCTTTGGATACCAAACGGTTTGAGCCAACTGCGATGGGTCTTTACACTCTTCGACAATACTCCAACGAATACGCTGCGCGTTCAATTCTTCTTCGAAAGCTCTTAATGTCTCCTCATTTCTCACAGTTGCAGCAACAAGTGCGATTTGGGCTCCATTTCTAAACCCATCGCTTATACACTGTACCAAAGAAGGAATAACGCTTGAATCGTAGGTGACATCAGCAGCGAGGATGACGTCTGACGAGGGAACGTCATCCTGACCCCACCAGAGGGAATGGCAATTGATTCTTGGCGAAGGATAGGGTATTTCGTTCAATTTGAAGTTTGTTGACAATGAGTCGATCAGATTGGAATCACCGTCTGTTATCGTCAGCGAGCTTACCTCAGTTCTATCCTTAAGCAATGCCAATGAGACGAGCCCTGTTCCAGTTCCCAGCTCCAATACACGTTTACCCACCAATTCCTGCGAATACGTTGATAACAGCCAGTTTGACATGAACAACGCTGCTTCCCAAGTACGTAGCCCAGTGGTCCCGGACCCTGATATCACTCTCGGAGCTTCTCTTATATACACATGTGTCCCGTTGTTGATATTGTACCGTATAAGGTCAAGGTCCGTTGCCAAATGCGGTTTACACATGACAATTTCACCAAACAACTCATAGTACTCGTCCTGATCCTCCTCGCTCAGTCTCTTAAACAGCGATTGAGACATAAACTGCTTGACATAGTGTGGATTCGATGCAGAGATCTCCTTTAAAACCGGTAGCAGCTCCAAGGAATCAACCTCATCTGGTACTTGTAATTGACACAATGGAACCCTCTGGTACAGATGATCTATTAATGTTTCCATGAGGCACTGAGGCAATTCCAACGAGAACTTGTGCGCCAGTTTGTCCTCTTCCAATGATGCAGAGAAAGAATTAAAGTACTCGATGAGTTTTTTCCCACTCAGGCAGCGACGGCTGGACCGTCGGAGATGCCCGGGGATCCGACGGCACGCCGATCAGACTACAAGTTCAAACATCATCATCATCAAGAGATTAGTGTGATATTCATATTCAAGTAGAGATGTCAAATAGTAATCGATGTGCGTTTATGCCAGTGTTCCAAAGACACGGACCCTCTTCACACCACCGTCTGGGATAATCGTTAGACGGACGTGAGTGTAGTCACCTGGGTTGACGAACTCCTTGAAGAAGTGTTGCTTATCAGCTTCTGTCTTTGTAGGTTCAACCAATGGTATCCAGTTGGAGTTGTCATTGGAAGGAATCTTTTCCTCTGTGCTTAATCCATGGAGTGTAATCTTCTGTGGGAAGTTGCCTCTGAAATGGGCAGTATCGACAACGATCTCCTTGATGCTTGTCTTTGAGCCGAGCTTAATGATGACCCAGTCAACGTGGCCTGGGGTTCTCGATCTCTTTGTTTCCCATCCATCACTCATGTCAACACCACGGCCTGGCAACAGGAGGTTATCCACGGTTCCAAAGTGTTGATCAGACCAACTGACAGCCAATCCACCGTAACCGACGGAGGCAAAATCGACGAGGCTTTGAGCAGTGATGGTTGACAAGTTTGGCACAACTTCACCGTACAGCCTGAATCTTGCAATACCACCGTCCGGGTACATCTTAAGTCTTGCGTGTGTATATTCACCCTTTGTCAACGCGGTGTTCTTGAAGAAATGCCTTTGAGAAGGACCGCATTCGATCTTCTCAACCACTTGTTCCCACGGAACCTCCGACCAATCCTGGACGTTATCTGTGTCCAACTTCACAGCCTCAACGCTGATAGCTGGAGCATGGTTACCGTTGAAGAAAGCGGTATCAACCTCACAGCCGATCAACTTGGCACTGGAAACTCCAAACTTGAAGATGACCCAGTCCGCCTCCTCCGTGTTGTGTCTTCTCGTTTCCCACCCATCGTACCAGGCACCGGCGAACGTGAACCTTGTAGCATCTCGAATAGGCGCCTTTGGCTTGATCAGGTTCTCAGCCCGCGCAAACCACTCATCGCTAAAACTGATGATGGACCCTCCAACCTTCTCTCCGATAACGTCGGTGTACTGCGACACCACCTGCGATGTGAACTCGTCTTCCGTGAGGATTTGTGCTTCTCTAGTCATTCCTGTAGTCATGATGAAGGAAAGGGGAAAGGGGAAGCTGCAAAAAACAGAGAAACAGATCTCAAAGGGGAACCAAGTGGTTTATATAACTCTCAACAACTTCCACTGGCAAAGGCTTCCAAACCACACGCAACGCTGCGATTTGGCCCTCTGTTATCAGTCGGGCATTTCCGAGCGACGTACGCGTGTGGGCGCGCGTTACACAATCGGACATCGAGTCTTAAAACCGGAAACAGTGGGGGGGGGAGGCTGCTGTGTTTGGCGAAGGGAGCGCAAGGGGGGAAGAGCACACACCAGCACTGTCTGTCGGTTAAAGTATAGTGTATGGCTCACAATTGGCCCTGTTTACTGTGTATCCGATGCGTTATATGTACAGACCAACAAGTGCTGTGTTGCTTAGTCTATGTGAATGTGGTTGTGCCACGCCTGTGGCCACAGTCGTGGCTCAACCGGGGTGGCCGAGATCGTGGTCCTTGACAGAACATCCAAACACCGCGGCCCTTGGCCACCGCGACCCTTGGTAACCACGGCCCTTGGCCACCGCGACCAGCGTGTGCTGTCCCTACCGCCGTTAGTCACCGTTTGTGTATTTGCCTGCGCTTTTCCCTCTTCTCCATCATCATCGAATCCGACTTGGTGCACCAAGCTACACTAACCAGACCGAGACACAAACGATGGAGGCACCATCACAGGAAATTGGCGAGTCGATTCCTAACAACACGCCGCACGCCGTGAGCGTGACGCTGCCGACGTGGGAGGCCACTGTGGGCTACGAGAGAGGCGAGGATTGGGTTGTCCAGAGAATGAAGCTCGGGTACCCACGATTCTTCATCCACTCTAAGATCAAGGAGCTGTGTGCTCTTGTTGAGGAGAAGTTTGGGCGTGAGGGCGAACGGGCGTTCGTATTCCCAAGCTATGCGGTGGCGAAGCGTTGTAGGGAGTTTGTGAAGGAGAAGACGTCGAATGCTCCGCTGCCAACGATCAGAATCTTGCAGTTGTCCACGCCTCCTCCAAGGTCCAAGGAAGAGGAGAGTTACCGTAAAGAAGCGCACATTGCTGCTGTGTTTGTCCCTGAGTCTGAGTTTGTGCTGGCAAAGAACTACTGGCAGCACTCAGGCGAGGGCATCTCTTCCAGACTAGGTGAATATGTCCTGCAGGAGTTGAAGATTGTCGATAACAACCTACAAGAGGATAAGGACAAGGAGTACAAGGTGTTCATCGAGGAGAGGTTCGGAAGAAACCTGGACTTGGGGTTCACGTCCGAGGCCAAGACTGCACTGAGAAGACGTATTGCCGGTGTTATGGACGAAGCGTCCCCTGTTGCTGGTCGCGTTGATGAAGACGACGTGTTCCTGTACCCTTCTGGTATGGCTGCGATCTTCAATGCCCATCTATGTCTGCTGAAGACTTTGCCAAATGAAAAGTCGGTGTGCTTTGGATTCCCATACGTCGACACCTTGAACATCCTGAAGAAATTCGGACCAGGTGTTCATTTCTACGGGTTTGGAGATGACGATTCGCTCGACGAGTTGGAGGCTAAGCTATCACAAGGTGAAAAGATCCTCGGATTGTTTTGCGAGTGTCCTTCCAACCCATTGCTAAAGACACCAAACTTGAAGAGAATCCACCAATTGTCACTGACGTACAAATTCCCGGTGGTTGTTGATGAGACAGTTGGAAACTTCTTGAACATTGACGTTAGACCGTACACCGATATTATCGTGTCATCTCTGACAAAAGTGTTCTCGGGAGACTCCAACGTGATGGCAGGCTCATTGGTGATCAACCCAGCTTCACAATTCTACCCGTTGTTCCAGCAGTACTTCAGACAGAACTACGAAGATATCTTCTGGGCAGAGGACGCGATCTACTTGGAGAGAAACTCTCGTGACTTTGAATCCAGATCGCATAAAGTGAACGTGAACTCTGAAGCCGTTGTTGATCTCTTCCAAAAATGCCCCATCATAACACAGGTGTTCTATCCAAAGGTCAACGATTCAAGAAAATACTATGAAGATATCAAGACACCTAATGGAGGCTATGGTGGGCTGATCTCCATAGTTTTCCAAAAGCAGGAACAGGCCGTTGCATTCTTTGACTCCTTGGAACTGTCTAAAGGTCCATCACTGGGCACTAACTTCACACTCGTATGCCCATACGCCATTCTGGCTCATTACCAAGAACTAGACGAGGTTGAAAAATGGGGAATCGATAGAAACTTGGTTAGACTGAGCATTGGTCTTGAAGATCAAGATGCTCTATTGCAAACAATGCAGATGGCTTTGAATTTGGCAATCCAGGCCTAAGCAATCACAGCTAGATATCCACCAATGGATGGCATCGATACGAAACAGAAATGATCCAACTCATAAAGTCACAACACTTTTCTCTCTCTTGTTTTGTCTTTTCTCTTTTTTTATCAAAATGATCCAACTCATAATGACCCATAATGATCCAACTCATATCACATTTAAACAGAAACGAAATTTATCACACGAAGATGACCCAAGCCACGCCGTCACCATGTTCTATGGTACCATTACCATGACGACAATTTTATAGAGCCTGTACTTACACATCGATATGAATTTTTGGTGCAGAGATCCAACTCTTCTGCCTATCACACATCAGATAACAGTCTGTAAGCCGTAGTCCAATGATCAACAGCAAGTGCCAGCTATACATGCTCAGTCTATAAAAACAAGTTGAGTCTATTAAACGATAAAGCTTATACATATAGAAAGAAACACGATAATGTTGTGACACACTCTTTGGGAACTTTTGTTGAGGCTTACAATTATACAACAAATCACAAGTCCAAAAGATCAATCTCACCATTTGATTGAGTGGTCTGTGGTTTACTCTGTTGCTGAGCCTGTACAGGGGTACTCGTTGGTTGTTGAATCGCTGGTTTTGAAGAAGTTGATGTACTTCCATGGGCCTTCAGGGTCGCTGTTTGGAACAACGAGCTGAATGCATCTTGCTTTGGAGCTTGTGACACTGCACCACCTGTCAAAGGAGCGTTTGAAATTGGAATGTTGTATTGAGGAGTGACTGGTGCTTGTTGGAAAGATGTAAAGTCACCGAATAGGTCTTGCTGTTGTTGCTGTTGTTGTGGATGTTGTTGCTGTTGCTGTGGCTGACCTTGAGCATACAAAGAAGCCAACGTGTTTGTTACCTGTGGCTTAGAAGCTTGAACATTAGAGCTTTGGAAGTCACCGAAATCATCAAAGTCGTCACCGTTTGCCGTTGTTGCTGCTGTTGTTGCAGCATTGGTCTGAGTAGCTGACGAGGAAGTTGTAGGTTCACCAAAGGAGAACAAATCAACCTCAGGTTTTGGAGGAACTGGCTTTGAAGCAGAAGCAGAAGACGTTGATGTGACTCTCTTGCCGTTGGTGTTGTGGTTGGCCTCAACCTCGTACTCCTGGAAGTCATTGTTACCAGCGCCTCTATTCTCTTCGAAACGCTGGCCATAGACACCACCATCACCAAAGATACGGCCTTCGTAGGTGCCGTACTCCTCGTAGTTTTCGTCGCCATGGGAGTTGCTGCCAATACCGCCCGCAACACCTTGGAACTTCTTTGCATTGTCTCTACTCTTCTTACGTTCAGCTCTCAAAGCAGAGTCGTTGTTCAACAGCTCCACGAGGTTCTTGGCCTTGGTTCTAACGTTGATACCTTGGTCTCTGCCTTGTGAGTCGATGTAGTGGAAAGAACGAAGCATGGTGATCAGGCTGAGGTTGGCCCTTGCGTCATCGACAAACCTCTCGGAACCGTTCTTCAAGAGGTACTCCAGCAACTGCAGAGCCTTATAGATCTGACGCCATTCGTTGGCACTCTTCTCCGTGAAACGTCTAAACACCATCCCAATGATCTCCTCACGCTCTCTGAAGTTATAAGTACCAGCAGCTATCTTCTGCATCAGCGTGGAGGAGGCACCCCATGGCTCGTTGTTGGTGGCCTCACGCACAAGGGCCTCCATCTCGGTGTAGTTATACACAACGTTCTGAGCCTTACGCACGTACGCCTTCACGTCATACAGCGAAACGTTCTTCAGCTGTTTCTTGATATCGTCCATCGTTGTTGTTCTTCTTGTTCACACAGGCCAACGGTTATGTCCCCTTTGGACAAATCAAAAGGGTGAAACCAACCCTTTTTTTCCCTTAAAATTTCACACCGCTTTCCGCCTCGAAGCCCACTGTGAAAAACCGCTTCGGAGGTTACGGGGGAGGGACAGAGGAGCCGTTTTGGCGGTTTCTGTGGGCGGGCGGAACGCAGTGAGGTCTTTTCCGCCTGGGAGGGTGAGCCTGGGAGGGTGAGCCTGGGAGGGTGAGCCTGGGAGGGTGAGCCTGGGATTGTCAGCCTGGGATTGTCAGCCTAGGCAGGCCCACCTAGGCAGGCCTGCCTGGCTCTGCCCGCCTACAGCAGGCGCTCTACGCTCAATACAAAGTCAAGTTATAGAGAAGAGTTTCACTTAGGCTATGTACACGGGGCACTGGCGTCGTTGATGGACGTGGTAGGCCCTCCAAGCTGACTTACTGCGCATAGGGAAGAGGCGTGCGGGTGCGCTATGCGTTCTTACTCCTTGAGCTCACCGCACTCAGCAATGGTGATCTTGGCTCTGGTCTTACCGCTGGCGGTACCGTAGGCCTCGATGGTCTTGACGGAGTCGTAGCCGTTGATGACCTCGCCGAAAACGGTGTGCTTGCCGTCCAACCATGGACATGGGACAGTGGTGATGAAGAACTGCGACCCGTTGGTGTTTGGGCCGGCGTTGGCCATTGACAACAAACCCGGCTTGGTGTGCTTCTTGATGAAGTTCTCATCTGGGAAGCGGTCGCCGTAGATGGATTTGCCTCCAAAGCCGTTACCCATGGTGATATCACCACCTTGGAGCATGAACTGAGGAATCACTCTGTGGAATGGGGTCCCTTCGTAGCCGAAGCCCTTCTCACCGGTACAGAGGGCTCTGAAGTTCTCGGTGGTCTTTGGAACAACCTGGAGAGCACGTTAGTATGGATCGCCCGTCAAGGGAGGCGGAGGTGAGCTCGCAGAAAACAACATACGTCATCGTACAACTCGAATTCGATTCTGTCGAGCTTTCTTCCTGTGTGTGGAGAGTGTCTCTGTTAGCAACTGAAGGCGAAAGCGGTGGTTAAACCCTTCTCTGTGAATGGACAAGGACTCACCATCAATGGCTGGCACAAAGTACACCTTGGTGCCCAGCACGGACGCAGTGGACGAGAACTGGCGAATACCGGCAAAGTTTCTGGCAATGGATCTGGACAACATTATTCTTTTACAACTGGTTTCAGGCACCGGACTGAGGAGCTACAGAGAGAGAAGGCAAGGGTGGACGATGTTTTCGAGAAGGTTCTGCTGCCCTAAAAGCTGGAGAAGGAGAAACATCCAAACACCACCTCATCTTGGACGAGGCTAAAAGGCCGAAAACTTTTCAGCAGCTGAGTTTCTCTTCTTCTCTCTTTTCCCCTTTTTTCTTTTCCTCGTACCAAATCCATCATTTAGACAGTACGTGAATAAATTGGTGTTCTATTCAAACTTGTCTGTTTCAATTGGAGATGTGGAGGGCGATTTGGTGCGATTTCTCTGCTGTGTTGCGAAGCTTTCATCGTCTTGGAACGTGTACGTGAAGCGTGCTCAGGTTGAGGACTGCGGTTGGTTCTCAACTGTGTGTCCTTGCTTAGATCTGAGAGGCTTCAATGGCGTTTCTTGGAGATGAATTCTATAGCGACACGTGACGGTGGGGTTATCGTCCATTTTGTCCGTGCATCTCTGCTATTTGAGCAGACGGGGGGATGCCCTGTTTTATATCAATTCGTGATTGTTGATGGAGAGACAGAATGTAATTATTGTGCCAATAAGAACCCGTCTGGATCGTTTTATGGATGAAAGAGGGGTGTCAGATGGCACACACATATTAGAAACACACTAGCTTAGTACAGAATTGATACTCAACCCCCGCAGATTTGTCTACACGTAATCATAATCTCGTATCAATTTTATTCAATAATCCAATCCTGTATTCGAGAACACCCAATATCCCATTACAAATTATCCTTGTACCTTTTTAGCTTCCCTGGTTCTCTAATCATTGAAGGTTTGGAAATGCTCTTTGGTATTGACTGATTTCATCCACTTTGAAACGACTTCAGAAAGTCAGTCCATGATTATCTCTTCCCCTTGGTTTGGGCTTTTCGGAGTGTTTTAGCCATACCTTGTCTGTGTTGAATAATAAGCAAAGACAACACGAAAAACACCGTCGTATCGTTGTGTATAAGCAGGATACAACGTGTAAAGCCCAAATTAGCCGTCACTCGCTTATATGGTGATGGCGTTCGTGTCCATAATTATAGCATCACCACAGAGTCTCTAGATCCTTGATGCATGGACACGACGGTTTGTGCTCATCATTGAGCACACACACGGGCCCCAATGCAATCCAGTTGCATTCAAACTCGAACTACTTGCACCTAAGCTGTTGGAAGCGCCAACAGTACCACTCATGGTGGGATTGATCACTGCGTATGCTTGAGGCCTTCCTCATCACTGATCTTCAAGTTTTGCATCTCCATTTTGCGTATCTGGGTTGGAGTAAGCCTTCTTGGTTTCCTGTGGATCGTACATGGTGCACCAGCACTGATACCATCAGAGGCATGTGCTGTGCTCACGCCCTCGTGGAGCACTTCGTCATGTGCATGCTCCGAGCCCGCAACACCGTTATGATAGACATGGTTATTCACAACGCCTTGACCGCCACCTTGGATCGTTTCCCTATTGCCGTCATCACCAACATGGCCAGGAATGACAACGTTATGTGCAATTCTATTCTTCAACTGGTCCTCATGCTTGAAATACATATAGTTTCTCAGCGCCATGGTTCATTGATCAATCAGACTCGTAACGAAACCCACACAACAGCTGAACTAGGACAAATAACCAGATCACAGTAAACACAGATGGCGAGGACAACGACGTGCTCTGCTAATCAACCTTTCTATGGATATGGCAGATTTGGTAACTACGCTGGTTAAGGAGCCAGTCTCCAGCACGGAAAACAGGCACATTTGCTGAAGTTCCATGAGGCTCCTTTTATACATTCGAGCATCCTCTAATCAGGCCAAACAAAATATGGAAAAACGCTCAAAAATACTCTGCAGGACATGGTAAGCAGACGGATGATGAGGTATGTCCACAGGGGCAGCATTCTCAGATCCAAGCACCATACGATTCAAGCAACAGCTTGAAAACCGTTCGATTTTTTTGTTGTTTGCACTCTTCCAGCTCAAACTGTGTAAAATGAGGTTGAATTAGTCCTGTGCTAAGTGAGAAATGCTGACCATCTCGCGTAACGCTGCACAAATTTGTACGTCAGCTTACCGTTTACATTTGAAAAGTGGTATGATTTTTTTTTTGCCGAAGGGATCTTTTGAAAGATCGACGGTTTTGTGCGAGTGCGTTTTTTTGTTCTCGGTGTGCACTCCGAGGAAAGGCGAAAGGTTAGGTGTTTGGGTGTTTTGTGGTTACGTAATGGCTTAGGTAAGCGTGCTTTGGTTTGCAGATTGGGCGCGTGGTATTACGTAATGCTCTCTACACCCGGACACACACACCCGGACACCACACACCCCGACACCCCATCCGAACACCACCAGTTCTATCCCATACCGATGCGGTGACACCAAGCTGGTTCCCACCTGTTCACTTCCATCCCATGGAAAAGCCCCGAAAGCGACACAGTAAGGTCTAGAAACTAAGCACAAGGTGTCCTCACTGTTGGTTGATTCTTCGCGGTCGTTGGCTCCTCATTACACCAATCTCTCTCTCGGGCTTTGCCTCTCCCCTTTCTGAAAGACCTTATGAACTTCAATACGGTTGGCATCGGCCGTAGGCAATCAAAGGACAACGGGAAATATTGGAAGGCTCTACAGAACTCGCCTCAGGACTTGCCTCTGTACAAGGACAAGCCAACAAGCACACACGGTAACACCAGGAAGGACAAGATCTTCAGAATGGCTGCGAAGGGGCTGGTTGTGGTTTTGGTGTTCTACCTGTTCTACAACGTTGGTAAGTACATGAGACACGAGATCAACGCTTCATCGGAGGACTCAGGCACTGCCAATGCTCCAATGAACGACTGGAAGTTTGCACAGAGCGAAGTTAAAAGGGTTTTCAAGGAGTCCTGGAAGCACTATGAGAAGGACGCGTGGGGTAAAGACGTTTACCACCCTCTTTCCCATAAAGGTGAGAATATGGGTCCAAAGCCCCTGGGTTGGATCATTGTTGATTCTTTAGATACTTTGCAACTCATGGGCCTGGAGCAGGAGTTCAAAACGGCCTCTGCCTGGGTGGAAAACGAATTGACATACGACATGGATTATCAGGTTAATGTCTTTGAAACTACAATAAGAATGCTGGGAGGTTTACTTTCTGCCTACTACCTCTCTGCAAATGATATGTTTCTGGATAAGGCTGTTGATCTGGCAGATCGTTTGATCGGGGCCTTCGATTCACCATCAGGTATCCCATACTCCTCGGTTAACCTTCACACGAAGAAAGGTATCAAGAACCACGTTGATAACGGTGCTTCTTCGACTGCAGAAGTGGCAACCCTACAGTTGGAGTTCAAGTATTTGGCCAAGCTAACAGGGGAGCAGATGTATTGGGAAAAGGTTGAAAAGATCATGAAGGTTTTGGATGACAATCATCCAAAGGCAGGGTTGGCTCCGATCTACGTCAATACAGATACCGGTAAATATCAAGGCAACCTCATCAGATTGGGCTCACGTGGTGATTCCTACTACGAATACCTGTTGAAGCAGTACTTACAGACAGAAGAAGGCGAGCCTATCTATAACGCAATGTACCAGGAGTCTGTTCGTGGTATGAAGGATAAGCTGCTGAGAACTTCAAGACCAAATGGCCTAGCATTCTTGGGTGAGTTGGAGAATGGTGTTGGTGCACCACTGTCGAACAAGATGGACCACTTGGTTTGCTTCATTGGTGGATTGTTTGCCCTTGGTGCTACTGAAGGTGAGACTCTGAAAAAGGCTAGAAAATCGTCCAATTGGAACAAGATCAAAGAGGATGATATCCTTTTGGCAAAGGACATCACACATACTTGTTATGAGATGTACCATCAAACTGCTACGGGATTGGCTCCTGAAATTGTCGTCTTCAACACTGCTCACGATTCAACAACAGACTTCATCATCAAACCACTGGATAAACATAACTTGCAGAGACCAGAAACTGTTGAGAGTCTGTTCATCCTTTACAGAATTACAGGCGATGTTATCTACAGAAGATGGGGGTGGGAAATCTTCAAATCTTTTGAGAAATATACAAGAACTCCTGATGGTGCCTACACTTCGCTGGATGATGTTACTGTGATCCCACCAAAGCAGGCTGACAACATGGAATCCTTCTGGTTGGCAGAGACTTTGAAATACCTGTACCTGTTGTTTGATGATACAAACCTCACACCGTTGGATGAAGTTATTTTCAACACAGAGGCACATCCATTCCCAAAGTTTTCAATGAATCCATTGTTCAAGACCGGATGGCAAAGATCAACCGTTTCACCGGAGAAGCAAGAGACCCTTGAGCAAAAACCAAAGGAGGCCAAGGGGAACGTTAGACAACCAATTGGTGAAAAGATCGAAAAGAAGATTTCGTCATCGGCACCTTTGTCAAACAAGAAGAAGCCAGAGTCCGAGGAAGCGAAGCTTGATAAGCCTCCTCAAGCTGCGAAGCCTGCGAAGCCAGCTGCCGAAGAGCTGGAAGAAGTTTTGGAATTAGCCGGAGGTGTTGATGAAGACCAGTTTGCAAACCAAGAAGCGATCGATGATTCACTTGCAGAGAGATTGAGAGAAGGCGGCGTTGACCGTATCCTTCAGAAGGTGATTGATGAGTGAAGATCATTGCACAGATTATTCTCCCTCAATACATGTATGATCTTTGTTTCGTCTCTTTCTGCGAGAAGGGATCCAGTAGACCAAGCTCCATCTTTACATAATTGGTAAAGGACGACCAGTGAAGATGATTTTATGTTTAATAACATCAACAACCTCGACAGGTTCATCAGTTTCAGGTTCAGATGGGAACTTCAGCAGTGCCAATGGAGGATCCAACGTTTTGACGTCTCCTAGCAATCTTTGCGACGTTCCAATGAACAGCGTAGCCTTCTTACCACTAAGCTCCAGTCTTCCAAACTTCACAGCCCATTGTTCAGCTGATAGCAACTTGGAGTACTTTGACTCATCGTCGATGAAGCCAACCTCTGGCTTCTCGACTGGTAGGATCAGCTCGCCCTGGATTTCTAAGATCATATTACCTAGGGAAGTGGTGATCACTTGTGGCTGCTTCAACGACTCATGTGCAGAGGAATAGACGACTTCCTTCACCGGCATATTTCCTTTCACTACAATACTCACACACTTGAACAATTGATTAGAAGCTTTGTATAATGAGAAGAAACGCGTAGCTCATCTTCGGTTAAACGCGTCTCGAGGCCCACACAGCCGAAAAAGGAAACCGCGCGAAAGAGAAGGGCAAAACATCCATACACCAAAAACTGAGCATGGAAAACACGCTTACATAAGCATAGGCGCGAAAATTGCCGCTTTCGGTCGGCGTGGACCTTGGAGCGTTTTCATTCGTCAGTGCCAGTTTTTTTTTCCTCTTTCGCGGTGCCTCCTGTTCCCGTTGGGCGGGTGCCAGCGTGCTTGTAACGAAAAAAGTTGACCAAAGCACCCGAAGAAATTGAACGAAGATTTCCCCTTTCTTCAAGCGCTGAACTCCCCTCCAAAGGATTCCCATAGTACTTCTTTACAACTAAAAGAAACAATTCACAATGGCTGCCTTGAAGAGATTCTCCACTCCAATTTTGAAGCCATACTGGCCATTTTTCGTCGGTGGTGTTGCTGTGTACTGGTTGATTGGTAAGGCCGCCTCTGCCTCTGCTGGTACCTCTGAGTTCATCAACGATCCAAGAAACCCACGTTTCGCCAGAGGTGAGAAGCCAGTCGAGACCAAGTAAGCGTGCACGAGTGTTCATCAAGACATAAATATTCATCTTACGAAGTTTTAGAGACGTTATCGAACCATCAGAAAACAGAAATAAAAGCCAATACATAAACAATGAAGTATGAGAGTTTTTAAGGGGGAAAAACACCAACCATTTCGTTCGAGGGAGAGATTTATCAACCATGTGCTCAATTGAGTCTCGTGGCTGTTCTTCTTGGATGAAAATGCAACCTTATGACTTATTTACGAACGATTCAAAATCTATATATTATATTGTGCTTTCTTTTGTAGAGGTAATTGTATCCGCTTTCTTCACTTCACAGTGTGAGGTTTGTATCGATTTGCGGGAGTAAAGAGCAGCAGTGGTTGATAGATGGTACAGTCAGCTGGCATTGCTTCCAATACTCTGAGGATCTCGTAGTATTCACAGTATCCATATATAAATAGTATAAAGTCAGTTGAAGAACACGATCATAAAATTTCGTTAAAGCCCCATCCTCTCTCAGTTTGTAGATTCACAGAGGCGTGTTTGGTTGACTCTTAGAGATGTGAATGGCCCTGGCTTTCAAAGCCTGGGCAAATAACAAGGCAATTGGCCAGATTGGAGCATCACCAAGTATACGTACTCCCAAGTACAGCCCTCTAGATGATAGTCTGGCGTTTTGGATCACTTTGCGGGTCTCAGTAATATCAGTGTTTGGATGTACTGCACGCTTGGCAACTTCTTCATCCAAAATAGCAACATCAAGAGCTCCTTTTGCCTCCAATCTCAGAAACTCAGCATAGGTCTTGTTGTTGTCATCAAGCATAAGGCATTGTTCAATCTTTTTGAAGATCATCTCAGACCGTAACCACAATGTACGTTCAACAGCGTTCAAATGGGTTGGTTCTTCATCGTAATTCTGTGCCCACTTCTCCACACTGAGCAGAAACTCTGCAATGATTAATAATGACGTGAAAATGCAAGTGATGAAGAAAACAGGTGTACGGATCGAAGTTTTCTCAGCATCATTGTGAATGGAGACGTAGTCGATCCACAGTTTGACGATATCCAGGGCATAGTTTGTGGAGTCTTTCAACGCCTCCGGATCGTTACGTAAATCTTTCAATGATTCATTCATACCTTCCCAGTCTTTCTGCCAAATCTTCTTGATGATTGGGGTCAGACTGACACATTTTCTAATCTTTGCAAACGATAGCAAAGGTAAGATCAGCCTTAGAATTGGGTTCTTGTTGTAGATGACAGATAAACTTGTCTCGTTCAAGTAGAAAACACCACCATTTTGAATATACAAGCTCTCCCAGCTCTTAATCAATGACTCAATGAGAGGTCTTGAAGTCATTCTCCACTTTGTTGCTGCTAAAATGCCATTGGTTTCGTTCTTCATAGCTATACGTTCCAGGTAAATCTTTTCGTGGATTGACATCAATAGAGATAACATTGTCTTCATCGGAATGGACTTGCCGCTGTGATCCCCATCGTTCAAGATGTAATTACTCAAAGTCAAATAGTTCAAACAGTTCGTGTACGAATCAGTACCGTTAGATAATTCAATAAGGGCAAATTTGGAGTCAATCACGTAGTGTTTCTTGTTCAAGAATGCCATCCACTGGACGTAATCACCAGCTTCCCACAACTCATCCCACTTACAATGTATACCACATTTGATATCCAAGGAGTGCAAAGAATAGTCAAGACCAACCAAGGAGCTGAACAAGTTCGAAATCAACAAAATGATGTGACAAGTTCTGATTCTTGACTGAGCAAGGATGAAGTACTGAAAGTTTGCCTCTTGCGTTTGAATGGATGAGTTTTGTAAGTTATCGATAACAGGAGGTGGCGTGAAGAAAGTCTCCAATGGCATGTTCAAGGACGTCAATTTCACCAGCTCAATCAATGAGTTCAAAAAGATCGTCATAGTCTTTGTGACATTCAGGTCATTGTTGAAAATACCAATAAAGATCAACAAAACCATACTTTGGTATAGCCATACAGGTATATTGCTGTTGTTGTTAAAGCTCTTTTGATGTTCCAAATGTGAATGCACCCGATAACGTGCCACATTGAACAGCAGCAAAGCATGCCCGGAATGGAAAGAGTACAACGCACCAATTGATGCAATAGAAAGAATGAGTGGATAATTTTCCATAGATGGGTGTAAAGATCCCAAATGAATGAACGGAAAATACTTGTCAAACTCATTTCTGTACTGCGTAGTGTACTGATTCAAGTCATCCAAGGATGGAAATTGAGATTCAGTGAGCTTGTTATCAGCCATGATTTGTTGTCGTAGTTCAGCGGTAAACAACGGCAATGACGTCTGTTTGATTTCCTCATTGTTCTCGATAACTTTTTTGAAAAGATCCACTTGTCTTGTTCTAAACATCTGAGAGATATCACTCGTGAATAAGTGGCTATTCGTTTTACGAACTTTCTTTTCAACTGGTGGTTGTGAACCATGGCTCATTGGAGAACCATGATGCGAGATGTTGTGTTCAGAACCATGCGTTGATGGCGGTGAGATGCTTGGAACAAAACCAATTGAGTTGAAAGTCTTCATGTTGGTGCTGAAGTTCTGGTCAAACGGGGTGTTGATAAATTCTCCTAGCCAATCTTCTGGAGACATCTTATCATCGTGTATAGATGTAGAGGTTGTATCTGTGGGATGGCCCACGCTGCTGCCCTCATTACCACTTGCACCGACACTTGTAGCCTCCACATTTGATAGCTGCGGTGATGGGCCATTAGACTTGTGTGCAAACATGTTCAGGTTGATATTGTTGGATGTACGCATGGTAAAACCAGCTCCACCACCACCAGAACCTGTATGAAGGTATTCGTTCAAGATTGGAACATCCATTAGTGAACCGCCAGGGGTGAGACTGAACTGGAATGGAGTACCAGGCTTTGTACCTTGATGATTTGGTTGATCAGATTTGGCATTAATACTGAAATAGTCTGAAGATTGATCCTCGTTCTGCTCTTTCTTGAAGTCCAAGCTGAAATCATCAATGTCATATTGCAAGCCCAAGGCTTGCAAATCGATACCACTCATTAAAGCTTTTGAGGTAAGCTCCTGGGCGGTTAGCTGAGGAGTTGCAAAACCAACTTGGTGTGGAGCCTCTGGTAACTCGTGCTGTCCTGGGTGTGCTAGCTGTAAATCAACAGTTTTCTGGTAAGAATGTGGTGAAGTCGCACTGAACGAGTTATGACGCTGTCTCTTGTGCGAAGGCTCAAGATGAGCACCACCGTTTGAAGAAGATACACTCATTCTAGTCGAAGAGTGTTGGAACAGAGAGGACGTGGCGTCAAAGTCGTCGATAGTACTTCTTCTAGCATATCGCTGTGAGTTGTCGCTGAACGCCGAAGAAGCCCTCGGTTTCAGATGGTTATGGGGCTCCTCATCAAATTTATCGCTGCTTTCACCTTTATCAGCCACTTTATGTCCATTCCTAGCATCGGAAACGTCATCGCTACCTCTCTTCATTGGCAAGGACACTTCCTTGTTACCGTAGTTCGTGATGATGTTATCCGTGTCCCCCTTTCTGGCATCCTTGAGCGTGCTGTTTGTACTCATTCCAGAGTGTAGTTTTTGTTGATGACGAAGAACCAAATCCCTTCTTGCAAAGCAACGGCCACACGCAGCACACTGGAACGGTTTCTCGTTCGTGTGTGATCTCTCATGACGCTTCAAGTGCTCCAGTCTTGCGAATCCACGGGTACACGTTGTACAGATGTGCGGTCTTGGTTTGTCTGTCTTGATAATCGCACTCTTCTTAGGGATTGGCTCGAAGCCTTGAACGCTCTGTTGAACCATCTTAGGCTTCTTCTTTTCAGGGCCCCCTACAACAACATCTTGCATTGACATGACTGTTATCTGAGAGCTATCCATGGGCTATGCAGTCTTTCAGTGATCGATATTCGAGCTTCACCAGTCTGAAGCAAACAGATACAATAACACGGGTCTGCCTATGCGCCTCCCAACTTTCTGCCTGTTACTGTTCTGACAGACAAAAATACACGAAAAAAACACAAAAACTCTCCACAGTGGTACTAACGTTGGAAAATCGGATGTTAGCTCTGTTTAGAAACGAAGAGTATTATCTCGTATAGATGTTCCTATTCTTGTTTGAAAAAAGGTGTGTGTGTGGGTAAGTTTTTGGGATATTAACAAGTGTTTGGGATATAGTGCAAAAAATCCCCCCTATGTGTATAAAAGAGACTTGTGAATTGATGACCAGCTTTTCTTAATTTGTTGAAGAGAAGCGCCTCCGGTCAAATTTTTTTTTTCCTTCCTTATGCGTCCGTACTTTGGGCAAAATTCCCGGTCTGAGCAACAGCTGCTTGGATGGAAAAGGCTAAAACATTTGGCTTTGAGCCTCAGTCGCCGGTGGAAAATCTGACAGGTTTTCTCAATAAAAACATGGAGTGCTTAGTAGGTGCAAATTACGTTTCAGCAAGGCTACGCCCATTCTGCACTTTTTACACACATGATTACTACGTGTAATCATGCTAGAGGGATTATAAATGGATTGCTTTTGGTAGACCCAGTGCTCTGGGATTGCTGAGTTCGAACTACGTTCAACAGGTGAAACAGAATTATTCTCCTGTATTCGTTTTCTCCCTGTTTGACTAATTTATCCCCAGACCGTTGGAAACTTTGAAGCATTGAAAATTGCACCGTTTTTCCGGCTCCCGATTTGCCTCTGCAGTGCTTTCAGCGGTTTGGCTTCCTCTTTCGCTCGGTCTTTCGCAGCTCGCGAGGCGAAACCAGTGGGCAAAAGAAAAAAAGAGCTTGACGTCTATTCGAGGAGTCCGGGGGAGAGATTTCCCCCAGGGCTGCCGAGCCAAGTTTTACGCATAGGTACATGATGATACGCACAGCACGTCGAGACTGGGACGGCATTTAGGGCAAAGATAAGTGGGTCGGGAATATTGGCTGTGACTCCCTGAGTCATTCCAAGTGATCCATCTGATAGAAGTGGTAACCTTCAAAGCAGCAACAGACAGCCTGTTCCGAACCGAAACGACATGGAGCAAGGAGTTTTAACATTTGAAGTGAAGGTTGCCAGGGCAACTCTCTTTTCCCCGGTGGGTCCTGGTGTAGTGCCTTTCAGCCTACAAGTGTGCTCAGATTGCAGGCAAAAACGCATATTGTACTAAATCAACAGCAAAGCTGGATGGATGCTGTCTTGAACAGTAAACGTTGTCACCCATGGAGGGGCACAACAATGCGATAAATGATGGAAGTGGATATGGCGCGATTGTAAATTGTAGCGAATGAGGGGCCGGTGGTTGCCGCTTTGCCCCATGATCTTCAAGGAAAAACTCACGAATAATTTAGACCTCCAGGCAGCTGAACCCTATCTACACGGCATGGATTTTGGGAATCCATCATGTCACGCCAAACCTATGTGATACTACATCGGCGTTACAACCAATCAACAACTTGTGCAGTTGGCGCTGTATTGTGTAGCAATACTGAACTAACTCAGTATTCATACGACGCCTCAAACACGCACAATTCTTCAGCCGTGACCACCTAAAAAAACCTGTATTTTTGCTTCTAATTTTTCCACACCGTTAGAAGGGACCAAAAACTCTGTGACGTTACGATGTGGGCGAAATACTGTCATGGATGGCAAGCTGTGTTGAGTGAAAGGCCAAATGCACTAAGAATCCCCAGTGTGGAGTGGCAAATTTCTTACTCCAGTTTCTACTAAACGACATGTGTTATTCTGCTTTCGAAGAGAGTGCATGATATTTAGTAGGATCCCCGGAGGCTCCATCGGGGCGGTGGGCGTGTGTTTCGTTGGTATTTCCCATGCGAAAACTTATCGCACAGCTTACAGCAAGCGAATCGTAAACTATATTTGGACTTGTATGCAGTCACCAATTAGAGGTTCGAACATTCTCGTGCTGCCACACAATTACAAGAAGGTCAAACAGAACCGGGACGTATAAGAAATGAAAAAAAAAAAAAACTGCTAGATGATGACGTATTCTATGGAAAAGGATGTGTACTATGCACCATGGACTCCTGACGGACGCTTGTGGTAACCGGTTTCCAGTCTTGTGCTGCACGTAGCGACCAATCAAAAGTGTTCCGACCTTTCGGCGTTATGATTAGCTTAAAGGGCTTCTAAAGAGTGCTTGTGTCTGCGAGCTTTCTCCCTAGGGGATCACTCATCTGCATTTACTCCACATGGATGGCTCAACACACTTTAGGAGTTTCATGCCAGCAAATAGATGGAACAGCTGTGTAAACTCTGTTTCAAAGACCCTAAAGAAGGCCAAATCTGACTTCAGGTGTGTTCGTTCCTCAGATTTTTTACCTGTGTGTTTTTTCATTGGAAGTTAGCAACTGGTCTTTCTCCGCATTTACGAACACACATGCAATAGCAAAGTACCACGGTTAAATATGAAAATCTCTGCCTGTGTGATGTGCACTCCGAGCTACGGGGTGGGACCATTCAAGGATCAGCAAGAAATGGGGTACACCGAAGGAAGATCCAAGATTATCGGACTTCCAACATCGCAGTGGAGCATTGAACTTTGACTCGTAGTCAAACTGATCAAATTTGCCTGTCGGACTTATAATTTTCCTTTTTGAATTCCGACGTGAGCAACGGAATCCGCATCACATGTGAGACCGAAGGAGGGTCTATAACACAATCATATAATAACCGTCGATATGTTGAGTGTTTAATCTGTTTGCCCATGATAACTGAGAGTTTGAACCGGAGTCCGAAAACATCAATTATGTATGATGCGCCGAGTTCGTTAATCAGCTGCTATCGAGACTTACTATGCTTAGAAGTGATCAGATCAGCTCGTTTGAACTTGATCAAGAAGTGGTTTTATAGTAGTGAGAATTCATATATCTGAACTAAAGCCACACACAATTCAAAAGGACGAGGAGTAGTTATGATGTAACTGTAACTTACACTCCTGGTTTTGATCGAATTGTGGACCTTTATCATGCTCGCTGTTCTTGACTTTGACGGGGTGAATGTTAGCCAAGCTCTAGGTGGCGATATTCTGGATGATCTTGGGATCAGGCCAAATGGTTATAACTAGGTGGGTAGCATGGGTTGTGTCTGCCGTCTTGCTTAAGTTCAATTTCAGTTGATCCCCAAGTATTATCACAATCTGTCAATCTTGTCTTACAATTAGAGCTGGTGTCCATCTTATAGGGGCTCTCATTAGGGGTCACCAAGATGTGATTTTCTGTGATTCATGCTTCTGGTCCTCTTATTGATATATCTCTAAGGCATTACCACCTAGACTATCTCTCTCATATGTCGCGGATCCATCTACAGGTATCTTTGGTGGTGTCTTGATCTAACGCCGATAACAATTTAAACTTCCTAGTTACGACATGATCAACAATAGAGATCTCTTACGAAGGAGATATTAAATTCTTCTGTTGGCGTCATGAGTTTCTTCATGATGCCTGTGAGTGCAGTCCAGGAAAAGGTCTGGATCAGAAATAACGAATGGCTCAAAGATCATGAGTAAAAGCTCGTAGTTAACAGACTCTACGAGATGATCCTTCAAGGGAAGAACGGATTAGTAGACTACTAATAAACTGGGAAGAAGTGTTTTATTCCTTCACAAACCAAGGCAAGTTAAACATTCACATTGTTACACTGCGCGGAAATCTTCTGAACAGTACCGTTGGTAATGATATGACGTAGAATCTTCGTCAATGGGGCTTCTCCAACGTTGACACAAACCTATTGATGATTCAATACAATTTCACATGTGGCGTTACCATGATTACGCCTGGATGGTTTACGAAAAAAGCTAGACAAATGTGTACTTGTTCAGTTCAGCTCTACAGTGCAATGCTTTACTCACCGAGTGCCATTATGGTGAAGAACAGGTTTGCAAGTGGCTGTGTGGTCCCCATACATGATCTTAACTTTACTCGTCCCTATTACCAATCGATGGCCATAATATATCCCCTGGTGCCCAGATAACTCCCAATCTGTCAGCCCTGGTGTAGTTAGTTCTATATACTTGTAAATACGATTGAATAAGCCACAGGGATGATTTCCCCAACATTTAAATAATTGATGATAATCCATTGTATCATAGAAATAGCATATAATTTGCTGGAGTCATCGTCGCAGGTTTCCTTTGTTGCTTTACAGCGAGATAGTTCTACGTCTTTCGAAACAAACAAAGGGCCAAAACTTGCGACAGAAGGACAAAAGAGGGCCAGGTGATATACAGAAAGAGTCCCGAAGATCTAGAGAACAACAGATTAGACTTCGAATTCGTCAACCGGTACTCCGGTAAAATTCATACACTTTGCAGTGTCTTTTCAAAATCTGTGGAGTAGGAATGTATAACTTTTTAATAGTATTATACCACTTAAAATACTATGTAACGTTGCAATTTGGTTCATTACACTATGCCAAATATTTATGCCATGATTAATCCCTACACCAAGACAGAGGAACCAAAAAAGACCATCACGAAATCCTCTAAAAAGTAAACAAACAAGAAAGACAATGTGCTTCTTCCGAGTCTGCGTCTTCTTATGATTGAGATTGGTGAACGAGTCACGTTCAAGGACCTTGAAGGTGTAGTGAGGTTTGTTGGTGAGACACGCTTTGCGCCTGGTCTTTGGGTCGGAGTTGAGTTGACTACTCGCAACGGTAAGAATGATGGCAGTGTCAAAGGGGATCGTTATTTCACATGTGAAAAAGACCACGGGATATTTGTCAGGGAGTCTATGCTTTCAAGGAATAGTGATAGATCTGCCGCTCCACTTGAGTCAAGTGAACATTCCAGCAACAGCTCAGTTATAGAAAATGTCAAGTTGAAAACTATCGTTCAACGACTGGAAGGTAAGCTGGAAAGAATGCATTTGGAGATAACATCGTTGAAGATAAAACTTGGAGACGCAAAGGAGAAGAATGATCTTCTACAAGGTCAGGTGACTGCGGCAGATGAAGGCTTTGAGATTCTTTCCATTGACAAGGAAACTCTTACTGAGCAGAATGAACTTTTAAAGCAGGATATCGAGGACCTTACCGAGAAGAATCAGAAGTTACAGGTTGAAGTTGAACAACTAAGAGAGGAGATTAAACTTTTACAGGATGTTTCACCACAACCCATTGATCTTGCCGAAAGGAACACAATGCTTGAAAAGGCATTGCTAACGTTACGTGACAGAACAGAGGAGCTAGAACAACAGTTAGAAACAGCTTTGATTGAACTCAAGTCACGTGAAGATGCTGTTGAGGACAGTAATAAACTTGCAGTTAGGGAGTTACAAGAGAAAGTTAGCCAGTTAGAGAAAGCGAGACTTGAACAAGAAGATATAGAGGCACTCCATATCGACACGGAACGTGAACTTCAATCCCAAGTGGATTCTTTGGAGAGGATAATCGACGAGAAACAACTACTCATAACTGAGTTGAAGGCTGATAAGTTGCAACTGATCCAATTGACAGAACAGAGCAAATATCCTAGCGTTAATGAGATTGATAAAAGACTCCTGGATGATTTAGAGCTAAAATTGAACAGGTTGAAACAACACAAAATTTCCCTAGATATTGACCATATGGTGCTCCAAAGAGAGGTAAACGAACGAGAAGATTTGGTGAAGGAAGTTTTGAAGAGATCATCTGTGAATGTTGATCATGTGAGATCCAGGTTAGAAATGGAAAAGTTTCAAAGCTTAGCTGAGAACCTCGGAAGTTATATCGATGCCGGAGATGATGTCCAAGTTAACCTTCTTGGAGAACTGTTCAGGTTGAGATTGAGACTTTTTGGAACAACTTTAAGGTATATTGGCAGACTATATGAAAGTTCGTCAACTAGAAGACCATTGGCTTTAACTTCAGTCCAAATGGTACTATCAGATTGTGTTCAGCATATCAAAGATCAAGAATATGGCAACATTCCGAACTTCAGTGCTACAGAACATGAATTAATACAGGAAGAACTCCTTGTTGGAATAACTTTTGAAAACAACTTCACGTTACAGTACGAACTAGAATCCCAGATTTGTGCCTGTGACTGCATTTTGACTGTTGTGGAGTTGTTAAAGAATAAAGGAATCGAAGAGAATTCACAAGAACTTACCGAATTATTTCGGTCATCATCAGATAGAATATCTCGGAATAATGAAATACTCAAGGAGCTTGAAAGAGAAACACTGAACAACCACGAGATCACAAAGTGCACCATCAAATCAATCACAACTGATGTGATTTCATTTCTTGAAAATATTATTTCTGGGTTGGCAGTTTTTTCTTTGAGACCAGAAAATCTACTAAGAGAGTCAAAGACTTTACTTCATACACTTTCGCAACTTCCAGGATCGATTAAATGGGAATCACACTCTGTGGAAATGAATGAACTCTCTGAAAAGAAGGACGAAAACCTCTTATCATCGGATGTTATGGCACTGAAATCAAATCTTTCTGAGAAAGAGCAAAAAATTGAAGAGTATGAGGCCAAGATTGAAGTTTTGCAGATGAGGGTAGAGTCAAACAAGGAAACAGAGAAACAGATGAAAAAATACAGAAATGAATGCATGATTCTTTCTGAAACAAATGCAACAGTCAGTGCTCAACTGGAAGAGCTTCTTATGGAGAACAAACAACTCACAAAAGAAGTTCAAAAGTCAAGGAATAATAATCTGCTATTTAACGCTCAGTTTGAAACGATCACAGAACAGAAGAAGTTTGTTGAGCATATGGACTTGGTCTCTGAAATTCACACTTTGAGGAACACTGTGCGTCATTTTACATCGGTGGCATTGGAAACCACCAAATACGACTGGCTTTCAATACCATTACCTTCTTATGAGCCTTTCCACCGCGAGGAGGTAGATGAGCTACGCGATATTGGGAAGTCATTAAGGGAATCAGTTACACGTAAGCTATCGTTACAACACTAAACACGTGCTGGATTCAAGGATTGTTGTGAATTCTTGCAGGCCTTGACTTTGGCCATTTAGCCACCTTTTCAATCTTGCTCCTTGGGAAAAGAACTTCCAAGAATTGATATAGAAATATATCGATTATGAAACATAGGATGAAAAGTTTGCCAGCCCAAGCGCCCATTCTGTACAACTCTTTAATTTCATCAATGGTTTCCTGCTTGTGATCATCTGGAATCGAGTCGTAGACAATTTCTGTTCTTCTCGCAACATCCTCCCATGAATACATGTTTTTAACTTGTAGATGGAATTTAGAAGTATCAACTTTACCAGCCTCAATGAGACGTATAGCCTTTGACGCGGATTTGACCAATGAATCCACTGATGGGTTAGCATAGATAGTCATCTGTGGGGGTAGAACTTCTGGAACTCCACCAACTCTTGTGGTGACCACCAACAGCCCACAGCTTGCTGCCTCTACAAGCACTGTGCCGAAGGCCTCTGTTAAAGATGCATGTAGATAGATATCACCCTTTACCATTAGATTTCTAACTTCTTCATGTTTCACCCCACCAATCAGTTCAACACGGTCCTGTAGTCTATAAGTCTCGATTGTCTGTTGGATTTCGACGAATTTAGGCCCATCACCAGCGATGATGAAGCGGACCTTCTCGTGCTGTTTACAAACTTTCGGTATCAAGGCAGCCAGTAGATCAGCACCCTTATTGGGGAAAAGACGAGATATCACCACAATGGTGATCGTTCCATCGTTCTTTTTAACCTCTGCAGGCTTGAAATCCTCTGATATCACTGCATTTGGTATGACACTGACCTTTGAAGGGTTTATCTTCCCTCGCAGAACAACGTTCTCTTTACAAGTATGGGAGACACATATCAGATGGTTTGTGAAGACAGACGTATAGCCCAAGGACTTATTCCCCATGATACTGCCAACGTCAGCGAATCCAAACAAGGAATGCTCAGTCATCACCGTCTTCAATCCCATGGTATGGGCATGCATTATACCCTCATGTGTCAATGGACTCATCGAGGCGTGGCCATGTACCACCTGGATCCCTTCCCTGATGTAGACGTTTCTCAACAACGGGAACGCACTGAATATCGTCGGCAGCGATGCGTTTCTGTAGAAGGCGAAGAACGGCATGTAGTACACTTTCAGTCCATTGGTCAGGTACCGTATTCCTCGACGGTCTCGGTACGAGTGTGTTATGATGATAACACTGTGTCCCCGGGCGATGAGCTGTTGTGCCAGATGGTATATGTGGAACTCCACACCACCTGGCTGTGGGTAGAAGAAGTCACAAACCATACTTCAAAACAACAAACAACCCATGTTAGTATCACAGAGGTTCAGATCGGTGCTAGCAAGCCAACAGGTCACTTACGCAATGTTATAAGGCATTGTGTTCTGTTCAGCCAGTGGCTCGAGCCAATAGTTCAGCCAACGGTTCAGCCAACGGTTCCATCAACGGTTCGAGCTCTGGCTTCACGCTGCTGAACAAGAGACGCCCAGCTGAACTGGGCAGCCGCCCGCGCGCGCTCGCTCGCTCCAGCCCAACAGCCCTGCTGAAGCCAGAAAAGCCTCCCCCTACGCCCCAGCGCGGGAGCCAAATTTACACAGAACGGGGCGGGACGCAGAGGTGGGAAACTAGGAAAAAGCGCACCGGAACACAATCTACAAACAGCCAAAGAGCGCCCACGGTTCCCTTAAAACTTCGGAATAGTTGCGGAGTGAAGTGGTTTGGCCTCTTTGGATTGTGTACACTAGGCACTGAGAACTGAGGATGAGGTATCAAGAAGTGTCTACAGACATTCCGCCTGGTGAAGGTGAGCTACCACGCGACCCGCCTGTTTACGAGGACATCGAGGCACAATGTGATGACGGAACGCCATCGTCATCACAGAGGAACTCACAGGACTCCCTGGTGAGGGAGTTCGAGATAATGGAGATGGAAGATCCAGGGCCAGCGATGCTGTCGCTGTCTCAACGGTGGAGAAGCTCGTTCAGATCAAAAGTGCGTGCCGTGCGCACCAACGTTCTGGACCCTTTGGCTGAAGGCTACTCCCATTGTCAACGGATATGGGAGATGCAGTTAGCACGCTTGGGAAACCCACTGATCGTCAAGAGGTTTGTGTACGTTATCGCGGTGGCGATCGTGGTGTTCTTCGTTGCGACGAGTGGGTTCATGCCCGAGGATAACTCGAAACAAGGTGGCTCGTTTAGCGATAGGTCTCTGCTGCTCGATTTTGCCAAAAGCATTGTTGATTTGGGTGCTATGGAGGAGCATTTGGAATACCTGAGCTCATTGGAACACATCTCGGGAACAGCCGGTGATCTAGTCCTTGCCAAATATATCGAGAAGTACTTTGATCAGAAGGAGCTGGTGTTTGATGGGCTGGAGGAGATGAAGACGCTTTCTGTTTTCCCAGAATCTATAACACTGAAATTTGACCAGGAAGAGTGGGACCTGACACACCAGTTCAACTTCCTTTCCAAAGACGGCGAGGTTGAGAATGGTATCGTCTATATGAATCACGGTACTGTCTCTGACTTTGCCAAGCTAGACGAATCCAAGGTGGACTACCAAGGTGCTATTTGCTTAATGAAATATGGTCGCATATCAGAGAGTGAGAAGATGCTCATAGCAGAGAATAAAGGATGTGCAGCTGTGCTGTTCACATCCGAGTCTGACGCATTCCCAGATTCAGCAGAGAGAAGAGGAGTAGGCATACCACAGTTTTACCCTGGTGATCCACATATGGAAGGTTGGTACACAGATGAAACACCACATGCTGATTTCCCAGACTCAAGAATACCCAAGATACCTAGCGCAGTGCTAACGTGGAACCAGGCAAAGAAGATCTGGGATAAATTATCAAATGGTGTGAAGTTTGATTTTAACTCTGGTGATAAGACATTAAGGGCAACTTTCAAGAACCAAATAGTAACCAAGCAGGATCACCTCTCTTGGAATGTCAACGGTGAAATTATCGGGAAGGAACAAAAGGATAAAGTTCTTGTGATTGGTGCTGCAAGAGATGCACCATGTACAGGTGCTGTTAACCCGAATACCGGAACCGTTATCCTTCTTGAACTTATCAACGTGCTGTACAAACTGAGGACCAAGTTCAACTGGAAACCTTTGCGAACAATCAGATTCATCTCATTAGGTGGCTCACAAACAAACTTTGATGGTGCTGTCTTGCACAGTACCACAAGCCAGAGTATGTTTTACTTGGACCTTAGCGAAGCAATTGCAGGTGACGATCTTGAAGTTACATCATCCCCTCTTCTAGAAAGTACACTGAACCTCTATAAAGATGAATATAACCTGCAGTTCAAGAAATGGGATAAGTATTCCAACGCCCTACCTTTTATTGGTAAAGGTGTTCCCTCAATGACAGTTGGTTACAAGGGAAAGAAATATCCACAGTATTCGTGCGACGATACATTCGAAAACTTCAAGAGTCTACAGATTGATCCGCAGTTTGAAAAACATCGTGATTTGCTAGAGTTTGTTCTTAAGATTGTCCTCCATCTAGTTGATGATCCACTGATACCTTTCGATATGAACGATTATGAAAAGGAACTGAAAGAAGCATTGGCTCATCTGGAGGACTACGCTAAGAAGACTCAACCTGCAGTTAATTACGAGTTTAACAATATGAAAACCGCCATCAGCAATCTAGGGCAAATAGGACGTGAGATGGCCAATTGGGAACGTGCCTGGAAGGAGATTGTTGATGAAGATGGTGGTCTGGAACCTTCGTTACTTACTGTTCATCGTTGGAACTGGAATAACAAGTTGAGTGGGCTAGAAAAGTTTTTTATTGGACGTGAAGGATTACCAAGTAGATGGTGGTATAAGAATTATCTCTTCTCCCCGCAGATGTTCAACCCAGAAGATGATGATCTTTGGTGGACGTTCCCTTCAATTCGTGATGCCTTATTCTTTGGACAGGATGCACAACTTCAGATAGAAACTGTCGCACAGTTGATAATGGATGGAGTAAAGCATTTCATCCAAAGATGAAATCTAGTTATATATTCGGGACACGTACGTGAGTATCAGTTATGACTTTTTATAAATTTATGGTTTTCTTATAAAATAACGCAGTTTGGAATGTAGAACCTTTCTGTTAAAGCCATTTCACATCGTTCGACCACGACCGTTGATCTGGCTATCCTGACCGAACGAATCGTCTTCAAAATCTGAGCTCTTTGCAGCGATGTCCAATGAAGCTATATTTTGTTCTAAATCTTCAACGCTATCTCCTTCTTCGTCCTCTTCAATGACCGATGCCTTGGACCTCTTGAACTTTGAAGAGGATGGTGGAATCCCCATAACAGAGGTTTTGCCTAGTGGGCTTCTGCCACGACGTGCTGCTGATCTGGGAAAGATGGAGTCATTAAAACGACGACCTCTAGAGAACTGGACAACCCGAATGTCTGGTCCATGAGAGGTATCGTATAAAGAGTTCAGAGCAGAACTCTTTTCAGAAGCCGAAGAGTTTGAAGATATGATGCTCAACGAGCGGCGTGTCTGTTTTATAGAGTTCTCCGTGCTTGATTTTCTGATGAAGCTGGGCCTTTGAACCGTTGGAGTATCATTGTCTGTTGTTAACGACGTGGTTGATAGGTCGGACATTGCAGTGAAGCTCGACATTGCAGACTGTTGAGAGAGAACAGATGCAGGTCTTGTTCTTTGAGCATTTCCACTCGGTAGTCTCGTAGAGACGCTTGGTTCTTTTATGACTATGCTCTGTTTTCTTCCATCTTTCTGGTTGTTATTCCTATTTTCATTTTGATCTGGGCTTTGTTTCTGTTGGTCTGTATGCGTAATATTCGACGTTGCTATGCTGTTCATTCTTGAATGTCCAATTGGATGTGTGTTGGAGTCATCCTTTTTGTTGATCTTTAACAATTTGGACATCTTCTGTAAGAAAGTGGTCTTCTTCTTTTCAGGTGAAGTCTCTGACCCATTCATCAGTGATTGTGTATCCTTTTGAGAAAATTGTGATCTGAGAGAGACCATTCTTGAAAGCTGTGGCGTTGATATTGGATCCATCAGTTGGCTGACTCTTCTCGTAGTGCTTGAAGCTGTAATTCTCAGCACTGAACGACTTCTGGCCTTGTACTTTTTAGATTCTTTTTTCTTCTCTTTCTCGAGAAGCAATTCGTATAGCCCTGACAAAGAGTCGCATTGTTTGTTGATGACACTTTTCTTCATCGCATGTGTATCAACTCCTAACGATTTTAACTTCTTCAAGAGGTTCTTCTCGGTCTTTGAGGAGAAGTATCTCTGATCATATGCATTCTTCACCAGCGTATCTGAGATTTCAAGCTGATTTTGTCCTTCGAAATCAAGGAACTTGTCCAATAGAATCTCCTTTGCTGTTGGCCGTTTTGATGGATCTTTGCTCAACATCTTTCTCATCAGTTGAATTGCATCCTGTGGAATATCAATCTTAAACTTTGGTTCTTCTTGAACTATTGATATCTGAGTTTTCATCTCATTATCTTCATCAAAGGGCATTCCACCGTATAGTAAGGTATATAGGATGACACCCAGTGACCAGATGTCAATCTTGAAGCCGTCATATTTCTTCTTCTCAATGAGTTCAGGCGCCATATAAACGGTGGTTCCACATATTGTCTCCAGCATGTTTCTCGCCTCGCACTCTCGTGTAAATCCAAAGTCACTTAGCTTTGCATTTCTCTTCTTATCCAGTAGAATATTCTCCAATTTCAAGTCCCTGTGAATACAATGTAACGAATGAGCATAGTAAACAGCACCGACTATTTGTGCAAACAGCTTTCTCGTTTCATCCACCGAGACTCTACCTGATGCCAGTAGATAATCCAGCAATTCCTTACCAGGACAGTACTCCAGCACCAGCCATACCCTCCCTTCACATATCACCAACTCATAAAGCCTTGTAATATGAGGGTGTTTGAACTGACGATGGTAGAAAACCTCTCGCACCAGGTTGGGATCATGTTTGGAACCAGTCTTCAGCACAACTTTTGTATGTGTCAGCTTGTGCATCGCAAGGTACACCTTCCCGAACGCACCGGAACCAATCAACTTGATGATGGTATAGTTCCCGACTTCTTGAATATCATCACAGCAGAACTTCGTGTACAGCTTGTTGTAGGACTCGGCTATTTGGGCCTTCTCATTATGCATAGCTCTTCCATTCATCATCTAAAGGAGACGCACACTGGCACGCAGTAGACGAAACCAACTCTCCTCTATCCTTGTATAGCTGTATATGTATTACCTCTCCGCAAACACTCTCACGCACCCCCTCTTCTCTCAGCAGTGTATGCTACTCTTGCCAATCGACGAGCTCTGAACTCGGCACCAGCCCCAGAAACCACAACTGAAACACACGGACAAAATTGAGAGATCAGTCTAATCTCTTTAGTCTAAGCAAAAACAACAGTCTGAAAGTATCCTCGAACCAGATTCGCCACTCCTTTGTACTGGTAATTGGTGACGAAGAACAGTGCTCAACCGCCTACGACTTATTCCCCATCCGTACACATCAGCACACCAGCATACACAGACAGAGCGTCCACCGTGGGAAGACATACCAAATGCTGCGCGTACCGGGTTTCCAGAGCACAACAACAACGGAAGTCGGAACTGATCAGATTTGCCTTTCCCCTACCTTCAAAGGTCGGAATTGGGTGGTTAAGCGCTCGAAGAAAAAGGAAAAAAGTCTAATTTTTCAAATGGACACAAAACGGACAAAGAGGACATTTGGGCTCTTCATCGTTGACGGACTGAGCTGAGCAAGAGACAAGAGGCGGTAAACAATGTCATATCTCACTAAAGCAGGTGAACGTTTCCGTTTGGACTTGAAGCGCATTCCAAAGCATAGGCTGCCTTACTTTGAGAAGCTCCAGAGAGAGACCCAGCCGCCATTTATACGTCCACAGTTGGAAGTTGACCTCCACGCCGATGGCGCCGTCCCAGAGGACCCCAAGAAGCTGAAGTACCTGGTTGGTGACCGTGTGCTGATCGTCAAGGGTGCGAAGACCGGTAACGTGTGTAAGATCTCTCGTCATGTCGAGCACGGTGGCTATATTCTCGATGAAAATGGACCTTCCACGACCGTTGTTGTGCCTAAGCAGTTCTGGACTGAAGGCCAGAGATCCCACGTTGTCACGTTCCCTAAGCCAGTGACGGAGGATCAAATCAAGCTTATCACACAGATCGAAGACGACGTGACGCACGAGACTAAGACGGTCGCCGTGGAGAACGTTGAGTTCAAGGGAACGTACTACGACGAGGACTACAAGAAGGAGATGCCTTATAGAATGGTTTACGGCGATGATGATCTTGTGATTCCATGGCCAAGACCGACCCCAAAGGAGGATGGTCCTCTGTCAACTGAGGTGAACACTGTTAGAGAGAGAACGTACTTTGTCGAGAGTGTCATTAAGGACGACATCCCCTCGGACGCACTTGATAGTATTAGAAAGAAGCACTCCAAGTGGAGACGTGGTAAACTTACGAAGACGGAGGTTAAGAGACTCACGCCTCCTGAGATGCCACTTACAGAGACAAAGAAGGCTTACTTGGCCGAGAGAGAGGCAAAGAAACAACAACCAAGGGCTCTCATCACAGACGAGATGAAGGCTTTCTTGGGCAAGAAGGTGAGAGAACACGAGGTGAAGGTGATCAAGCAATTGGAGGAACTGCAAGATTTGTAAAAGCACAACGTGGGATATTCCGCATCATGTACATAAGTTTAATCAGTGATCAAAATAAGTAAAACACATGGAATCATCCTTGATATAAGTACGTATATGTATATATACGAATGATGAATTGTTATAGCATACATCTGGTTATAGATTAGAGGTCAATAAGGGCTTCCTCCTTAGGTTGTGGAACTTCAATGTTAGCTTGTTCGTGAGTTGAAACCACTGGTGGTGGTCTATTGACAGGAACATTGGGGAATGAGAAGTCCGTGATCTTTGCCCGTGGAACCTCCGGGGATTGTTGTTGAGTGTGTTGTGGTTGACTTGGAGACGCAACAGGGGTCTGTTGTTGTTGTTGTTGTTGTTGAAGTGGTTCAAGTGGATAGGCATTTTGTTGAGTTGTATTCTGTGGCGAGATCACAGATGGAGGAGCACTGAACTCTTCACCAGCATCAGCAGCAGAAGGTGGATACGAAGGAGTTTCTTGTGGCACCTGTTGTTGTTGATGCTCATGTTGCTGTTGTGTGCTGTCCTGATCCTCTGGTTCAGGATAAGAGTTAGTTGGGTAAGGTGATTCAGTTGGTTGAGAATGAGGCTGCACTTGAGGTTGATAAGTTGGCTGCGGAATGCTAGAGGTGGTCTGATAAAGCTGTGGTGAGTTTTCATATGGTTGAGAATACTGCTGCTGTGGTGAGTGTTGTACCGGTTGCTGATGTTGGTGGTAAGTATAACTCTGGGGTGGATATGAAGGTACAGAAGAATATTGCTGTCTTTGTAAAGTCTCCCTTTCAATTCTGCGATCTAGCAGGGTATTGTACATCTTCATGATAGTATCAATCTTTTGATTCATGGATACAAGTTGATCATGCTTAGACAACGAATCATTGAGATCCGTTGCAAGTTTTGGTACAAGTGGAATGGCCTGTCTATAGTGTTCAACCAGCTCTGGATTATCATAGCCATACTGAGGGTTGACTTTGAATTCCTCAACTTTGCTTGCAAACTGTTCAATGCTGGATTCATCTTGTTGCGTAATGTAGTTTGGTAGGACGTTGGGGAATTGTGCCGGATATTGCACCTGTGAATACTGCTGTTGAATTTGAGAGGACTCTGGAAGCTGCTGAGTTTGATATGGAGTACCAGCTTGAGGAATCAGATTAGAATATGGACTTTCAACGTTTGTAGCTGGCTGAGATTGTTGTTGCTGTTCTGTTCTATGTTTTTCTTGCTCAAATTCTCGCAAACTTGCCGCAATAGCAGCCTTCATCTCAGCATCGTCCTCATCTTCAACTGCAACTTGTTTGACTGGCTCAGGCGGTGCAACATAGCCTTGAGATTCTTTCAAACTCAACTCCAATGCACGTTTTAGATCATCATCATCGTCACTATCATACTGAGCTCTTGCACGGGACACATCCTTATCGTGTTTAGAACGACGATGTTTCTTACTGCTTTTCTTCTTGTAACGAATTTCATCATAGCAGCTGTCACATACCCTCACAGGTTCAGTTATACCCAAATGAGGAAGCGACATACTCTTCGAGGAGTGAGACTGACAATAAACACCGCCACAATTTCTACAGTGATGCTTTCTGTTGATCATTGTAAACGGCGTTGAGCAGATCATACAAGCATCCGAGTCTTCCCACTCTGGTGGTGCACTGGAGTCGAATAGCGTAGATGATAGCTGCGTGGTATTAGACGGGAAGCTGTAACCGTCATCCTGCAAATGTCTGTAAGTTGTGCCCACGTATTTCAACGAGGAGTTATCTTTAAATGCAGTGGCCCAGCTTTGAATCAATTCCAGTGCCAGATCACGCACACTTTCATTCGTCTTATCTTCATGGACGAGACTCACTAGGGAGTCCATGAACTCCCTTGAAGCCATCTCCTGGATAAAGTGCGCACCACCGTTCTTTACGCACGTATCAATCAGGTGCAGTGTTGATAGCTGTGTATTGGGGTTCTTTGTAGCAGTCAATCTCTTCTTCAACGACCTCATGGCGTCCTTAGGAGCCACCTTCTTTGAGCGAATCAAGTCCGCCACCTCCAAAGAGGCGGCGAGGTCAGTCTCACCAAACGGAATGGACTCATCGGTCGCCCTTTCCACCTCGGCATCGATACTAGTAGATGAGCTGAACCACGACATCGCTGCTGACGATAAAGGAAACAATGGATTTGGTGCTTGTGTATACCTTAGCGTTGTGTGTGTTGTCCTCCTTCCGTTGCGTATAACTACGGTGATGTTGGCAAGGAACTGTGGACTCACCGCTTTATCTCACAACATCCAGACACCTCACCTTCATATTCCGAGGTCACAAGCCTCGGAAGTCCTCCGCGCGCGTGTGGCTTCGATGCAGCCGTGCTGTGAGTAATTTCCCTTTTGGGTTAAACGTAAACAACATCTTCCGCACACGCAGACACAGGAACCAGCACTTTTTCTCTTTCCGCAGCAAATTGTTTGGCTGAAAACAATATCAACAGACCCTAACGCTCTGGTAGTCTTTTCCCATCTTCTTGTTGTCTTCTATTTTTCCAGGAACTGTCTACATTCTGCAAGTTGAACCACAGGATATATCAGACAACATAAGACAAGTGTACATTCAACCGAGATGGCTTTATTCAGCACAGACTTTTGGGTAAGTGATAGATGCTTCACGCTAAGCGGAGGAGTACTAACCGTAGTGACAGGGCCGGGATGAAAGAGGATCCGAAGTTGTTATAAACAGGCTCCACCAGGGTGCACAGTCGTGCGAGGAGCTGATGAGATTTTACAAGGAGCGTATTGCGCTGGAAGAGGAGTACTCTCGTCGTCTGGAAGCCATATCGAGAAGAAGCATAGGGACGTACGAAACCGGCAATCTTAGAGAGGCCTTCGAGACACTGCGTGGTGAGACAGAGCAGATGGCCAAGTCACATTCTAACCAGGCTAAGAAACTTCAAAACGATTCGCTCAAGACTTTGTCGTCCTTCTCTTCGACTTTTGTCGCCAATCGTCAACCCGTTGAGCACTCTGTAGAAAAGATAAGAAAGAGTAAGCAGGCTATGAACAGTACTGTGTTGAGATTGAAAGAGAGATACCAAGCAGAGACTACAAAGCTCAATACACTTATTGCACAGGAGTCACTCTTACTGGGAAGGGAACAAGACAAAAACAGACAAAAGATCCATCTGCAACAGGAGTTGGTGTCTGAGGTTAGACAGGAGTACCAAATATCAGTAAAGAAGTTACAAGAGCTACAAGCCACTTGGATTGATGAGTGGAGGCTCTCGAGTGCAAAACTTCAGGAGATGGAGGTTTCACGTATTGACTTTCTTCTCGCAAACATCTGGGAATACACTAACAGTGTATCCTCTTCTTGTGTTAATGATGATGCCGCTTGTGAAACAGTTAGAAAGAGCCTGGAGCAGTGCAACGCACAACAGGAGATCGATCTCTTTGTTCAAAAGTTTGGCACAGGGAGAGAGATCTATACGACGGAACCATTTGTGGACTACCTCAATGGTGAATCAGATGGTCAGTTCAGACCAAGGGTTGTAAACACATTGTCCTCTGAGACAAGGTCCAGTTCTGATAAAACCCTTCTACAGCCTCAAACTGCTCCTCCACTAATATCCAAGTTTGATCCAAGACAAGCTGGTACTCAAGATCAGCCTATTGATCTCGATGAGCTGCAGATCTACGAACACTCAACAATGAAGTCCCGTCCACTGACAAGAAGACCACCACCATCTGAAGATGGACAAACCTCTATCTCGAATCCATCATCTGCAGCCTCTAACCCATCTTCTATGGGTCAGTCGCTCCACAGGAACGATACCGGATACTCCAATCCAACGTCTGTTTCCAGTTTTGCTGGTAGTATTGGTTCAGAAACAAGAATTTCCAAGACTTGGAACTCACCATTGCGTCGTCGTTCAAGAAACGCTGATAATTCTGAGGCTTGGAGTAGAAAGAGCAGCAACAGACGATCCTTTATCCTAGAAAACGAAAGAAAGGATACTGATGTCATCATGGCTCCAAGCAACGAAGACCCGTTACGTGCAACTTTAGAGGACCTCAAGCATGGTGGTAATGGTGATATGCACAGGCTCAAGGAGATGTTGAACGACACAGATCCAAGTCAGAGACGCTCTAGAATGAGTGAAGTCCCAGATTTCAGATCATCAGGATCCAGTCAGACAACGACGGGAACAACAAGGATACTCACGAGACCAAAATCTATGATTGAAGACCTTGAACAATACCAACAACAAGAAGCTCAGAAAAGAAACGCAAAACGGTCATCCTTCCATTCTGGTATAAGGTCTCAAAGTAGATCTAGCATTAATATTCCAGCTAAGTTGAGCAACAATGGCTTACCAATGGTTACAAGGAACGGCAAGAGAGTTCTGAAACATGCAAAAGCATTGTTCGACTTCTCAGCAACGATTGATGGTGAGCTAACTTTCAAGGAAGGTGATGTATTGTCTGTTCTTCATATGCAAGAAGACGGCTGGTGGGAGTGTGAACGTATCGCAAACGGTGCTGTCGGATTGGCACCATACAATTACCTTGAAACGATATGACCTGTACAATTATTATGATCTTGTTTCAGTAATAATCCTTTTATTCTGTTTTATACTACCGGACACTACGTTGCTTATTTCAATTAAATTAAACATGTCTTTTTATTTCTTCCATTGATGTCTTTTTGTTAGTTCACTTGCAGTAGATTATTCAATACTCAAGTCTCAGTGAGGTTGAGCTCAGGGAACAATGCCTCAAAGGTCTTATCCAGAATATCGTACGTAAGTGAAAGGTTCAAGAGATCGTTCTGCAACATTCCGTAGATTCTTCCAGCAGCAGTTTTGGAGCTGCTTTGGCCCACAAATGTTGATAAAGTGTCAACAGTCAATGTTTCCAATAAATGTTTGGCCTCTCTCTTAGTACGGTGTTTGTCAATCGTTGTGCGGACTTCGCCGCTTTTCATGAACTCGCCAGAGGGCCAAAGGGTATCTGTGAGCAAAGAGCTCAGTTCTATCAATTTTTCTTCACTTGTCAATGCTACTATTTGATCCTTGATATACTTCTCTATTGTGTTGCCCAAAAGCTTTTGTAGGATGACAATTATTGCACGTCCTCGAAGCCATGAGTTTGTGCTGTTCATGGGAAATAACGCAATGAACAGTTCAACAATGGGTTTCAAAAATGATTTTCCTCGAGTACGGTCAGACTCAAAGGTTTCCAGTTCTCTTCTTAGATCGTCAGTCTGTTCTGTATCATTGATGAAGGATGCCTCTGCAGCGATGTTTGTGAAACTGGACGACCTTGTATTTGCAGCATCAACCACGGCCTTAGCAGGAGTTGAGATGCCAGAATCCATCTCATTTGAAAGGTTGTAGTCGTCATTGGTTAAAAACTTTCTGAATTCCTTATTTTGACAAACCTTTGGGTTCTCTAATAGCCGTGTAATATACTCCTCCAGCTGTTTCTTTCTTTCTTCAAGCACAGATCTCTGTTGAAATTTCAGAACTATCTTCTTCTTAGGAAATGTTATAGCTTCAATTTCTGGATATTCTCGTTTTAGAGCTTCATTCATTTGGTAAAATTGGTTGAACCTTCTGGCAATCATCCACGATGTTGCTGGCTTTCCCTCCAATGTATGATCTCTCTCTACTTCAATGATATAGAGAACGTAATCACGACCATTGTCATGCGACTTTACCCATGATTTGATGCGAACTTTAGTTCTACCGTAAAGACTGTTTTCATTTTCCTGTACAATGAGTTGTTGCTTCATCAATTCTTTGGAATCAATCTCCTGATCAAAACTCATCTTTGACTTCCTTAAAATTCTGAGCTCATTGGCATTGTTAGTCAACTCGGACTTCAAGATTAATGGATCAAGCATTTCACTCTGTTGCCTCAGCTTTTCAATTTCAGTTTCGAGCCTCGATATCTCTTCCTTCAGATTGAGAGCATCATGCGATACAGAGAAGAACTGGGGATCAACCCTCAAGTCGGTCTGCGATTCAAGGTCAGCTGTTGAGTCAACATCGTCTTCGTCATTGAACAGAGGCTTTTCGGATAGAAACCCATTACTTTGATCACCAAACAGATCCGATTTGAGATCCTGTTGGTTTCTTGAATCATCGTTGGAAGAGCTTGAGAATATTGATCCTTCGCCAGGCTTGCTCAAAATGTCTGTCAATGCATTCTCCAATTCCAATAGAGATCTTTCATCTTCATCGGAATTCGGTACCAAAATATCGTGCTCAGTAATGTCATCATGTGGTGCATCAACCTCGTTCACTAAGCTCTGTTCGAAGCTTTCGTTGGTAAGTAATTTCAAAAAGAGCTCTGATCCCTTAAAGTCTGGAAGGTCTCGTTCCTCCATTCTGTGAAAGACTTCTAACTGAAGCATAAGGATAATCTTCCGAACTTTGACGTAAGTCTCGAGACTTCTTTCATTCCCATTAACAAAAGCTTCAACTTCGTTGAAGATATCAGGCTTGATTCTTAATAACTTGTCAGAGAAAAACCTTGTAAAGATAGTTTTGATATCTTCCTCGCCGCACATGTCAACAGATGAGGATAATTCTTCTTCATAATCAGCATTCCTTGGATCTTCCAAGGGGTCCCTAATACTATTAACGGCAATCCAGTATTGTAATAACACTGACCTCGACCGCTGCTCGATAAACTCCATAAAGAACGATAGTGAGGTTGGATTACTAAGTATCTGGAACAGCGAGAGTTTACTGATAAAGGAGTCCAGATCATACTGTTGTAATGTTGATTTCCGAGTATCACCATCCTTCGAGCAAGCATCAAGAGTTTCGATCATTTTGTCAACTGTTACTTTGACAATATCCAGTCTCTTTTTATACTTGAGAAATTTTGGTGAGTTTGATTGAATCATGTGAGTACGACTAATCTGGACTGCATTATAGTACTTGAGTTGTTGGAGAGAGGACAGTGAGTCAGTTTTCTCAATAAGTTTCATGTATCGGTGAAACTCTGAGCTGGTCATATCCGGTTTAACCCTTTGTTGAAATAGGGGTCCTTTGTATGCCTGTTTCGGTTTGATGGTATGTGGACTGTTGTACTGTTTATCAATAGCATCACGTACTTCACGTACCTTGGTTCGATCCTGTAACGTGGATGATACAACTTTCACAATTGTTTGATTCCAGAAGTCTGAATCTGAGAGTATGTTCAATACAGGACAGAAAACAGCATTGGTTAAGATTTCACGTATTAGCACTCGAACAGGGTCTGATCCAAGCTCACTCGAGGGCAGTATATATTGTGAAATCTTCATCACCCTGTCACGTGCATACAGTTTCTTTTCATGATCATTGTCAAATGAAGTAAAAGATATGAACTGACTCAATTTTGAGATGTTGTTGTATTCTTTGGCAATGAGAATGTTAAGATCACGCGATCCTAACTGGATCGTATCAGACAGCACGTTATCCTCTGCACAATGATAGTTGCTATAATGGCGTGTCAAGAGGGGTGTAATGATAACGACCAGGAAGGTGGACCAATCAACCTTAGTCGCCCGAGCTTCCAATTTACTGAATGTGTATTTCAATTGGGACCTCACTTCAGAGGGAAATGTATCATCATTGGACACAGACTCGAACCAGGAGCTGATGAAATCTTTAGTGATGTAGTTCACAAGGGGATCCAAGGATTGATGGAACTTTGAACGACTCGAGTCATCATCAAAACCTGCTTGTGCAGTTATCAATTCGATCTCCTTGTTCCAATGTTCAGTGCGAGTAAACTTAAACCTTGGGAACTGAGTCCTTATATGTGCTTCTTCATATTTTGGCAGTCTGACAAAGACTATTGAAGCAGCCAGCATCACCAACATTGCCGAAGAAAACAACAACACCAATGAAATAAACGGTAATATAACCTTGATAAAGAATAAACAACATAGGATTAACACAGTCATCTGACTCTTGGACCATTGTGTAGCAGGATCATCTGATTCTTGTGTGCCTGTTTCTTTGATTCTATCTATGGAAGTCTCCTCGGAATCCATCGTCCTTAAGTAAAAGAGTGATCCAGCACCTACTTTGTATATCAACCAAACCAATTTCCGATGTTGGCATCTGTGTAAGTGTAATGCGATTTTACGTGATGGAAAACACCCGGACATCTCTTGTCTTGCAGACACTGAAATCTACACCCGAACACCAGGTTAGCAGCGGTGATAGTATGGTCTAGGATCTATGAGTTGTTACTCTTGTATATATACTTATTTCTTTGCTTTCTTTGCTTTCTTTGCTTCAGTCTCTACTCCATCTGTCTTTCGTGATCTTTTTTTAGAATTTGAAGCGGCATCTGTCGATTTATTCTTCTTTTCTTTCTTGTCTTTCTTTTCCTTCTTCTCAGTCTTCTCCTTCTTCTCTTTCTTTTCCTTCTCCTTCTTCTCCTTCTTTTCCTTCTTTTCCTTCTTTTCCTTCTTTTCCTTCTTTTCCTTCTTTTCCTTCTTTTCCTTCTTTTCCTTCTTGCCCTTCTTCTTAGTCTTTTCCTTCTTGTCCTTCTTTGAGCTCTCGCTCAAATCAGATTCTGATGCTTCACTCGATCCATTAGCACCACTCTTGTTAAAGCTCGTCTTGAGCTGTGTTAAGTCAGTCGTAGCAATACCACTACTATCTCTCTTAATCTCAACAATCTCAACCTTGCCAACAGTTCCACCAAGCGTCTCTCCCCGTACAAACATTCTATACAACGGTGAGTCCGACACTGCAACTCCTGTGGCCACGTATTCTTCTTGCTTGAAACTCACATCACCGTCCTTGTTATTCACATCCAATGCCTTGAGCTGCCCATCAAACAGTCGCTCCCACCAGGCATCGACTCCACCATTCGGTTGATGACCTATACCCTTCTTATCGTTTTTATGCTTCACAAGAATCGGTTTCTTAATACCGCCACTTTGAAGAGCCTCCCCTTCCTTCCAACCATACTGCTTCAGATAGCTTTTACCATCCATTTGCAACAATTCCAGCAACAATTAACAATGCCCTTCGTTAAAGAATTACGCAATAGATAATAAACCATCGCTCGACAGAGAAGTTCTGTAAGTGCTGAAACAAAGGGAAAAAATTGAGTGAGCTCATCGCCTGGTGGGCGCACGACCACAACATCCGAACACCGACACATCTGGACACCAATGTTTACTTTTTTTATCTATAAACTTCTCTGTATCCAACAGACAGAGCATTACCAATGGAACTACTACTTAAAGGCATCCCGATCTGGTTCAAAATTCCTTTAAGATGAACTTTGAAACAGAACTTGCCAATGCTGCCAAGCGGGGCATTGATGAAGGTGTTTATCCATTGCTTCTCACTACAGAATTGCCGCTTTTACAGGCAGTTTCTCAGACGTTGAAGACCATAAAGAAGTGGGTATTAAATCCATCCTGTGTTCCAGACGTCGATATTGAGACCTTAAAAAGCCAAGCATCTTTGCTATTCAGTGGTGAATGCTTATGGACAAGATACGACTTTTTTGATAGTCAAGATATTTTCAATTTACTGCTAGAACTTGTCGAGATATACCCGGGAAAGTCTGATATCGATCTGTACAAAGAACAGACTGGAGCCTTGTTTGAAGAAAGAATAAGAAAACCACACCTCCAGATTTCAGAGACATTCTCAATGTATTCGAGATTTCTTTCCGAATACTTTCCAGATAGTTATACTACAATGATCAAACAAGCGAACGGTATATACCAAAAGGTTAGCCGTCTCCAAGAGGACTTGGAAATTGAAGCAATTAAGAAAGTGGGTGAGTCCCAAGAGGATTGGAATTACAGAATAGCACTATTCATTTCCTCATCTTCAAGAAGATCACGAGAGGCATTTGCCGTGAACATTGCACAGAGAATGAAATACACGAGTAACTCTTTAGCAGTTTGGAAAGTATGCGTGCAGATGTTATATTCACTTGGAAAGGGTCATGATTCTGCTATTAAGAACTTTTTACTGAAACAGCATGATAAGTTTAAGAGCAGTGATGTCTATGCTGCATGTGAGCTTTTAAATAATGACCTGATATCACAAGGTGAATTTGACAAGCTAGTTGAGGGAATAGATCACTTTGAAAATTGGAATAGTTGTCAACTCGCTAGAATTTACAAATCGAAGACTAAATTGCAACTGGACAAAGTCTTGGATGAATGTTGGGAATATGATGACAGTGTATTCCACCAAGTACCATATGCTATCGCTAATGTTTGTAGACAAGAGTCATCTGATTTTGAAGGTGTCGTCTACGAACAGTTAACGAAGAGATACCCACAACAAGCTGAACTGTGGTTGAAGAAGTTGAATTACATCTTTATGAAGGGAAGCGACCAAACGTTAGTAAAGGAGATGAAGAATGTAATAGAGCATGCTGAAACTATTGATTGGCCGGAAAGGATTTTTGAAGAGTGCATCAGTCTAATTTCCCTTACACCGACAAGAGGTGAAGGTTATAGAGAAATCACATACTTGATTGCTAAAAAGAAACACAATATAATATTATCGAGCTCCCAACTGGTTGAAGAAATGGAAGAGTCGTCTACCATGCCGTACGAAGATGGTGAATCAAGGAAAAGGCCAGCAGATGATAGTGAAGAAGACTCCCATCATGTTAAGAAAGAATACGCCAACTCAGTCAGAAATCGTGAGCACTTTACTGTTGCTGTCTCAAATCTTCCTATAAATATCACCGAGAGACAACTCAAGCAATTCTTCCATGGTTATGGCGATGTTAGAGAGATAAATCTAACAGTTGTTGGAGAAACCCAGGAAGCATCAGTTGAATTTTCCTCGGAACAGGATGTTGAAAAGGCCTTGGTGAAAGACTACAAAAGAATACGTGGTAATGAGGTACGTGTTCAAAAGGTCCAAAACAACACACTTTTTGTCACCAACTTTCCACCATCGTACACTCCTGAGAATATAAAGGATATTTTCTGCAGTGTTGGTCCTGTCGCGAGTGTACGTTTCCCTTCTTTGAAGTTCAATGCTGATCGTCGCTTTTGTTATGTTGAATATACAAACTCATCCAATGCTCAATCTGCAGTTGCGTTGTTCAACGGAAAAGTGTTAGATGAGTTTACATTATCAGTGCAGATTTCGAACCCTTCGTTGAAACACCAGAGATCTGGTGCCCGAGAAGAAGGCAGAGAGGTGTATATCAGCTCGCTCAACTTTCAAACAGTTACGGCACATAAACTAAAGGTTTTGTTTGAAAAGTATGGAAGTGTTGAAAATGTTAATCTCCCACTCTCGGATGAGGGAGCAAAACAAGGGAGAAAAAATGATGGGTACGGGTTTGTCATTTTCAAGACAGCAGCTGAAGCTACTCGTTCTCTGGAGTTGGACCTAGTTGCGTTTGAAGGCCGTGCTATTCATGTCTCTATTGCTAAGAAGAGAGTACTGTTGAACAAAATGAAAGCAACAAGGGCTCTGAAGGACCTCTCATTATCAGATTCAGCAATCGCAGTCCTCAACTTACCAGATACTGTCAATTCAAGCCAACTCCGAGACTTCTTCGGATCAATCGATGATGTCGAAGATGTGATTCTTGAGCCAAGACATGGTGGTGCAATAGTTGTATTTGCCAGTCCACAGTCTTCTGGTAAAATTGGGCTGCTGATGAACGGGAAAACAATTGGAAATTACACAGTAGAAATTGGGACAGTGTCTGACCTCAAGAAGTCCTCGAGTCTCATTGCCAACCAACCTACTACTACAATCATCCCATCTTCTGTGAGAAGGAAAAAGATGGGCACTTTTGTGAAAGCTCTTCATACCCATGATAATGACACTCAATCAGAATTGACTGTTCAAAACACTGCCAAGGGGAGAACTAATGAGGATTTCAGAAATATGTTTTTGAAAAAGTAAAACTCCATGGAGAGATGTAATTATTATTATACGAATGATAAAATTTTGCCTTGATATTATTCTGCAAGTAGATCCTGGATTCCATTGGTTTGAGAGACAATCTCTTGAACCAATTTAGTTCTAACCTTATCATCACCCTCAAACAGCTTTTGTTCTTCCAAAGAAGTTGGAACAACTCTTGAAGTAAGATACTTTGGGTGTGCAAGTAAATGTTTCAGTGACTTGTCCAAAGCAGCACGGCTTTCCGCTGAATCAATAGCCGCAATTATTTCAACGGGTTCTGACAATCCACCAGGATGCGTCTGTGCAAATTCCCTGTACAAACCAACCAGCGCTTTTTGAAGAACAATTATTTGTTCGGTTTCCTGTAATGCTGGCATAGTGATGGCAACAGAATCCTGAGACCAAGATTGTATAGTTGTAGTGAATTGTTTGGAGAACTGGTTCACAAATGTGCTTATCTCTGGCAACAATCTAACACCAAAGTTGTTCAGCAAGATCAATATGATAGGCATCAATCCGTTGGTCCAAATGTTATGCAGCTTTGGAGACACGTGAACAAAAATCGATCCTTCTTGAATAACCATAGAAAGTGGACTTTGAATTAGTGTCGAGAAGAGCCCGGTGGTGATTAATTGTTCCGCAATCACATCGACCGAAATGAGTTCGATGATGTATGTGAGAGATATTTCTGCAAACACGGAATCATTACCAACTTTCAACGTGTGAGCATTTGAGTACACATTGAGTATCGATTTTAGAGTATTGAAATCAACAAAAAGAGTGGACAACTTAGTCAAGAAATTAGAACAAGGTTTGGTAGCGATTAATTCCTTGAAGATTGACATGATTAACAAGAGATCTTCAATCCTTCCACCAATGTCAACAGAATCTGTTCCTGTCTGGATAGCTTCCAGCAGCACAGTTGTACCTTTCGCAATGACGAGCTCTGAGAATCCCAAAAGCTCTGAGAAAAGATTCTCGGATATTCTTGAATTCGCCTTTCCATGAGAAAGCAGATTCGAGATGATTCTCAAGAGAGGTCTATAGACATCAGAGCGCTGCGAAGACACGCCCTGCAAGAAGTCAGCGTCATGTGAAACAATCAATTCAATGGATAGTCTCAGTAGTTCTTCAATCTCCTGGTCAGAAATGGAGGTTTTCTGTGTCAGAGAATACAGAAAGAAAAAGGACAATTCCAGTCGAATACGTCTCACTTCTGTAAAAATAGATACATCACTATCTTCTTTAACATTAGCTTGTAACAATCTAGCAGCGATCTTACTGAATGTTGATGTGATAGGGACTTTCTTCAAATATGAAGTCATCAAAGCACCCCAGGACTTTGCTGCACTGATTTGAGATGTGACATATTGGAAATTCAAACTTGCTGATATGACTTGGTCTCTCATTCCTTCTGTGATTCCCGTACCAATCCAGTGGGGATCATCACCAAGTAGTACATCCAACAGTCTTAAATCGTAGACGGCATCATCACCATATCTCGATCTCACAGTCAAAGGAGAACGGACAAATTGTGGTAAGGTATAAGCTGGCCATTTGGCATTGAAGTCTGCAGAAAGGTTCTTATGCAGATCTCTGTTGTAATCGAATGTGCTGTATAAAGGAGCAGTGAGCTTTAAAATGTCATTTGAATTCAAGAAGTCAAAAATTGGTTTTGTCATCGAGTCAGCTGTGGAGGAATATATGATCAAAGCACATATTTCAGCCACTCTTGAATTTAATTTTTGTTTGTAACAACCTTCGACAACTTTACCACTATCGACTTCGTTCTTTAGATCCATGTCCACGGTAGATAACTTTGGAACTAAAGTTTTGATGAAACTGGCATCTTCATTACTATCAGCACCTTTGAGTGACCAAGTGTTATAGGCACATGCAATAGAATCCACAAGATGGATACTGAGCCATTCTGGGTAGTAGTCCAGATTTTTCAGGTCCACTTTGAGGAGACCCAAAAGCGTTTTCTGTTGTTTTTCAGTGTTCTTCATATCACGACCATTCAAGAACCTCATTGCAAGACCCTTTTGATGTCCCTCAATGACAGAAGAGAAAAACAAGTAGATATACTTCTTCGTTTTGAAGTCATCATAGAGGAACTGTAAGTCTAGGGAAATAGCCGACAATAGAACGTCGGTGTAGTAATCTCCCATGTACGATATTAGTGATGGGACATCTGAGCTCCATTTTGCTGAGACAAGCTGAGTAAGAAGTTGCAAGACGGGAACTCGTAAAGAGTAGTGCTTGCTATAAATCATCACCAGATCTCTCGATTTTGCGAATAAATTCTTCTCCAGAGTTGATGAAGTATCACGAATATTTGAGCGCAAAGAAACCAAGACCCTGGCAAAATCGGCACACATGATAGTCCATTGAGTCAGCCAATATCCAACTCTACCACTAGTATTATAAATGGTTGGGTTCGCGTTTAAGGATTCGATAGCGACGATCAATGGTGTTATAATTCTCACATCAGACAATGATACAGTGAAGGAGGTGAGTATTCTTCTGGCAGAAACTGCAAGTGTAGACGTGACTTTCTTTGAAGGTTCAACATCTGGAGCTATACCGTAAACAAGCAAGAGGATCTTTGAGAACACCTCAATGATTAATGTACCGATTTCAAACTTCTGGTATTCATATTTGAAGCTCCAGTACATAAAACTCTCAAAGACTTGACTTGCATGTGTTGTGAACTTTGGAATGACCTCAACTCTATGAGAATCCAAACCATCGGAGCATAGGACACTGCTAGTTATCAGCTTGTTAAATAATCTCAGACAGTTGATTGTAAATTCGTAATTTCCGGTAATTGTCTCAACGCTTCCAAGAATTGTTCCAATCAAACCCCCTCTTCCACCATGCTCAAGCAAATCTGAACGAACAAGATGTGACCATACAATCTGAGGATATGTGTCAACCAAAGCAATCAATATATCCACAAGCTTTGTTGATAGTAAAACGTTTCTCTGATGCAAAGCAGTTTCGAAGAGTTTCAACAGTACGTCAAGAATATCAGAGTCATCCAAGTATGAAGATAGGTTTTCCAAGATTTCTGAAGTAGAGTCAATGTCGGCAACTGCAAGGGAATTTGAAATGAGCTCCAAAATAGTTAACAAGAGATCCTCGTGGTCTGAACTTGGAATGATATTTTGTAAGATTCTTCCCACTAAGGACCAACCATTATAGTTGTAATTCAAAATTACCGCTTCTGTATTTTGATCAGCTGTTGGAAGAAGACGACCTTCAGTCCCTACTTGTACCTGAAGTAATACATCAGGGCTTTGTTCATATGGTGGGTTAATGAACAGCTCTGAAGTGAGTATGATTTTGTCGGACTCCAAGTCGCTCTTGTATCCAATACCCGACGTTCCAACGCACATATAAGTACACATATTAGAGAGCTGAGAATGTGCATAGCCACCATTCATCGATAGTATTCTCAGATATGGGGCAATGATCTGAGGGAATTTTGCCCTGAGGATGTAGATATGTTTCTGTGTGCTTGAATTTTCAAAGAATCGCTCAACAAAGATATTCGGTGATTCTTTTAACACGGCAAGATAAGTTCTCGTTGTTTTATCAGTGAATTGAACAAACGGCACAGTGCATATCAAAAACGAAGCAATAACGGCAGGGTAAAGGGAATCGTACTTGAGTATGTTGAAACTGTTTGTGATGTATCCGAAAATATCAAGTTCCGCAGCTTTTGCAGTGAGGGACTTGGCCAATAATTCAGGATCCTCGTCACCGGTGAATGCACTTCTGGAAATTTCAGGGAGCGTGAAAAGAAGCAAACCCCAAGTGTAAAGAACAAGTGGATCATGGGGAGCTGATACAACCAGGTCATGAATTGACTTGACAGCTTGAGAATCAGACAGGTATGGACTTTCAACGTCAATACAGTCGTCGCTTGTGTTTAATCCAAAGAAGAGCAGAGATGTCACAGATACCAAACTCGTAATCTCGTTATACAGTTCAGCTCTTACACAATCTTTATAAGTAGTGAAATACTCATGGCTTCTCCAAAGATTGAACCACAGAATCACATTCTTTGGCGTTGTACTAACCCTCAAAAGTAGGGTGGATAACACTTTGAGTAACTCCACAATAGAATAAAGATTCTCTGTTAGAATTGTTTCCTCAATTGCAGGCGATTCCAGCGACTTCATGAGAATGTCCAATGTGCTTATAACATCGCTTATATACTGAGGACTTTCAAGCAATTGCGAGGAGTATTTATCACCAATGACAGGATGCGAATCGTTGGTCAATATATGTCTAACAAGTTTGTAGATAATACGTCTCTCCTTGAGAACGCCATTGAGATACAACTGTTGTCTCTCAGCTTTGTCTGCAGCAATCTGGGCTTTCTCTTTCTTCTCAGTAGAAGGCTCTGGAATACGAGCAGTAATTTGGGAGATCACACGTAGAACCTCTTTTTCGTTGAAGTGCAATAGCTTTGCCAACTCAGCTGCATCCTTCCTATTTGTTTCGGACGTTTTATAAGTTGCTGATCTCAATGTGAACGAATCGCCCGTAGGAACCGAGTCCACAGTTGATCCAAAGAATCCAGGTTTAAGCAACACTTCTTGATTCTGACTCAAGAAAGTTCCCAACGATTCAAACCTCTTCACATCCTCCGCCTCCGTGATCAGATTGAGGGCCAAATCAAAAGACCTTACAATAGTTAGTATGAGAAATCAGTTAAGCTCACTGAAAAGCGCACTCACCAGATGACACTCTCAACACTCGCAGATTCCAGCGCAGTGAACTGTTTCGATAATGACATGTCCGGCAGCTCTGGATGTTTTAAGCGTGCTTTGTTTGTTTCCAATAGGTTTCCAATAGGTTTGAAATTGTTTTGTTTACATTTTTTTGGGCGCTTCATGGCTTTTTTTTTCTGTGGCCCATATAAATACGAATTCCGGGTACAAGCAGTCGGAAGTATAAACTCATCGTCGTTTCAAATCTACATCACCAATTCAACAAAAAAAAGATGTGAACATCACCAGAGACCAATTGGTTCTGTTTGAGTTGTGATGTTCTTGTACTGAAGACCAACATTGATAATAGGATGAGATATATATCTTTATATACATAATAAAAGATCAAGATACACAGGTATCCACAGTAGAAAGACACATCGCACACCAAAAGAATCAACCTTCTTGTGCAGGCGCAGTTTCTAAAACTTGATCATCAGGAACAGCAAATTGTCTCTCATTAGTTTTAGTCCAAGTCAAGTTCTTAGCTGGGACTGCAGTTTGGGCTTTACCGTTTGGGTGCTGGAACAGGCATTTTGGATTCTTACACTGTTCACCAAAACGACACTCTTCATCAATTGGGTGAGAGAAGTAGCAATCAATTCTTGTGCAGTTTGCACCGTCACGGCATAATACTGGTGATGTAGCATGACGGAACTTGCAATGACGATTGGTACAGTTCATTCCGAATTTACAGGCTGCAAGGGATCTCTCCTGTGGTGCCTGTTGTTGTGGTACCTGTTGTTTGAAAGGTTTCACCTCTCTAATCTTGGACAAGGATGAATGTGCCTTTGTACAGCTTGGGTTTGAACAGTTAAGGTTTTCAGGGCACCATTCCAAGGTTATCACCTTTGCATCTTCATTGGCTGGTGTTGGATGGCCAAATGGACATTGTTGATTTGAGCATGTGACACCAAACTTACACAAGGTTAACCCTACCTGGTTTTGTATGGCTTTGCTTCTCTTCTCCTGGTAAAACTCTTTAACTTTGTTCCATTCTTCAATAAGGGCATCATCTTCGCCTGGATGGAGGTAATTACACGTTCCTGGTGCGTTTTCACACTTTCCCTCTTGGAAACGGAAACATAAGGTGGAAGGATGTGCATACATACAGTTCTTGCCCAAGGGACAATGTGGGAACTTATCACAGCGACCTTTCTTTTTGATCTGTCCTTTTGCGTTGATATAAGCATCACTTCCAGCCAGTGCTGACAAGTTCAAAGCCTTGGCAATGGCTTCCTGGTTCTTGAATGCAAAGTTTCTAGTGTTGCTGTTGTTATTATTTCTGAACCCACCTCTACCATTCTTTGACACGCCGTACCCGCCACGGGAGTAAGAAGCAGGCTTAGTTGGTAATGACCTTGTTGGTCTGTTACCTAGAATCAAGTCCGGTTCTTCATCTTGTGTATTTGATACTTGTTGCTGCTGCTGTTGTTGTTGTTGCTGCTGTAGTCTGTCTTGCCCTACTGGTGCATCTAATACCACATCCTGAGCTCCTTGCACTGGTTGCTGAGTTGATGCTGCAAGCTTCTGCTGATTAAACGTTTCCAAAGCCTTGTACACGTTCTCCAAGGTCTGTCTAAGGTCATGATTGCCAAAGAGGTCGTTCAATTGCGAGAGCGTCTCTTCTAAGGGTCTACCGTTGTTTACCAACAACGCAATGTACTCGGCAATCTCCTTGATATCTTCGTCAAATCCGGGAACCAGCGATAGCTGCTCGGCAATGTATCTTTGGAAGTCCTCCCTTTCACTCTCAGATAACGATACCATGTTCAACCTTTCTGTTCTCTGCCTTGTGTTGTTGTTTTGTTATGATTTGCGCCTTGAACTACGTTGTTTCGGAGATGAAAAATTTCTTTCGCCATCCACACTTCTGGCACTCCAAAAGCGGAAATATTCGCGGGCTTTCTCCTCTGCTCGCTTTGTTTACAATCGCTAGTGAAGATAACAGCTACAATCGGTGTTGATGAGGGCTCTCTATGTATGCTGGTGTATTATGGTGCTTCATTGTGGTCCCAGATATCGATCCACTAGCCGTATGAACCTCTGGTTTGTGATTTTGCTCCCCGGCTTGAAATCGACCGGTGAGAGCGGATTCTTCACGATGTGCTCAACGTAGATGTTTGAGTAGACATCCCTCAGCTGTGTTTGGAGATTCTGCGTTTCCAGATCGCTGAGTATACACAGTCTCAGGCCAGAAGGTGACTCGTAGAAATGCGCACGGTACTTGGCCGTGGCGAAGGAGTTCAGCGTATTCTCCTGTTCTGGCGTATCGCCCACTTTACGTGCAATGTTCCTCAACGAGAACAGCACACCGAATAGCAGCTTTGCGTTGTCTTCATTGGCCTTCGCGTTGATGGTGCCGCTAGACTCCGTGGCTGGGTTCAAAACCTGTGTCCATTCTCTCGAATAGATACAATTGCCTACCATTGTTAGTATCTCATAATTGTTGTGTTGTTTGAAGAAGTGCGGGGCTCACCACCACCACCACCACCACCACCACCACGCTCCTCCCATGAGGCAACGTCTGTATACTCACAATGTCTATCGAATATCCAAAAGGAAAATATCGTCATTATATCGCTGAAAGCAGTACGTCACAAGGGGCTTCAGTGGAATGCTAGCACGAATTCAACCAAAAATTCACCAATCGTTGGAGTACTCCAGCATGTTTCCAAAGAGTGTGAGAGCGTGCTTTTCCGTTTTCTTCCATTCGGAGAAACCAATTTGTTTGATCCCTCGCCCGGCAGAATTTCACCACACCAAGGAGAAGCACAGGCAAACACACATTTTACCCGTAGCTCGACACCGCAGGGCGAAAAACAGGGCAGGTATAAAACCCCCCACAAAACACCGTTGTTTATCCAGGTGAGTTGAAGATGAAGCAGTCTTTGCAACTTTTCACTATGGCATCTCGTCGCTTGTCTTCTATTTCTCAACACGTTGTTCCAAGACAGTACTCGACGCTCCAGGTTGGTGCAAAGTATACGAACGAATTCCAGAGCTATGTGAAGCTTGCGAACGGAGAGATCGGCTCGTGCTTCCACGATGTTCCCCTGGGGTTGGATAAGCAGACGAACACCGTCAATGCGCTGATCGAGATTCCTAGGTGGTCGAATGCGAAGTTCGAGATAAACAAGGAGATTGCGTTCAATCCAATAACGCAAGACTCTAAGAAAGGTAAGCCTCGGTTTGTCAAGAATCTATTTCCTTTCAAAGGTTATATTCATAACTACGGTGCAATTCCACAGACATGGGATGATCCGACTGTGGAGGACGTGGAGACTGGCTTCAGAGGTGATAATGACCCTATAGACGTGTGTGAAATTGGGTCAAGAATTGCACAAACCGGTGAAATCTACAGAGTGAAGGTACTAGGTGCATTGGCATTGATTGACGATGGTGAGCTGGACTGGAAAGTCATCGTTATAGATACAAGGGATCCATTATCCAAGCAACTGAGCGATATTGAAGATGTTGAAAGGGACATGCCAGGGTTGTTAGATGCCACTAGACGTTGGTTTAGAGAGTACAAATTACCAGATGGTAAACCAAAAAACGAGTTTGGTTATGAAGAACAGTTCCTAAACGCCTCAAAGGCGATAGAGGTCATTGAGCATTCCCACCAATCGTGGAAGAAGCTGATCCAAGGTGAAGTCTCTGTTGAAAAAGTCTCCATCAAGAACGTCACGCTAAACGGTACCCCAGGTTATACATCTTCACCATCTGTTCAAGAGTCTATCAAGCCGGACGCAAAGATTCCAGATGATATTGAAAAGAGCTATTTCTATTGATACTACATGTGAATACAATTAAGAAGCATTAGAACGTTTAATACAAAACCAATCGAATAAACTTAGTAAGCCTTCTTGGAAGCGGAAGCCTCCTCAGCGAAGACATCCAATGGAGACAAAGTCAATTGTTGCTCAGCCCACAAGTTTGGAGTCAAGAAACCGTAGGTGTTGGCAATAGCAACGAAAGCAGCCTTAACGGTGTTCTCCAAAGTTCTGGTGGAACCGGAAGAGGTGGTGTAACAATCTTCAACACCAGCCAATTGCAACAACTTCTTAACAGCTGGGGAAGCAACAATTTCCTTACCTCTTGGAGCTGGGATCAATCTAACAGAGACGGAACCAGACTTACCAGTGGTCTTACAGGAGACAGTGTGTGGTTGACCCAAGTTGGTACCCCAGTAACCTCTTCTGATTGGAATGATAGAGAGCTTAGCAATAATGATAGCAGCTCTGATGGCAGTAGCAACCTCCTTAGCGGTCTTGATACCCAAACCAACGTGACCGTTGGAGTCACCAATGACAACAACAGCTTTGAATCTGGTTCTTTGACCGGCTCTGGTTTGCTTTTGGACTGGCTTGATCTTCATAACCTCATCCTTCAAGTCTGGCAAGAGTTGGTCAATGATTTGGAACTCCTTGACTGGGAGGGAGTGGAGGAAGATCTCCTCAATGGTGGAGATCTTACCGGCCTTCACGAGTCTACCGAGCTTGGTGACTGGGACCCAACCCTTCTCCTCACCATCTCTTCTACCGCCTCTTCTACCTTGACGACCTCTACCACGGCCACCGAAACCGCCTCTCTTTGGAGCTTCTGGAGCAGACATTTTATCTATTGCTGTTATTAGTTTAAAGCGTCGGGATTGTTCACGGAAAGTTGGGGTGGTAACTTTCAATCGACGTTTGTTAAAACTTGGAGCTCTTTCTTAAAGTCAAGTGTGAAAGCAGTAAGAGTCCTTCTTTTTTTTCACCAACCACAGCACACGCAGACTTGCACACAGTGCGAAAGATTTTTTCAGTGGTGTGCGGATGTATAAAGTTTCAAAAAAAAGAAGCAGTCACAAATTTCACCCCACTGCGCCCGTGCCAATTATGTGATCCGCGCAACATTCGTTTCTGGAAATGCCTTCTCTGTCTGAGAAGTAGCAGATTCTATTGGAGGGAGCAAGGCCACGAGACAAATGACAGGTTTTATTCAATGCAGGAAGCAACTGACACAAACTTGTGAGCCATAGCAACATGTAATTTTTGCGCCTCTTTACAGCCAATGACAAGTTGTCTGGAAATATACTGCGCTTTGCCAAACATTAGTGTGGGTGCTTTACAAGATTTACACTTCAAGGAAATTGTAGTTATAATTATAGAATCTGAAAGGGGGCATATGGATAGTGTTTGACCCACTGATGAGGAACAAACTAATCAAGCACGACTATAAAAAGGTTCTTCTTATAATGGTAAAGGAGCAGTTGTTGATCAAGAGGATCATTTGAGGCTCTTTTTGTCATACTTTGGGTAGTACTTCGTGAAGAGCACACCGTCAAGAACAACGAGACCAACCAAACCAGCCAAGATAGCGGTAATTTCACAGTCGGATTTGTATCTAAAGATCTTAGCACGTTCCTGGATTCCAATAACCAATCCGGTAATGGCACCAACAGCAACAACAGCTTGTGTAGCAACAACAGGGTTCTGCAACTCTTCAGTGGCCTTGTGTGCACCTTTAGTGGTGGTATTCACAACGTAGCTTGCAGTGGCAGAAACTTTCTCGGCAATAGCCTTGAAGAATTCAATCACAGGGCCCTTCTTTTCGTTGTACTCCTTCTTGATTTTGTCAGAAGCATCTTTCTCAGCCTTCTTCAAGTCGCCTTGAAGCTTCTTAGCTGTGGCACCAGCTTTGTGAGCAGCATCCTTAGCTTGAGACTTCAGGTCTTGTGCAGCTTTTTCGGCATCCCTGCTAGCATTGTTGGCGTCCTTCTCAAGCTTGTCACCAACCTTAGTGCCAGCCTTGTTGGCATCTCTGGTAATCTCATCGGCAGCTTCTTGAGCAACTTCAGCGTAGCTTGGTTCAGTCATTGTAAGTGTTTTAAATTGATGTTATGTTGTGCGCCGTTGGTGTCTCGTATTAATAAAAGTGGCAATTACGGTACTGATAAGCAATTCAGAGCGTTAAATAAAAAAACAAATCTGAAATATATCAGTAATATAGTAGTGGTGTATGCAACTCAAGTTCAATCCGTGAAATCGATGTGTAATATGAGGTACTCAAGATATTGTGAATATCAATAAGTGTTGGTTAGTTCTTTTTATAAAAGGGGTTGTTTTTAAAGGAAAGAGATCCAAGGCCTTGTGGAATAAAATGGTGTGGAGTTGCGGTGCGTTTTATAAAGTGCTGTAGCAATCAAGAGACAATTATGCGCGGCCGGTAGGGGGGGGGGGAGAATTTGAATGCGTACAATTACAATGTATACCGGTGCGTTGTTGAAGTGCGCATCGGGTTATGAGCTGTAGTGTGTGGCTCTCAGACCAATCAGAAGTGTTTATTACTTCTCTTTTCTGGATTATCTTTGCGCTCCTACTGCATTAGTGATTGCTATGCTGTACGTCATTATGTTTGGCAACCGAGCTGTTTGCTGAATGTTAGCAACAATATGGTTAACTCGTTAACCCTAAGATACAGAAGTTTCATTGGTTATACGATACAATAAAACCAGACCTCATGTAGGCCAAGCCTAACCCAATCACACCATTTGTATGGTGTGAGCTATACTGTCTTTTTAATTTTTTTGGCATTGCCCCCGAACGGTTGCGATAACTCGCAGCAGTTGTGTGGTTTTGATGCTGGTCAACTCGAAACACCGGACAAAATGGCTGTGTACCGGTTAACATGAAGGTTTCTCCCTTGCTGTTACCCACACCGATCATCTCATTGAGGAAGGACCATTGACATCGAAGCCTGAACAACTTGCTGTGTGGAAAGCAACTGAATCCATATGACTATTCCTAGATGTACCTTCGGCTCTTTCTTTAGGAAAAGTCTAGACGTTCGGATTTACGAGGCCATTATGTAATTTTTATGTGTCTGGTACCAGACTGGTCGCACGTCGAGCTTTTTTACTGGCTGAGCTGTCAGGCTGACCCGCAATGGAGGATTTAGACTGGAGTGTTGGATGTAAGCGAAGTCTCCGCTGTAACGTACGCTTATAATAAAGACGAGCTGATCTCTATTGGAGTAATGATTTTTGGACTCTCGGTGCCCTTGATTGCAAATGGTTGTCGTTTAATTTTTAACCTTGATCCAAAACAATCCGCAAACGTAATACACGTCACCTAAGAGATGCCCACGATCGTCATGAGCCAACAACACGAGGGTGTTTCTATTTGTTGGTACACTGTTTCTTTGACTACACTCTGGTTAGGATTGAATCACAGCCTGCACTAATATTTTTCACTTTACTACTAGCATGTTCATTTATTAATATAAGACATCAGACGTCACATGCCTCGCTGATAATCTAAGATTGTCACTCTGATTTCAGGTTAAGCGACGAAAAGTTTATACACATAGTAAAACCATAATTGATTTACCCTCAGAGCTTTCGATGGATAGGCTGTGTTTCAATCAGTTCTATGCTCCGCACCACCAACTCTTGCTTCAACTCTGTTTGTTTCTTTTTGGTGTTGGTCTTCGGCGAACAAAAGCTTCAGCTAACTATATTTCACTACTATGTTGAAGACCAATTTCAACCAAACCCACTTTGAGTTGCTGTGTCTCTAAGAAATGCACATTAGAAACATTCTTTGATATCACAACTAGCTTCACCCAAATATGGCGAGTTATGTATTCACGTTGTGTAACTTTTTTGCCCAAAACGCAGCTCTCTTTCTCTCTTTCTCATTGCATAATCCATAATACTTATTTCAACATTGGTCCTCACGATAATCCATATCAATTGTCTTTCTCCTTCGGAGTCAGTTCTTGAGTGTTCTTTTTAGTAAATACCAGTCATTAGCGGGCTTCAAGTCCCTGAATGTGATCCACCGAACCTGTCCCATATACAGAGAAGGCAGTGGGTAATTTTACATACGTATAAGAAATACAAGAACTTGTTAGAGCTATGTTAAAATGTTTTTTCCTTAGATGACCTCCAACAACACAAAATATATGTGAGTTCCCAGCGTTGATGATCTTCTGAAATTTTGTCTCATCGCTATCGCAACGTCCATAACTCATTTGTATTGAATCTCTAAATGTGGAAGATGGCTTGTAAATGTGGCTTGTAAATCTGAGAACCGGCTAAACATCGACATACTAGGAGAATATTGTTCCACTTGTTGATCAGGTGGCATTAGCGACATTGCATTCGATCTCCACCTTTTCAAATAATATCCAAATGTACTTAAAGATGGATAATTATTACTAACGGAAATATTAGTATTGATCGATTTCTGACTTGTTCTAAAAAAAGTGATTAAATAGCAAGGCACTTTTATATACATGTCTGCACCATAATTAATTGATCTAGAGTCGTTAAATCTTGTGGGAACTCAAAATAGAAGTGCTTTCTGGAAACTACAAACGCACAGTAGATCACACATTTAACCCAGACGACATCTACCTTTAGGACCGGCAGACCAACAAACGGAGAATCTTTAAACGAACCCTTTCAATTAATTATCGAATTGCGAAATTGAAATGAGCCCAGTTCGTATTTTCTCCAGAATACGTATCGCCAGCTTCAGGGACCTTATCAAAAATAAACCAATTGACTGTGATTGCTGGAGTAAATTTACGAGTACATTGGCTCTTGCTCAGAAAAAGGGGAATAGTTAGTACATGTCATGATGTGTGTCTCAAACTCATGGAAACTTGTTCAAAAATGCCAGCTTGACAATCTGTACAGAAAAGTTGGCTTTGATGATCTTATACTCACCTCGTCCATCTTTCAAAATGCCACCTGCATGTAGTGGGAAAATCAGCCGTCGACTGCGAATTACAGAAGCGCCACATATCCATCTGTGGAAATTGGACTCGTTGATCTCCGATTTGGACTTGCAACAGACAGATTCGTGTATAATTCACCTAGAACTGGCGTAGACCATACTAAGGTTACATCTAAGCCTTAACCAATTAGAACTGGAACTAGACTAAGAAATGGTATGTTGCATACAATCACATAGACCCCATTAGAAACTTCACGAAACCATGACATACACTGACTATGTAAATATGCTCAGACTTATAGTCCATTCTATGATTTTGTTCCTTTAGTATTCGGCACATATGTCAGAAGCCTGAAAAGCGATGATAAATGATGTGCCGATGAAGTGGTTTGTAGACTTCATTGACATGTGGAGCATAGATGGTACGGGTTGTCCATCCCTTGGTGGATAATGGCTCACTGGAAACTAGACAGTAGGTACTGGGAACTGAACGCTGGGAACTGGACAGCTCATGACGTAGCTGTTCACATTTAGTTCTCATCAGTGCCTACTATTCATAGGCCTCATGTATATGCGGTTGAGATGTATAGAACGTTAAAAAGAAGCTTCTAATGCAGATCAAAATTAAGCGCCATGAAAAATTTTCTAAGCTTCAGATTGTTGTACAGATTGCTGTGCAGGTTATTGCACCAACTATAATTAGAGTTTCTGCTCAGTTTAAATAAGGTAGGATCATGTTGCTGTGGGGCCGCCGGTCACATATCATTTTAACCAGTTTAGTACCACGACAGCTTAATCACTTTGCAAGCCTCATGCATGTTTAACCTCGCCCTTTGGTATCTCAGCCCCTCCCATGAAGGCAGATAAAGGTCCAGACAGCAGACTCTGGTGGTGGGAGACGTCCCGGCATCTAGTTCCAATACGGACCCAGAAGTTGGCTGGAGGCTCTGGTATGGTATATTGCAAACTTTGCAGGAAAATACTCAAGGCCTCTCTCTAAAAAATAGTAGACGCGTTAGACTTTGTAGACTGCGTAAGGTGGACAAAGCATAGTTGATGTAACAATCAGCCCTACAAATAACAGCAACATTCTGGTGTTAGCTCGAGGCTAATCTCATCTATAACTACGGAATGGAAGATATCGTCACAGAAAGCAAAAATAAAACTATAATTTGATCTTTCCCTGGTAGGCCGAGGATATAGAAAATTCAGTGTTTGAGGTTCTATACCCGCCTTGTTCTTGATCACATAGTTACACGATCCTGGACTCCGACGCATTTTTTCTTCTCTAACCACTTCTTGGTTGTGTTAGAGCCAAATGCCACATAAGATATTAAGAATTGATGGTGTGCACCATCAACTCGCCGAAATGGCCATTAGGCCTTATTATCGTCACAATGTTGCCTAAAGTTTGGTCAATCTGAGTCCAATGTCACCACCTTGGATGGTGAATATTATGAGTGCTGAATTAGCCACTTGTGGAGCCTTGAGAAGGCTGAACCGCCGAACCTAATCATTCTATGAAAGTGAATTTAACGTGCGTTTTCTTTTTTTTGGTTTTTCTCTCTCACTCAGATCAACGATTCAAATTTCTACGCTCCGGTCAATTGGACAGTTAAAGTTAATGTCTTGTCGGCATGCCGAATAGTCGAGGAATGCCCATAACATGAAGCAAAGCCTAAACTCCTTTACTTGACAAAGACTTAATTACTGTGGAAGGCCTCATATATCTGTTTTCACTACTATATGAGTTGTGAAACGTTAGTCCTGTCCAGTACAGAATTACTCTTCGATAGCGTCTTATAACCTATGAGTGTGATTGTCACTTTTGTTCAGCAACACATCAGTTACCTGCTTGTTAAACAAATTACTTTTCACTAAAGTAGGCATACACCATACCACAAAAGAATACTGTATTAAAGTTTGCTATTCCACAGATCAAAATGTCATCTCAAGCAATCAAGTGAAGAAAAAAATGCAAATGTGCAATTATTTCCGCAGCTATTACATATAAGCTTAGAGAATTGTTGACGTCAACTTCATTCGAAAGCTATATTAACTCAAATTAAACTTCATCTAAGTCTGTTATGAAACCTGCAAATCGTAAATGTCTGTAATACGCTAAGCTATTTAGCAGCAATTAGATTGGAAATTTTCATCATCAACGACGTACCTTTGAGATTGATTTTGTCCAAATACCCTTCACATGTAAACAAAGAATGAGCATCGTGCTAAATACTCTTAGAGTTGTTCCACTTATTATGTGCTCCAATACAAAAATAAGACACGTATTGTAAGATGACGGGTCTCTGCTCCTATTTGGAGGCTGTGTTTTTGAAAAATGACCATCATTACTGAAAACTATTTCGGTTAAGGTTGATCAACTCTGAAGAGCATGGATGTAATGGAATGTTGGAGCTCTACAAATGTCTTGGCCTACAGTCGATTTATAAGTCATCCAAAGCATTGGTTTTGTTGTTATCCTTTGCGTACGGCAATAATAATTGTACAAGTCACAAATCAGTCTTCCGATTATATAACTTGTTGAGTCTCCAACGCCGAACATTCTAAAACTCTGGTTGAATTGCTTGAACTTTACGAAAAGCTGCAACTTCCAGAATGTAAACCGTACACATTATACCTCGCTTTCAAAATAACGTTGCCGAGAATCAAAACAACAGTCTTTTCGGTAGTCAGCTCTATATTAAATTAGAAAGCTTCACCTCACAATGCATTCGTTTAAACAGGACTCGGCATGTACATTCTTTCTATAACCTGTTTTGATGTACATTGTCATAGCAAAAGATGTGAAGTTTCAGTATAAAGTCTAAACCAAAGTGTTATAAATGGGTTGACAAGGCCGAACAGCACTATTAGAGGCAATCCTATAAGGACATATAATGTCAAATAGTTTGTCTCATGTAGTGGTCAACGCTATATTTATCTTTGAATATATCGAAAAGTTTTACAACACTTTTACATGTCATAATGCGAATAAACGCTATCAACCAGTAATAATGTTCCACGTAGATTTGGGGGCTTGGTTCTTGAATTTTAACACTTGATACTTCCATAGCTAATCATATGCTCGAGACATAATCAGGGTTGAGCAATGACCAGGGGGATGCACAAACTATGCTAATACATGTGTATGAGGAATGTTCAATTACGTCTAAAACGACTATGTACGCTTACCTCATTGCATTATAAGCGGTGGTACAGATAGTTTCCAACGTACATGACCTGGCTTAATAACTGCGTGGTCGGAAATAGTAAGACAGCTACCTGCTCGGCACATGTTCACCAAGAAAGTGAGCTATCCTCCTTATGTTCAAGAAATGGATAAAATCCAAAGTTATTTTGTAACTTCAAGATACCAATAGAAGACAAAACTAATTGTTAGAGTGGTTCAGCTCTACTTTCAACTGGGGGGTTGTTTTGCTTCAAAGCAACTATCGAGGGTCCAACGCCCTCTTTCCTTTTTTCAGTAGTGCTCTTGCGAGCTGTGTTGAAGTCTGCATGGGTAGCATGCATCCTGTTTTTCGACAGACTTCAGAGTTGGGGATAAAAAAAAAGGGCGGGAAAAAAAAGGAAAAAATACAGGGCCTCAAGCGTGCTCTGTACATTCAGACTTGCCTTTAAGTCCTTATCAGGCGGGAAGAATGATTTGGGATCACAATGATTTGTGTCCAAATTGAGCTGATTCATAAACCATCATTACGTTGTTGAATACTGAGGAATCCTTCAGAGATAGTGGTGATCAGTCACTATTCTATGACACTCAGTACCTATACACAAGTTTCTCAACTACACTCACCAAGATGGGTCCCTTAACTCTGGTGTGAATCTCTCTATGTTCATAGGGCGGGGTTAACAATAGACTCAGTAAATCATGTTCAGACATTTATAAATTTGGTGGAATGTCTTGACCACCAGTATAATAATTTTGGCTCCAATTGGGTTTTCATGGCAACAGTGCACAGCCCGATACATGCACAACATAGCTCAACGGCCTAAGTAAAAATAAGCCCAAGGGCTTCAACTCGTATGTAGAGCTTCCTCTTTCACTTGTTGTCACCTCGAAAGTTAGAACCTTGTCAGCTTGAGAAGACTTCCCAGCTGCTTTAGCAATTGATCTCACATGTATGGCCATACTGTTCGGCTTTCAATTACATCACCTGTACAAGGTTTAACATATCGATAAAAACTTACCATGATAGTGGTTAAAATAGTTAATCACCCAATTGTGTCGTTCAACTGAACTGTAAATGTCGAGAGCTTCTCTGCGTCATTCATCAAATATTCGGTAGACACAGGTATCCAATAAGTTAAATTGTTGTCGAATGTGCCATGGTGATCCCTGGAACTGTGACAGGTTTCCATGTCACTTACTAAAGGCAAGTCAAGTACATTTTGGTGTATAATACATCGCCCTGCAAAGCTAGGCCGATATTTTTCCATTTGGGGTGTACAAGTGCAGGACATTCTTTAGAGGACCCGAGTGTAAAAGAACCCATACCGACCCTCATCCTGTGAAAAGCTCGGCTCTGAAATAGCAACAGCATGTGCAATGTCCTGATCCATCAGAGTTCCATCTTTCAGTGCCATACCATAAAATCGCACAGCCTACATCTCTATGTAGAGTTAAGCATGTCCTTAATCCTTCCGGCGATTTATCCTTTCCTCTCTTTTCTGTTTCCTATGGTGTAAAATTATACTAAGTAAAGCAATGAATATCAAATGAATTAATTAACCATGTGCCGAATATAAGCGGCCAACTACGCAAGCGGCCTCTCCCTTTACTTGAGTTTTCTTCCCCTGCGGGACCAAATGTATAACAATGCGGGTCAAACTTATAGTGATGCTACAGACTACATACTGATACATGGTGGTTCGGTGTGGTGTAGCCGCAATTGGCGCTATGTATTTACAATCAGCAGAGGCCCATAGCTTACAGCCATAATCTTGACTAATAATGGTGTGCTTATGCAGTAAGTTAACCTTTTGACTACTTTTTCCTCTTCACCAAACTCACAACATTTCGGGGTTTACCGAGACAGAGGACACGAGCAGCATTTCTATGTAACTTTAACCCAGCCTGTTTCTCAGTTCTAAGTTAAAACCCCACGTAATTGATTTGGGCCACCTTGCAGCTAGCATCCTTCCCTTTTCTTTTTCTAGCTGACCGCGAACGACGGCCAGGCTAAGCAATTAAGAATAAACTTTACTTTCTCTGCATTCCTCCGTACATCACATGCATGAGGATTTTCACTTGCAGTATTTTTATGCATCGCAGCCCTAATTTTTGGGCAACCCGTCCATACAAATTTTCTTTTTTCTTTTACACCGAAGAAGTTCAATTTGGAAGCGTTGCCCCGAATGTGCAGACATATAAAAACCTGAGAGATTGTCTCTGAAGTTTTGGTTGCCGAAATCTAATACGAACATCGAAACTTCCATCCCTTGCTGGTATCGATCACATCTTCATTGGAACAATCAAACACATTAAATGACATACGTTGGGGACAACAGTAATTACCCAAATCTGACCACTGCCGGGTTGATTTTCCCCTCCAACACTGCTATTGATATTGTACAGAACGACTATGATTTGCTCTTTGATCAGCTGGCTTCAGAGCAACCATTCTCAGCTGTTTCGTTGCCGAACAAACTTCCTGATGTGCAAGAACAACTAATGTATCAAGGGGATGCCCTCAATCATTACACACAATTGGACGGATTTCCTCCAATGCACGCTCTTGCTCCTGTTCAAACTGACGGTATGATGAATTTCCCAGGAAAGGAATTTCAGCAACCTTTATACTCAACAGCGCAAGGTATTATGCAACAACAGCATTTCGCTATTCAAACACCAATCACGGTGCCTGAGGAGATATTTACACGTCCACAAATGACTGCTTCCCCTGACAGTATTATGTCTCTCAACGGGGCCACACGGACATCTATGGAACCAGTGGAACCATACGAACGCTACAGAGTTACACGAGGTGTATCCTCTGGAGGTTCTGCCACAAAGCCACCACACACAGTCACCATACCAGGACACTATTATACTCCGGTGATTTTAGAGCTTGTGGGAGCAAAGCTGGAAGAGCTTTGTATGCCACAATGGAGCCAAGCTGAGAAGGAAGACAAACGCAGAATTATAAGGGTAGAAAGATACCAAATCGCAAACCGCATAGTTGCACAGTTCAGCATTGTTGGTAGCGCAAATGAGCATCCAAAGGTTGTTCCTGCTCCCCCTGGGGTGGATGTCGTAGAGGTTAGCTGTTTGGCTTGTCTCACGCGAGAATGTGACGATCAGGATGAAGATGAGGAGTCGGAAGATATCAGTCAACAATACCGGTATAAAAGCCCTTCTCCTCTCAAAAATAGTTTCTACATCACAAGCGTTGAAGTTATCAAAATAGTGGAACTATTGATTGGAACAGAGCCTTCAACACCGCATGAACGTCGACGCGAAAGAGGCCGTATAAGATCCAACTTGGTTCCATTCTGGAGCAAGAAATCAATTTCGTCAAGATGTTCGAATCAAGAAATGAGATCAAGTCCGTTGAGTGATGAAGGGGCTGACTTCAGAGTTGAGTTGGCCACGAGGATTATGAGCTATGAAATCCGTAAACCAAGGGGCTTTGATAAGGAGGTGCGTATTCTAAAGTGGGAGAAGCTCGTACCCGCTTTAAAAAGAGCACTTCAGAGTTACTATGTTGAAGTTCCAAGTGATTTCCATCCATAGTTACTGCTCCCATCATTCTCCATAACATACGACTTTTTTACGATACAGACGATCTTTCTTTCTGTCGGTCTTAGTTTATGTGACTCTGATTAGACCATTATTCTATTCAACACATATACACTGAGCTTTGGAAATGTCTACGCATACTAGTTAACGCATATACACCTTAATATGGTATCTGGAACACATTGTGCTAAGCAATGTTTCTCAAATCAAGATATAATCTTTGATTTATATACAAATATACAAACGAGCAGAGCTCTATACTTGAAATTATGAAATGCATTCAACTGTAGAAATGTTGATTGACTCATATGGTCAATGCCAGCTTGCAATTGAAAGTTTTTGAATGGTTATATTTCCGGAACAAGCAAATTTACCGCGTAACTACCACAGCCTACAAACAATACTCCCAGAGTATAAACCAGACGTCACAGAGCAAGTTGAGATAAGCGCATTACTGGGATACAGATGGTGGAATGTATTTGCTGCCAATGAACCATCTGTAGATAAATAGCTGGAATCGACCTCTCACAATGATTCTCTTCCGATGTTTACACGACTTGTTATTTGCTATCGTGACAATTTTGTATTCATCCTTGAAGATTTTGAAATGTGTAGAAACTTTTTCTCATGAAGGAACACATAAACAGGGATGAGATAGATGTCTTGATGGATAATGAAGTCTACCTCTCTGTAGATTAAACTATGCCGTGAACTAATAACATCACAGGGGCAAACGTTCCACCTGCATCACAAAGTTAAGAGGTGAAATGTCGCCCCCCTCCCCAGCTCGTGAACCCCTCAAGGTATCGGGATGTGAAGAAAACATGAATGTTTTGTTCTTACCAATCAAGTGATACTGTAAAGGCTGAAGAGAAACTTAATCTCTGGTCGAATATATACCCGGTTATGTGTCACTTGATACCATTGTTCAAGTGGCCAGTTCATCGCGTTAAACCTCAACAAATAGCTAGAGAGCTTGGCACGAAACCAATCATCGCATACGCAAACGAACCCTAAATTAAAAGCATCTTTCACAATAGAGAGATAGGAGAAGGGTTAGAAATGCCTCTATATTCTGTTATGACATGCTTTTGAGTTTCATAAGAGATTATTTTATAATTCTCGGGCTGTTCCATACAATTTGATCTTAGTGTTAACATGCAGCACTGCTCATATCAAGACTCATCACGGTGAAACTTCAAAGAATGTCTTTTGGAGTGTTGTGAATCAATCAACGTCTCCTGGAATTCGGTAGTTTCATACATAAACCTCTGTCACCTGTGGTCCTCCGTACATTCCAATTCGCAATTTTATTCGGTGCATGTAAAGCTGTTTTCCTCTGCTTTGGATTCAAATGTTCAAGTGAAACACAGTGAAAGCTATTTCACAGTTGAAATATCAGAACTTCTGACATTTTAGGTCAACTTCCCTAAAGATACTAGTACTAGTAATGTACAGGAGCGTGCCTGTACACGGTTGTCAAATAAATTATATGTATGCCAGATCCATATACGAATTGCAATTCTCTGGTCGTCTTTATGGTTCATTCCATTGGTCAGCACAATATGAAACATTACACATCTTTCTAGAACAATGTTGATAGCAATCGGCAATAAATTGATGGTGATATTGCTTCCCCTTTCAAAGCACTCGATTATAATGAATATGTGTTGAAAGAGCACCAGTTGCAATATGAACAACTTGTTCAATTCAACTGAACCGAGGAATACAACATATATGGCACCTCCCACGTATCAGAGCTGATCTCATAATTTGCATTCAAGGTCAAATCGATGTTGATATACAAGAAATTTTTGATTATTTAAGAGTCATTCTATCATCTCACAGGCTTGCCTTTGAACCACTTCTAGACCGCAGCCGTGGACAAAGCACATAACTAAGCTTGTAATTATAAGTAACGTGATAACTGCGAAAAGTTCACAGAAGAATTACTATTGATGATCATTGTACAGTGGCTATACAACACTTCTCTTAAATACACAATGAAGGATAGGTTTGTTTCTCGTGTATCCTAATTTTGTATATGATATCTCAACCCCTCTTTCTTCAAGACCTCTCGAGTATATACCTCACTATGTCAAGTCGAGAACCACGACGTCACTTTGAGGAGCTCAATAGGAATATTTCTCGCTGCCGATCCCTCCTTTGTAGCTATATCAACCATCTGTATTGATATTTTTGTGCATATTATGTAAGATTGACATTGCTGCCTGTATATCCAAAAACTGACGTGAGTGGACGAACATGTACATTTGAATACGCTTATAATTATTACAGACAACAGTGCATAGAATCTCCCTTCACAATCTGAATGAGCAAGACAACTACTGGTCAGATAGCTCTGGTGAAATAGTGGATCAGTAGAAACTATTGGGTATAGAGAATATGCCAAAATATCAAACTGAGTGGTAGGTAGATTCCAAGACGTACCAGATTTCTCAAAAGTTATAAGTTACTGTTCAAATCAAGATTCAACTTCGCTTTTGATGCCCAATACTGATGCCATGTGAATGGTCTCGTATGTGAGGTCTGGTGCTGAAATTGTTCGCCGAATATTAACGCACTTGAAAGAGTTTGTGGCCTTATGTTATAAAACACGCAACGCTCTGTATGGAATTTTACTGCTAAGATTACTGAAGTAACATGTTAATTGAGCAATCATATGAGTTAGAGGGTGGATAGAAATTTGACCCTGCTAATGTGATTGATTTAGCCAGCAGAACAAATGTATATTTAGCATCGTGTTGTCCCTTTGCTGATTTCCTGGTCCAGCTGCGAAGTTTATTTCCCACTAAGGTACCACCTATCAAAAGATCTACGTTATAATATATTTGTTTTCAAAGCTTTTTGCTTTAAACACATCACTTAAACACTAGTAAAACCTCGTGATAAATTAATTGAGCGTCAACCTAGTTCACCAAGTAGTCTACGTATCCTCTCTATCCAATATAACTGTTAGGTGCGTGATGATACTCTTGAGCAAACTGGTGAACAGATTACACTTGCGGGTTCAAAATATTTTACTCTACGTTATGTTCGGACAAGCACGCATCAAGTCCCGTCTTAGAGCTCAGAAAGATATATATTTCTGAACCAAAGCCCTTCGTCTGTAACACTTGCCATTTATGAGGTAGGCATGTTAGGCTTAAAGTACAGCTTCATACAGAAACATCTGTTCATATATGCAGTTGTGTGCCATGCTATGTAATGTATATGCCTGTACAAGTAGCTCTTTGCATGAAGAATGGGTACTCCGAGGCTTGATTGAAAATTGCTGTTGTATCTTCACAAGCCGAGACTGGCTGAAGGTACAACAACTTGATACTACATGCCATAAAAAAAGGAACTGTAGAGTTCATGAAGAGCTTACTAAAGTTTTGGACAAGTACACCATTAAGTTAGAGAACCTTTCCCGCGGGACGGTAAATATATATCTGAAAGTAGCAGTGTCAGAATTATGTGCCCCCTAATATGCCCCTGTGACAATTTCTCATGACACTGTATGAATTAAACTCAAAATCTTGGAGTGAGGACCAATTTTTCGATCTGGGGTATCATTAAAAAGACGTTTGACTCTAACCTGACTGTTGGCCAAAAGTAACACGAATGCAAAATCTTTTTTCTGAATCCAACAAGGTCATATTCTGGCTGTATTATGTATACGGTTCGAGATTAACTATGTATGTGTGTGTTGTATGAGCCCTTTCTGATAGACAAATGTATATGGTACACATTGTATAGGGCCGCTGGATGGTATATGATTTGGTCTGTGATGTGCATGATTGTACTGCTAAACATCCAACTTCCATTTATGAGCCCAAACTACAGGAAAAATAACCTTTGTTGTTATTGCAGATCATACGAATGATTTACCATTCATTACAGCTTGCAGTCCTTGGGAATCAAAGAAACGTTTCAAAGCCTTGATTGATTGAGAGCAAGTTACTAGAAATAATCAACAATTAACTCGATAACTGTATAGTGTGCTACAAAACTACGGTTGGAAGTATCTGACAAAAGTGACAGTTGATCGAGATGTTATACCGAAACAAAACATGCGAATACAACTTTTGTTGGCTGTACATTATAAATACCTGGTCCATTTTGCTAAGTAGAGATCACTTATCAAGTATTGATCTGAGATGTTTTTTTATCACCAGTTTACAGTCGTCAATCTTGACGTATGTTCATTAACAATCAACGCCAAGCATCAGCGATTGCACACAATAGTCACACAACCGAATCAGCCTTAACAAATCATCGGTCTACCTGTCGTCTAGTCCGATCTTCATACTGTGTTGATAAGAGTCGAGTAACATGTCCTTTGGTAAAAATCTGGTCTTTTACGCGTAACGTAACTACATTCAAATACACGCGACATGTCGCTTCAGTGAACTTCATTTCATCTCCCTGACGCGTTTTAACCGAACTGACCTAGGTCTTTGGCATTCAAAGGTGTCTTCATATGCATCACTGCACAGTATATATGGCTTGAATTGCCAGCTGATTCAACCGCAAGCTTGTTCGTAATTACAACCTACAACTCATTGCAAGAGACTACAACTTACCATTCATGACTCATGAGTCTTTAGTCATGAGTCATGACTCACAACTTTTCACTAACGACTCATGAATGGTAAGTTGTGGTGTGTTTCGGTGAGTTTCGGTGAGTTTCGGTGAGTTTCGGTGAGTTGTGGTGAGCTGCAATAAGTTGTGGGTCAGGAATAGTGAGTTCAATGTCGTAAGTTGTAAGTTGTAAGTTGTGAAACTGAGTATTCAACTATATCGCCGCGACTGAGGAGAGATCCCGTTTCCAGTATTCTGAAGTTCTAAAATCCGATTGATACTTGATTTGTTTAGCCGGCCTAATATATGCCACATGTTATGCACGATCTGTATGTTAATAAACCTAATACGATGGTATATCAATAAAAGCATATGCTGTATGCAAGAATATATGCATTGGGAAGTTGAAGTCTTTTATTAGTTGTCATTCTGATAAACTCTGTTATAAATCATGACAAATCGCAACGGATAAATACCGCTATCCTGTACTGAATCAAGTGGTTATCGTCATTGAATGTACTTATTAAATAAAAAGCAAATTTTAATAATGTCCTCCTGGATTCAATGAAATACTGAGTGTGTGGTGTTCAACTGTAACTGAAAAAATTCTCCTCTACAATTGACTTATAATATAAAACAACTCTACTGCAAAGTGATTGTGTCTCTTCATATATATGTAAAAGTGGCTCAAATGTGACCACCAACGCAGTCCACGGATTACTCGCTAAACAACAGTCCTGGTTATACGATCGAAGGCACGATCGAAGGCACGAACGTGTACAACTTTTATTCAATTATGTACGTGTAGAAGGCTGGATAACTAGCTGCTGTATGGTTTGTGACAGCCGAACAGTGCTGAGCAGCACAGTACTTGGGGGCTTGGGAACTGTTTGACATTAAAATGCTATGAGCATGCGGGCCCCTAGTGGTGGTCGCAACTTTACCACAACCATCCTCATGACAAAGTTACTAAATATTCTCACTGCACCTAACAACCCAGCCAGTCAACATTTGGCTCTGGGAGCCAGATCTATAATACACATCCAGACTCCCTAGTTGGCTTATATCACCTTTATCTTCGCTAATTCCTGGACTTATATACCATACATGGACAGGCGTGGATGCATACATATGTAGTACAGGGCAGTGGCAATACCCTTCCTTGCAGCAACTCTGCGCCTAGTCGAATGTTCACTTGAGCAGGCGCATGGCTTTAAGGTACTGTACTATGGTCCACTTGCCCACAACTGGTATGTCCATCACTGTGGCAGACCTTAACCCTGATATTTTATGCAACATTGGTGCAGGACCTAACATGAAGTTTGGCCGTGATCCACCGACGACAACTTACACTCGCTGCAAGCCAGGTGCAAGGTGCAAGGGCACTGGGCCAACAGCCGGTGCCCACTGACCCACCCAAACGTTGCAATAATTCCCGAAGGAGGCCGCCAGGCTGACGACTTTCCTCTTGAACAAATTGGCGGTAAAAAAATATCGCGTACCTCACGATGCTCCACCATAGAAAACTCTATTAAACGCAGATCATCACCGGTGTCAATAATATCAAATCAGCAGTAGATCTGATGGCTTCGAGTAGCTCTAACACGGCAAATACGTCTACCCAGGCCGTGTTGACGGCATTTATAACCAACGGTGTGGTTTTCGGTGTGTTTGTTGGTTTGTTTCTTTTGCTGAGACTAAAGTTTTTAAGAATCTATCAACCAAAGTCCTCGTTCGATTTGATCAACGAGGAAAAGAAACCTGAACCACTGCCAAGTGGGTTATGGCAATGGCTCTTGCCGCTTGTTAAGAAGTCTGATAATTTTGTTATCAGACAAGCTGGTCTGGATGGATACTTCTTTATCAGATACTGTTTTAATGTTGCGGCTATTTGTTTTGTTTACACTTTGTTGTTGTTCCCAATTTTGCTTCCTGTGAACGGTGTCAATGGAAAGGGTAATGATGGACTGGACCGCTATACCTTTGCAAACGTGAGGATCAGAGGACGTTATTACGCCCATGCAATTCTCGCGTGGGTTGTCTACCTTGGAATTATTTACGTTATTTACAGAGAGTTGACGTACTACGCGTCGATGAGACAAGCTGTGTTGAGTTCACCACGTTACGGTAAGAAGCTTTCATCCAGAACTGTCCTTTTCCAAACAGTGCCAGATCAGTACTTGGATGAGAATGAATTCAGAAAATTGTTCGATGATGTTAAAAACGTGTGGATTGCACGCGCTTCTTCAAAGATTGAGAAGAAAGTTGAAGAACGTGACAAACTGGCTTATAGATTAGAGGCTGCCGAGGTGAAGCTGTTGAAGATGGCCATGAAAGCCAAGCTGAAAAAAGAGAAGAAAGGTGAGCCAGTGCCAACAGATATAAATGAACTGGTCCCTACCAAGAAGCGTCCATCTCATAGACTTAAGTTCCTTATCGGTAAGAAGGTCGATACTATCGAATATGCAAAGGAGAACTTACCGATTTTGAATAAAGAAGTGCAAGAGCTACAGGCCAATCATGACAATGACAAGCCAATGAACTCGGTGTTTGTTGAATTTGGATCACAATACACTGCTCAGATGGCATACCAATCGGTTGCTCATCATACTGCTCTGCACATGTCCCCACGTTATATCGGTTTGGAACCAAGTGACATTGTTTGGCTAAATATGCGTCTATTCTGGTGGGAACGTCTGGTTCGTAAAACTGGTTCTGTTGCTGCTATTGTTGCTCTGTTAATTTTCTGGTCCATTCCTGTTGCATTTGTCGGTTTGATCTCTAATGTGACTTACTTGACGAACAAACTCCATGGTCTGAACTTTATCTACAACCTACCACCAGCTCTTTTGGGTCTGATCACATCCATGCTGCCAACCATAATGTTGTTGGCACTGATGAGCTTGTTGCCAATCTTTATAAGATCTATGGCGAAGGCCTCTGGTGTTCCATCAACTCAAATGGTTGAGTATTTCACTCAGCAGTCTTATTTCGCCTTCCAGGTTATTCAAGTCTTCTTGGTGACCACGATTGCATCTTCAGCAACGTCTACTGTCACACAAATTGTTGAGGAACCTACTAGTGCAATGTATCTTCTGTCAGAGAATTTGCCAAAATCATCCAATTTCTACCTATCTTACATCTTGCTACAAGGTCTTTCAGTGTCATCCGGTGCACTTTTGCAGATTGGGACCTTGATCACGTTTTATCTGTTTGGACTTCTTGATGGAACTCCAAGAAAGAAATGGACAAGATTCACGAAATTGTCCTCGTGCAGTTGGGGTACAACTTTCCCAGTATTTACTAACTTGACAGTTATCACATTTGCCTATGCTATCATTTCTCCATTCATCTTGTTATTTGCATCTGTTGGGTTTTTCCTCATTTACCTTGCCTACCTTTACAACCTGACCTATACTTTCCAGGAGTCGCCAGATGCTAGGGGTATCCATTATCCACGTGCAATGTTTCAAACTCTGGTTGGAGTGTATCTGGGAGAAGTGTGTCTTCTTGGGTTGTTTGCCGTGTCCAAGGCTTGGGGACCATTAGTAATCGTTGCAATCTTGTTAGGATTTACAACTTTCCTCCATACCAACTTGAACGAAGCCTTCGACCATCTATTAACTGTTGTTCCAGTTGATACCATGAAGCCACTCGATGGTGTTTCTGATACACCATCATACCGTCACCACAATGACAGCTGGGCACCACGCGATTCTGGACTCTATGATAAATCGCTTCTCTCAAGTGTGAGACATGATAGTTCATTCCTTTCCCCACCGGTTAATGCGTTTGAAATGGGCGACTTGAGTAGACTCAGTGTTGAGTACGCTCGCCATGGTAGTAGTGTGCCATTACTTGCTGATGGCGATGAAAAGTTGATTCCACCAGCTCCGTTCTGGAAGAGATTCTTGTTGCCACACATCTACGCATCGTACAAAGTGTCGAAAACACGTCTACCTGACATATATCAATTTAAGGATCCATCTGAAGAAACTGATGCTGTGAAGCTTCAGCACGCTTATGATTACCCAGCTGTGTCTGCCAAGTGTCCAATTCTCTGGATTCCAAGAGATCCTTTGGGATTGAGCACTATTGAGATTGAGAAACTTAAAGGAGTTGTTGACATACGTGATGAGCACTCAGAATTTAACGAGAAGGGAAAGGTTGTGTGGACTGGACCGCCACCTAGCTATGAAGAGTCCAACTCCAGTGTTGAAGAGCTCAACAGTGATAAAGCTCAAAATGAATCGAATTGAAGGGCAGTGTCGGCGTCATGACAGGATGACCCAGGTGTGTGTTAATAATTGTGTTTTCTGTCTTTTTACTATAGTTAATGAATATCTCATCGTGCTGTTGTTGAATTTTGTTTCCTTCCATAAGACTCTCTTATAACGAGTAAGGGTCTTTTATTTACAAGATTATCTTTTGTATATATTCAGCTTTCGAAAGCACCATCTTTACCAAATAACCAATCCCATCTTCCCTTTTTATGGAGCATTGCTAGGATTAAAACCCCCGGCAGATGCCATACAGAAGCCCAAAAGGTCTTTTTGGCGTACATGTTTGCCAGTTTCATTCCCTCTGCTGTTGGTGTCTTGCCCTTAGCATAGTTGAGACGTTGCTGTTTCCAAAACATAAAACTCCAGTAAGCCATCCAGCCGTTCAGTATACCAGAATCCAAGGGGAAGACTGAGTCAGTCACTCCATAGTAGGTTAATAAGAAACATATTGGGAACATGAGTAGGGCATAACGGAACCCAACACGGGCATTAAGCCTTGGATTGACAAAACAGGTCATGACATAACCTGCCCCCTTGTAATCTTGACGTATACCGTGTGATAATGCGTTAAAGTGAGGAAACTGCCACGCGTACAACAACGCTGCCAAACACCAAGCACCTGGGTCAGATAGCGGAGACGACGAGGCCCATCCCATCAAAGGTGGGATTGCACCAACCAGCGCTCCTACCCAGGTGTTTATGATATGTGTACGTTTCAATGACGTGTACATCCAGGCATACAGAACGATATTGAATGCACCCAGTAACCCCACCGTGGTATTCACACCTGCGCAGAGCACTGTGACACCCACTGTTCCTGCGACTGCAGCAAACTCGTAGGCCTGTTTTGGAGTCAGCAGTCCACGCACTATTGGTCTACCAACGGTACGAGCCATGAGCTTGTCAAAATCAGGCTCCCTTGCCTGGTTAATGGCGTTTGCAGAGGCGGAACAGAGAGCAGTCCCAAGAGTCAGGTTTAACAACTGTGGGATCGTAGCATTGTAAGGAGTGAGCGCATAGGAGCAGATAGCACTCAGCACAACCAGCGCAGTCAGTCTCGGCTTGGAAAGCGCCACGTATGGCGCTATGAGCCCCTTCTGCGCAGTCTTGATATCGGTACCGTTGACATCCTTCTGCTTCACTTCAAATGGAATATGGGAGGTTTCCAGAGTAGGCTTTGTGGACACGTCGTCCGTGCAGCTCAGCGCTCTCGCAAGCTTCGAATTGGTCTTCAGTATACTGTTCGAGATGAACTGCAACGGCGAGCGGTCAAGGCCATCCTCAGCCTTCACTTGTGTCCTGGTGGTACCCAGCGACCTCTTCAACACGCGTGGAAACACGTAGAGCACCGGTCTTCTTATCAAACACGGATGGGGGAGCGCAATCATCTGTCCTTCCCTGTTCGGATAGCCAGCAGAGCTCTCTGTGTGTGTTTACGTCCTCCTCGAGCTCGAGCTTGTCAAGCTTGGCCCGTTCATTCGCACCGTAGGCTGAGTGGGACTATGAAGTTTTGCACCAGGCGAGGGCAGGGAGGGCGCACAGAGAGGGAGAAAAAAACGTGGCCGTAACGACAATCATGACATCAACAAGGCGAGATATCGGAGTATACGAACGTGTTACTGTTGTCTTCGTAGTTGTGATGGTGCGAATGGTGGATTCTACAAGGGGAGTGAGGTCTAGGACGTTCCTTTTGTTGTTTTGTTTGGTTAATTATCACCTTTCTCCTTGTTAGCGATCTTGTTCTCGATCAAATCGTGGAATGCAATGATACTTCTAACGAGACTGGAGACGTAGGTCATCATGAGCTCATCGTTGGTCTTCACGGTGAAAGAGGTGGCGAGTGGGTTGATGACGCCGTTCAGGCCTTCGTCCAGGCCAGAGAGGTTTGGCAGGAGGTTGAAGATGTCCTGCAGTTTGCCGAGGATATCGTTGTTGATAGGCAAATACCCGAGTGAGACTTTGTCCAAGTATCCAACGATTTCCCTGAGCTTCTGCTGTAGTCCCTGCAACGATTTGATCTGGTCTGTGATCTTTATGGATAAAGATCCCGCGGCTTGGTCACGGATGTCACGAAGTAAGTGTTCTACTCCAATCTCTTCGGCTTCTTCAGCTTCTATGGTGGACGGGATATGGTTGAAGGTTGGTTCTGTCAAAGTCCCATCCTTCTTCACCGCCACAACTGCCACATATGCATCGGTTGGGATTCCAACGCCGGTTTCTTTCATATCAACAATGAGTAGCGTTGGGTTTGCAGTGTACTTCTTGAACAGATCGTTTATCTTCAAATCTGACATTCTCAGCTTTGGGCCGGAGTGGTACCATCCAATGAGCTTCTCCTTTGCATTGATCTTCTTGAACATCTCATACATGTTCTCGATGTAGTTGTGGTCCAGGAACCACACTTCAGGGTTCTTTTCATCCTCTTCGAACGGGATGGCAAATGAATTGGAGACACGGATAGTATCAGTGGAGTTGTCTCCAAGTATCACACCAAGAACACGTTTCTTTGTGTCCTTAGCTACCCTGTTGTAGTGGTCCACAACGGATAGTAGGACAAGTGGTGCTACGCTCACTTGTTTATGTAGAAGGGATTCGTCTGTGACTGGCATCTTTGGTGGCAATCGATATGGACTTTATCGGGTAAGAGAGCACACTTTAAACAAAAAGGTAACAGGATGTAGTGGCAGGTACAATGACAGCTTCCCTATGTCAACAATTTGGTCGAATTGGTGAGGGTCTTTATGCTTATGTTCAACGAGTCGTTAACACTTTGTTGACGTTGTTGTTGTTTCTCGCCTTCCAAATTCGATCAACAGTAGAAAACCAAAAACCCAAACACCAAATGGTTGAATTATTTTCGAATTATAATATATAATTTATAATTTTAATGTCATGTTTTTTTGCCTTGAAATCCATTTTATGGGCCTCATCGCTCGTGTTCAACTTCATCACTTCATTACACAACAACAACACAGCAAATGCCGTTTGGACAAATCGTGATTGGGCCTCCAGGATCCGGGAAATCGACTTATTGTCATGGTGTTCAGCAGTTCTTCAACGCCATCGGCCGGTCCTCAGCGATCATAAACCTGGACCCGGCAAACGACCACCTGAACTACGATTGTTCTCTGGACATTAGGGATTTCATAACGCTTGAAGATATCATGGAACAACAAAACTTGGGTCCCAACGGTGGGTTGATGTTTGCACTTGAGAGTCTTGACGACTCTGTGCAGCTGCTGGTTGACAAGATCAAAAAAATCAGTGAAAAATCGTACGTTGTCTTTGACTGTCCAGGTCAAGTTGAGCTGTTTACCCATCATTCGTCGTTGCACCATATCTTCATCAAGCTACAAAAACAGATCGATTTGAGACTCTGTGTTGTGAGTCTCATCGATAGTTTCTACCTGACGAGTCCATCGCAGTACGTTAGTGTCTTGCTCTTAGCATTTCGATCCATGTTGCAGTTAGATCTGCCCCAGGTTAATGTCATCAGTAAGATTGACTTGATTTCGAACTATGGGGAGCTTCCCTTCAGTTTGGATTACTACACGCAAGTGCAGGACCTTTCCTATTTGACTCCGTACATAGAGAAGGAATCTAACTCGGTGTTGGGTAAAAGGTACTCAAGGTTAACAGAGCTCATTGCAGAATTGGTTGAAGACTTCAACCTTGTTTCCTTTGAAGTGTTGGCAGTGGAAGATAAACAATCAATGATAAACCTGCTGACAGTTATAGACAAGGCCAACGGTTACATGTTTGGAACTACTGAGATTGGTGGTGACACCGTTTGGGCAGAGGCGACCAGACAGGGTGGTTATGAGGATGTCGACATCCAAGATCGGTGGATAGATAACAAGGACAAATACGACGAGGAAGAACGGATTAGACTTGCAAAACTACAAAAGGAGGCCCAGGAATTGGAAAAGACCTTCGATGTTGAAGATGAGTGGGAAGCAGCGTTAAAAGATTGGGAAGAATCGCATACAACTATACGTAGATAGAGGTACTGAAAGTAATAACAGCACATGGTATTTACTGAGCATTGGTTGATAGCACTTTCTTTGCGGTGGCGATATTGGCACTGGCACTGTCCAGACTATCCTCGCCGGTGTAGTCCTTCAAGAACTGCTCCAGTGACTCCAACGACTGTTGAATCTTCTCCCTGAGAAGTGGAATCATCTTCTTCGTGTCTTCCAACACCTCAACTTGTTTCTTGATCTCGTACTCATCAGCGTCCGCGGACTTCATGCTCGCAATCACACCCTCTTGCTCTTTCACCTCATCGTGATATATGGTCTCTTCCTTAATGAGTCTTCCAAGCGCTCTGGTTTTGATCTCAAGCTGTGATGGTGACATTGCGGTTTGATAGTTTTGATATTTGCTTTAATGATGTTTTTGTGTATGTTTTTGTTTACTTTTTTGTTAACTTGTACAAATTTTTTTCATTCTCTTTACGTCCCGTATTCGTTACCTCATCGCCACGACGCTACAAAGTACTGAAAAGGGTACAGCGGTACGCAACAGAAGGTATGGAAGGTGTTGAAGACCCGATGGCCCAAATAAGGGCCAAGGTGAATGAAACTGTTGAGAGTCTCCAAAGGAAAAAGGAGCTCTTGGTAAGCCATAGATCACAGTATGAGGACCTGAAGTTCAAGCTATTTGACTATGCGCAGATGAGTAAAGAGTCTCATCCACAGATAACCGTGCAAATGACCTCGAAGGCGAAGGTGAAAGCACGTGTGGTTGACCCTTCAAAGATCCTAGTGTTTCTGGGCTGTGAATACTTTGTTGAGAGGGATCCGCAGAGTGCCGTTGATCAAGTTGAGACGAGGTTGAAGTACCTTACACCTGCCATCCATGAATTTGAAACAAAGATCAAAGAGGCTAAGAAAACCGTAGAGAACATTGATACCCTTGTTCAGTATGAAAGTGAGAGAGAGACAAGCACTGATGATCGTGGCGCTCAAAATGCAAAGAATGAAGAAGGTTTGGCATTTATGGATATTAGAGAAGAATTGGATGAAGAGGGAAATGTCATTAGCAGTTCTGTGAATCCTCAGGATGAGAAGAGGTTGCACGACTTTGGTAAAGAACATGGCGTCGACTCAAAGGCGTCTGAAATGACAGAGCTGGAAGAGTTAATGGAAGATATGGGCATTTCTAAAACGCCTGAACCAAAGATTAAGGAAATTGAGGATATTGCTCAACTACCTGACCTTGGAGCCTCTGAGCTTGTCAATGATGCTGTTGAAGAATTTATCAAGGAGAGCGTTGTGGAAGAGAATATTGAAGAAGTCATCGAAGAGGTAGACGACACCAAAGAGGTAAAAGACACCACAGGCACCAAAGACATCATCGAGTCCACAGAGACCACGGATGATGAACCTAAGGAGGATAATGATCAACATCCATATTTTGCACTGTTAAAAGAGATGGGCATAATATCAATCACTGAGTCCAAACTTTGTGATAAAGATGATACAACAAATAGCTCACGTGGAAATATCGACAAGAGTGCTTCCTCTGTTGAGGATGGAGCTAACGAATATGATCCTTCCAAACCAGCAATAGACCCGGATGATATATTACAGTTACAAATCATTGCTGATGAATTCGACGAAGATGACGTTGATTTTGACGATCTAGAGTATGGGTTTGATCAAGACGATTCAACAGATGAAGATACCGATGGTGATTGGGATATTTTATATGAGAGTAAAGCTTTGGTTCCTCCTACAAGCATGGCATTGTTTAAGAAAGAGCTTGAGAAAATGAGAAATGAGAAGACACAAGAAAAAGAAACCATCAACGAAGCTGTCATAGATGATATATTCACCGAAGGTGCAAAAGCAAAGAAGAAGAAATCTGTCTCTTTTGCCAAAGAACTTCAAATTAAAGAAGTTGAGAACATCTCGGAAGAGCTAAAACGGAACCAAAAGGCACAATCAAAAGTTTCAAAGTTTAAACAGATGAGAAATTCAAAGATACCAATCTCTGAAACAAACAAATATGTCAAAGAAGATAAGGTAGTCGAAGAAGAAAGTATAACATCAGATATCGTTGAACGTGATATTGTTGAAACTTTCTCTGGCATCTCTGAAGTGACAGAAAACGGAAAAGAAGCTAAGCCTAAGAGGTTGTCAAAGTTCAAAGCTCAGCATTCGTTGTTGAAACCTAAAACTAGGGCTCCAACAACGCTAACTTGTATTTCACCACCAGTCAGCAACGTTGAGGTTGAAAGTGAATCAACCCCAGAGCTTGATTTTGAAAGTATCAAAGCATATGTACTGAGAGATGAAGATGAAGAAGATGGCGACTTTACCAGAGAACTTTCTGAAGGAATAGAGGTTTATAATCCAGAATTAGATGACGAGGATTCAAACGAAATTAATATGGAAGAAGAAGAGCAAAATGATGAATTGGATGATGGTCCAATAATGCTTGATGAGATTGTTGAAAATGATGAAGTTGATGATCCGGATTATTATGTTAATGATAACATCATTGCGAAGGAATATTCGGACCTTCGTAAAAAGATGTTGGAGAAATATGGCGACAAGTCCCAGTCCAATGATAAGGAACCAATTGTTGTCATTAAGCACCAAGAAGAGAAGAATGAATTGGAACCTATTGACGAACATGGAAACCCAATCAAGGTGAGTCGCTTCAAGAAATCACTCTCAAGACGCTAACTACGTGGGTAAATGACATTTAGAGAATATGGTATGCAACAGTGGTATGGTTTGTGGTTCATATTTGCATCTGAATAGATATCATGATATCCACATCGAGCTTGGACGTTTGTGATGAACTGGGGAAAAGCCATTGAGTGGCCGTGTTGGCGGTGTTCTGTAGTATGGCTTGGTTTCCGGTTGTTCCTCCGGCACTGCCAGTATGCTAGATGTCTGTAATGGCTTAGGACACTCTCTCCATGGATCCAGGGAAGAGTCAAAGTTCTCCTCCACTATGGAAAAGTCGTCCGATGAGGTTTCGGATGGTGAAGTGCTATCTTCAAGTGCCGTGTAATATTCTTCAGGTGACTGTTCCGGTTCAAGTGGTTGGAAAGGAGAATTGTCCTTGTAAAATTGTATGATCTGCGAGCACGATAGATCTGAAATGTTAGAAGAGCTCTGTGAAGCTAGTACATCCTTCGAAAGGCCGTCACCGATTTCCTGTTTCAAAGGTGATGATGACCGTTTAGTGTGCGAAACGGGTGTCACCGGCATTGAAACATGTCTTTTACCTGAGGTAGTGGTAAACTGGTTTCCACTGCTCTGAATGTTTTTCCCAGTCAGTGGCGGTCGTTTGTGATATGTCAATGAGGCACCTGATCTGGATGAAGGGTAGACAGGGAAGCTGTCCTGCAAAGCTGGTGGTTGTTCCAAGCCATAAGGTGGTCCAGTGACAACATCAAACACAGGTGTGCTTACAACCCTTCTTCTTGCGTCACGCTTACCCCTGCTGTACCTTGTCTTTACTCTGATAGGGAGGTCGTCTAATGACTGTATATATGGGCTAGGTGTTGGTATTTCAACAACGATATTATCCATCGAGATCGGCTCCAGGTCGTGTTCCGTGATCCTATCACCTTTAAACTTCTGTGAGTATCTCATCGTGTGTAAGACGTCCCCAATTGATGTACGGTGAACAAAAACACTGTACATACACTACGAGTCTAAAACACCGGGTACTACCATGTTTATATGCTTCTACAATTAAGTTCCATACGCTGTGTTCAATACTCAATACGTTCTTCTCTTGCATCAGCGGATCTAATGGGAAGTGGAGGTCGACATGTCGCCAGCCCCCAAAACGTATATAGAAAGCATATGAATACCACGGCACAGTCACATTGGTGCCTGCTACGAGCACTAACCATGCGGTACAAGACACCTTTGCATGCGTTTGGGTCTTTGAAGGCTGTTGTTACCGTCTATAAGTGGTGCGCAGTGGCTGGCGGTGTTACTAGATACGTCCATGGTGTTTGGATGTGCAGGTGTCTGGGTGTGGTGATGTGCGCTGGCTTGTGTGCGGATGCAGTCGGAGGGAAGGGCTATGGCACAATGCTGCTATGAATGCAAGCGTGATATGGGTCAAATTGTGATCTGAGATAAAGCTCTGAATGTTTATATATAGAACTACATATCAGACGGCTTCAACCCCGCCCCTGAATCAAAAAGAATGGGCGTTGATTCAACGTTCAAACAGCCCATCATCTTCGAAATCGTCATCGAAGTCATCTTCGTAACTGTCGTATTCTTCAGAGTCGTCGTCATCGCTATCGGTCTCACTTTCTTGGCCAGCAATGAAGAGATTGGTCAATGTCTCACCCTTTGCCTGGAACGCCTTGTTGACGATATAGCCACCCTCGATGTTACAATTCGTAAGTCTTGCCTTGGAGTTTACTGTCGCGCCTTGGCCAATGACACAGTTCTCAAGTACAACATCGTCTTGTAGTGTAATGTTATCTAGTAATACGCATCCGGTCAGACGGCATCTGTTACCAATGATACAGTTTTTACCGACAACGGTCTTCTTCACGCTGGTACGTTCACCAAGTTGGGTGTTTTCACCAACGACGGAGTCAGCACCAACAGTAGCAGCGCCCTTTTCCTTGGCCTGTGCAGGCTGCTGTTGTTCTTTAGCTTTCAACTTCATTATGTAACGATTGGATTCAATATATGCAGGAATGTTGTCGGCCCTTATGAAGTTGCACTGCTTTGGCAGCGTAAAGAGCGATATACCGCCCAGCTGATCAGAATGTCTCCATGAGCGACGTGCAAGGTCTCGAACCATCTTTGTAATGGACTGATTCTTATACTCACCAATGTACTTCTTGATGATTGAAATGGCAGCTTGTGAGAAGAAGTAGATGAACGAATCCAATAGCTTTGTAGACACTGTACAGTTTGGGAATCTCCATATCATCTGAGTTCTCAACTCCAAGAATTTCGACTGCTCAACACTGTCTTTGGAGTAGATATCAAGAAGGTGTTGGTCCTCGGAATAAGCTGTATAATAATGAGTCAAGTTCTTCTTGTCAATGCTGTCAAATTTATTGAGGTAGTGGACACTCATTGCAATGTCTTCGTCGTCTCTGTTTCTATATTCTTCGATAAGCACCTGCGGTGGTAGATCGGTGATGAAATCACACGGCAGCAGCACGAAATCACCAGCGTTCTCTATATCTTGAATAAACTCCTCCAGGATCTCGCCCGTTGCGTCACCGTCAAACTTCACAGTCCCAATAGGACAGACAAGAGCCTCTTTCGATCTCTTGGAGCGATACTTCTCCAGGAGCTCCTCGATAGCAGCATTACTCTCAGAATCGGAAACCACAGTGATGGCCCTAAACGGAGCTTGGTCGCACCATTCCAAGACATATTCAATCATTGGCTTGTTCCCAATGGGTAACAGAGCCTTGGGAATACCGGATTCTCTCACAGTGGAGAACGGAGACAGTCCTGTTCCCTTACCACAGCAGATAACAGCATGGAATTCCATCTTAACACTGTGCTCCACGTTGAACTGTTTGAAGAGAAGATGTGTTTATAGCGTAGAGAAAGAGAGAACGAGGAAAAAAAATGCATCATCGAAGCTGCGCTTTGGAAACACAAAACCGCATATTCGAGGGTAAAAGCACCCCGAAAGTGGAAATGTCAAAAGTGGCGAAAATGGATGCCAACAACAACCACAAAAACAACAAACAACAACAACAAACATCGATCTAAGCGGATAGGTATATAAGAACATGAGTGATAACGATCCACTGTTGCAAGCACTGAACGAGGATAATAGTGGTGATGTACCTGAAGCTGCACCACAACAGCCATCTCCGGAGCAATTGGCGAGAGATCGGGCGCTGTCGAAGTATAAGTCGAAGCTATCTGAACACCGTAATTGGGATGCACGTCTAAAGGAGCTTCGTCTGAGTATAAGATCGCTGGAGAGTGATTTCGATAAGACCGAGGACGATATCAAAGCGCTGCAAAGTGTAGGACAGGTGATTGGTGAGGTGCTGAAACAGTTGGATGATGAGAGATTTATAGTGAAGGCTTCGAGTGGACCAAGGTACATTGTCAATTGCAGAAACTCCATCAAGAAGGAGGATTTGAAGCAAGGTGTACGTGTTGCATTGGATATGACAACTCTGACGATAATGCGTATCCTCCCAAGAGAGGTTGATCCTCTGGTTTATAACATGACGACATTCAAACAGGAGGATGTGAACTTTGGAACTGTTGGTGGTTTGTCAGAACAGGTTAGAGAGTTGAGAGAGGTTATTGAATTACCTTTGAAGAATCCAGAGCTATTCCAGAGAGTTGGTATAAAACCTCCAAAGGGTGTTTTGTTATACGGTCCTCCAGGTACCGGTAAGACACTTTTGGCAAAGGCTGTGGCATCCACAATTGGTGCCAATTTCATTTTTTCTCCAGCATCGGCCATTGTGGACAAGTACATTGGTGAGTCTGCAAGATTGATCCGTGAAATGTTTAGCTATGCAAAGGAGCATGAGCCTTGTATCATCTTTATGGATGAAATCGATGCCATCGGTGGTCGTCGTTTCAGCGAGGGTACCTCGGCAGATCGTGAAATTCAGCGTACATTGATGGAATTGTTGAACCAAATGGATGGTTTCGATTACTTGGGACAAACTAAGGTCATCATGGCAACCAATAGACCAGACACTTTGGATCCAGCACTTCTGAGAGCTGGACGTTTGGATAGAAAGATTGAAATCCCATTACCAAACGAGGCTGGCCGTCTAGATATTTTCAAGATCCACACTGCAAAGATCTCTAAACAGGGAGAATTCGATTTTGAAGCCGCTGTAAAGATGAGTGATGGATTTAACGGTGCCGATATTCGTAATGTTGTCACTGAAGCTGGGTTCTTTGCCATTAGAGCTGATAGAGACTACATTGTTCAAAATGACTTGATGAAGGCTGTAAGAAAGGTTGCAGAGACAAAGAAGTTAGAAGGTAAGTTGGAGTACGAAAAGTTATAAGAGGTGTTACATCATGAATCATAATATCAATCACTCATTAGCAAGTGCACTTGTTCTTTTGTAGTGATCATAAGCATCATATCTGTCTATCAGGTGTTTAACCTTGAGACTGCCTTGTCTATCACAATTGCACCCTACTCTGCGACATTGCTGGTACATTCGATTAGCGTGAATACGTCTATAGGTCAGGATTCATCATATCAATCAACTGGATGTTATATATCGTTTAAACCTCTTCCACTGTGGCATTTCAACCAGTTTCGCACTTTACAGTTCTTTAACTGTTGGCCTTAGCTATGGATCTCCAATCGATGGTTGTGAGCCACTGGTCTGTTCAACAGGTCTAGGCATCTTGTGTTGACCAGCAAATCCGTGAGTGTTCGTGGTCCTCACAGTGCTAAATACAATGATTTCCAGAACCCATTGTTCTAACTTCTATTGTCGCAGTTATTGTGCCTTGGCTAATTCTAGTGGACTACTCATCCTGAGTATTACTTATTTATGAGTACTGGGTCTTCATTTCATTCAAGACTGTCTTCTGAGTCTCATCTTCAGATCTCAGCCTGGTATCTCTCCATGGGATATGCTCCTCGTATTTCCACATGAATGGTAGTCATAGGTATCGTGGTCAGTGTAATTTTCAAACAAAATAGCATAAGTTATTGATCTTAACGGACATTGTGTCATTGAGTGCAACCTCAATGGGGAGCTGCACTCCTGTATCCGTGGCACTAGTGGCTCCATTCTTTGCGTATTGGATTATTATTGCTTTCATCTTCTTTAGTTGTAATTGCAGCTCATTGACTAATTCTGCGAAGACGAAGTTACAATGTCCTCCTGAATCAACATGTGCTGGTATCGAAGCATTGTCGTATGACGTGTCAAGGATGATAGAGTCCTCTGCGCCATGTACCTTCACTTGTTGTCTTGAAATACTGTTGTAATCCTCCTCTTCATCACCTTGTGTTTCTTCTTTCACTCTGGTTTAGTATAAAATGACCTTACTGTCTTCTTTAGCTAGTCATCGCTGCGTTAGGGGAGTTTCGTCTGAAATGGCTTGACTCTCCATACAACACAACGCTTGGTTCGTCTTTTGGCGTGCTTGTTAGATTTGGTGGCCATCGTTTCCGAGCTCATCTTGTCTTCATAATCCGCTTCATAGGATTCTGAACTCACAGGAAACAGTGGAGCTGTGTTTGGATCCATAACGACATGAATCGTCACCCCTTCTGTGGTACTCTGTCTCTCTGTGGGTGTCTGCCCAGTGAGCATGATAATAGCACTCAGCCATATCCGCAGGTTTACGTAGCCTCACGGTCATCCTGATACGTGAGTGTAATCCTCTCAAGAAGATCCCCTTTGGCAGGCATCTGTTCTTGAAATCGACCCTCGTCCGTTCCTCATTCACCTGCTCCCTTGCTTCTTGAGCATATTTGTGATTGGTGTACCTTCCTCTGGCATTACCCTTGAGATGCGTTTCGAACATCTCTAGCCATGTGATTCCACCTAGAGAGTCCATGACCGAGCATTGAGAAGTAAATGCATCAAGATAGCTCAAGACCTCCTCTGCATTAGTGTCACCATAGAACTCATCGATATGCATCCGTTCTGTTAGCCTCTGTATGTTTGTATTGTGAATGCTCATATGGACCTCTGGGAATCCGTAAGGACTTGACATTGCTTCTGCTTCTTGAGTGATCCCCAACTTTCTGAAACGCTACCAAGGGTGACGATACAAGCTCTTCACGATACTAATTACAGCAATATTCAGAACAGCCCCCTCTGAGTGCCTATTAATATACTCTGGCTTATTCTTTCCTAACACCTATTCCTGAGTCCTGGATCTGGGGATTATACTGAGCTTAGGTTCCTTTAAGGTGAGCTTGATCCTCAGCTTAACGTTAATCTGATTACTTGAGTTCCTTATGAAAGAAACAGCTCTTCTTCTGCTTTTTCTCTATTGTCTCTTTTATCCATCTTACTGCTCCTATTGCTCTGTTCTCTTATTGTTCTTATCAGCATTACATAGTTTGTTATGTAATTCGTAGCCCGAAGTAGAAACCCCAGAAATCGTGATTAAGGTCCCTTGGCCCAGTTGGTTAAGGCGTGGTGCTAATAACGCCAAGATCAGCAGTTCGATCCTGCTAGGGACCACTTCTTTTTTTGTGCAGATTGGCGTCAGTCACGTGATCTCACTATTTTTAGGATACACTCACAAGTTAACTCTGTGAATTAAACAACATTTAAAATGATATCCCTTGACGTGCCAACCAGTTTCATGCTATATGTACCTCCTTATTCAAGTTCATAGCCCTTTTGAAATCGATAATTGATTGGTTTGTCGTTATTGGCTGTTCGTTCTCATGGAGGTTTCCTTCAAAACTACGACGCGTAACGCAAGCACTATGCAGTACGTTTTAAACGACTTCACCATGGCTGAGGTATTCTCTAAGGTTCTGGTCTTGCGTGTCTCGCCCTTGTTGACGAATCACGAAAGCCATACAGTGCTTTGTGCGTTAATAAAGTGACAGGGCTTATGAGTTTCCTCTTGATCGAACTTTCTGTTGAGAATTGTTGACGTGAAGCTACAACCACTCGTTCCTGCACCTTCTCCACCTATGCTGTGAACTGGAACAAATACTTACCGTTGAACAGCATCAGTCGTGGAGTTCTCAGTAATTCTACCCGGTATGTACACTGTATACACCTCACACGACGTTGATGTGCTCATCATCGTCAAAACCCCGTACCTTCAGCTCAAAGCTCGAAATCACTAAGCGGACAATCCCGAGAATGATTTGTCCTCTCCCCTCGTCCACCCCCGCCCCCACCACACAAAATAATAGGCGTCGTATAATACAAAATGTACGCCTTATAAAGCCATGTACAAACTCACTCCAACGATGTAAAATCCAACCTGTAACAGGGTTCGCCACAGTCAGCCAATACAGAGGCTCCTTATCGACAGCTGAAGTTTATTACACACTGTCATGCTAAGCCGGAATGGGGATTTTAGTCCTGCCCTTTCAAATTAGGCGGGAATGCTTTGACAAGTGTTCCCGCCGCTTCGCCTTGAATCGTTGTGGCTAAACTTAGAGCGTCCGGCTGATGCCTTGAGGAATCGATTTTATCCATTGTGACTTGACAATGTATTCTTCCTCGTCAACTCTCATTGCTGCTGTGTGTATTCTTTTCTCTCTCTCTCATTGACGTGTTTGGTTCTGATACGTCATTTTCTCGTTGCTTTACCGGACAGTGCGTGATATCATTGTCCATTGTTTGTTCAGTCCATCTGAACAAAGGTTTGCAAAGACTGATTTGGGTTTATTAGTTGCAGTGGTGTAAGAAGGAAAGACCATGGGCAAGAAAGGGTTATCTTCAAAGGTCAAGAGGTCATTATTCGTTTCCGGGTTATCGCTTTCATTATGCCTTACTGGTTTTCTGCTCTTCTACAATGCTGATCGCAATCACCTGTTCCAGCCTGCTGAGCATGACACGTACGATCCCTTAACGTACAAGGTGTCTCTTCCCAGCGGTGACGAGTCGAATACCGCTGCAACGCGTAACAAAGGAGAGGATGAACAGTCACATGTTCACCTCGAGAATATACTACCACTGGTCCGTCACGGCGACATATTGCAAAGGCTCAGCAGTGGACAAAATGGCGGCTCGGTCTATACGTTCTTCAACGATGCGATTATCAGCAGGCTCTCGCCTCAGGAACAGGGATACCATAAGACCATGCTGAGAAAGTTCATTCAACTTTACCACTCGCTGGGGTTTAACGTTCATATACTGAACTATATGGACGCTGTTATAAATCCAAATGCTACAAGACTTATGTCTCAAATGTCTATCAATGAGCAAGCTAAAGCAGTGATTCTATCAATGTTGGCCTGGCAGGCCAAACTCCAGGAGAGTGGGGATACTGAAGGAGGTTTATACTCCGATTATGAAATCTTCCCAATGAGTAACGAGCAGTCATTGAATCAGCTCACAAGTACAAAGATGAATAGTCTAACTACACTGAAAGGGTATGGATATAGGTTGATGGTTAGTGACATAACTGGTGTCGATAATTTCATTGAATCTTTGTTGGAGAACGACACGATAGCTCCAAAGGTCTTTGAAATTGACCAGTATAACTCTGTGTTTGCAGATTATTCGATAAACACGTGGAGAAAATTGTTGAACACCGATAACTTGAGGTTCTTAATAGATGAGATCCCAAAGATATTGAACGCTCATTTACACCGCTGGAGACTTGCACGGTATGACACCGTCACAGTTGTTGATACAATCTCAATAGGCAGTCATTACTTTTCAAAACCGATACTACTGGCTGTAAAGAGTCTGTTGAAAACCTCAGGACACGAACTTATCTATCCAATACCCACAATATCCTTTGTCGAGAGATTCGTGGTTGAGATCATGGATGCTTTACCCTGGAGGACATCCATGGATACCTCACAATATGACCAGGAGCGATCCTTAAAACAAATGCAAGAACTTTTAAAGCCATTCATCCATGATCATCAAAAAAACTGGAACGTCGAAATAGTTTCCTCTCTGGATATGAATGACAATGACAAGAATTTGAAATTGGTCTCCATTCCACATCCATTATCACTGGGTACTGCTATTGATCTCAATACTAAGGGTATGGTGACAAGTTCGCGTATGTCATCAATGAATCAACACGATTTCTTCTCCCAACATCTCGTCGATTCCCAAAACGTTGAAGATTTGAAGAGTTATATGGTTAAAGATCACAGCACCATTGTCTTCAACTCAGAAACACTCTCAACTAAGCAGTTTACTCACGCTATAGCGCTCAATTTGGGTTTCGATATAGACGGTGTTAGCGACGAATGGGGCGTTGAATATCAGGATAAGGCCAAGCCGCTTAACGAAGTGCTCAAGCAAGAGTTGACGATTTCAGAGGGTGATTTCAAAATGAAGATGGAGATGGCCAGGAACTTGGTGACTCATTACGAATCGCCCAACAGCTACACTGAAACCCAGAGACAAAGCGAAGAAACATTGAAAACCTATAGAGATAAGATGAAGAACACCCCTAATTCTTATGGTATTGCTGATGACCTGGAGAGTAAACTTGACGATTTATCGTATAGTGAAATACGCCATGATCCTATGGTGGACTTTGCCGAACTTTGGAATCCCAATGATACTGAGCTTTGGTGGTTGGCCAAAAGTTTGAGATACATTGATGAAGTTGTTGCAACTTCATTAGCAAATTGGTGAATTTTCATCTATCACGCTTCAACTTTTTAATGGCATCATCAATCAACCCTGCGGATTTGAGCAATTCCTCGTCAGTATACTTCAAGAAGCTCTCTTTCCAACCTATCCACGTTTCCTGTGAACTCAACCGCTGGGATACTTGCTCGCTATCGAGTATATATGCACTTTCTTGCCAGATAAGAAAGTCCTATTTTGTATTTGTTAGTGTGAATCTCTTTATGCACTTTTCCCTCTTCCCTTTGCTACTAGATGTATATTGATGTGTCTATCGTTACCCTGTTAAGCCCTTCAAATTCCTGTGTAATATCTTCCATTGTTTTGGAGTACTCGTTAAAGATGCTCTCTGAAGTTTCCAAGATCGTCTTCCAATCAAAATGTGCGCCCAGGTCCACGTTCTCTGAAGCGCTAGCGCATAGCTCTCTCAATATCGACACAATCGCCTCTCTATTAACCTCTAGCGCCTTATCGAAGCGCTTGCTGGTTTGTGAACTCACGCCCTTAGCCTGAGGCCTCAAGTGCATCGCCACTGGAGAAGTCTGTGGAGTTGTTGTCACATCCTCCGGAGCGCTTACCGTTGTAATCGTCGAATGGTTGAAGTGGTCCTCCTGCACTACAGTGGAAGCCTTGGTCTGTGCTTCTTTTTGATTCATTTAGAATGGAGACTATGCTAGAGTTTTATGGTTGTTGTTGTTGTTGTATTTGGTTGTGACTTCTTATACAAAAAACATCAACACTTCTCCCATTACCGCCCTTCTGCTTTCTCTCGTTTTCCCTCGGCAGTTTCTCAACCCAATTTGACACATAAAAGCGTGTGCTTGTGTGTTTTTTTGTTTCAGCCGCTGTTGCCTGGGACACCAGCAGATGCAAACACCGACGCACAAACAAACCCACTTGACCATGGGTGTGTGTATGTTTTGACAGTCCGTTTCCTTGTTCAACACATTCTTCGGGAGCTGTACGTGTATGTTTGGATGAAATTGGAACAAGGATACTCAACAGTGCTCGTGTAGATACGCAATCGGCCAATAAACTGTGAATTCCATGCTTCTTGTTACGCAGTTGTGGAAGCTTCTCGGCACAACAAATAGTTGAGACCAGGATTTCTCCGACGATATTAATTCGGAAACTGGGACAACATTTGAAAAGCAAAGGAAGCACCATTGGCTTCCAAAAACAAAAGGCACAACGAGCTGAACAATGGTTTTCAATGAGGAAGGCAGCTTACAGTTATATATGTAGCATTATATGGCGTACGTTTGCCATGGACTGTAATCGGAGTCGCTTGTGGGAGCGAAGAAAGCAAAGCGAAGAAATGTAAACACCGCCCGCCTGGGGTTTTCTCGTAAGGGTTTCCCACGGGCCCAAAATTCCTAAAGCCGACTTCCGAGAAGAGTTCAGCCAGCGGGCACCTGGCCCCATTCCTCTTCTCATCTCACAGCCCACGTAGAGAGGTGTTCTGTGTGTTTTGAGTGATTTGTTTTTGTTTCTGCTTGTTGCCGCTTCTGCTTGCTGTTGTTTCTGTTCGTTGTGTTATGCGTAGAGAAGAGTTCCCTTGCGCCTCCTCATACTGTTCAGCCGCAAAATAAGAAGGGAAAAAATTGATCGATTGTTGTTGTCGATCAACTGTTTGTTTTGCTTTTGTTGTGCTAATATTCGACCTTAAAACGTTTCAATTCCGCTCCCTTGTGTCCTGTGCCTTTTCTGCTTGATTCCACTCTCGCCTGTCGGAAAACTTGTGTTTAAAGAAGGTACAACCAGGCCCTCCAACTTGCTAATCGCACACAGCTACCAAGACACAAGGACCGTAGTGAAATGAAGTTACAGGATAGGGTCAACAACTACTTTGACCCTCCAAGGAAGTTGGTTCCGAGAACCGTTTTGTTCAACTATGAGTCACTACCGGCTGACTTTGTCGATGCAAAGACAGGAAGGCCTATTGCCGATTATGATAAGAACGATATCAGAACTTCAAAATATACCCCGTTTTCCTTCATACCGAAAAACCTGTTCTATCAGTTCCAAAACGTTGCTAATGTCTATTTCTTGACTCTTATCATTCTTGGAGCCTTCCAGATCTTTGGTGTTCAAAACCCAGGGTTGGCTGCTGTGCCGCTGGTTGTGATTATAGTTCTTACTGCCATCAAGGATGGGTTTGAGGATTCGAGAAGAACAATATCGGATCTTGAAGTGAACAACAACCCTGTGACGATTCTTTCAGGTATACCAAACGTCAATGTCGATGGTGAGAACTTATCTTTCAAACAGAAGTTTGACGAATTCAACTCGACTCTGTTTATCAAGATTGTTAAATTCTTTGGTAGATTGTTTAGCAAGAAACAAGCTGCAAAGCAAAGAGAAGAAGCATTGGAGAAACTGGCTGAAGCAAGAACGTCCTTTGATACCCTCGCCACTGACATTAGAAGTGTGAATGATAGCGTAGATCTGACGACTACAAATACAAACATTCCTATGAATTTGCAGGAGATCACCACTAGAGCTTCAAAGTCCGCACAACAAAAGGCTACAAAACGTACTAAGTTTGCTAAACGTTCTTGGAAGGATATCAAAGTTGGTGATGTTATTAGAATTCGTAACAACGAATCTGCCCCTGCTGATCTCATCATCTTATCCACTTCGGAGGAAGAGAGTAAGTGCTTTGTGGAGACAAAGAACTTGGATGGTGAGACAAACTTGAAGGCTCGCCAGGGCTTGAAGCATACAAGCACCATTCGTAAATCCGCAGACCTCCTCGAATATAAGTTTGAAGTCAGATCTGAGGCACCTAGTGTTGATATGTACAAATACAGCGGTTCTTTGAACTGGGAAGAGGAGGACGGAGAACATGAAGAGCCTATCAATATTGAAAACCTGATCTTGAGAGGCTCTAATTTGAAAAACACAAGATGGGCAATTGGCCTGGTGTTGTTTACTGGTCATGAAAGTAAGATCATGTTGAACGCTGGTATCACTCCTTCCAAACGTTCTAGAATCTCTAAAGAGTTGAACTTGTCTGTTTTCATCAACTTTGCCTTTCTATTCATTCTTTGTTTGGTCTCGGGTATTGTTAACGGATTCTTTTATGCAAAGGACGACACATCATTTACCTTTTTCGAGTATGATGCTTATGGATCTACACCAGCTATCAATGGTATCATTTCATTCTTTGTTGCTATGATCTTGTATCAGGCCCTTGTCCCGATTTCCCTGTACATCTCTGTGGAAATCGTTAAAACTGCACAGGCTTTTTTCATTTACTCTGATGTTGAGATGTATTATGAACCATTGGATTACCCATGCACTCCAAAATCATGGAATATATCTGACGATCTTGGTCAAGTTGAGTACATCTTTAGTGACAAGACTGGTACATTGACTCAGAACATTATGGAATTCAAAAAAGCAACTGTGAATGGTAAGAGTTATGGCTTAGCCTACACAGAGGCACAGATTGGTATGGATAAAAGAAAAGGTGTGGATATTTCGGCTTCTACTGAGAAATGGAGAACTGCCATCGCTGCTGATAAGGAAGAGATGTGTAAAGAATTGGTTGCTCTTCCGCCAAATAGTCAGTTTGATCCGGATCAGCTTACTTTTATCTCTAGTGAATTTGTGAAAGACTTGAAAAATGGCGACCTCCAAGCCGAAGCCAACGACAGATTCATGTTATATCTGTCTCTCTGTCATACTGTGCTCACTGAGCCAGATCCAGATGACACTTCAAGGCTTCTTTTCAAAGCTGAGTCTCCAGACGAAGCTGCTTTGGTTCAAGCTGCGAGTGATGTTGGTTATACATTTACCAAGAGAACCAGAAATGGTGGTGTTGTACGTATCCAAGGCAAGGAACTGGAATTTGAAATCATGGCAATGCTCGAGTTTAATTCCACAAGAAAAAGAATGAGTATTATTGGAAAGGCCAATGGCAAGATTATGTTGATCACTAAAGGAGCAGATTCGGTTATCTTTGCAAGATTGGATCCAAAACTGAACAACCAGGATATGCTTCGCCAAACTGCAAGTTACCTTGAAGAATACGCAAGCGAAGGCTTGAGAACTTTATGTATTGCAGGACGTGAACTCACTCAAGAGGAATTTGAGACTTGGAAAGCTGAGTATGATTCTGCTGCCGCTTCCCTAGAACATAGAGATGAGAAGATGGAAGCTGTTGCCAATAAAGTTGAGTCAAATTTGATACTATATGGTGGCACTGCTATTGAAGATCGACTTCAAATCGGTGTTCCAGAATCTATCGAGAGCTTAGGTAAAGCTGGAATCAAACTTTGGGTCTTAACTGGTGATAAGATTGAAACTGCCATCAACATTGGGTTCTCTTGTAACCTTCTTGGTAACAATATGGAGCTGTTGATTCTTCGTGAGAATGAGGATGAACATGATATGCAGGGAAGTATAGAAAATTCACTGAAACAATACCTCTCCAAGTTCTCACTCACTGGTTCTAAAGAAGAGCTTCATCAGGCCAAGAAGGATCATTCTATCCCAACATCTGAAACTGCTGTTATAGTTGATGGTGGTGCACTCACTACGATCTTTGAGCACGAGGACCTCGAGCGTATGTTTCTGTTGTTGTGTAAGCAGTGTAAAGCTGTGCTCTGTTGTCGTGTTTCGCCAGCCCAGAAGGCCAAAGTGGTCAAACTGGTTCGTGATTCTTTGGATGTCATGACTCTTGCCATTGGTGATGGTGCCAACGACGTTGCGATGATTCAAACTGCTAACGTTGGTGTCGGTATTGTTGGTGAGGAAGGTCGCCAAGCTGCTATGTCTGCAGACTATGCATTTGGTCAATTTAGATTCTTGACAAGGCTGGTGTTGGTCCATGGAAGATGGGATTACAAACGACTCTCTGAAACCATCCCTGTGTTTTTCTACAAGAATGTCGTCTTCACGTTGACTCTGTTCTGGTACGGTATCTTCAACAACTTTGATGGAAGTTATCTTATGGAGTATACCCTAATTATGTTCTACAACTTGGCCTTTACCTCCCTTCCGATCATCTTCTTGGGTATCTTTGACCAAGACGTCGAAGCAGATGTTGCCCTCAAAGTGCCACAGTTGTACAAGAGTGGTATATTGAGGCAAGAGTGGAACCAATGGAAATTCATGTGGTATATGTTTGATGGGTTGTACCAGTCTGCCGTCTCTTTCTTCTTCCCTATTCTGATCTTTACTGGAGGAATCCTGGCCACGTATAACGGATTAGGAATCGACCATAGATTCTGGATAGGTAACATGGTGTTGATCATCAGTGTTACCGCGTGTGACCTATACACGATCTTGAGACAGTACAGATGGGACTGGCTGACTCTTTTGGTTGACACCATCTCCGTTCTTCTTGTTTTCTTCTGGATTGGCGTGTATTCCTCTTCGACATACTCTGGAGAGTTCTACAAATCCGGGGCCCAGGTGTTCGGATCGTTATGCTTCTGGGTTGTTTACCTAGCTGGTGTATTGGCATGTCTGATACCGAGATTCGTCTTCAACACCGTGATGATCTGCTTCTTCCCACGAGACATTGACATCATTAGAGAGTGTGTCGCCCGCGGAGACTTCACAAACGACAACACCTTCCCCCTTGACGACGAGGAAAAGGCTCTTGATGGCGCAAGCAGTGGCACCGGCTCCTACAACATCAACGCCAGACACTCCCTCGAGAAGGTTGTTACCCCAAGTAACCTACCAGAGCTTTCCACCGTGCAATCATTGGTTCGCACATTCACCCAGGCTAGTACAAATATTTAGAGTATCATGTTGTTAGTTGTTCTTTCTTATCAGAGCTCAATTGGTGTAGCTCTCGTATCCACACCACCATCATTGCCGTAGTAGCCTGCTACACCTCCCTCTGCCGTGTTGGTGGGCTCGATAATTCGGGTGTCAAGCCTCGGTTTTCACGCCCTTTTATGGACACCGAGAGCGTTTCCTAACGTCTCAGCACACAAACACCGATCAACACACGTTTACGACACACAAAGCACCCATACACCACCTCAAGGGCCCGTCAATTCCGCACGCTGCTACGCCATGAAGCTCCTGACCGTTGTCCTAGTGCTCTACGCCGGTTTCTGCCTGGCAATCACCAACGAAAGGCTGTTGAAGCTTCAAGAGAGGAGTGGTGGCTCGTTCATCAAGCTGACAAAGTCCAACTTCAACGAGGTGCTGGCTGGCCCACGTAACGCCACGATCATCACCTTACTCACTGCGACGAACCCCGAGATTGGATGCTCCACGTGCCAGAACATCGCGCCGGCGTTCGAGCAATTGGTTGACTCGTGGAGCCTGGACCACCCGGATGGTGATGGGCTGTTCTTTGCCAGGGCCGACTTAGCGGAGGGCCATCCTGATATCTTCCAGGCGCTTCGTCTGAACAACGTCCCCAAGCTCTACGTGTACGGCCCGACTAACGACAGCACTCCACTCACGGAAGGTTTCGAGGTCTGGAACGTCCCGCAGAGTATAGACTTTGTCGACCATGTCGTTGCAACGATTGCTGAAAAGCTTGGGAAGAGGGTTGACCTTCATCAGCCGGTTCAGTGGGGCTCAATTGCCATCACCGTGGGCTCTGTGATGCTGTTCCTGTGGCTCTTGCAGAACTACTCAAGATACTTCATTCTGCTGATCACCAGCAAGACGTTGTGGGGTGGCTTCGCAGTGTTTTTGATCCTGATCTTCACTACTGGCTACATGTTCAACAATATCAGAGGTATGCCATTCATTATGCAAGACGATAAAGGTCTACCAAAATACTTTGTCCAAGGTCAACAGCAGCAATTGGGTATCGAGACACAGGTGATCAGCGCAATCTATGGTATGCTGGCGCTGTCCGTGGTGTTCTTAGTGATCAAGGCCCCAGGCCTTGCGGACGCCAGAGTACGCTTCGGAATCGTCCTCTATCTCTTGGGCCTGAACATCGTCTTGTTCAGTGTCTTCCTCTCGATCTTCCAATTCAAATCGTCTGGTTACCCATTCCACTTGTTGAACATCTGGTCCCCAAAATAATAGACGTCCATCAGCACGCGTATAGGATAGTATAGTATACAATATTGACTGTTCATGTCACCATCTGTCTCTTAACCCTGGCCTCGATCACGTCCAGCCTGTCCAGTAACACCATGAGCCTCTTCTTCACTAGCGATAGCCTCTCCTCCATGGCCTTGACGTCTGTATCGATTTCAGCCTGTGACTGCCATCGCTTCACCTTCTCGTCGATGGCCTTGATCCTCGCTATTAGCACAACCTGTGATTCGTGCACCGTCTGCAAATGGGTGGAAAGAACCTCGAGCGAATCACCAACAACGCTTTGCACTACGAGCTCCAACGGGTGAATATCGGGTCTCTGTGCTGTTCTGAACCTGAACTCTGGCATCTGTGTGTACCGCGTGCCTGGCTCGTTAGGGAGAAAAGAACGTGTGTGAAATTTTCACAACAAAACATCAACATCAACATCAACACATTCAAGTAAAACCACACAAGGGGGCGAATGTCGAGCTTAAACGCCTATTTAAACAGTGAGTACACTGTGTGCTTATACGATTTTCCTCGTTACTAACTCTTGGGCTTTCCGTGAACAGAAAAGGTTGCTGTTCTGACGTCTGACGGGCGGTTCTTTGTCGGTGTGCTCGAAGGATATGACCATTCAACAAACCTCATACTATCAGATACGCAGGAGAGGGTGATAGTTCCTGCTGAAGAAGGTGAGAGTATAATCGACGAGCTGGGGCTGTTTGTCATACGCGGTGATTTGGTGGTGTGTGTAGGGGAAATTGACGAAGCTTTGGACAAGAGCATCGACTGGACAAGAGTACACGGGTCAACGATACAGAAGACAAAGAAGTCTATAAGGTGAGGCTACAACGATCACAGCAAGTATGTTAATAATGGATTTAATAATGGAGAATATTATCACTTAATGGCACGCCATAGTGTCTCTTGGCTCGCCGTGGAAGATGTGATGTCCAAGCGTGGCACCGACAACAACGGCCAGCATGACCCATGCGTTGTAGCTCATGAAGATCAACATGATGATGTAGCTGTAGCCAACAACAAGGCCATATCCAACGGACTTGGTCCAGCCATTCCCTTGAATGTTGGTGTTAGTATCTTCAATTCCCTCGTCACTGATAGCAATCCCCCTCTCCTCTGTGGAATGATTGGTTTGGCTAGTGTTAGTGGGTCATGAACTTTCTCGCAATATGGGATAAACACGGTACTCACCTCTTTGCTTCTTTGTCACCTTGGCACGGAGGGCTTCGAAGCCAACACAGAGAACAACAACGAGCAGTAGGGATACAATGAACTGCAGAAGCGTCTTGATGTGCCATGACGACGATAGCAGGCATAGGTTGTGATAATCCCACGATAGAAGCATGTTCATCGAGCACATATCGTCCATCGGCATATCGTGGTCCATCTGTGAGTGGTCCATCATTGAGTGATCCATGATTGTAATCTGATCCGTGCTATCTTCACGCTGTTAATACTCGGTATCCTTCAACGAACACAAGACATCGCACCCCAATCTCATCGAACATCGATGCCACGGTCTCTTTATAAACATGGGCCCAGCTCCGGGCTTTGAGAGAATACGTACGACGTGCTTAATCGATGTACTTTCCGGGCCAAAACCTCCGCTTGAAAGTGCTCAGGTTGTTGAGTAAGTGGTGGTTTGATTGGCATTAATTGGTATCAGAAGCCACACCCGCATCTGATGAGCCCCGGTATGTGTGTTGCTGTGGTAACCGTGGTAACCGTATGGTTTGCGCCGCATTTTTGCTCGTTTTTGCGATAATAATTATACTTATATAATGGTGATTATATAATTATTTTTGATTATGGTGCTTGATGTAATGCGAGTTGTAAACAGATAAAGCTTGGGATAAAGTCTCGGCTGTGGTTTCCTGGTTAACATTATCACGAGATTGATGGTGTATCATTACAATCAGAACTTTTTTACATCGTGTGATTTTGTTGCTTTCTTGATACTAATATCTATGACGAAAAGACAGCCCGTCCATCTAATGAATCATAACATCAAAACTTTATAAATGACACCAATCAGCGTCGCTCACATGAATGTTCTATTTCTGCCGGATATTACAACAAGCTTGTGCTCTCAAACGATGCTTTCCCCTGTAAATTAACAATTATAAGAGTAATTTGATATTGGAAAAGACCACCAGAGAGTTACATCCGGACATCACACGGTACGGATACATAGACACGTATATAAAACATCCAAACACCAGGGGAAGAAGCTCATCGACTCTCGGCCGTCTTCACAGGTTGCAACAGGGCATATTCAACAATCATCACAGTCACACTGGAGGAAGGGGTGCTGATACCCGTACAACAGTGCTGGTAAGTGCTTCAAGCAGACTGTGCGCACGTGCTGTTTATCGTTCGTGAGGTTCCGTTTCTAACAGGGTGTGTAGACCCATAGAGACGTAAATCAGCGCACTAGTCTGTTCACAACCATTGGTGAGCCAGATGAGCTTGCGCTCTGGAATGTCAGAGCCCCATATACAGCTAGGCTTGAACCTCATTTGAACAGCACTGATATGACACTCTTCACTGCGATCACCTGCACATGTTCTCTTGACTATGTTGCCAATGTGTTTTGCATGTTGTCGATTGAAGTCCATATTGGGAAAGTTTTCCACACTTTCGATCAGTTGCTTATGTATGTAATTGATACCTCTTTGGGATATCAATGATAGAAATATCAAACTCTGACACAATAAGACTTACTGCTGGTGGATCAAGAGAATATCAGGTAAGTGTCAGAAGTTGTGAGGTGTTTGTTTGAAGGTTATGGATATAAAACCAACGGTGTCTCTCCAACATTACTCATAAGCATCAGAGGCTTTGAACAATCAATCAAACCAAACAATCACCGATACAGGTAACACTTTCAATTACAATAAATATGAGATTCTCCACTGCTTTCCTTGCTGCTGTTCTCTTGACCTTTTCTAACAGGGTCTCTGCAGACGTTTCTACCGAAACTGAAACTGAAGGTTCTGCTGCTGACGTTGAGTTCCCATTCTCTGACGATGCCATCATTGAGGCTGTTGCCCTTGCTGATGACATTGCTCCAATCGTTTTGAACGATGCTGTCTTCTTCGTCAACACCACGATTGCTGATGCTGAGTTGGAGGCCTCTGGTTTGTCTAAGCGTGAAGCTGATGCTTGGAGATGGAGATACTATGCGCTTGGTCAGCCAATTGCTAAGAGAGAGGCGGAAGCTGACGCTGATGCTGAAGCCGGTGCTGATGCTGATGCCTGGAGATGGAGACGTTACGCTCTTGGCCAACCAATTGCTAAGAGAGAGGCAGAAGCTGACGCTGATGCTGAAGCCGATGCTTGGAGATGGAGATACTATGCCCTTGGCCAGCCAATTGCTAAGAGAGAGGCGGAAGCTGACGCTGATGCTGAAGCCGGTGCTGATGCTGATGCCTGGAGATGGAGACGTTACGCTCTTGGCCAACCAATTGCTAAGAGGGAGGCCGAGGCTGATGCTGATGCTGAAGCCGATGCTTGGAGATGGAGATACTATGCCCTTGGCCAACCAATTGCTTAACTGTCCAACAAATCAACTCTTATAACCCACTACGTTGCACCTTTCTCTTTTCCGTACGCAGATATCAGGCCTATTCTCTCGGGGTGACTCTTGATCTTATCTTTTACTACTTCTATATCGACGACTTAAATTACTATTATATTGGACTGTGAACGCAATTAGTAGTTCCCTGCAATGTTCAGTTGTATATCTTTGCATCCACATAGTGCTTCTCTTCACCAATTCCAATGTGTGGTGGAATTCCAAAGCCTTTCATCTTAACAGCCAACTCCAAGAGATAATCAATGGCTTCGTTATACACCTTCGCCTTCCACACGGTCTCACCCCAGACGTAGATACCATGTCTTCTAACGAGAACTGCCGTTGTTCCAGGATACTCCTTGATTGCACGCTGAAGGGCATCTGTCAGGTCCTCCTCATGTGCAGTGTTCTCAATGATAGGAATCACCAACGTATCAAAGAACCCCAAATAGCCAGCCTCCACAACCTTTGGAATCGCCTTGATCTGTTCAATGTTGGCAATTCTGAACTCCTTCTCGTACAACAACGTGCACATCACAGCAGCTTGTGAGTGTGTGTGGATACACGCCCCTGCACCTCTCAGATCATAGGCACTCATAAACAACGGAGTACAAGCCGAGGGCTTGTACACCTCAGGACGTCTGGCGTATTCCTTGGTCTCATGGTCCATCACGAACATGTTTTCCGGAAGCATACGCTCCTTCTGAACTCCACTAGGGGCGATGTAGATGAGGTTGTCCTTCTTTATGGAGATCCCTCCACCGGTGCCAGTGACCCAACCGTGGTCGTAGAACAGTCGGCACAGCTCACAGATGAGGTTGGCTGGATGAGCCGGATCATCTGATTTGACGAGAGCATCATTCTCTGAAAGCTCCTTAGCGGGATGAGAGCACTGGCATGCCATTGTTGAGTGTAGACTTCCCAGCCCTTGTGCTTCTCCAGTTATGGCTGAGGGGGGGGGGAGAGAAGTGGGTTTTTCCCACCACAAGAACAAGTCACGTGGGCTCCAGCGAGCGATGATCCACGATGATGAGCAAGATGGCTCTACAATGCTACAGCCAAGTGTCATGAAAACAACTTAAACCGTTAAAAGAAGCTATATAGGGAAAACGTTACTCATACTTAGATGTTGACAGACTTTCTGAAGTTGGCACCGGCGTAGATGGCCTTGTCACCCAACGTTTGCTCGATTCTCAAGATTTGGTTCAACTTGGCCAATCTCTCAGATCTAGCTGGAGCACCGGTCTTGATTTGACCAGATCTCAAACCGACAGCCAAGTCAGCGATGAAGGTGTCCTCAGTCTCACCAGATCTGTGGGAGACCATGACACCCCAGCCGGCAGCGTAGGAGTCCAAAGCAGCCTCGATGGACTCAGAAAGGGTACCGATTTGGTTGACCTTAAGCAAAAGAGCAGAAGCAGCCTTCTTCTCGATGGCAGTCTTGATTCTTTGTGGGTTGGTGACGGTCAAATCGTCAGCAACGATTTGGATGTCAACCTTGGCAAGGAAGTGGGTCCAAGCATCCCAGTCATCCTCAGCGAATGGGTCCTCGATGGAGACAATTGGGTAGTCCTTGATCAATTGCAAGTACAAGTCAGCAAGCTCTTGACCAGTCAACCACTTGGAAGCGTCGGAGTTTGGGTTCTTGAAGTCCAAGTCGTACTTACCATCCTTGTAGAACTCGGAGGAAGCAACATCCAAAGCGATGGAGACCTTACCTTCGTAACCAGCAGACTTGATAGAATCAACAATCAAGTCAAGGGCCTCCTTTGGAGTGGAGATATCTGGAGCAACACCACCTTCGTCACCAACGTTACCAGCAGATTGGCCGTATCTCTTCTTGGCCAAGGACTTCAAGGTGTGGTAAACCTCAGAACCGATTCTCAAAGCCTCGGAGAAGCTGTCAACACCAGTTGGAACAATCATGAACTCTTGGAAGGCAAGAGCACCACCGGCGTGGGAACCACCGTTAAGCACGTTTTGGAATGGAACTGGCAAAACGTATGGCTTTGGAGTGTCAGCAAGGTCAGACAAGTGTTGGTACAATGGGACACCCTTCTCAGCAGCAGCAGCGTTGGCAGCAGCAAGGGAGACACCCAAGATGGCGTTGGCACCGAGCTTGGACTTGTTTGGAGTACCGTCAAGGCTCAACAAGAGCTTGTCAACGGCCTTTTGGTCCTTCACGTCGACACCAGAGGCAACAACGGCTGGAGCAATAATGTCGTTGACGTTGGCAACGGCCTTCAAGACACCCTTACCGAGCCACTTGGACTTGTCACCGTCTCTCAGCTCAAGAGCCTCGTGCACACCGGTGGAGGCACCGGATGGAACGATGGATCTGAAAGTACCCTTCTCAGTGGTGAGCTCAACCTCGACGGTTGGGTTACCACGGGAGTCGTAGACGTATCTAGCAAAGACCTTGGAAATAGCCATTGTGTATTGGTTTCAATTGAGTGTGTGTGTGTGTGTTGGTTGTTCTTGTGAAGAAACAATTGCTTGTAGTACACAGCAAGAGAAGAAACAAAACACCGCTACAAGGAATCTGCAAAACAGGAATTATCCATCATATTTATACGCATCCCATCAACCGCTCCCCCTGATGCCACCGGCATTTTTTCGCCTCTGGCGACCCACACCGTCCTCAGCGGACGTCCCGTGGTGTGGTTGCTCCTGGCTACGTGTTGTGTTCGCTGTCGCAGGGACGCACTGGCCTGTGCGGTCCCGTCACGCTACGGTGCTGGCGTGCTGTGGCCGTTGGTCGCTGGTGTGGTTCCGTGTGCCTCTGCGTAGGCCCAGAGAAACCAACTGAGCCAATTGGGCCAATTGGGCCAGTAGGACGTGCTGGCAGAACACCGCTGCGCTGTCCTTGACCGTAGTTGTTGTGCTTGCTCTGCTGTGTACGCTCTCCGCCCACGGCCTCCAGCGGTGCCCTCAGCCTCCAGCGATGCCCTCAGTTCTCCGGCTCATGCAAGTCACCCGTCCTTCAACCGGGCGCCAGCTGACGAGTGCCTGGGCAGAGAACAGGCCCACAGGCCCACCGCGTAGCTACGGGGGAACATGGGCGTACAACACGAGGTTGTGGTGGAGCTCGTCGTCGTCTGTTGATAGTTGAGGAGCATGGCACGCCGCAGTTCAGCCCTCTGTTCAAGGGCCCTTGTGTGTGCGACGTGAGCACCACCAACTGGGCGCAGAGTGTGCGCCTGTGCGGTGAGCAGCGGAAATTGTGTCATCAGTTGATGTCGTTGACCAGTACGCACCGCACGCTGGTGGTGTTTCGAGGTGAGATTACGCAATTGGGAAGCGCACACGGGCTACGGTTGCGAAGAGGAGGGCGTCGTGTTGACAGAGGGGGTTACATCTACGATTGGCGAGTACAAGGGCCATGGGAGAGATTTGGCGATGATAGTTGTGGTGGAAGGACGTGCTTCTGCAATTTTGGAGTGATGTGTCGTGTTTGTTAGCATCAGCATCGGGCAGAGGAGCGGGCAGAGGAGCAGGAGAGTCCCGGGCGCTCTGTGAGCGGGTTGGTGGCCCGGAGACAGCGCGCTGGGATGGTGCGGATGGGATTGTTCCTCCCCTACGAGACGTTGGGGATGGAATGGGATGAAATGATGGAATACGTCTTGATAACACGTCCTCTTCTCCAATTGACAGCCAACCAGGCCGGAACATGACCATTGAAGAATCCGTCGACGTCTTGAAGTACACCTCGTTCATAAACTTCCCCACGCTGCCCTCCGACCACTTCCTCCCCAGGCGTGGCTCAGAGCGATGTTAACGAATACGAGTTCTTCCTGACGCAGGTTTGGGATGAACCGTTCCCGGAAGAGTTGGCACAGACGTGGATATCGTGTGGAGGTGAGAACTACAAAAGCAATGGCTTTTGTATGCTGGGACCGGACGTTGGCCTGTTGAGCCTGGGCGAATCGCTAGACATCTGGAGCAGACTCCCGAGTTGCGTCGCAAAGGACTACCTACCGTTTGCTACGGTGGTGTCGAACCACCCGTATTTCACACAGGTCTGGATTGGACTGAACGGCAGGTCCCGTGAGTGTGCGCTGGTCTTGGACGGCGAAACCACCATCCCATTGGCGAACTCTTTGGCAAACTTGCTTTCAACCATCATAAAGTGTATTCAGGCCGAGGTTTATGCGACTGTTTCATTGGGCGAACTCGGTTACAAGGGACCAGAGAGAGAAGTCCCACTGCTGCCTGCGTTCTTGTCTGAAATTGCAGAGTCATACTCTAGAGAACAGAGCATCTTGCAGTCCATGAATGATATGTGAAACTTGGTTAATTATCCGTACTTTGCTTAAACTTTAGACCCGGCGCATACGTAAACGGTTGACGTTTGATCCAGCTCAAGTTTCGCAGTTGATGGAGGTTCTCCAGGTTATCCCGGGGCGAGGGAAAAGGTGTGTTAGCCGCAGCAATTGGCCTTATGCGCAAAGGTGCAGCGTTCTCTGTTTAGGCTCTCTACACGAAGAACAGACGAAGAACAAAGTAGTAAAAACATCTAATTAAAACGATTCTGCGCTCTCACCTTCATGGTGAGGAGAACACAGTAAACTATGAAATATAGGAACGTTGCTTCTGAGCAATGAGCCGAGTAAGCCATCCTGTTCAGACTCAAACCATTCGGAGCTTAGGTCAGCAGGTACTTGGTGTCGATGATGTGCCCGTGTTTCTGATTTGGGTGAAGCGAATTGCGACTCAGGATCAGTTAGATCAGTACACGTTGTTGATTCCTCGCTGGCCACGTTATCTGAGTTACCCTCAGCTGAATCCACATCCATACGGAGCGAAAACTTGTCATTGTGCCCAGGCATTTGCTTAGCATCTTCAACATCGGATGCGATCCATTCAGCATTCGTGGGTTCATTGTAGTCGTCCTCCTCTCCATCCGAACCAAAGTTCTCGTTCCCTTCTGATTTATCGTTTATGGGTTCTAACTCCTCTTCAGTTGAGAGCTCAGTAAGGGTTTGATCAGACGGCTCGCCATCATGATTCTGCAGTAAGGCATCAGCTTGTTTTCTCGCCAGACGATATCTTGGTATAGCTTCACTTTCATTATTGCAATCAGTCAATTCATCATCAAGATCAAAATGACCATCTGCATAATAATGCTCAGCAGCTTGAGTTTCTTTGTTTCCATCTTCTTGAAATTCATTGTTATCAGTCGCACATTCCTCAAGCAAAGTACTATCCCCTTCTGAATGATCAACAGATTTGTTAATACACGCATATGACGAAGTATTCAGCAAAGCAGCATTTTCAAAATCAAACAAATGGTCCACGTTGAAGTCATTAACAACTGTGTTTGGTGGAACAACAGTTTGAGGTGTATTTTGCAGCCAGTTAAATACTTCTGGCATAAACTCTGTACTTGCAAAACCATTAGTAGAGATATCAGGTACTTCAGATCTTTCGGAAGAAGGATCATTTACCAAATTTTCCTGCATTGGCCATGACAAACAGTCATTACTTAAACTCAGCTCTGTTGGTTTCTGGGTTTTATTCAAAGTTCTGGGATCAATTGTCCCCTCTGCAGTAAAGCATGAGTCATTAATGGATTCGAAGCCTTTTGCTAAGAGAGGAGCTGATGACTCAATAGGGAAAGCTGAATGCTCATGCTCACCACTGAAGTCAACAATACTTGCAGCGTTCATCAAAGAATTGTAGAGAATCAAATCTTCATCAAATACTTGGTTGAAAGTATTTTGTGTATCGTTATTTGTCTCATCAAGTGGTTGGTGAATTTGGGATACCCCGACTGCTTGGGCTGGTGGTTGGAAAGCCAACTGTAGCTGAGTTGTATCTTTTGTCTCAACTGATGGTTGAACTCTTCGAAGACTCGGTTGGGCTCCATTGTTGTTCAATGTAAATGGAACTTCATGGAAATCCACAATCTTACACTTATAATGTGTGTTGATGCTGGTTCTCTCTATGCTGATGCATTGAGGTGGCTCATAAACCGTATTTAGTTGATAGCCAATACCATCCCTGACAAGCAAATCTTTGCACAAGATTTTTGGTGGCACAAGGTCATCCCTCTTCACTGAAACCCAATGTTGATCGGGCGTCTTTGGCTTGTCAGCATTGTTGATGCCTGAACCTCTCCAGATGGGCTCATAACTGATGAGTGCAAAACCACCTTTGGAGTTCACATGGGCAAAAGTGTAAGGAGAAGCTGGATGTAAGAATTTTGCAGGTACAACTCGTCCTGAAGTGCTTTTAGACCCTGGCTTTGGCTCAAGTCTCACAGAACCTGTGGCAATAACAATACAACCTGGAGGAATTCTGAACCTAATGTTCTCCGAAGAATTCTCTGGTCGTCCTCTCCAGTTGATGGAGTATAACCATTTATTGATATGCAAGCAAGTGGAGGATCTGTGACCACGGATGCAGCTCTCACAGCTGATACGTTCGCCTTCTAAAACAAGCATGGCCTCTACACTGAGTCAGTATTTTAGAGAGTGAAAGAGATGATGGAAACATACAAATTGATGATAAAGATGACCTTGTGTGAATGTAGCTTAGAAAGAGAGATGGAAGAGACAACGAGAGAGCGTTCAGCATCCGGTAACTAATCAAATACTTTTATATTTATTTGACTAAGTCCTCAACAGACTCTGTGAGTTTCTACGTTGTGTTATAGATAGTGGATTGGGATGTTCGAGATGCAGGAACGCACTGTTGAAAGGCCTCACATTCCCCAGATTTCACACGCAGCTCAAGGAAACTTCATCGAAAGCTCTCATAGCAAGAACCTTAGTAGTAAACAATGTCAGTGAGTCTATCACATATACAATAACTAATGCATACTCGCAATAGAGCTCGATAGAATTAGCGTTGAACGTATGCAGTTGCGTTGTTTCTCCTGCAGCAACTTTACTTGACACATAAAAACACACATGGTCCAGCTTCCCATTAGAGAGGGCAAACGGGAAGGTTCACACGGGCAGGAGGTTATCATCAATTGGTAGCTTCACTGACGTTTATATTAAGGATAAGCCTATGCCTTCTGGCCTCAGTTTCCGTTGCGCTCTTAAGTGAAGGGTTCAAAGTGTAAGTACTCCACTTATAAGCTATGCGGAAATCACCACGGCACAGCTCGATTCTGACGTAGTGGAACAACTCCACTCCACTATTGATAAAGAACAGGATCAGAGGCTCAAATCCCACTAACAGGATTGTTCACAGAGCAAAGCCTGCTTGTAAATATAGTATTGTTCTATTGGGTGTGAAGTTAAGAACCCATGACATAGTGCACACCTTTAGTCTTGTCTACAGCACCGAATCAAACAAGATTTGGTTCTCATACTTACAAAAGCGCACTAACTCCTCAAATCTTTATGATACAACGCCACCATTCATTACCAGGTATGACCAAGATATCACTACGATAGTCTGCTCCATAAACCAGGCAAGTTTTACCTTACCTGGTGTCTCTATTCCGTCCTATTGGATGCTATAACTAGAATGTCAATTCCGATCTCAGAAGTCACAATACGAGGGTCAACTGATTACATAAGCATATAATTGGTAGACGACACATAACAAGTCCGTGCAAACAACGGCAGCAGCTGAAAAAAAAAAGCACACGCACACACGCACGTAAAAAAATCAACGTGAAAAAAGTGAAAAATATCATATTTCTTGTAGAGAGGTTCCATTCCAAGTGATTCTTTTAAGAGAACTTTCAGCATAACTAAGGAAAGATGGCTATTTCTAAGAACCTCCCACTCTTGAAGAACCACTTCAGAAAGCACTGGCAAGAGCGTGTCAGAGTTCACCTTGACCAAGCCGGTAAGAAGGCTTCCCGTCGTCAAGCTAGAGCTTCCAAGGCAGCTGCTATTGCTCCAAGACCATTGGACGCTCTTAGACCAGTTGTCAGAGCCCCAACTGTCAAGTACAACAGAAAGGTTAGAGCTGGTAGAGGTTTCACCTTGAGAGAGATTAAGGCTGCCGGCTTGACCCCAGCATATGCCAGAACCGTCGGTATTGCCGTTGACCACAGAAGACAAAACAGATCCACTGAAATCTTCGAATTGAACGTCCAAAGACTCAAAGAGTACCAATCTAAGTTGATTGTCTTCCCAAGATCTGGTAAGGCTCCAGAGGCTGAACAAGTTTTGTCCACTGCTGCTACTTTCCCAGTTGTGCAACCAGCTCCAGAGACTGAGCCAAGAGCCGTCGAGGTTCCAGAGCAAACCGCTTTCAGAACCTTGAGATTGGCCAGATCTGACAAGAAATACAAGGGTATCAGAGAAAAGAGAGCCAGAGAATTGGCTGAGGCTGAAGCTGAGAAGAAGAAGTAAGGTTAATGATCTCTCCTTAAAGTATCTTAGGCAGGAGGCTTATGTGTTTTATTTGGTTCTGTACAGTATTGGATTTGGTTTATTCACTCATACCATCATGTATTTAATGTTTTATCGTCATGATTTTTTTACATCTATTGTGGAACTAATCAACGTAGTTTCGCCAATTAATGCTTACAAAGGTATAAACTTTACCAGATTTCATTAAAGAGAATGCATAATACTGTTACAGCTAGTTGGTTTAATCGAACAAACCGAATCCCATGTCATCATCGGACTCTTCAGCAGCTTCCTCCTCAGCTTCCTCAGCAGCAGCCTCGGTAGCACCAGAAGCAGCAGCACCGGCACCGGAGGCAGCTGGAGCAGGACCAGCAGCAGCGAAACCAGCAAGAATCTCCTTCAAGTCCTTACCCTCAAGAGCGGTAGCAAAGACGTTGATCCAAACCTATGGAAAAGTGTGTTAGTGCCAATTGCTTATTACCAGTTTTTATGACCAAACGACATATGACGTTGAACGAAGACCGCCTTAGTGCTTCCACTAAATCAAATCTTATCATGAAGGATAGAAAATACAACAGATAGTAATGTATTACTCATGGGTACCAGATATTCCCTTGCTTGCAATCCTCTTGTCCACTATCGATGGTGAAAAAAAAAGCTTCAAATACGTACTTGGTCAACAGAGGCACCAGCAGCCTTGGTCAAGGTAGCCAAGTTGTCGGCGGTGATGTCCAAACCGGCATCAGCAAGGATCAAAGCAGCGTAAGAAACGATAGCGTCAGACATTGTTGTTTAATTTGTGCTTATACCTCAACCTTGGTGTTATAGTTGAACGTTTGTCGAAGAATTGTTTTGTTCATTTGATACACAGTATGTGGCGCTTACCAAAAGAAATATGGCTTAGACACGAGCCCTAATAATTGGCACGTGATATAGGGCTGCAGCTTCTTCCCTATGGTACAGGCGACAGAGATGTGCAGATGCAATGTTTTGAACCGGATATGTTTAGCAACATAGTACACCACTATTGAGTCGGATTTCTCTGTGTTCGACTTGAATCGATCTTCTTTAGTTACATTACGGACGTGCTACAATCTATATGAGTGTCAAGCACTGATTTGCACTCCACATCTCCCTGAGTTCAGCTGTTGCTAAAGGCATCAATGTGACCTTCATGGACATATGGACCATTCTGCAGGGTAATATTGCAAAATCGAGTAACTTCACCCGACCACTGATATTAATACCAGCGATTTAAACCATTAATTATCATCCGATATCCTCTAAAGGTGTCTCAGATATTCAGCCAACCTTTCGAAATGTACTTGCTTTCGGCTTCTGTGTTTCTATTGTAAGTACTCTTATGCATATCCATGCATCCGGATATGAATGTAAACTCAAAAGTGCGTGTGTATTTGGTGCACGTTATCATGATTCAATAGCTATGTATTGTTTTTAAGGGTCCAGGTACAATCTTGAAACGACAATCAATCTATACGCCATTAATGAATGGCTAATATCTGAGGTTGCATGGGAACAAAATCATATCGTGGAGCCATCCACTATTAGTCAAATGGGTCACATGAGTATGGTGTTTAAAAAGTGCTTTTCAATGGACGTTATTGGACTGGAATGAGCAAATTAAATATTTAATTTGCTCATTATCCCTTCCTGGCTTATTGCCAATATTCTTGGATTTAATTCTATCCAATTAATGCGATTGGAACCTGTTAGATAAATGTTATTTGATATGCAGCATGTACAGAAATTTTGTGTACGTCCTACACTGTTCAAAGTCCGTTCAGATGGCTTCCATCCTTGACTGGCCATCGGTTTGCATAGGACGATTCCTTGTTTCTTGGATATAAATTCAATCAAATCTCCATCGAAATATTCGTTAGCTCTTGTGTTGTAGGAAACATAGTTCAAACATCCGAAGATTATACCATTATGTCAGGCCTTATTGAATTCCCAGACTTCGTTAACAAGATGGATATGAGTGGATCCAGCTCCAGCTCCAACTCAACAAAGGCATCGTGTAAGATTTCCATGTTGTGGAATTGGTACACAATTGACACCTGTTTCATTGCCAGATCATGGCACGTTAACACGAAGGGACAATTTGCAGGTTCCTGTATTGGATGTTTCCTTCTTGTATTGTCTGCTCAATGGCTTCACAGAATTGCCAGAGAATACGATGCAGCTATAGCCAGAAGAAAAGCAATGGCGCAAGAGATTGTCGACAACGGTTCAAAGTCAGTGGGCTCTGATGGTTCAGACTCAACCGAAATTGCCAACAAGAAGAGCTTGATGTTTTTGCCAGCAAACACTGGTGCTGCTAACTTATTCCAACCTATTCTTTACGCCTTGTCCCACGATTGGTTCTGGAACTTTAACGAAAGATCTTCCAGTTCTGTTGCTTACCCATCTCTCATCGAACATCTGATCAAGGCTCTGATTTTCACCATCCAGTGGGGCCAAAGTTACATCATCATGTTGTTGTTCATGTACTACAACGGTTATATCATCATCTCTTGTATTCTTGGTGCCCTCTTTGGCAGAATCATATTCAACTATGAACCAATCACGTGCACTACAAGAAGCGAGAGTGGTGAGAATGACAAGAAGTGTTGCATGTAGCGCAGTAAGCAGCTAGCCACAACCATTCAAGCTTGTATAGTGTTTTAATAGACTTTCAATGTTGTCCCCATAGTATTCCAAAATGGTACACATGTAGCCCTCTAATAAAGACAGATGCCACCTGTTGTCTTAGCGATGGTGTCAAGCTTTTCGTCACCGTGAGCCCAAAGTCGCGAATTTCATCGTATTTCCCATGTTCCGCCGTTTATCGCTGTAGCGACGATTGTTTTCCACAGAAATGTCCAGAGTTTGTTTATATTTTGTGTCGCGGATCAAAACATCCGAATCGGTGTACAGCTTTTTCAGATTTGCAGTAAACAAAAGCCCAAACAAAGGACATAACCTCAAACACTTGTTAACAACACATTCCTTGAGAAATCTATCCTGCTGAGCTAATCTCATATTCGACTCCTAGGAACAACAGGGCACACTCATCGATCCTTACAACTCCGGAACCTTTGTCTCCTTTGCTTCTACGACCGGATCATCCACATCATTTGTTTATCACTTTGCTTTGTTTATTTATTTGTGGTTACTTATAATTGCTCGCTGTCAACTCAAATCCAAGGAAAGCCCTCTGTTTTCCCTTAATATCACTGCCACAGAAAAGACCTTCTTGTGGTTGAACTGGTTCCTACTTCTTTCACTTCTGTGAGCTTTGAACTTGTGGTTGTTTTCTTTCTCTGGAGACCAGACCTACATTTTATAGACCAAAGCGAAAGGGTTTAAACCAAAGCATCAATACCGTTGATTCCAACAGTTTACTCTGTCCCTCCAGTCGATCAATCTCAAGTCCTTCTGCATACCGGTTTTCTTCCAACACGGGAATCTAACGATGGAGAGAGCTAACATTCGCTACACCAACACAAATGAGAACTCTGACGCTTTGAAGCACAAGGTTTCCAGGGTCTCTCAAAACCAGCCCATACAGACTACAAGATCAGCTTTATCTGATGTGTCTACAAGCCATAATGCTCTGAGAGCAAGACCTGGCCTGGATAAACCGGCACAAAGAGTCCAAGTTTACAAGGAGACTGATGAAAACGATGTACCAAAACCTGTGTCTAAATACGAAGCACCTGATCATAACAGACAGCCTTTGGCTGAGATTCAGACCAGGCAGACACCATACGCTGCCGAGAACTCATATATCGAGGAAAGCAGTTTTGTCGAAGAAGAGGATGAAGAAGAAGAGGCAGAGGCTATGCCTCAACCTATGATGCCAATTTTGAACGAGAGAATCCACCGCGAGCTTTATGAGGTGCACCGTCTCTTTTATAGCGATCAGCTGGACCCTACTGACGAAGATACCTTTGACGTTTCTATGGTTGCAGAATATGCACCAGAGATCTTTAATTATTTTCACAAGTTGGAAATGAAACTAAGGCCTCATCCTTCCTACATGGAGTTTCAAACAGAATTGAAATGGGACATGAGAGGTATATTGATTGATTGGCTTGTTCAGGTTCATTCGAGATTCAACCTTTTACCAGAGACTTTGTTTCTCACCGTCAACTACATTGATCGCTTTCTCAGTAAGAGGAAGGTGTCTTTAAACAGATTTCAGCTTGTTGGAGCAGTTGCACTCTTCATCGCTGCCAAATATGAAGAAATAAACTGCCCAGGAGTTCAAGAAATCGCATATATGGTTGACCACGCATACTCTGTGGATGATATTTTAAGAGCAGAGAGATTCATGATTGATGTTTTAGAATTTGAAATGGGTTGGCCAGGACCTATGTCATTCTTGCGTCGTACTAGCAAAGCTGATGATTATGACTTTGAAACAAGGACTTTGGCCAAGTACTTTTTGGAGATTACCATCATGGATTATAGATTTGTCGCTTCACCTCCCAGCTGGTTGGCTGCGGGAGCACATTTTTTGAGTCGATTATTACTGAACCGTGGTGAATGGACACCAGCACATGTTTACTATTCTGGCTATACTGCTGAGCAGTTGAGACCACTTGCCACTGCCCTTTTGGAGTCATGTCGCAAGCCAGAAGATCACCATAAGGCTATATTTGAGAAATACCAAGAACGTCGTTACCGTCGTTCGTCGTTGTTTGTTCAAGAGTGGTTCAAACTGGCAGAGGCAGAAGATTGAGGGATTGTGTAGGTTGTGTGTGGCACTCATGAGATCTTACGGGTATTTCACTTCATTGTTTCGGTTTTCATCCGTCTCACTCGATCAATGATAAACCAATAGCTGTTGACAAAAAAGAAAGTCTGTATATGTTCAAAATGCATATTCACTGACATCGAGAAGAAAAGGGAAACAACAACAAAAAGAAACACTATTCAGGTAATTGTACAATAGTTTGAGTTGTATTTAATAAAATCATTGTTAATTCAATCTGGTTTAAATTGGTATTTGTATGGTAGTGTTACTGAGCCTTGGAGCGAGCGAATGACGTTCGATGAGCACTGCATGGGCCGCATGTGCCAACGTTAACAGCGAAAATTTTTGTTAGGGTTCGTGATCTTCCTCCTTCAAATGTCTCCTTTCAGCTTCTCCCCACTGCCATATTGCTGTTCAATTGAACCAACTCACTGATAACGATGTCCTTCCGTATTGCTAACCGTACCATTGTCCAAGCCTTGAAGAGAACTTCCTTGCTGAGAAGCGCACCAGCCTATTCTTCTCTAGCTATCCGTTCTTTTGCCACATCCAAGCCAGTCTTCAACGAACCAACCAGTCGTGTTGCATCCACTTTGAAAGCTGAGTTGGAGCACGAGCGTGACAATGCGCCAGAGGCCTTCAACGAGACATCCTTTGCTGGCTTCTCTGTTGTGAACACGAACGGCCAGGCCTTGGGAAAGTTGGAGAAGGATTCCTCCGATGAGCTTGTGCACGTGTTCTTTGACGTCAACCAAATCGTCAACTTGCGTTCTAACGAAGCTGAAGAGATCGAAGGCGAGGAAGAAGGTTTCGAAGACCCATATGACTCCAACTTCATCAACGTCAACGTTGTTGTTGAGAAGAAATCCGACGGTTCCGCTGTTGCCTTTGACGTTTTGGTTGGACCAGAGGATGGTTCTAGCTACATCGAGAACGTTACAGCTTACGCTGATAAGACTGAGGCCTTGGAGGAGTCTGCTGAGGCTGAACAAAAGAGAGACTTGCGTTACAACGGCCCAGCCTTCACCAACTTGGATGAGAAGTTGCAAGAGGACTTTGAGAACTACTTGGTCTCCAGAGGAATCAACACCGATCTCTTCAGATTCATCGTTGATTACGGTGTTGCCAAGGAGAACAATGAGTACATCTCCTGGTTGAACAAGCTCAACAAGTTCTTCAACTAAGCTGTGTTGTGACGAGGGGATTTAGGGCTTTTACTGATTTGTTGTTTGTTGTATATATAGGGTGTTCAATTCTTCCAAGACCTTTGAGTTGTAAATAATTAGTGACAGAGGTTAGTAATTGAATCCAGTAAGTCCTATTCCGATCCAAGGTTCTGATGTAGCTGTTCCCCCCGCGTGGTGCCAACCTCGGCTGCTTAACACTTCCCTATAGAATCGCTACAGCAGCAGTGGCACATCTGCCATTGGAGCCCGAGTTTGACCCAAAATGTCTTCCATCAATGAGTTGAGTCCATTCTCAACACAGTCATCTCCCAGTGGGAACACCACAGGCTCTAGACTGTTACCGTGACAGCGTTTGCGGATCAAGCTTGCAAGTGTATGAGAGGCAAAGACAACTTCTAAAACTCCGTGACAGCCGCACAGTTCACCTGTTTAGTGGCGACTGGTGGCCTGTGAGAATGCTCTAGCGACTTCTAACAGCCTCCTGTTTATCCACCGAGCCTTATAGACCAGAATGGCTGGAAGCTGGGACACTCCAAGGCCAATTGCTCTCTACAAGTGCCTGTTCATGAGAGACCCAACCCCGGGGCATTGAGCGGACTACGGATAAATGTTTGTATGTGGGTGTGCGAGGCAGCGTCCAAATAGCCTATTCCTATTCGCTTGCTGTTTTTCCTTAACCGGAGTTTTCCCGATCTGTTCACCTGTCGACTCCGCATACAGCAGCAAGTGTGAGACAATAATTAGCTGGTGAGAGAGTGCATTGACGTATAAATAGGCGGTGAAATTCTCAATTGCTTACCCCTCGTGGCCCATTGTCTTTTATACCCTCAGCAACGGAATAGGACAACTGTATTTAGTCAAGCGATATGTTCACGGTGAAGTCATTTGATGTTGAGAACCCGGTGCTTACCTCTCTTAGGGGTCTGGTCCATGCCAACCCTCAATTGACGCTCATTGAGTCGGACAAAGTGGTGATCAGAAAGTCTTCAAAGGACAAGGTGTCTGTGCTTTCTGGCGGTGGTGCTGGTCACGAGCCTACGCACGCTGGGTTCATTGGTAAAGGATGCCTCACTGGCGCGATCAGCGGAGAGATCTTTGCGTCTCCGTCTACGAAGCAGATCATCAACGGTGTGAAAGTTGTGCACGACAACGGGTCCAAGGGTGTTTTGCTTATTGTCAAGAACTATACTGGCGATGTTCTCCATTTTGGACTGGCGAGCGAAAGAGCCAAAAGTACCGGAATTGACACCGAAGTTGTTGTGATTGGAGACGACGTTGCTGTTGGTAGATCCAAAGGTGGGTTAGTTGGCAGAAGAGCCATTGCAGGTACTCTCTTTGTCCATAAGACTGTGGGTGCCTTTGCAGAGTATTACCCAAGCCATACTTTGAAGTGATGTGCTGAGCTGGCTCGTGTGATTAACGATAACTTGGTCACCATTGGAGCAAGTCTGGACCATGCTAAGGTCCCAGGACATCCTTTTGAATCCGAGCTGAAGAGCGATCAGATGGAGCTCGGTATGGGTATCCATAACGAGCCAGGTGTCAAGATTTTGAGTCCAATTCCTTCTGCTGAAGAGCTAATCAAGTTGCAAATTCTGCCAAAGTTGTTAGATCAATCGGACAAAGATCGTGCGTTTGTTGAATTCGACTCGAGCGATGAAGTTGCGCTTCTCGTGAACAACTTGGGTGGTGTGTCAAACCTGATCCTATCAGCTATCACTGAAATCACTACAAAGCTGTTAAAATCTGAGTATGGCATTACTCCTATTCGTACATACCAGGGAACTATGATGACGGCATTGAATGGTGAAGGCTTTTCCATCACTCTTTTGAACATTTCTCGTGCTTCGAAGTCGTTCACAGAGGTTCCAATCATTGATCTTTTGGACGCTGAGACTGATGCTCCAGGATGGCCCGTGAAGAAGTTCGTCGATGATGCACCAAAGTACAACAAGTCATTGTTGGAGGTTCACTCGACCGTGGTCAAACCTGTTGGTACATATGATGCTAAGCATTTCCAAAAATGGTTCCAGGCCGGCGCTGATGCCCTCATCAAGGCTGAACCATACATCACTAAGCTTGATACCCAGGTCGGTGATGGTGATTGCGGTACCACGTTGGTTTCTGGTGGTGAGGGAATCACCAAGAATTTCGACTCCATTCCAACGGAAACCTTGTCACAAGCGTTGGACAAGATCAGTGACCTTGTTGAGACTTACATGGGCGGCACCTCTGGTGGTTTATATTCGATCTTCATCTCCGGGCTGTCCCAAGGGCTGATTTCCCAGGGAGCTGACCAGGATACGCCAGTTGACTCGAAGCTATTCGGACAAGCTCTGGAAACTGCCTTGGATACACTGTACAAGTACACACGTGCCCGTGTCGGCGACTCCACCGTCATCGATGCCCTGGAGCCATTTGTCAAAGAGTTCTCAAAGAGCCACGACCTGAAACAAGCCGTCGATGCTGCTGACAAAGGTGCAAAGTCCACGGGCACATTCGAAGCAAAGTTCGGCAGGGCAAGCTATGTTGGAGAATCCTCCAATGTCCCGGACCCTGGTGCCATTGGATTAGTCGAGTTCTTGAAGGGTGTTGCCACCGAGTTCTGAAGCCAATCCTCCATAGTTTTTATAGTCTAAAACCACCAATCAAGATGCCGTTATGCGATGCCGTTATGCGATGCTCTCTGCTGACTGTGCGTGGTACGCGCAACAGTACCTTATAGGCTAAATTTTTCATTAGTTGAAGTTCCGAGGATCACGACGGCAGTAACCGTTCGGCAGTGTGGTGGGAATCAACAAATGGCCGACGCGAGCAGGAAGAAACCACGGCTACAGGGCAAGCTGGTGAAGCATGCTGCGCCTAGCCAGTTCAAATATTCCAATCTTCAGACGACGGTAAGGATCCAGCACAAGACTCCGTACATAAGTGCTATCAAACGGGTAGACACAATGATGAAGGCGTTGAAAGGCCGGCAGCCAAAGAAGTCCTATATCACTGTGCTTGGGATGGGGGCCACGATCGAGAAGACCATGAATATAGGAGTTCATTTCCAAGCCCAAGGTTGCAGAGTTGAAGTTTTCACCAAGAGTGTTGAGGTTTTAGACGAGTTTCTAGATCAGGACGATAGCGATGATGAGAGCGTTCTCAGGAAGAGAAGCGTGAGTTGTGTCGAGCTCAGGGTGTATAAGCCATTTGACCTACAGTGAGATAGCATAGACATCAATTCGTTCAATTCATGGCCTCAAGTTTCTTCGTACACTGTTCCCTCAGGTACTCCAACTCCGACCATTCTGTCTGGATGCGCTTCCTCGGAAGGTCCTTAAACAGCGTCAATCCACACTCTACAACTTCGAGGCATCTGGCGTACTGTCTCTTGTAGTACAAGTTCTGCGACAAGTTTTCCAGCTTCAGCCTATCGCTCTTCACCTCAGGGTCTATCTTGTCGTATTCGATCTTTTCCAGCCAGTCCAACGTGTTTATCACAGGACCTTCTTTGGCAAATTGTCTTCTCTGTACTTCGAACTCATCCTCCGTCTGGCCTTTTCTGACCTTTAGCTTCCCTGAGCCTTTCGACACCAGAACTTCACCGTTATTGAACGAGGTTTTATCGTTACCAACTCGAACAGCAGCTTCTTTCGATACCTGATTGGCCTCCATCTGTATCACTTTCCTAAGCATTAATGTGATTGAAGTCTTGCTACTTTTATAGAAGTGTTCTTTTTTTTGGCTTTAAATTTTTTTTTCTATGTATGGCGATGAGCTGGAAATTTCGTCTCGGCCCTGTTGGCTTAAGCCTTCAGCTTCTCCCAATCACAACGTCATAGCCAGGTGCATAGTAACACTCCTGGCAGTCCTCGTCAGCTACACCGTTCTCATGGATCATCACCGCAAAGTCCAGATTGTCGACGAGTGAAATCATTGGGGCGTGCCATGTTCCTGTTGTTGGAGGTTAGTGAGCTGGACATATTCAGCTTTTGCTGGCGATGCATTAACTGTGGAAACTTACCGGGTGCGTAGGTCACTGCTTGGTCTCCTCTACAGATGAACGCCTCGACTTGGTCTGTGATGGGCATTGCCTCATCGTCCTTATGCCCACAGATCACGACGTATGCGTTTTCGTTGCCTTTATCAACGCCCATTGGTATGAAAGTCTGGGAGCTGAAGGGATGTCTCTCGAGAACCTTTGCAGTGTAGTGCAGCTCCCCGTCTATATCTTGGAGCAGGTGATTCGGAGGCGAACATCTGAATATGTTCCAGTTCGGTGTCGCTTCAGTGCCAGATGGTGCATTTGCGAATAGATTCTCAATCTTGGAGACCTTGTGTAGCTTCACTGCGGTGCCGTAGTTTGCACTGGACTTATCAGAAGAGCCCAATTGCTCTCTCGCTGATATACAAGTACCAAATGGTCCAAAACCTTCCGGGGTCAAAGGCTTACAACGGATCGTTTGTGATGTTTTGTACTCTTTCAACGGCATATTCTCCTGGTGTACAATCACTGGGCTTATGAGGAGGGAGTGATTGACTTCTTTTTCCCCCTTCTTTCATAAATCAATCTGATGTTGAAGTTTTCAAGCGGACATCTCCGGCATCCCCAGAGATAAGCAGCTACAATCACCACTCCCCATTGAGATCTTTGTTTAGAAGTGTATATGTACAAGTAACGAGGCACATTTAGCCCAAGTTGATCTAAATTACCCAAGTACAACAGAATCTTACACCAATTGACACCTCAAACCACCGTGCTCCCCGTGTCAACCCTCCCTGCCTCCAAGGAGCCGGTGGTGTGCTTGGGGAGGTGGTGTTCGGATGTGATGAGCCCATATACCAAATGGGGATATTTTCTTTTAGGCCAGGCTGCTTCTCTGCTCAATTGCTCTAAGCAATCGAGCTAGACGGCGTAGGAAGACTGAAAACACTTCAATATGAGTTGGATTCAGAAGAAGATTCCACTTCAGGCACGTTCAAGGGGTGTTTATCTCATCACAGAAGAAGTCGAGCATGCGTTGCCCGAGTTGAGAGACTTCAAAGTTGGTGTTCTGCATCTGTTCATCCAGCACACATCAGCTGCTCTATCGCTAAACGAGAACTGGGATTCTGACGTTAGAGCGGACATGAATGATGCTTTGAACGCACTGGTGCCTGATGATCACGAAGGCAGGTTCAGACATACGGGTGCCGGCGAAGGTCCGGACGATATGGCTGGCCACATCAAATCAACACTGGTTGGTGCATCGTTATCGATCCCAATTACAAACGGTCGTTTAGCAACAGGCACATGGCAAGGGATCTATCTTCTTGAGTTTAGAGATTATAGACACCAGAGAAACATCGTGGCTACGATAAACGGTGAAAAGAAATAAACCACGTTAGATTTCGAATCCTGTTAGTTCCTCATCTTTTTCGAAGTAGGATGTAAACCCAACAACGGTTCCGTATATGAGAACACCGCCTGATAGCGTTAACAGTAGTGAGATCAAATTTATAATGCGTACATGGAATAGAATCAGTGGAAATAACAGCGCAGATGATGCAAACAGGCCACTTAGGAACTTCCCAAGATCCACAATGTTCCTGAAAGAGTGAGACGTTAGTAAGGAAAAATTACTATAGGTTGGACGGTCATATCGGGAGATAGAACAAAGCGGGAAAAGCACACATACTGTGATGACTCTGACATGAAATCATCAGAGGACCATTGGTTACAAATGATTGTAGGTATATGTGCAACGAGGAAGAACAGAGCTGCAAAGTGTTGTTAGAGGAAGTCTTATTTTTATGTGTTTCCTTTCATGTCGTGGTTGTTGAAACAGAGAGATGAGGTTAACGTACCTGATATCATTGGTAACCAGTTACCATAGAGAGCACCTGCCAACACTGTAAAGAGGAATCCCACAGCGAGAACCAATGAGAGACCAATGATTCGCGATAATGGCGATGAGAATAGTCCCATGTTATAAATAAATTTAGAGCTATTGAAATGAAACAGTGCTTTCTTGAAGGACCAAGTGATCAAGTTTTGATATCCTGGGGGGTTTTGTGTGTGTTTTGTGTGTGTTTTGGTTTGATGAAATTCGCGAACTTCTTAGTTTTAGTGTTTTTTGCTTTTTCCAATTTTCAAAATTTCGGAGATGAGGGTTTATATCCGAAAGCTTAAAGCTTAAATGCCTGACGCGAAAGACGCGAAATGAAAAAACGCGAAACTCATTACTCTTTTCAACTCTCAACATCAGCATATTTACTCCTAACCTTTGAGAAGCAAGCTGTCAGTCTGGAAAAGCTCAAAGATGACAAACTATGCATTGAAACTTGAACTTCCATGGTAAGTGTACTCATGTTATTGTCTATATATCGCAAACTCCTGTTCTTCTGGTTACTGACACCACGGCAGGGTTGAGAAGTACAGACCACATCTGCTGAAGGACGTTGTGGGAAACACCGAAACCATTGAACGTCTTCAACTCATCGCCAAAGAGGGTAACATGCCACACCTCATCATATCAGGACTGCCAGGTATTGGTAAAACCACCTCGATCCATTGCTTGGCCCATGAATTGCTGGGAGATGCCTATAACAATGCGGTTCTCGAGTTGAACGCTTCAGACGACCGTGGTATCGACGTTGTTCGTAACAAAATCAAACAGTTTGCACAGAAGAAGGTCCAGCTACCAAAGGGCAGACATAAAATCATCATATTGGATGAAGCAGATTCCATGACACCAGGAGCACAACAAGCGTTGAGACGTACAATGGAGATATACTCCAATACAACACGTTTCGCATTTGCATGCAATCAGAGTAATAAGATCATTGAACCTCTTCAATCCCGTTGTGCCATCTTGAGATACGGTAAATTGGCAGACGAAGAAGTTTTGAAGAGACTTTTAGAAATCATCAAGAAGGAAGACGTGAAGTACTCCAATGATGGCCTGGAGGCCTTGATATTTACCGCAGAAGGTGATATGAGACAGGCCATAAATAACCTACAGTCCACAGTTGCTGGGTTTGGGTTTGTCAATGGGGAAAATGTATTCAAGATTGTCGACTCACCACACCCATTGGTGATTAAAAAGATGATATTGAGTAGTGTTGAAGGTGACATTGACACTGCGTTGGAATATTTGAAGACTCTATGGGATAAAGGTTACTCTGCAATTGATATCGCTTCAACGAGCTTCAAAGTTACTAAAAATTTGACAACACTCTCAGAGGCAAAGAGACTCGACGTTATGAAGGAGATTGGTGTTACACACATGAGGGTACTAGAAGGTGTTGGATCTTTTTTACAACTGAGCGCACTCATAGCGAGAATTTCCTACTTGAAGTAATCTTCATAAGTTCATTTTTTATAATCGCGTATACTGTTGTTAATAGTTTGGACAAAGTCCATCTGATTTGACCAATCTGTAAATCTATAGTGGAATTTGTTAGTGGTGGTCCTTTTTGCTTTAACATTGCGATCTTATTGAAAGAGATTGTACTCACATCTTGTACACTCAAGCTGATGAATTGTCTCACCTCTAAAGCAATCCAAACCTTGAGCATTGATAACTTATCTCCTGCATCTAGTAGCTTACGGTCATGAAGACCTACTTGTCTCAGAATAGGCAGTGAGCTTGATGATTGGTGTTAGTGTTCTGGTATTCCGTTTAAAAGTGTAAACCATACCCACCTTGCAAACAGATCCATATCGGGATCCAATTGTCGTCCAATTCCTTCCAAGAGCAAAATCGCTACAACGACAGAGACGAAATCACCCTCCATACGAACATGGTGCACCCTAACCATGGAAAGCATTCTATCCAGTAAGTCACCAATCGACACAGTTCCCAAAGTGAAAGTTCTCTGCTTGATCTTATCAACCAATCGCTCAGTTTTTAGCGCAAATATTTCAGGATCAATTGCAGTTTCTGGGGTCTTGGAACGCTCAATCATAAGCTCACCAGCTTTATAGCCATCAAACTCTGCTAACGCGTTGAAAAGGGCAATGAAATTAACACGGTTCTTCTCATTCAGCTCTGTTACTAATCCAGCATCGATATAACACACTTCTGGATAGAATCCCATTTCCGTAAGCTGGTTCAGCTCCGATGATAAAGTTTCGAGGTCATCTGCCTTTTTCAATTTGGTGGAAATTTGATCCCGTTGAACATCAGTTGACAAGATATCGTTGTTCATTTCGTTTGGCTTCACAAATCTAACAAAGATGTTACCAGGGTGCAAATCAGAGTGGATGAAATTCCCCAAGATCAACATATGCAAGAACGAATCTATAACTTTATCACTCAACTTGTGTGATAGTTCATTGTTCAACTTGTTGTTTTGCTTCAACTCCAAAATCGTTGACATTTGCAGCCCATTGATGTACTCTTCAACCAGGATATCTCTATTACAATAAGTCAGATAGGGTGTTGGGAAATTAACAAAGAAATCATCTTTGTAATTCTCCTGGAACCGTTGCAAGTTCAGCGCCTCAATTCTCAGATCCAGTTGTAAGTTCATCAGTATGCCAAAGTTTTTAACCTCATCTGGCAGTGAAAGCCATTCCATCGTTGGGATAATATCAATTGCACTTGCAAAGAAGTTCATAACCTTCAAATCTCTATGTATTTCTCGTTCAACATTTGGATGCATCACTTTGATCGCAACCTTTTGATTTGGCAAAGGTGCATCGTTGAACACCGTGTTAAACCAAGATCTCTTGTTCTTCACCGCGTGGAATTCAACATTCTCCAAAACTTTCTTGGATAGCGTCGCCGTGTAGACCTGCGCAATCGCACCAACACCAACAGGTGTCTCGTTGAATTCTTGAAAGATTTCATCAAATGGCAGTCCAAACGACTGCGACAGGGCACTCTTTGTGTAAGATAGGCTGTGGGCCTTGGAATTGGAGTGTAAAGATCCCAGCTCTTCACAGAGCGCACGTGGGAAGATATCAGTTCTTGAGGCGGCCCATTGACCCAACTTCACAAAGGAAGCACCAGCATTCTCCAGAGAGATCTTCAAGATCTTGAACCAGAGCTTTTCACCACGGGTCCCAAACCATCCCACAGGTATTGTTAACAGCACAGGGAGGAATATCACGCTCAATTCCACAAACCTCCCTATTGTATGTAGAGGGTCCCATACATAATCCACAAGGAAAAACCGTAGTTTGTAGATCCATCTCCATTTACTCGAGAGCCGTACTTCACGGTATCTAGCATGCTCATCCTCAAGTTCTCTTTGCGACGAGATGAACAGCCCTTGCTCAAACGTATCACCTTGTGGAGCCGGCTTCAGCATCTCGTTATTCAAAGGACGGGGAGCAAGTTGCGATGAGATTGCTATTCCGGTACAGAGGCCGGTTCCCAGAGCCAGTCGTCTCACAAGAGGCCTCTTAACGCACAGTTGAAGTGCTTGCAGTTGCCTTGACCTCACAAACCGGAACATCTTGCCTTGGCTCCGTTTATCAGCTCAGTGGTGTGGTGAAGCGGTCTAAGCGAAGTGTTAATGCTTCGTTTGCTCCTTCCATTATTCCCCGAGTGTTGATGTTTACGTTTTTTCGCTTTTTGCTTTGCGGGCTTACCTCCGTGTTTGGAAAGCACAAACACCCCGATACTACGTTGTCAAGAGGGATAAAACAAGGCGCTTGGGCAAGGTTACGAGGAATCGTTGGAGATGTCAACGGCGGTAGATAAGCTGACGGATGAGAATCAGCCAGGACAAGTTTCACAACAAGCGCCCCATCCACTGTTGAAAGCGCTGTTTGATAATTGGGAGGAGCCGAAGTACCAGGTCCCATCACAACAGAGTAAGGATGTGACGTTGGAGTTTGGAGATGAAGGCCGTTCATTGGAGGAGGTGAGGTTTCTCCAGACCACGAGACCGTCGCAGTTCGACGATGAGGATGAATTGGTACAGTTCAAAGACACCCTGGAGCAGTTTGAAGAGGTGTTGATGCCCCTTGGTGGTTTCCTCAAACGGTTCAATGAGCAGCTGGCAAACCTCTCTAAAGAGCTGGAGAGCTTGAAGACCAAGGCCACTGCGCTCTCGTCGAATCTTGATCGTGAGCGTGAGCTGGAGCAGAAGTATTCACCTATGGTTGGTGATTTGGCGATACCTCCGGAGGTTGTGAGGGAGATCTACAACGGAGAGGTGAACAAATCGTGGTGTGAAGTGTTGAATGTGATTGAGGATAAGAGGTTGATCTATGAGAAATACACTGAGGAACACCACATGGAGCTTGTGGCGCCCTTGAAGCAACTATTGGAGGCTTTAAACAAGAAGGCATTGGAACGCATTAAGATGTTTGTTGTCTCCAAGATTAAAAAGCTGAGAGTTGTTGGCACTCCATCTCAAGTGGTTCAAAGCGAACTGCTGGGTGCGAAGGAGGCATTCAATTACTTGCAGAAGCAGGAGCCTTCATTGGCGTTGGAGCTGAAACAGGCATATATCTACACGATGAGATGGTACTACAAGGCGTACTTCCACAGATATGTCAGCTCATTGGCCAAATTACACCTTCAATTGTACGAGAAGAGCGCACTGATAGGTGGTGTCCAGTCATATTTCCATACACAGCAGACAGAGTATACGATTGGTAAGAGAAGCTCGATAGTCACCGCAGAAGACCCCACGGTCATGCCGGCACAAATTGCAGAGCACAACCCAGCAAAGTCATGCGTGGAGGTTGGGTTTAGAAGTTTCAACTTGGCATTGTGCGATAATGCCAGTGTTGAATTCCTCTTCATGTCTGAATTCTTTGGAGAAAATGTCAATGCACTTCTGGAGCAGATCCTGGACCCAACGTATCAGTTGGGCTCTGCTTATACGAAGTCGTTGATCACGAATTCCTACGACATATTTGGCGTCTTGATAATGATCAGATTATCCCAGTCTCTGATCTTTGAATTGCAAAAGAGAAGAATTCCAGCTGTTGAAGACTATCTAAACCTACAAATGATCTTACTCTGGCCTAGATTTCAACAGCTGGTCGATGCAAATTGTGAGAACTTGAAGAGAGCAGCTTCCAAGTCATCTGCCATAACCATGATTAGCACATCAGCACCGCATCCATTGACCATTCAATTTACCAATTTGATCTACGGCTTTCACCAATTGACACACAAGGAAACACAGACCACACAGGAACCCTTGTCTCAGTCTATCCAAAGGCTGAGAAACGACTATGAACAAGTTATGACAAAATTGAGTAAGAACACCAAACAAGCTGAGCTGTTCCTCTACACAAACTATGCACATGTACTCAGTGTCCTCACAGAATGTGAGAGCTCAACTGAGAGAGATCATTTCCAAGTTCTTGTGAGTGCTTTCGAGCCTTCATAGATTCCATAGACTGTACATTGAATTCATTTTTATCAGTGCTTTGTAGGGCTAAAATACAGTGGAAGTTGATGAAATTTGTGATGAGTCCTAAATTCAGAGTATACGCTGAAAAATTCTTGATGATACGAGGAATATTTTATGACTGGTAACATCACGTCCGACTATAAGTTCAAGCATGGATGCCCACACTCGCTAGTTGAAGATATGTCACTCACCAAGGAAATAGCAGTTACACCCACTCAGGCCAAGATCATCCGGCATCCAATTGAGAAGAAGAAAACCCTCAACATCATCTCAGGTCCCGGTGCAGGCAAGACAACGACTCTTGTGAACAAAGTAGCGTATATGATTGGGGAAGAGATTGTGAAACCTGAGAAAGTATTGGTGTTGAGCATGACTAATAGAGCGGTTGATGGGTTCCTTTCTCGGTTACAGGATCAATTGGATGAAGAGACTGCGGCATTGACCGATATTGAGACATTCCACGGCCTAGCTCACCGTGAATTGATGAAGTACGACCCGAGCTACGGGTTCTCGGAACTAATTGAGGACCCAGGATGGCGTGTACTAGGGATGATGTCTGGTGTGAAGAGAAAGTTTGAGCTACAACGTATAGTTGAGCTCCTGAAGACCAGGGGACTAACAGCTGATGAGCGTGATGAGATTGCTTCAGAGCACAGACTCTCAAGAGAAACTATTGATGAACTGTTCAAGATTCTGGAGACTTCACAAGCAGTGACGTACAATGAGTTCTTAAGAGACTACAAACGACTGCTAAGAGATGGGAAGATCAAGACAGACTATGACGTTGTTATTGTTGACGAGTTCCAGGATGTCTATCCTGAATTGTGGGAGCTGGTGGAACTGTTAGCCAGAAATTCACACTTGATAGTCGCTGGCGATCCATACCAGAGTATCTACGGATTCCTTGGTGACAATGGTATAGTACAAAGCCAACTAGAGCACTTCCATGAAATGGACAGAGTTGAAATGTACGACTGTTTCAGGTCTCCGCCAGAGGTCATCAAATCGTCTGAGTACATTATTGAAACAGACCGTGGAGTTAAATCGTACCTCAAAGGTGAAAAGCCTATATTGATGAAGATGAGAGACTCAACAGAGCAGTTTGAATATGTCATTGATGAAATCATGAGGCTGGTAACAGAATCAAACGATGCTGTGAAGTTGGGCGACATCGCAGTGCTAACAAGAACCAATAGGGAACTGGAGGAGTTGATCAAGATGTTGAACAAGTACGGATTGGACACTTTGAAACTAAGCTCGTCTCCTTCATGGTGTGATGGCAATCTCTTCTACCTCGTGGACTATATGCGTATCCTGAACAACCCTCAGAGATCTCACTTTGCCGTGATATGTACCTTATTGCTATTGCCAGAGATTGGGCCTGTCACTGTGAGGAATATTGAAGCAAGGGCAAGACGCAACAAGATGAGTCTTTACGACTATTTAGTTGAGCACCGTGACAAGCTGAAACCTCAGTTACAGGCCTATATTGATGTCATGGAAGACATGAGACTGAGCTTGGATCCCAACAGCACGAGCGACATAATGGATAAGCTGCTGATCATCGCTGATGAATTGGGGCTACGTAAGTTCCTCTCGAGGAGTATACTGTTTGATGATGATAAGAACCACGTCACGACCCAGGTCTTAGACTTTAACGAATCTTTGAAGATGTTTGCCCATTTGAAGCCTGATAACCAAACAGTGCTGGAGTACTTCCTGCAATCGTACATGGATCGCTTACCAATATCGACGGTGAAGGATGCGGTTAAAGTGAGCACGATTCATTCATCAAAGGGACTCGAATTCCCAGTGGTATTCATGATAGGCTCTAAGCCAGCGTTGTTGCCTCGAGAGCACTTAAGCCCTGAAGATCGAAGAGTGTACTACGTTGGAATGACAAGAGCCAAACATTTGCTATACAACACAGTTGTTGAGAATAAGGACTGGCCCATAGATATGGGACGCATAAAGAAGGAGGCTGGCCATCTGTTTCAATTCAATTCTCCAGTTCTTTCAGAGTCTTTACTGTCAAAGTTCAGACCATCGACTCAGGTCAGGTCCTTCCATACAAGGCCAAAGACCTCGCAGCCTCTAATAGTGTCTTCGCTTATCAAAGGACTCAGACTTTTGCAAAGAACTCGCTAAAGGCACAATCTACTTCTTCTTCTTCTCAACCTTGTTCTTCTTCTCAACCTTGTTCTTCTTCTCAACCTTGTTCTTCTTCTCAACCTTGTTCTTCTTCTGTACTTTGATTGGAGCAGAGGTCTCCAGCATTTTCACGTTAAGTTCACGTAGTTTAACCTCCTCCAACCAGGGTACCTGTACATCTGGAGTTGATTCTAACAATGTCTTGAAGCTTGTGGGTATGATATCGTTATCAAACATACCTAAGATGGTGCACCGTCTGGCCAATTTCTCTCCTAGTTGTGAAGCTGAGCCTCTTGGGAGCTGTATGAGCTTCACCTTGACTCCACGGGAGGCTGTGTAGCAGAGCACAGGGAACTGTTGTATGAGCAGCTGCGGCGTGATATCAGGCTTACAGACAAACACGTATCGTATCTTCTTTTCCAGGTGCTTTTTGTGTGGTCTAGCTTGAGCCTCTAAGGACTTCACCGTCGAGTTGAATCCTATGGTCATCTCCTTCAAGATCTCCGGCTTTGGTGGTTTGTCGTCGCCTTTAATGCCATTCCATAGTGAAACCTCTTGTAGTTGATTCAGCAGAAATTCTAGTATATGGCCTTGTAATTCCTGCTCTATAAAAGGGAATTCCACAGCCGGGAACGGGTTCTCCAGAAGAGGCTTAAAGACGGCTCTACGCTTCTCAATCTGCTTCAAAGACATTCCGTGTTCTCAGCACTTTCCTCTCTCTTAGAGCCTGGCATTAGTTGTTGATTGATGTGAGAGCACATTGGAAATTTTTCGTTTTCTCGGCCCTCGGAGGGAAATTCATCATCATCATCATCATCATCAACTACAACTACATCAACTACATCACAAGCGGTTACTATGACGCACACGGCTCTCAGTTCGTTAAAACAGGAACTATAACATATACACATCACACTTCTAATACATCGGCGTCTCTTCTAGCCTCCTTCGTCAGCTCCTTACGTACTGCGAGAACGTTATCAACGATAACAGCATCAACACCGGCCTCCATCTGCATTCTTGCATTCTCTGGATTGTTGTTGTCTGTTCCATAGGTGAAACACACCAGTCCTGAGCTCTTTACAACTTGGGCCAGACGTGGACACTTGACAATAGGCTCAGCTGCGGATACGATACCCAGGAGATTCCATCTCTTACTGAATCTCACGGCACTTTGCAAGGAGTCACAACGAACATCGGCCATAATCGATGTTCCAGCCTCTGTGAGGAACAAGATTGGGATCTGCGGTTGTTTGAGCGAAAGCATCAGACAAACCTCGGGGTGGAACGATGAGAATATGATATCACGGCCATCTGAATGATCATAAACGGTTTTCAACACTGTGTCAATCCAGAAGTTCAAATCAACTGCGGTCTCACCCATATCCTCCACCTGTGCTTCGTACAATATTGGATATTTACACTCAATGTTGAAACCAACATTCTTAGGAATCTTCTTAAAGAGTTCCTTCAATGTGACAAAACTGGATGCGATGGAGCTACCACGAGAATTCCCCTTGAATCCAAGATTCTTGAATGTCTTGGTCAGCTTCATCTTTTCTCCCGGTGTATGGGCATGGTTCAGCAGAGAGGCTGAACGAGGTCTCAGCATGAAATCATCCTTGGTGATCTTCGTAGTTTCGTTGAAAACATCGTTCAACCCGAGGAACTGTTCCAAAGTCAAGTTGTGCATTGGAATGTCAATACCAGACTCTGCGACCAAAAAGTCATGGTATACCACTGGAACATGATCTTTGGTTAGCTGAACGTCAAACTCAACATATGATGCACCCAATGAGGCAGCTGCGATAAAACTCTCCACTGTATTCTCACCCAGTTGTAAAGACTTTGTAAGAGTGTTCTTACCCAGTCCTCTATGTCCAATGACCCTAGTGGCAACCAAAGACTTCCAGTAAGTTTCAGTACGGTCTAGTCTCATATTTGGATGTCTGAATGGAGAAACAATAAGAACTTCAAATGTGATAGTTCCCAAAATGTCCAATGTCTCTGTTTCGATAATCGGAATGGTGACAGCTTTGTTCAAGGCAGTTCTATTAGGGCCTACTGAGGTATGGATCTTGTCAAGGATTGCCACACCACGACCCAGGATCTGTTTTCCTTGACCACCATAGGTAGGAACAATGTCAAAGAGAAGGGTTTCACTGTTTGGATCATGAGGAGTGCTAAAGGTTATCGGCTCAACGTCATCCAAAGGTAAGTCAACAGTTGTTGGTTCACCTCTTTTGGACTTTGTCGATATTGTTAATGACAACGCTGTGTCCAACTCAGTAGAGGGGACTTTGGAGATCGGCACACGGTCCAAACACACTGCTGAATCTGTGTTTCTTGAGTCATTAGATCCCAAAGTGATGATAATAAGTGATTCATCTTGGAGATATCGATGACCAAAGGATTTCACCGGTGTTGGTAGTTTGTTCTTAGGTTTGAGAGCCCTATAGATCTCACCAACCTTCTGCTTGTTATTAGACGTAGACTCCAATGAGGAGGTAGATGAATTTGTTGATCTGTACAACTTTTCTGGAGATAGTGGTTTAAGCATATCTGCAATCTCCAGATGTCCACGGAGGCAAGCGTGTTCCATTGGCGTCCAACCACCTTCGTCATATTTGGAGTAAATGGCTCCAGAGTTCTTCAACAGTTCGACAATCTCCTTGAGACCTTCAACTGCTGCAACAAACAACGGAGTCCAACCAAAGGAAGCTTCAGGGATTTCAGTTTGTGCGCCACAGTCCAAGAGGAACTTAACAGAAGTCTGAAAGTTCATTTTTGAAGCAATGTATAAAGGTGTCTCATTGTTGATTTCGTCTGCGTCATTGATGTTGACATTTTTACACTTCAGCAACGTCTGGAGGATATCCACTGCGTCCAGTCTTGTAGCCAATATAAAGATCTTCGAGTTGGACAAAGTATGCATACAATTGAAGACCAACACCTCCACAGTCTTTGGGTGTTTACCTAGCACTGCAAGATGCAAAGGAGACAGGTTTTCATAGTCACCCCAATATGATAGATCGTCGATTGGTACAGCTGGGTCCCATTCATTCCAGGTTTTCAAGTAATCAATGATGATAGTGGTGACAACCCTTAATCCGTACTGAGCAGCATAGTGTAAGGGGGTTCGTTTGTAGTGATCCTTTTGTAGCAAAGCAGGTCTCAAATGAGGAGGCAAAGAGTTCAATATTTGTATCAACGATTTTGGGTCATCGTGTGAATAAATTCCATCTGGTCCAAAGGTGTCAAATAGACGAGTATTAACGTCAGCTGGCGATGCTGGCTTGACATCGGTAAGATGCGTCTGTTTAACAACCGTTGGGGACTGTTCATTGGACTGTTTACCCAAGGCGATGATGTGATGGTGGAAGAAGTTTCTTCCAGAGATATCGCCCGGGTCTGCCAAGGATGGAATGACTGTCAGTATTCTGTTTATGCATTTAACCGATTGGTTCAATGCGGCTTTGTTTAACAGCGAAATGAGTAACTTCACAGGAACCAACACGATGGAACGGTGATCCACCACCAATTGTGAGATCAACAACTCATCATCATCTGCGAGCAGTGCCCTACTGAACTTGTCAGATTGCACAGATGAAGACCTTGTACTGCTACCAGTGGTTTGTTGAGCCCGTGGAGATATCTGGTTCAAGTAATCGTTGATCAAAGACAGAGATTTGACGATATCACCCTCATTGGCAAAGGGCAGGGGGTAGACCCTGGAGTTGAGATAAGGAATCTGCTGACAAGTGCCGGTCTTCTTATCCAGTTTCTTCAGGATCTTGACAAAGCCACGCTTGTTCAGCTCACCAAACCACTTCAGGTTTCTGAAATTGTAACGTAACTCCACCAACACACCAATGATCTCCTCCAGCTCTTCCTCATCCATATGGTCCGACAAGTTCATCATTATCGACGTTAGTTTCTTCAGCCGTCTCTCGTACTCCACATACTGCTTGTTGTAGAAATCGTCAACCTGCTCCAAGCTTCTATCCAGCGAGAAGAAGAACGTTGCTAGCGCTGTTCTAACCTCTGGAGAATCAAGCTGTCTCTCCTTACCAGCATCCGCCGCCTTTGAATCATTGGACAGCTGCAACAGATGAACTACAAGCTTGATCTGACGCTTCAAATCCTTGTAGTTGATGTAGTGCTGTGTCCACTGCGGCACCTGGTGCTGGACAATCGTCTTACCGAACTTCATGGCGCCTCCGTTGTTGTTTCTAGTGGTCCTTCTTGGGGCCTTTATGTCCTACGTAGATGTCTTGATGATAAACAATGAAACCACGGTAACTGCCGCACTATTCAATGCTCTCTGCTTCCAAGCGACGCTGAGGTTTCACAACGACAAAAGCAGCAGCTTTTTTCCCAAAAGACACCGTCAAAGACCGGAAACAAGACTGGTTTAAGAGCGAGCCTTCACCACCAATCTGACCACTTGGGAACGAACAAACACTCAAAGCTCCTCCAGTGTTTTGAGGACATCGTGCCGGGCTCTTTATAAACGTTCATTTCTGCTTTTTTTTACCGTCTACACGTGCATCAGAACTGCACGAGATAAAATTGGACAGGCAACGTTTCAGGCGCCGCCTCCGCGTGGGAGGTTTCATTGGCTGCTTCGATGGGGGAGTTTATATACATTTCGGTACAATTAAGCCGGTGTATACCGAAACGTGAGTTGGTTCTTACGTGTGATACGCAATGCCTTACACTTGATGGTTGTACTAGTGGTGTTATATTGTCAATTGAGGTGGATAAAGGAGGTTTACTTCTTTTCGTCTGCAGTGGCCTGTTCGGAGGCCTGTTCAGCGGTCTCTTCAGTGCCTTGCTTATCACCAGAGATCAACGGAGACAGCGGTGCGCCCTTCTTCAGCTCCGCAAGCCTCTTAGCCTCTTCGTGCACCTCGCGGGCATCGCTGACGGCCCTCGTGTAGAAGTCCTTGATCTTTGAGCCCAAGCCGGTGCTCTGTGCCTTCTCAAAGTACTTGTTCACACCGCGGGAGATTCCGTACTTTTCATCAAACTGCTTCTGTTGCGTTTCAAGCTGCTTCCCCTTCTCCTCCAACTGGTACTTGTCATCCAAGTCCTTGACAAACTTGTTGAACTTCTCAGAGAAGCCATTCTTCTTATCGTAGTCGACCGCCTTGGAGATGAGCTGATCACCGAGCACGTACCCGTGGGACAAATACTCTGCAAAGATCGCACTCTTCGGCTTCAGCTCCTGGGCAATGTCACCGTCTCCATCTTCATCTTTGGACTCGTGCTCGCCAGCAGCACTTGCGCTGCTCTTTGGCTCTGCGAGCCCCTGTCTCTCCGCAAATTCGCCAGCATGGCCACCAGCTTTCGCATCTTCGTGTGGGATGTTGCCATCGTTGAACTCCCGCACAACAACAGCTTGGCCTTCCAGCTCAGCTCCGTTCAGCAACAGTGCTGTGGCAACAGCACTTGGGCTGGCAAACTTCACCTGCACACACTGCTCCCCCTCCGCTTTGGACAGTTCGTAAGGCTGGATGCGGTCGATCTTCCCACAGAAGGAGAAGAAATGCTCGATCTTGGACAGAGGAACGGACTCAGGAATGTTACTTGCAAGGATAGACGACATATTCAAATGTGGTTATTAGTAGCTAATTGAGTGATTAAGAAAGTGAAGCTGGGCATCAGGGTGTGCCACACGACCTGCTTTTATAGTGCTACGCCTCTTTTTAAAGTTTGCGTCGTGGTTTCAGTTGCTCTTTCTTCCAATGAGGCGAAACTTGCCCACGGTCCCGCAACCCTACACGTTTTAAACCAGCAGCCGACCGTCTTGACGGGTTCATCCGTAGAAAGAGAGGCCGAAATTAACCATTCCGGCCATCTGATGCTGGGAGAGTGTCTAAAACACCAAAGGAAGCTAGCAATAGGTCAATTGAGCCCACTGTGACGTTTTCACGGCTCCAGCTTGGCTCTGCCTGTGCGTCTTTGCTATAGGGAGAACGCTCGTATTTCCTGGCCCCGATTAGGCAGAGAAGAAGTGTGCCGGGCCCGTCCCCATCGCCATCGCGGCAGCCTTCCGTCTCTCTTTGTCTCTCTCTGCCCGGCCTGCGTAGCTCAGACACATAAAATGGGGGAAAACAAACAAAACACTCATCAACGCTAACAAGGATCTCTCTATGTCCAGCGCCAGCGGGTCCACTTATACCTGGGAAACAGCGCTGTAAAGACGGAGAATATGGGGATTCCTATTGATTCTGCAATACGAAAGACGAAGAAGAAGAGGGTATGCCGGCTTCGAAGACGAAATGCCATGAGGGCCTCCGATTTCCCTCTTCGGAACCACCCTCTGTCCAGTGCGATGAGGCCAGACCAGATACAACAGCACAGGCAGCGACAACGAGCACGCCACAGCTCAGATTACACGTCAGAGCTGGTCAATAGGCTTGGGGATGAGTTCTTGGTGAACATACTCGAGTATGGGGATGCTGATGGAGATGCCCGTGAAGACGAGCATACAGTGAGATTTGAAGACACTCCACACGTTGTCACAAACATCGACTCCACGAGCGAGGCCGTGATGGAGGGAGATGAGGCTATACGAAGCGCTACAAGCAGACTATCGCAAGCCAGAAGGCTCTTTCTTGATGCATTGCACCCGAATAGCGCTGATTTGGATCAAATCGAGGTGAATTATTCAACGCTGAGGGAGCTGGAGGGAAGAGGTGAGGCGAACGAGGAACAACTCTCCGATGATCTGCCTGAGGATCTGTTGAATGAGTTTCTCTCTCATGGGGTACGATATCTTAGTGGGAGAAGGTCTTCAGAGACCCGCCAGTCTCGCCTACGTCGGCTACGTCGTTTTGGTAGATTACGTGGAACAGCAGAAGAACAAGGCGAAGAGCAAGAGGGAAACAATAGCGAAGCTACAAGAGAATCGAGAAGGGCAAGACATAGAGAGGTGTTTCTCATGGAGCAAGGGGAATAGTACGTCGTTTGTTATGAAATCATTATTCTAATTATTAAACGTCAAAGCCTTTTCTATGTATATAAATAAGATGAAATAAGTCTTTTTTTTGAGGGTCCCATCATGAACTCAGCAGTTCAAGTGCCTGTGAACACTGCTTGCTGCCTTTGAACTCTAGCAGATAAGACACCGGCTCTTGTTTTGTAGCTGTTTCACAAGTAAACTGGATCCCTGATTTACCAAGCCTTTGACACTTTTGATTGAGAACCAAAGCGTTCAACTGAGTCCCATTTGTACAGGACACCTGGAACTTGGAGTAGCTTGGATCACGAACATGCGAAAGAAGAGAGAATTTACCCATGGAAACTGGAATCCAGTCCCCATCTTGGTCTTGTTTATGCAATCTCACCTTTTGTGATAGCAATAGCAGTTCATTCTTATCAAAGGTACTGGCATCTTGAGAACCTACTGATAGTGTACTGACAGACTCTTGCTGATAGAGAGTAGTCTTTGCAGTGGAAGGTGGCTCCAATGATTTGCAGTCCTCAAGAGAACTCATTGACGTTGAAGTGGATGGCTTATCAAAGATGACACTGGTGCTAGATGCAGCGCTCAGACTCTCGTTACAGCCTCTCATTCTTTGCAACTCATCGACAATTAACGAAACCGTGCGTGAATCAACACATCTCAGTGTGTAGATGGTACGACGTTGATCCAGGAATCCCTGATGACATTGTAGCTGGAGATCTCTAGCACTAGATTTGGATAACGAAGCTCCGCTCAACGGCACAAGCTTGAAAGGTTCATCAGAACATGGCTGTGTATAAATCGCCAATGAATCGTTATCTGCATGTTTGAAGAACTTCAACTCAGTATTATACCCATTCCCAAGTTGTTCCCACTTGCTATTGTGCCATCTAGAAACAATGCAGGAATTGGTGATAGTAGCAAATAGTGTTGAATCTTGTAGTATGCTCTTTTCCAACTCGGTGAGTGGATTTTTGGTGGTGGTATTGGCTGCAAATGGTGAAGGCAAGCTTGGTTTCTTAGATTCACTGGATAGTGAAAGTTGATTGACAGATCTTTGAAGTGATGCCATAGATTCCTTTTTTGGTAGAGTCTTTGTCTGGGATTCAACATCAGATAATATCTGACGTTGTGGAGTGATAGGCTCTGTGCAAATTTCAAATGAAGGTTCCTTCTCCTTCTTGCTGAACAGGCCAAAGATTGATTTACGTCTCTTCTTCTTCTCCACTGGCTTTTGTGAAGTCAAGTCAATGGTAGATGTGAATGGCTTGGTCTTTTCAGTAGAAGCCTGGCCAAAAGCAGGCAGGGAGACAATTGACTCATTGAGGTTATTACATAGGGAGGATCTTTTCAATACAGAAGGTTTGGCACTAACCTCTGGTGATAAATCAGTCTCAAATGATGCAGAGCTTTCTTCGAAGCTACTGGTTTCAAGATGCGGTGTGCCCAAAGATTTCAACTGTGGAGTAGTGGTCTTCAGTAATGGAGATTTCAGTGGTGGAGCATCTGTGCGCTTGTTGATATTAGTCAGGTCAGCATCCTTGGTAAAGTAAAGATCCAAGTTCAGTTTTACAGAATTGTCTGAAAGAACTGAAGAACGAATCAATGACTCATGTCGTGATACGATTGGTGTTGATCTACGGAGTTGAGATTGAGACTCGAACTTCAATCCAAGACCAACTTTACCGTTCTTCAGAGGTCTAAGCTTCTCGTGGCTTTCGTCAAAAGCCGAGTCTATTGGCAAATGATCAACCAAATGGTTCCACTCGTCCATTTGTTCTTCGTCTGGACATTTGAAAGACAAGGTGATTTCATCGGCAGACATAGAAATGCAGTCCAAGTCATTTTGCTTGACAAGGAAGTCACAGACTTTCAAGGGAGGAAACATCAAGCTTCTTCCAACGCTCAAGACTTTTGTAACGGCAATGGCATTGTTGGCTAGAAGGAACACTTCAACAAGGACATCGCTTTCAAAAGTTTCCAATGGATGAGTCATGGAGAAATAGAAATAGTCTCTTCGGATTATATCGTCCAATTTGAAGTAGGAAACCGTCTTCCCTAACGTGTGAATGTCTCTGACGTCGTTGAAACGCAATGTTACCAAGTCAACCTCTTTATTTGTCTCCTCAACACGGTTCATTGCCTGCTGGGCCAGCTTCTTATACTTTGAATAAAGTGCACCTCCATTAACTCCAAGTGCAGCACAGAGCTTGCTGAGTTGGTTTACTCTGACCATTGGAGCCTTGCGCAATGTCACATCGGAGTCTGAAGTTTCAGCGTCGATATGGTAACTTGCAATGTACTGAGCATAGATAGCAATTCCCCTTTCTAACCATTGCACCAAGTCCGAGTGCTCTTGAACTCTGAGGAAAGCCTGGTGATGAGCAACAAGACGACGAATGTGTTGTGGATGAGACAACGCTGTGTATGCCAGTCTTGAGAGGGTCATTCTATAGTCACTCTCGGCTTGCTGGAACTCCTCCATAGCGAATGGCATTGTCATGACTTAATAGTACTCTGGCAACCACAACAAATACACACAGTAAGAAGAAAAGAAAGAAAAGGACAAGGTTGATGTTCGAAAAATGCGTTCTCCAAGTTAACAAAGTCGCCAGAAACGAGCTAAACAGCCATCTGTCTCCTCAACTGCGGAAGTGTATTCATGTCCTTGTATCTCTTCCTCATTGGACACCTGTGGTGGAACCCCTTCCAGGCGTAGCCTTACATGGAAGATCGCGTATTCCGTCTCTAGTGCAACCTGCGTACCTTTGACTTGACCACACAATATAATCCGTAATGAAACGGTGAGTTAACTCACAGACAATCGCGTTCCATTGCATTATAAAATTTTTGCTGCAGCTCCCAAAGGTACACGGTTAGCCTGAGTTGCGTGTGTGTCTCTACGCGTACGCGTCTGGTGTATGGATGTAGCTCATGAGTGTAGCTTCGTCCTGGCTGGTGCTGGGAAGGAGCCCACGACATGGGGCACTTCTTGATTCATAACCACCAAGTTATTCCATTGGACAGTCAATGCTGTTAGTGCTTGTCTGTATTAGAAGCTAACTGTGTGAGTTTGAGTTATTTGCGAGTCTGGAAACACGAGCCTAACCGATTTAATCCTGCCTAATCACGCGTCATCGCCTTAGAAAAGTGTAACTGTTAAGGCTTCTACAAATAGAGAGGTTTACATTGAAGAGCACAATGTATTGGCTAAGACTCGAGAACTGGGGGATGAGCCTTGGGAGCCGAGACCTGAAACGAAGCATTAGTTTGATCTTCACGATGGCCGTTTCTGGCTGCTAAATGCTTGGGACCCATGGCTGCCTTAGTTGTCAGGCTGCCTTCGTTGTCATCTGGTGGTGTAGTCGTGGTTACAGTATTTGATGTTGTTCTAAACGCGTACGTTTCTTCCTTTCTTAATCTATTGACGCGTCAGTTACAACATGTGGACTTCAGACATGTACACATGTAAACCAAAAGATCTTGAATAATACATATGATACAATACAAATGTTGTTTACACAGTGGTATATAATCAACCTTTTAACAATAGGAAACATGATACCAGATGAACTCTTAGCAACTCCAGTAGCGATAAGTCTGTGGTGTTTCGATACTTACTGGTTTTAACGATTCGTCATCCAACTCATCCTCTTGAGACTCAACAACACTCGATTCACGTTTCGAAAGGTCAAATGATGAGATCAAAGTACGTGGTGGCTTATCCAAAAGTTCCTTGACATCCTCAAGGGCATCCTTGAGCGAATCACCTTCAAGATTGGTGGCACTTGACAACTTAGACAGCGCAAGCTGAGATACTTTTGCAAACGACAAACGATCCAAGAACAGTTCTTCCTGTTGTTTTTGTAAAGTACGTCTTTCAGCATCAATTTGTTTTTCCAATCTTTCTAAACGTGATAGTTTCAGCTCTATCTTGTTTAGTTGTGTATTAACAATAACGTTCGTTAACTTGTTCATCTCGATCTCTTCCATTGTTTTGAAAACATGTGCCCTAGCTCCCACTGTTGCCAACGCTACTTTAGCTGCGTCCTCTAACGCATTAACATTAAGATCACCGTCCTGATCTTTAGTCTCTTGTTCAACTTGCTTTTCAAGGTCACGCTCGTCAATAATCTTTATAGCACGTTCGGTAGCACCTCTCACCACATCTGGGTCCACCAGTGAAACCAAGAATGCAACAGTAGACAGCACTGGATTATCTGCTTGTGAAAATGGAAGGTATGGCGCATACTTTAGAGGTCCTAAGTTGTTTGTCGAGTTCTCGAGGTATTTGTCCTCAATTGGTAACTTTAGGAAGCGAATAATGCATTGTTCCACAGTGTGAGTGCCAACGTATGAAGCAATTGCATCCCAATCGGTTTTGAACTTTGACAAACCTTCCAATAGCTTCTTCAGATCCTCTTTAGTCCACCCATCGTTTATTGTATCCACCAAACGTGGCTTCTTGAACTCTCTTTCCGCCTTCACATGCGTAGTCTCACTGCCATTTTCAGTGGATTCCTTAGCCTTTTCATCGGTTGTTCTCTTCCCATTGATGATATCTTTTACTTTTTCCAATTTGTTTGGTTCAAGTGGGGGTTTAAATGATTCGTAAGGGAACAATCCTCTAGGGGCATCATAACCAACTTGATAATCTCCCGTATATGGCGGTTCCACTGGTTTTGGTTTCACCTCGGCATCGACTTGATAATTTATTAGCCCCCATCTTGAAAGGAATCTATGCAAACGCATTATCGTTCCAACGTCACCGGCAAGCGTTCTTCTTGCCGCAGTTACTGTGAGGTAGTCATTTGGATTGAGTCTGTATGCATTTATCAAAAAGTTTCTGTACTTCACGTAAAGTGCTGGTGTCTTCGAAGGGTTCGAGTTCGTGAAGAACTCGGGAAGAGACTCCTTTTCAATCGGATGTATCTTTCTGAAGTTGAACCAGGATGAGTACGAAGGGATAACAATGGTGTGCGATTGTGGAATATAAGGTTCAGTGTCACGGTCGCCATGATCATCATCTTTCGCGTCCTCCTCCTTATCATTGTCATCTTTATCCTCCTCGTTCTTGTTTTCATCCACTTTACCTTCGTGCTTATCGTCGTCATCGTTGACATCCATATCGACGTCCTTGTCAAGCGAATCATCCACTTTCTCATCTGTCTCCGGTGATTTTTGAACAGCAGAGGCACTTGGAGTATCAACCACCAAATCCTCCTCCGGCTTGATTAGCGGAGTAGTAGTTGGTGACTTCCTTATGTTTTCTTCAGCGTCATCAACATCCGGCTTCTCTGTCTCTATTTGTAGTTCGAGCTCGGAGTCTGATGCACCTGGACGAACAATTTCCAGTTTCTCCTCTTCATCCTCTTCGTTGTCTTCTTCCTCCTCAGCGGCCTCACCGTCACTCACATAGTCGCCATCCTTAGCATCAGGCAAAGATACATCGCCGTCAACATCAACATCGCCATCAGCAACGGCACCGGCATCGACAGCGTTAGCCTCGATGGCCGCGTTTCCAACAGAGGACGCCCCAACAAACTCAGCTGGCTCTGCCTGTTCAACACGCCCCTCATGAGACTGTTCGACAGCCTGGTCCTGAATCCCATATGCAGGATCAACATCTGGTGGGAGCTCACTCATAACAATTATTATTATTCCGCCTCGTATTCCGGTTTGTTTGTTTTTTTGCTCTCCGCTTAGGATGCTTTGTTATGATTCTATAAAACCTGTCTGTGTGTTTTTTCCCCTTTACCCTTGTAAACCAACCTCAGTAATCCACAGTCCGTACACCAGCAATTGTCAAGGCGATCTGTCTGCTTAGTGTGGTCTCTTCAGCAACAATGATAGTATAAATAAAAGCTGGAATTCACACAATGATTTCCTTCAAGGATTCACAGAGCAGGTTTGATGCTTGTGTTTGTTTATTGGGAGCCGGTCTTAGTTTGGTGTTTTGATTGTTGTTTTCACCGCTCGTTTTGATTTTTTTTCCTGTCTTTGTGGTTTTCCACTAGAAACATCCCGACCGAGGTGTCTCGACTTCCCAAAATGGAAAGACAGGGGAAAACTGCTAAAGATATATGGATATTACGTAATGAAATCAAAACACTCAGCGGAGCAAATTTGTTAGGCGTGCGCGTCCTGCATTGAGGAACCATTTTTCACACTGCTCGGTTAACGAGCAGAGCCAATGATCTGTTTTTAGCAGTTGAGCACAGGATGAAATGACCAGCCATGGTCAGCCTGTTGAGAAGGTTGTTTTGAAACTGCTCAAGAGAGTGATTCCCAGGCAGAAGAAAAGCATCACTATCAAGGACATTGCGTTGTCTCGAGAAGAAATAGACGGTGTTATCCACAGTAACTTTATAAAGCGTATAGAGCCGAAGAGGAAGAGAGACTGGGAACATGCTCCGGAAGAGATCAGAAATGTACTGAAATACGTATCTGTGTCTGATGCTATGCTGCAACCTCGGCTGCTGAGCTACTCTCCGTCGCCGTTCGATATATACACGGATCCCAAGGTTGTGGACTCTGGCAGCTCAAGGCTGTCACCGGCCATATTGCCTCGTTTAAGCGTTACACAGCTGTTGACCAAATCATGGTGTGAGCTTCAAGAGCTCTTCAGAATATGTACGCAACGTCGTAAGAAAACGTTGGCTCGAATGGCATCTGGCCATCTTATCCATGACAAACTGGACCAAGGTTTGAAAGAAGAAGTTTCAAACGAACTTGCAAGACGCCTCGATGTTGAAAGGTTAGACCCTACAGAACTTCCAACAGTTGTGTTTTCCTCTGAGGATACACAGGCACTGAATGTGCTAGCACAAATATCTAACCTCTCAGGGCTGTTGCTGATTGGTGAAGCGAGAGAAGTGTACTGTCATTCATTTGTGAATCTCGATAATGGGTTTGTGAAAGATCCTCATAGACATGATCTTCTATTAACCGGTATCATTGACTATTTGACATTCGAAAATGACCAAGGTCAAATAGTACAACCATTAAAAGATTTCAACGACATAAGGTGTGTTGATGATATTCTCAATGCTTTAAGACTTGTGGAGAGTGGGACCTTATCTCTTGGAGTCTACGATATAAAAACTAGACGAGACCATTCAATACCTCGTCAAGCCTCGGTTCTTGAGAGTTCCAAGAACCAAATTCAGATGTATGAGATCATGCTCTCAACTCTGGGGGAAACCTCTGAATCAGGGATGAGGATGATGGAGGAATATATGGACAGGAAACACATTGATATTGACAAACCATTATCCAATGACTTTATTCTGTACTCTCTCGCATCCCTTCCGTTTATCAAAGAAGATTATATAATGGTACAATCGGGGGCTTTCCATCTGAAGTATAACTACTCTATGATATGTGGTGATCATTCACATTCAGAGATGGAAACGTTCGATGAATTCTGTTCAGAATTACCCATTTCAAGCAAATTACAAGAATTTGCAAATGAAAACTTTGGAGCATTATGCCAAAGCTGGAAATCGCATCTCACACTTCGTCATCTCATCATCATTCTTGTTGAGCTAGTGCATTGCATCACTACATTAACAAACAAAAGAAGTCTGGCAGTCAAGTACTATAAAGGTGCAGATGACAATTTCCAGACTGTCAGACTCTCACAGGATAAGGCAAGCGTCAGTGCGCTTGTTAAAACCTCTCTAGCATTTTGGTATGGGCTCAGGGAAGTTGAACCAATTGAACGCAACGCAAACAGTTACTATGACAAATGTCAGCATTGTGACTTTAAAGATTACTGTTCGTGGTCCAAAGGCATGGTTGAACAATACGTTGATAGAAGAGTCAACAGCATCTAGGTTTTTTTTAATTACAAGGTCATATATATGTACATAGATAACGGGATAAAACCATACACAGGATCCTTTGAATTCGCATCATCACTTCATTAGGTAGTATTTTGCCATTTCATACGCTGTCCAACAGATTGCAGTTGCAGGGACGTTACTCACGATACGAGGCTTGACACCTTTCCAGAAAGCAGCCATTCCACCAACCTCGTACATAATCTTTACAGCTTCGCCAAACTTATGGACGTGTCGTATACGAGGGTCGTCTAATCCTGTTCTTGTTTGTAATATGGTCTTGACACAGTCCAGCGGGGTAGTAAATGCTGCTGCAACTCCTCCAGCAAGACCACCGGCAATACAATGTCTCAGAGGATCGTGAACGGAGTCTGGATTAAGAACCTTCGTAGCTGATTCATAAACGATAAAGTTGAGAGCGGTGAATGGAATCGTCATTGCGATGGTTGTTGGATAGGAGTAGTAGAATGCCCTGAACCCTTCAGTTCTGATGATGGATCTAACTGTCGGAATGAAGTCCGCGGAGCCACCAGAGTTCAATTGCATTCTCTGTTTGATAACATCAAATGGGTTCATTAAGGCCTCTGAAGTAATTGTCGCAGAGGCACCAGCAATTCCAATACGCAAAGGCTGGTGACCTTCCTGGTCCTTCATGAGAATCTTCTTCACGTACTCATAGGTCCCAAAATACACCGCATGCGCAGGCCCAGCGCCTAGGATGACACTTGAAGTACCTCTCCACAGCGACAGCCAACCTTCTTGAAGAGAAATCCTATAAATACTGTTGAAGATACCCTGTGTGTTTTTCAAGCTCGTTGCCTGCATTCTCGTCTTCAGAGCATCAACTGGGTACATAACAGTATGCTCCAGAATACCAGCAAAGGCACCGGCTGTGCACTGTGCCAACAGAGAAGAGTCCTCGGGAAGAGATTCATAGTCAACCTCCTCTGGCGTGATGATATTTGGCACTGGGACCTGAATGTCCGTTCTTTCTTGAGCCATCATTGCAGATTAAAAGATACGATAGGCAACTCGCTCAGCTACGCCAACCGTGCTTTAAATTGGAGCAAAGAGATAGGGAAATGGGTAAAAAACGCTTTCTTCAAACGATGGTGTTCCAACTTTCCACCTTCGATTTTGACATAGACCTCCGTCCCTCGGAGAAGATTTTTTAGGTGGGCTTCCACTAGCGCGGCCCTGTAAATTTTCCCCGTGGCAACGTTTCCCACCCGCGCGTTAAGAAGAATTACGCCGGTACCGCACAAGTTGCTTATCGAAAAGATCTACAGACTTGGGTGTTTTTTTGTTTCTTTTCTTTTTAAGCCCATTGGTTCCCTGTATGTTGTTCCGCGTAGTTGGTGTGCTTTGTTGGGTGAAATGTCATTGATTGTGCCAGGCTTGGCCAGTGGAACTGATTGGATTAGTCAATTGAGTCCCACCTTCGAAGCGTAGATGAGTGTCAGTACTACATAGGCGCAGGTGGGATTACGCGATGGTTAAGCGCACTCGAGTGACTGCTGCATGTCACACAGGGAGGTTAAAGGTTATTTTAGTGTATCATTGTAGTGTATACTAGTCAAATGGTGGGGGGGAGACGGTGTATCTCAGCATGCTAGAGCTTTGCTATGCACTTGTTGGTGACTACAACTGTGTGGCATTACAGTCGTATCTCATTTAAAGTAATTAGTTGTCCTTAAGGTTGTGCCTCATCACATCGTCGATCGTGTCGAAAAGCTCCGTCCATTTGTTGCAAGTTGCTATACCAGCTTGTACATTCCTTGTTTCTTGTTTCAATATATTGTCCTCGCTTGTGCTTGGTGATTCGTCGACACGGCTCTCGTTATCATCAAGTCCAACATTGTCATCGGAGTTGAAATCCGAATCAAAGTCAGAGTTGATACTATCCATGTCACCATCGTCTTCCAGCTGGTTTTCTCCTACATGGATGTCTAAGTTGCTCATTAGGCATTCCATAATGTCTTCCCATGAAGATGCGTAAACAAGAGATGGTGTGTTATTCGACCCACGTCCTGCTCCAACACAGATCACCAAATGGTCCTTTATCATATAGCTTGTCTTCAGCTTCTCAGAGACATCTTCTGTTGTAATGATACATACTGCTGTATTTGCAGTGTCCACGCTCTCAAGCATATCGCTAAATGAGTCACCGACGTTATCAGCCTTTCCAATTCCATCTATTTCAGTACTATAGGACTGTTTTAAACACTCCATTGTACAGAGCAGTTGGAAATCCAAGAACTGGGTCTGTAATACTCGACAGATGTTCTGTAACGTCATTACTGCAACTCCTGGAAGTGGCAAACAATGATTAATCACTAGCAGCATGTTATCCTTCTTTACAAGCAATTGTCGCTCCTGTGGTGAAAACTTAAGAGGAGATAATAACACTGGGATTGTCATTCGACTGGATTCACCAAAGTCAAGAAGAAGGTCTTTTCGTTGTATCGTGGAGCTCAAGTTTTCAACATTGAAGTGCTGCTCTAAATCGCACAGTGCCGAAATCCACTTCTGTAATATAAAAGAGTCTCCATGCTTGATGTAAAACCCAGTATATTGTAACATCAGTTGTAAAGTGGCTCTGTTTGGTGTGCAGACATCAACATGTTGCACTGGGAATCTCAGCCACTTAGCATACCCAGTTCTGACAAGTACGAGCTCATACTGGAAGAGGTATACAATATACGTCTTGAATTCAGTTCCATCGACTGACACACTCAACTCATCGACTAGTCTTAAGAGTCCCATGGCATCTATGTCAGTTTCCTTGACGTGTATCCCATGTTTGTTCAGCTCTTGAATTAAAAATGAGATATGTTCCGAGCGCAATAACGCCAATGAAACTTCATCTGCATTGAACACTTGTGACTTTGGAGACGGTGACTTAGGCACTGACGAGACAATGGAAGAGATTGCAGAAATTGAAGAACCTCTAGATTTGTGAGACTTCTGGTGATGCATCACTGATGATGACCTCGGCGATTCTTTCATTTCAGGTATTTCGATGCTCAAATCTTTGGCATTTTTGCTGTGTAGAGACAAAGACTGGAATTTGGGTTCTTGTATGAGTAGCTGGGATGATAAGGTCTGTGGCTTTAAATGAATTGTGGGAGGTAATGCAGCCTCTTGGGTCTTGGGACTTAGCAGGTACTTAGAAACAAGCGAGTCTCTGAGAGTAACGTCCTCAGGGAAAGTGGTTTTACCGCAGATTCCGCAAGTTGGGAAAAGTTTGTTAATGTCCAGGTTCTCTTTTGGAATACCAATAATCAGTGTCCAAAGACATTCCTCATGAGACACATGCGAACACGTGAGTGTGATGACTTTCTCATCGTATGACTTCGACGATAGAGGCTCATCGCAAAAGCAACACTTCTTGTTGTAATAATTCTTCAGCTTTCTCAGGTCCCTGTTATTGTTAGAGCTTGAGCTTATAAAGCTCGCCACTTTCGGAGGAGTGTCTGTGACCGTAGAGCACGAAGACAATGTTTGAGGTGAATGATTCCCAAAAGTTGTCAACGACAGTGGTGTTGTTCTTGGTATTGAGGTTGTTCTCGGGGAGTAAATAGAGGGTAACTGACAGTGTATCTGTGTTGTGCATGTTGAGCTGGAGCTTTCTGAGCGGAAACTGGAGCTTGAGGTAGATGAGCTCAAGGACTTGGACGATATGGATCTCGATACTCTACTCTGGAATCTAAGCCATCTTGACGATTGCGGTGAGGAATGATTCTTATGATCGTCCATAATGTGTGCAAAATGTCTCCGTTCTATCTTCCCTTGCCTTGTTAAGAAACAGCTTTAGCTGTTATAACTATTCTTCACGCTGTACGGGAGGGACTTTTCCCATCAAAAGGAACAACTTCGAAAGTTGAAACATTTCCACCAATGCTCTTCGTGGTTTCCCTTTTGGAGTTTTTGAGGCACTGGATTCACGTACATTTCAACTGCGCATGCTAAAAGCTTAAACTGTACGATATCGCTATTTAATTTACGAATGAATACCTTTGCAGCCTTAGCAATTGAAACAATTCACAACAGGAGAGCATTCTAGTATTATAGCTCGATAAATTTATTCAATGATTAACTCGTTGCTAGTCGATGGGTGTCTTGGAATGGACATAACAGTTTAACTACAAGGACAATATACGGAGCTTTGACAGTATCGATGCGTAAATGGTACTTTACGCTAGGAATTGACGGGGTAATAGTAGGAGATGTTCAGCTCTTCAAAGAGTCCCTAACAGTTGCGTATAATCGAATGGAGAAACCTCTTGCAGCGAGTTGAGAATTGGATGGAATGTTCTACATTCCTTTCTGATTCGTCTTGTTTCTAAGCCATATGCGGCAACGTTTCATAAGTAAATGCGCCATACACTGAAGTATACGAATACAAAAGTTTAAACTAATGGGTAAATATTTCCTTTGAAAAGACACTTATTCCAGATATTCTATACACCACTGAATTGAACATCCTTCTCATAACATTGTATTTGAACTCACAAAGCAACAGAAAATGGTGTTTCTGAAATAAGCTGTGGCTTGTGGGCGATATGGAGTGGCTCAGCTGTCCCATATTAACGCCCCTTCTATAAAGTCATGCTCAATAATTTACATGGAGATCGTAGTGGCGCTGATAGAACATTGTAGATAGATAACAATGATGACAAATTGGCAGTCTTCATTGGCTGCTAGTGGCCATAGTTTCCACCCCGTCCGCCTTTTACCATCCCAATAAACTGTGCCATGTACACGCCACCTAGTGCTTCGCTGACTGCATGGTCAATACTGTAAAGCATTTCTTATAATCGTGAAGGTATCTCAACACAATTGAGAAGAATTGTTCATTCTAATCTATCATTTACAGTACCAATGGTGGTCTCGATGTTATGTCCTTAATTTTTTAAATGGCCTCTTACACTTCTTGATGAAGTTTGTAATTTTGATCTTCATTTGCACATAGTTCGCTTAACTTTAGTGAGATATCGCCAATATTGCGCCACAAGGGTAACTACTTTTTAGCAGTGGCTTATGGAGATGTGGCAAGTTGAATAGATAAGTACAACCATAAACTGCTCCTCTACGCAAGGATGCTCTCTTTGTAGATTGTATCCTCTTGGCTGTGTAAACGGCTTAAGATTGAACTGTGGCTGATTTTACCCCAACTTCTTCCTGGTATAGTGATTTATGGGAACAATATGCTCACTTGTACAACGGTTTCAAGTTCAAAACAGGTATTGTAATCGATACTTTAATATTATATAAAGGAGTGGGAAAACTGGATTCAAAACGATATATTCATCCTTTTTGGATCAGTACTATCCAATAACACTTATGACTACAGCAACTGCAACTGCAACTGCAATAACAGCTGCAACAGCAAAATTGACAATCAATGAGACACCATTGGAAACTCTCAAGTCGTCATTCGTTGTGAGAGCATCAGAGACTGCTACGGAGCCAATTGAAAACCCAGATAATGTGGCGTTCCCTGAATGGTTACCAACATGGGATCCAGATCATACTTTTGATGCATATCCTGATAATTACAATAAATCATTTTCAGACAAAGGTTTACTTGCAGATCCCAACTTGACCAATTTATTCCCTAAAGATGGTGAAGATTCCGTTCAAGTTAAAAGATTGACACCAAAGTTTGGATCTGAAGTTAGAGGTATTCAATTATCACAATTGAGTGACGCTGCGAAGAACGATCTGGCTCTATTTGTCGCACAGCGTGGTGTTGTCGCCTTTAGAGATCAAGATTTCAAAACCAAGGGTATTCAATTTGCGAGAGATTTTGGTTCATATTTTGGACCTTTACATATCCATCCAGCAACTGGAGCTCCAAAAGGTGCACCGGACTTCCACATTGTTTATCACAAACCTAACGTTGAGGAAAGTTTCAAGGGCGATTTCTCAAAAATTCCTGACAACAAGTTATCCTTCAGAACATGGCACACAGATATCACCTTTGAAGAGTATCCTTCTGGAACAACTTTCTTTGTCGAGTTGGATTCCCCAGATGCTGGTGGTGATACTCTTTTCAGCGATGCCACCGAGGCCTATAAGAGGCTATCACCAAAGGTCCAAGATTTCGTTTCGGGTCTGAAAGCGGTCCATACTTTTGACCAGTTTCTACAATTTGTAAAGGTCACTGGGAAACCACTGCGTAAGCCTGCCCCAGCTGACGTTCTCCACCCATTGGTGAGAATTCACCCTGTTACTGAGGAAAAGTCTCTCTTCGTACCACAGGGGTTTGTGAAGAAAATCGAAGGACTCAAGGATGAGGAGTCTGATGCAGTTTTAAAGCTGCTCTTTGACCACGTCAACAACTCCCAGGATTTACAAGTCCGTGTTCACTATGAGCCTGGCACCGTTGTTGTGTGGGACAACAGACGTGTGCTTCACTCTGCTGTTGTTGACGTTGAGCCTGAAAAGACTCGTCATTTCTACAGAATTACTCCGCTCGCAGAGAGACCGGTGCTTTCAAAGGAAGAATTGGAGGAGTGGAATCGTCAGAAGTAGGCACTTGTATAATCAAGGTTTAATCTTTACGTGAAACAGCGAGCTCCCCTCATTTTATAGTTTACCATTATTACATGATTATAATCTCTTGAACGTATGGTCTGTGATTATCGTCAAAGCCTCTAGCGCAATCATAATTAAAGTCTCTTCCGTGGTCAACAAGACTAGATCAGACAATTTGACAATCAAGTCCTGGTGATTATCCCCAAGACCAATTCTGCACACGGATCCAAACCCCCTCCCACCAGTCGATTTGGGAAATCGTTACCGTAACGGAGGACTCCAACCCCACAAAAAAGGCCAAAAAAAGAACAGCAAAAGCAATTCTCACGTGTCTAGCGCAGACCGTTATCGCAAAAAATTCGCAAGCAACAACTTTAAAGTTCTTTGTGCCGCGGTTTACAGTCGTTAGAGCAAAAACATAGTGGCTAGGTTTGTCAGTTGTACGGCTGTGTAGACATCTGCTTTTAGTGTGTTTGCCCAAATGAGCTATGATTAAGAAAAATTACACACATATCGTGACAACATTGCATAGTAATAGGGGTAGTCATAAAAGACAAAAAAAATATTTCAGTGTTAACCTTTGGCCGTGTGACTATTTAGTAAAACCATTTGATCTCTCTGTGGCGGGTGTGGTAATACTTGTTGATCGATGTCTTTGGTGTACTTCCACCAACAACAAGGTAACTTCCACACAAACAGGCGTGAGCTGAACATTGTGAATGATCACTACAGCCACTACGGCAATTCTGTGCTTGTGCAATCAAAATCGGTCCTTTCCAGTCAGAGAACCCGAACTAGCAGCTCCATCATCTCAAATGCAGCTGTTTCACCAAACACCTCACGTAACAGTTCAAGGCATGCGGTGAAAGAGTTCCAACCTTCAGATCACGATACTGTGACTGATCTAACAACTGAAACCTTCAAGAGACAGAAGTTGGGGTATAGGTCGTTATTGCTAACGCAAGCTGATTCCAAGGTGAAGAGGTTTCTGAATAGGCTGGATACTGATACATTCAGCTTGTTCTCATCTAAGTCACATTCAGTGCAACAACCAACCACCATAGGCTCATTGCCAGTGGAGATACTATCTATGGTTATTTCCCTTGTGGGTGATTACAAGACGACAATTTCATGTCTCTATGTGAGCAAGCAGTTTAACAAGGCCGCAACCCCGGTGGTTTACTCTTCCCCTGTGTTGAACTCCACGTACAGAGTGGCACAGCTGGTCTCTTCCTTGAAAGAAACCGGTAACGGCCAGTGGGTTAAATCGTTAGACCTCTCACATTTGGAACCAGGATTGATCCCTGACGAGGACTACAAAGATGATGACAACAATTCAATCTCATCTGACCACATTGAATACGCCTTGGCCAGTTGGAGGGATTGGAAGTACAAGGATGACCCCTTGTACGGCTCTAACCTTTTGAACTCGTACACTCTGAGTAAGAGCAAGTCTGCTATCAGCTGTGATTCAAATTTCTCCACGGCGTCATCATTCACCAGCAAGATAATGACAAGGCTTAAGAGCTCGGATCGTGAACTCACGAGAATGGGCCAAAGGGTAAAGAAAATGTTCAAGTGGAAGGCCAAGATCAAAAGAAATCGGTCTTTGATTTCAAAAAAGGACCACGGTACCGGTCAGCAGACTTTGTATGGAGATGGGGCTGATGATTCGAACATTGGTATCACCTGTTCAGTGAAGTTTCAGGTAAAAGATATGAAAAATCAGCCTTTCAGCGCAGGACACCCTTTCACCAATAAATTTCTGCTGAAGTATGCAAACTCCAAGGATTTGCCAATTGGATACATCTTGCTATTCATAGACCTATGTCCAAATTTGCAAAGCTTGAATCTTTCAAACTTGTCTCTATCTGATGATTTCCAAATCGTTTATCGCAAGCCGAATGTTAACTCATTGATTGAATCTGTCATTCCAGCTATCAACACACAGTCTAACGATTGCGGTTTACAGATAGATCATTACTTCTCCGATAGAAATATCCACTTCAACGACAAGCACTCACATACAGAGTTCCACAAATTACACGACACTGATATCCTTGTCAAGCTATCACAATTGGAATCCTTGCGTGAGCTATCAATGTGCAACTTACCCTGGTTGAACTACAGAGTCATCAGAGGAAGCTTCATTCAACGTTCAGCGAGTATGTTGAATGGTACGTTGAAATGCGTTGATTTTACAAACTCTGGAATGGTTCGTGATTTGAGATGGGCAAAGGAATTTACATGTGATGAGCTAGATCGTTACTTCCAGCCTGAAACTGAGCCCATTATCGAAGAGGAGAACGAGCATGATGTCTTGGTTCGTGGAATCGGTATGAATTACTGATGTTTCTTTTCATTACAGCCACCTGAATTGGTTTCCCTTCCCTCATTATGTCTTATGGAGTTATTTCGTGACATTTCTTTCAAAGAGTAAGGCTGTTTGGCTATATGTGTGTGTCTGTTTCGCCATTTGCCATATTCCTTTACAGTCATCCTTCATTTCTTTTGCTTTATTGGTGTTTCTCTGCTTTACTTCTCTCATTTTGTCTTTGATATTCGTGTCTTATTACTTTGACTCTGGCGTACTCTACTACCTGACTTACACTACTTGCTTGGTTTTATATCTTTTCGTTTTGCTTTGAAGGAGTATCATATGTGTTCTATGCGGTAATTGGTTGTTTTCTATGTTTATCTTGTGTGCCATGTTTACTTTATATTGGAAACCATATAACCATATACATTCACCTGTAGTTTGGAGGTCTATCCTCCTTATTCCGTATCATTCTCAGTTTAATCCAGTCAATTGCATCCGTCACACCTTCACCTGTGATAGCACTTATCGGTAATACCCGTGAGTCTCTTGCACTTAGATGTTGGGCAATCTTGTTGAAGATCTCCTTCACGTCTTCAACCTCCAATGAGTCTTCGAGGTCCTGTTTATTGGCAAGCATCAGTATGGGAACATTTGCGATGGAGTCATCCGTCGCTATACGCATGAACGCATCAGAGCACTCCTCTAAACGTCCCTTGTCCGTGGAGTCAACAATGAAGATGATACCATGGCAGTGTGCGTAGTACTCTTCCCACAGAGATCTAAGCGATTCCTGTCCACCAAGATCCCAGAACTTGATCACAATCTTATCAACGTTTATATGCACCACATTCTGTCCTACAGTCGGATGAATCCTTTCTGGTGGCGTCGCCTTGAGATCTGTGTATAAGGACTTCACCTTCTCAAAGAAAGTCTATCCATATCAGCCCTTGTTAGTATCGTGCTGACGATAAAACAGATCAAACTACATCAACAACATACCGTCTTCCCTGCGTTGTCCAGCCCCAAGATCAGAACAGAGTACTCCTCCTTCATCGTGTAACGTGAGTAGATTCCCTTCACTAGATGGTACATCTCTACACCAGCTTATCAACTTCCAATGTCTGCAATTGATGACATAAACAAGTGTCTATATTACCAGTACAACTAAGCTGAAACATAAACAAAAGACCCGGGGGATTATTCATCGGAATTGATTGTGCTTACGTAAGCGTTTAGTAATAAATACCATAAACATCCCAACACAGTAATTACCCATTTTGGAAATGAAAATTTATGCTTGGGCAATAAGGTGAAGAAAAAAAACTCGTCGGCCAGGTTCGATATCTTCTTCTCACTGTTTGAACCAGCAAAAGAGCATCAAGATGTCAATTCCAGAGCCAGTTGAGGCGTTCATCAAGTCGTTCCACGGCTCATACTTGGACAACAGCGTGGATGAGCTCTACAACTGCTATGAATCCCAGTTTAACAGACTCACAGAGCAGTTCTATAAGAATGTTGCATGGCCATCACCATTGGAGATTTCCCATCTCGTTGATGATGATCAAGTGTTTTTAGTTTTGTACTCTGAGGTGTACTACAGACAGATCTACGCCCGTTGCGACCCATCGCTTGAGGACAGAACCGGCTCTTACAACAACTATTGCAATCTGTTCAACTTGTTGTTGAACAACGAGGATGGGCCTGTGCCATTTGCTCTGCCGTTGAAATGGCTTTGGGACATCATTGACGAGTTCATCTACCAATTCAACGACTTTGCCATCTACAAGAACAAACTCATCGGTAACAAGGAGAAGTGCGATCCTGTCGAATTGGAGTACGTGTTGGAGCACAACGAAGTTTGGAGTGCATACTCAGTTTTGAACGCATTGTACTCTTTGATCTCTAGATCTAAGATCATTGAGCAGTTGCAAGTGAACAAATACCCAGGTGCAGTTCAAGACGTTTCCATTGCTGGAGAGTTCGGTATCTTGCCATTGTACAGAAACTTGGGATATTTCTCCATTATTGGATTGCTGAGAATCCATACATTGCTCGGCGACTTCACATTGGCTTTGAAGACCATGGACTATATTGAGTTGGACAAGAAGGCCTTCTTCACAAAGATTCCAGGCTGTCACTTCACCACCTACTACTACGTTGGTTTCTGTTACTTAATGCTTCACAGATACTCCGACGCCATCAAGACTTTTTCCCATATCTTGTTGTACATCTCCAGAACAAGAAACATCTCTAAGGCTGGTCAGTACGATGTCTTCTCAAAGAAGACGGACCAGATGTACTCGCTCTTGATTATCCTTGTTGGCATCTGTCCAACCAGATTGGATGACGTCCTCCACCAGGGAATCAGAGAGAAATTCAGCGAAAAGTACTACAAAGTCACAAGAGGTGGTGAGGATGCCCTCCCAGTGTATGAGGACCTTTTCAAATTCAGTTCTCCAAAGTTCATCTCCATCACCACCAACGAGGTGAAGACCGACTCCTTGTCACATCACTGGAAGATCTTCTTACTGAAAGTCAAGCCAATTCTATCGGTGCAAGGGCTCAAACCATTCTTGTCGTTGTACTCCAAGCTGGAATTCTCCAAGTTGGCCAAGTTGCTTGACGTTGACGTTTCCACGGTGGAATCCATCTTGCGCACTTACAAGCTGAACAACAAGCAATTGAGATGGACAGAAGGCGAGCTGTTGCAAGGTGAATTGGTGCCAATCTACGACTTGGACATTGTTCTCTACGAGGAGGATGGTAAGCAGATCATCGAGGTCAAGGAGACCAAGCCTGTTAGAAAATTCGCCAACTGGTTCGTCAGAAACACATTGAAAAACTACGGTGTCCAGGAGAAGATCAGATCATAATCATTGAATCGAAAAGGTGTACATTAATCCATAGCAATCACGTTGATAAAGCAAGTCTGTAGACCATCGTCATCACCATCACCATCACCATCGTTGCCCCGGTAGCCCTAACAAATCTGCTGGTAGGGGACACATCCATATAGCGAAGAATACGCTATAAAGACGAACGAAAAAAAAATTTTCACTTCCTTTCTGCTCTTCCTTTTGCTGTTTCTGGTTTCTCTGATACGAACGCGTTCTATTCACTGCACCATCAAAGTCTTTGGCTTAACATTGATGATTGGAGGGGAAAAGAATGCCAGAGAAACGCATATCGATAGCGCACCTCATACTGAGCTTTTGTTTGGTAGTTTCCTCCGTGGGAATGCCCTAGCAACTCTTGGTAACTACGCTGTCGATACATTCTGTCCATTCCATGTTGATGGGCTTTAGCTTCATGTTGGTGACATCAGGGTGTGGCCACTGCTTTGTAGATGTTAATTGTAGATGCGGCCCCTGTGATTGTCGTGATGGGGTGTAGGCTTCTGTAGTGTAAGCTTCTGAAGTGTAATGTGTATTTTAGGTGCCGTCTCCTCTTACCAATGATAGCCTCCGCGCAATTACCACACATTGAACGCGTGTCATTTTCTAAAGCTGTAACATCTGTGATGGATCTGCTCACTTTACAACGTTACAGTGCGACAACTCTTGGTGCTGGGCGGTGGTGCTGGGCGGTGGTGCTGGGCACTGGAGTATCGCACACAACGATACAGCGCTACAAATACCCGTGACTTCTCTGCCATCCTCCACAACTCTTTGCCAATTACCACCATTATCCCCACACAATGAGCTCTAAAAACGATAAGGAGCATGCCACCCTCACTGCCTCTCTTGTGAAGGAATTACCAGAGATTGTTGAAGAAGCTGAGTACGATGAGCTTTGGGGGTATCAACTGACGCCAGATGGCCAGTTCTACAACGCCGCTATAGCTGAGAACCTCGTTTACAAGTTTTTGAAGGCTAACAACTGGGACGCCAAATTGGCTAAGGAGCAGCTCACAAACACGCTCAAATGGCGTAAGCAGTTTGAACCCTTGAAGGCTGCGTTTGAAGAGCAGCATGCCGAGAAGTTTGACCGTGTTGTTGCGTTGACACAGTATGGTTATGATGTTGTTACGTGGAACCTGTACAACTTGAAAGGTAAGTTCAAGCCAAAGGACTTGTTCACTGACCTCGATGCCTTTCTGAGATTCAGAATCGGTATCATGGAGAAGAGCTTACAAAAGCTGGAGTTTGATAGCGATAGCAAAGACTATATGATCCAGGTCCACGACTATGAAGGTGTTAGCTTTATGAGATTCGATCCTGACATCAAGAGAGGTTCAAGGGCCACGATCAAGCTGTTCCAGGACAACTACCCAGAACTGCTGAAGAAGAAATTCTTCGTCAACGTCCCGACACTGATGACGTGGGTGTACGACTTTGTAAAGCTCTGGTTGAACAAGCAGACAACAAGTAAATTCGTCATGCTTTCGAGTAGTGGTGATCTGGCTAAACACATCAGCCCACAAGTGCCAAAGAGCTATGGAGGTAAGGGTCTGGCACTTACTGAACAGCACATCTCTGAGGTTACGCCAACGGCCTACACGTCATTCTTACTACAACAGGAGTTCACCAACGAGATGGATTGATAGTAACGTGTGTATTATGTAATTGGGAATTCTTTCTCTTTCTGTATTGTATCTGTTGATAATAGCGAGGCTTAAATGAATTTGAGAACTGTCTCGTGTTGAATAACGTCGTGCAATGAGTGTAGTGTCTCATAAAGCTCCGAGGCGTCGCCATACTCCTTCTGTAAATCGTCGCAAAGGTCCACCAGCCCGTTGACATAACGGTACTTATGTATGGTCATTTCATCGTTCACTTCCCTAGAGATCATGGCTTCCACGTTCAAACGAAGAAGCCTCTGCAATAGTTTGTTGGAAGTTGACGTTATAGGCTTCTTATTGATGAAATTGACAAATTTCAAGAACAACCTCTGGTTTGAAGTGAACTGGAACTGTGCTGGAGCTGGTAGATGTGGGAGCTGTCTTGGAATCGTCTCAATCAACATGAGATAAGAAGCCTGTGTATAGCTCAGCCTCTGTAAAAGGGAGATATCCTTGTCTATTCTCCAGATGACCTGATACAGAGACTTCTCAGAGAACTGTGAGAGTTTCGCTTCTTCACGCATCATCAGCCACTTGCCCAGGTTGTCCTCGTAGACATCCTGAGCGAAGCTGGTCTTCTTTTGCATGAGTGCTCTAGAGCACACCAAAATCTTCAACTCGTCAGAGTGTACAAATTGCAGTCTTGAGTAGATATAATCCAGGTCTTGCACGTGTTTGTTCGTCAGGATATGCTTGAAGCTCTTGATGTCTAAAGTCTCATTCGTTAGCAGCTCATCAAATATCTCCAGCACCTGTTTCTCATCTGTGCACCTCGACACTCTATCCTTGATACTTATAGGGTCGAGATGGGTCTTGTTGTTCACGTTCAGAATGGTATTCAGCCCCAATAAAGAGTGCGTGAAGTGGCTCTTCACTGTGGCCAGGTCATCAGCACTATCGCCAATGTTGGAGTTCAGAGCCCTCGTGAAGTAGCTAATGTACTTGTGCTTCTCCTGTTCCGACGTGACATCAATCCCATTCAATGAAGAGGTGCCCTTCAGCAGTGACAGAGCCTTGGCTATTTCATCTTTGTTCAGCTTCTTTTGTAGCTTTGAGGCCTGTGAAAACGATCTCCGTAACATCTTCGAGACCAGCGTGTGCCGTTTAACCCGTGTAGCAGTGGTAGTAGTGGTAAAGTAGCAGTAAAGCAGTAGTGGCGTAGGTATTGTTGTTGTAGCAAACCCCAGGCAGAGGGTAAAGGAAATTTTACCCCCACCGCCTCACTCCACCACGAACGGGCCTACTGAAACCATCACCATACACAGCGAAGGCCCACGCCAGCCTGGTAACAAACCCCCGGTGAACGCTATGCTCTACGTATTTGTTCCTACAAGACGTCAATGGTGGATCATCCATTGCTGTATCTCGGCTAAGGATAGAAGATTTGAGCTTCACAACGGTGAAACTACTGGCTCCCGGTGTTCCCCGTGTACACCATGGACGGGGAATGGTGGGACAACCACTGGGCCCTGTCGAGAACCGTACACTTGAATCCATCGACGTCGTGTCTAGGAAGCATTTCCGACTTCTTGTGGAGTATGATGAAGCCCTTGATGACCAGGTCCTCGTTCTTATTCTTGTAGAGGTGTATAGCTTGGAAATCAGGCTGAGGGTTTGTAGGGTCATACCCGAAATACTGATCCAGTATCTCGTAAGGTTGAACCTGGCCAGTCTCATCCTTCATGAACTGGTCAAAGAAGAAGTTTGTGGGCTGGCCAATTAGGGCCAGGTACTTCCATGGCACCACAACTTTCAGGAGAAGGATGTTCTCGTCAGGTATTTGCCGCTCAACCGGCTGTAGCTTGAACCCAATGTCAGGATAGTCACCTAGGTGGAATGTCTGTGATGTATACCACTCAAGTTGAGTTTGCAGTGCCTCCAACACTGCTGCAGTTGTCACTTCAACTAGAAGCTCGCCATCTTCCACCTCTCTGTTTCTTGCTATTGGGACGACGAAGAAAGTGTCAGATTGGTCGTCGAGGACCAGTAAGGAAGCATCAAGCTGGTTGACAAACTTCTGAGTGTACGTTGGGATGTTGCGAGACGCTGCAACCTCTTGTTCCGACATCAACTTGTTGATGGCTATAAGCGTGGCGGTAATGAAGGCATCAGGGCCTGGCAGCTTCAAATCACGCTTGTTCGAGCCGAGACTGGTGATTTTGATCTGGAGCTTGGTACGATTCAGGGGAGTGTTGAGGGCCTTAAGCTGGTAAGAAGAGAAGCTGTTCAGGGACTTGATCAAGTATTCAGGGACTCTCTCCCTCTTGAACAGATCAGCTTGAGGCTTGTGAGCTTGAGGCTCGTCAGCTTGAGACTCCTCAGCTTTCGCCTCCTCAGTGTTTGCAGGCTCATTAGGATCAACAAATAACACCACATCTGTTCTTGAAATTATCCCGTGGATACCAGGGCCATCATCAACGTCGAAAGTCGTCATTGACGGGCCTGACGGTGACTGTGGAGTGCTTTGTGATGTAAATTGATCAAACCATTCGGTCCTCGATTCATTCTGAGATGGCATGTGTGTGTTATTCATCGTTCCAAAGACCAATAATACCTGCTAAACAACAGAAATTGGTACAAAGGTGTAAAGTAGTATCTGAATGAAGGAGGAAGTTAGGTAACTATGTGCGGTCCATAGCTTCGATCTGCGTCTGATTGCTTCAATGTCCGATCATGTACGATCGACCGTATTTAAAAAGCAGCACAACGTTCAGAGTCCACGCTGAAAACATTCAGAAGCGTGTGTAGCGTACCAATGACGACATAAAAGCTGATGCTCGCATGTTCGACTAGCAGAAGTGTTAATACCATCGACGCTGGTGCGTTTCCATATAGAACAGTGATGATTGGGAGTGTCTGCTCTTTCAACTGTTAATCATTGCAGTTTCAGACAACCATGAGCCCTCTCCACGCCGAGCTGTGACATTAATCAATAGACTTGTCTTCCAACTGTTTGGGAACAATGTATTGATAGTCTTGTATTACGAGCCTCGTAGCTGCGTGAGACGGTGTGCTGTCTGGCAACAGCCGTAGGCGGAGAAAGCACCACAACCACTGGTTATCATCAACACTATGGCCGGCCACTAACGTCCCAACAACGCCCTGCTACGAATATTACACAACATTAGCTCGGAGTAGTACAGTCAACGGCTCGCTCAGATGAACACATCTTGCGATAGTACGACGTGCAAATAATGCACACAAGCAACTACAAGTGCCGTCTCTGAAGTGCATCCACGCTTTGACCGGTTCTAAGGTCACACGTCAACGTTCACATGCACCTCTCTTTCCACACTTTAATACATAACAAGATCAGAAATGTCCCAATGCCATAGGTCATCACCGCTTCATGGGCTCAACAACTGCGTAAAGAGCACAGTCGGAGCCTAAACAGCGATGGTTTTAAAGCTGGGTCGTAAACAATTGGTCTCCTAAGACTAAAGGCCACAACATTCTAGTTTAAGTAGCTAGCGTGTCGCTTATACCATGGCATTGAAGCATACCATGTGCCATTAAATCCTAGTTGGTTTTAGTTAATTAGTAGAAAAACAAATAAGGTAAAAGTTGAAAACGTTTTTTTTTCGCAAAAAACCTTTTGCAAATTTCCCGAAAATTTTTTTCAGTTATGTGGTGTCTGGGTTTTACAGGTGTCCGGATGTTTCAACTTCCCCCAATAACTATCTCGAGGGCATACTTCAACAGTTTAACGACATCCTTGTCTCGAGGTTGAACGTACACTATTAGCCAATACGTGGACGCTAACAAATGTCAAACTTACTCGATAACCTGAATGCCTTCAAATCGAAGGTCAAGTCTGCACCTGTGCTCACTTCACGTACGATAACGTCACCATCACCTTCGAGAAAGTCCACCACTCCACAGCCGTTACAACCACCCGTTAAACGTCGATTGGACGACGAGGATGAGGACGATGAGAACGAGGAATCAAAGAAACAGCACATCGATCCATCTGGCACACATTTATCCACAAAGTTACTCTTAGCAGTGGATTACATAAAGGGAAAGGCTCAGCCAGTGGCGATTGATGCACTTTTATCCTACTTGAACCTGAACGAGGATTCGCAAAGACAAAAATTGGTTAATCTATTGACAAATTTGGAAAAGATCCAGTACGACAAGGACGACCAGACATTGGAGTATGTGTCGATTCACAACATCAAGACCAAAGATGATTTACTGAAATTTCTCATTGATCAGACAACTTTTAAAGGTATCTCTGTGAAGGAGTTGAAAGATGGCTGGAACGGTTGTATCGATGCAATTAACGAGTTGGAAGAAGAAGGCAAAATACTGGTGTTACGGACAAAGAAGGATAACAATCCAAGATTGGTTTGGTTCAACTTGGGTGGTGAACTGGGTTCGATAGATGAAGAATTTGTCAAGAGTTGGCAGAACGTGAAGCTTCCAGAGAGGTCAGAATTACCTGGAAAGCTGAGTGCATTGGGATTGAAACCTGCAAGTGTTGATCCAAATACGATTAAGAAGGATACCACTCAACAAGAGACGAAAAAGAGAAAACAAAGAAAGGGAAAGATTACCAATACTCATATGGCTGGTATCCTAAAGGACTACAGCGTTTGATGATAAGTAGAATCAATTTATTATCAAAAGACTCACGAGAAAAAAAATGTAACTGAGGATATTGTAGATTTTACTTCTTCTCTTTCTTTTCCTTCTTTTCCTTCTTTTCTTTCTTTTCCTTCTTTTCCTTCTTCTCCTTCTTGTCCTTCTTTTCCTTCTTTTCCTTCTTCTCTTTCTTCACTGGTGTGGTATCCATGTCTACATCTTCATCCACTTCAACGTCACTTGTTTCATCCCCCGTGGCACGTCCGTAACCCGTAGCAAAGTGCTGTTTCTGAAGACCATTGACCTTTCTCACGTCCTTTCTTGGTTTCACAACTTTATCGTAGTTGATGCTTGGAATCTTCACTTTTTCTCTAACGTTATAGAATCTCTTTATGTCTCTCATCCCATCACCAATGACTTTGAACTTGGCACCTTCCGATACCAAATCCGTAAGATCTTCTTGGATGACAAATGTCTTACCGTTCTGTTCCAGTGGATTACTCTCTTCCATTGGATTGAAACTTAGAGGCATCTTTGACAGTTTATCAAAGTTGAAGCCCTTTGGGGCCTTGATGAGCCAAATCTCCTTATTGGTCGGGAGCTTTGTAGGGACAACTTTTTGGTAGTTCTTTGGAACAGTGAAGACTTGCTCCTCGTCAGATTCTGAGTCCGTAACGTAATCTTTAGAAAGTGACATCTTATGTCTTGAAATTCCCTCTCTATTTCCCAATGATTCAACTCAATAAAGTGTCCATTTTGAACTTGCCATATAAATTTTTCTTTCCGAGGCTCTAAGGGCATCGCATGAAAGAAAAAACTTTTGCCCGTAAAAAACATGGCAGACTAAGATGGAAGATTTTTCGGCCTAGAGCCAGGAGACTAAGGGACTAGGGACTAGGGACTAGAGACTATCTATTGATGACTACAGTGTAAAAGGTGGTCTAAGTTAAATCAGCTTTCTTTCGCTATGCTATACAAGAACAATGGAAGTTTACAAGAGAGTTTCCCCAAGTGAACATTTGGCCACTGCTATACCAGCTGTAACTGTATCAATAATGTGCATTTCATTAACACCTAAGCTTGGGTTAACTTCAACAACGTCCAATGCAACCAAGTTACCGGTCTCTGCAACGCGTTCACAGATGAACAGTCCTTCTCTAAAGGTTAACCCACCACGCACAGGTGTACCCGTTGCTGGAACGTATTGTGGATCAATGGCATCCACGTCGTATGACAGATGAATGGGTAAAGTACCAGTTGGATCCAATGCCTCCAATGCCATTTCGACAACTTTGTTGATTCCATAACGATCAACGTGGTACATAGAGAAGGCTGCAATTCCATGCTCTTTCAAGATCTTCTTCTCGCCTTCATCGACATCTCGAAGACCAATATAGGCGATCTTCTTGGTACTCAGCACCTGTGGGACCCATTGTAAATCTGGTGGATATGATTCCTTTGCCAATCCCATCAAAAAAGACACTGGGCATCCATGGAGGTTTCCTGAATCAGTGGTGAGAGGAGTGTTGATATCAGCGTGTGCATCGATCCAGAGCAAACCGGCATCTGGATACTTTGCAAAGGAGCCGGCAACGGTTCCGATGGCAATGGAGTGATCACCACCTAGTGTCACGGTCAATTTGCCCTCCTCTGCGCTCTTCTTACACGATTTGTAGATCAATTTGGTAGCCTCACCGACAATTTGAGGACGTTTACAATTGCCGTGCACATCCGTCTCGTTGTTCTTGCGCTCTTCGAAATCCTGGCCCTTCAAAGGCTCATCTATGGTGATTTCCCATCCCAGCTTCTCAATCTCAGACTGAATACCGGCACGTAGAAGATACTTAGGGCCATCCTCCACACCGCCTTTCCCCTGGCCTCCGGAGAACGGAGCAAGGATGAAGGAGAGCTCCTTCTTTGGGAAGTGCTTATAAGTAGCTATAGCGCTGTGTGTTAGTTTCCTCCTTGGTCAGTGTTAACTATGAGGCGAAGGCCATACTCACGTTCGTCGAACATGTTCTCTTATGAATGTATTTGTCTCGAGTATTCTCTTGTTAAAGATGGAGGACCGTCTTGGACGTTCCAAGCAGAAGGGTTCCGTGGCGCTTCGCCACCTATTTATATTTTCGGTGCCAACACCTGGGATGAAACGTTGATGATTAAACTCGCTTCTCTTATCACTTAACTGAAGCCCAAACAGACAGACCGAGCACACACACACAGATTGGTCGAACGGCGCATATCGGTTGATAACTGGAAGTATCGGCTACTCCACAGACCACCAATACCGTCATAAACATGGCTCTCTTCAACTGACAAAGACTCTCACGTAACAACGTGCCACCACTGCGTTCTCATCTCAATTCACCTCACCTCATCCTCGAGAATTGGCCAGCTGCGATGAGCATCTCCAACGATTCCACTGAGGGGCACAGCTCCGAAGCAGAGCAACAGGCATCCGAATCGGGTAATTGCCGAATGCACGGTCGATTGCGGCGCGTACCACCTCCCCTAAGTGAATGTGGTAGCGAACGTAGGGTAACTGCCGGTACGCCGCGCACGGGCTGGAAGGGAACGTGCTGAGCGCGCGTGTGGGTGTGTGAGTGTGTGGATGTATGGGTGTATGGTGTGTGGATGTGTGGGTTTCACCACCAGTCATATGCTGACTCGTGTGCCTCGTGGTGGGATGCGATAACGCGTGGGGTGTAGATCTGGGTCTGTGCTTTATCAATTGACAGACATCTGCTACACACCCAAGCAACGTGCACTGTTTACCAATACGTTACGGCTCATCGCTCGCTGGCTCACTTGACCGGCACTGCAAACACCGTAGCGACACACCCTATCTGGGTGGGCCTATGGAGGACGCGTGGGCTACGGGGACGCGTGGGCTACGGGGACGGGAAACATCCAACATCACAACACCACTCCAACGGGGAAACAGAGGGAGGGGGTCAAGCCATTGTAGATCTGCAATTACAGTGGATGCGATCCAACGGCCCCGATGTCAAACGATACATTACGCTGGAGCACTGCATCTGCCTACTCATTAAGAAAGTGGCACTGTATTGATTGTAAGACTTCGTTAGGGAAAAAAGCTGTGTATAGCCCAATCAGATCGCCCCCGTGCCCGGTGCAATCACCGGGACCGGTCTTATGAGAGGGGAAAAGGAACAGGCACACAGCGTTGTAGCATACAAACAGGGTATCAGTCAATGTCTCTGTTCAGCGATTTTTTTCAACCGTGTTCGTCCTCATTTTGGTATAAATATTTTTTTCTTCCTTGTAAACTGGAGAATCCATTGTTCCACTAACTCTCTTGTACTGAGACTCTTCAATTGTGAACCTGTTGTGCTATCTCACTGCGCAATTGACTTGACTGAACACCGGTGTGTACTTTCTCTTTCTGCCCCCACCCCCTAGTGCTCTCTCTCCCCCATAATCCACTGTATATCTTATACGCAATCTGCGAAAAAGCATCAATCATCAAATGACACAACAGAAACTTGAGAAGAAGCCAATCAGTTTTTCCAACATCCTTCTGGGTGCTGGTCTCAACCTTGCTGAGGTGACCACTCTGGGTCAACCTTTGGAGGTCATCAAGACCACAATGGCTGCCAACAGAAGCCTCTCCTTGTTGCAATCTGCCAAACTCGTGTGGTCTCGTGGTGGCCTCTTTGGCTTTTACCAAGGTCTCATTCCATGGGCGTGGATCGAGGCTTCGACAAAGGGTGCGGTGTTGCTATTTGTGTCTGCTGAGGCTGAATACCAATTCAAGAAGGTGGGCGCAAGTAACTTTGTCTCTGGTATCGGTGGTGGTATCGTTGGTGGTGTTGCCCAGGCCTACTTGACCATGGGGTTCTGCACCTGTATGAAGACCGTTGAGATCACCCGTTCCAAACAAGCCGCCGTGGAAGGTGCGGTTCAACAGACAAGTCTCCAGGTGTTCAAGGATATCTACAAGAAGGAAGGTATCAAGGGTATCAACAAAGGTGTCAACGCTGTTGCCATCAGACAGATGACCAACTGGGGGTCCCGTTTCGGATTCTCCAGACTGGCTGAGGACCTCATCAAGAAGGCCACCGGCAAGAAGGAAGACGACAAGCTCGGCGCGCTCGAAAAGATCGCTGCCAGCGCCATTGGTGGTGGTCTCTCTGCATGGAACCAACCTATTGAGGTGGTTCGTGTCGAGATGCAGTCAAAGACCAACGATCCAAACAGACCAAAGAACCTCAGCGTTGTCGGTGCGGCCAAGTACATCTACCAGCATAACGGACTGAGCGGGCTCTACAGAGGTGTGGCCCCAAGAATCGGCCTGGGTATCTGGCAAACCATCTTCATGGTTGGCTTCGGTGACATGGCAAGACAGGCTGTTGCTAAGCTCACAGGTGAGACCCCAGTCGCAAAGCATTAATAACTCTTATCTAAAAGGTATGAAGGCTTTCACACAGCCCTCCGGCAACACAACTGTAGAAGTGCAACCACGGAGAGTCGAACCGCGGTTGCACAACAACACCAACCCTTGACCACCCGCGAACACCTGAACATCCATCGCAGAAGCATGGGGGCCCCAGCGCGAAGCGGTGGGGACCCTACGCTCACTGGCAAGAGATATGGAATACAACCTCTGCGTAGAGTAACACCAATGCCCGCAACACCAATCCGTCCGCCTGCTCATTGGCCACCACCGTGCTTCCAATTGGCCCCGACCACCCTCCACCGTGCAACACTCCCCCCTACAACGACGGACAACACCCTGCCCTTTCTGCCCCAGTTGCTCCTCCCCTCCCCCCACGGGAAATCCCCACGAAATCGTCTGCTCTCCCGCGTAGCTTCGTGGGCGCCCACCTAATTTAAGCGGGTTTCCTGTGTAAAAGTTGCGGTTGATCCCACCTAAAAATCCCCTTCGGCCAACGATCAACCTTTTTTGGGCCCGCGGTGGTGTACGCCTTCTCCCTAATTATCGTGGGCTTGCCGCTGTGTTTTTTTTTTTCATTCTCCTTGTTTCTCCCCTTTTCCCTTTCCTTACTGCTTCCTTCTCTCGTCCAGACAAACAGACTCTGCCTTCCGGAAGCAATTGGTTAACTGTTCTGCTGATATCGCCATGCTCAAGTGCTCTGTTCGCCGTCCTGTTGTTGCGTCTGCTCAAAGAGCAATCACCAAGGTGTCCTCCGTGAGAAGCCTTGCCACGGAAGCCGAGGCCAGCGGCATTGATAGCGATGACATCGTCACCATTGAGCTGCCAGACTCGTCGTTCGAGGGCTACATGCTCGATGTTCCGGAGCTGACGTTCCAGACATCTAAGTCGCAGCTGTTGCAGATGTACAAGGATATGATCATCATCAGAAGAATGGAGATGGCTTCTGACGCGCTTTACAAGGCGAAGAAGATCAGAGGGTTCTGTCATTTATCTGTTGGTCAGGAGGCGATTGCCGTTGGTATCGAGAACGCCATCACCAAGAAGGACACCGTCATCACGTCTTACAGATGTCACGGTTTCACCTACATGCGTGGTTCGCCAGTGAAGGATGTTCTGGGTGAACTTATGGGCCGTCGTTGCGGTGTCTCCTTCGGTAAGGGTGGTTCCATGCACATGTACACCACTGGTTTCTACGGTGGTAACGGTATTGTTGGTGCCCAAGTGCCACTAGGTGCCGGTTTGGCGTTTGCTCACAAGTACAGAAACGAGGACAATGCCACCTTCACTTTGTACGGTGATGGTGCTTCCAACCAAGGTCAAGTGTTTGAGTCCTTCAACATGGCCAAGTTGTGGAACTTGCCATGTATCTTTGCCTGTGAAAACAACAAGTACGGTATGGGTACCTCTGCTGCCAGATCATCTGCCATGACCGAGTACTACAAGCGTGGACAATACATCCCAGGTTTGAAGGTGAACGGTATGGATGTGTTGGCTACTTACCAGGCATCCAAGTTTGCCAAGGACTGGGCCATCTCCGGTAACGGTCCTTTGGTGTTGGAATACGAGACGTACAGATACGGTGGTCACTCCATGTCCGACCCAGGTACCACTTACAGAACCCGTGAGGAGATTCAACACATGAGATCCAGAAACGACCCAATTGCTGGCTTGAAACACCACTTGTTGGAGTTGGGTATCGCCACCGAGGAGGAGATCAAGTCCTACGACAAGGCTGCTAGATCCTACGTCGATGAACAAGTTGAGTTGGCTGATGCTTCTCCAGCTCCAGAGGCTAAGATGTCCATCTTGTTCGAGGACGTTTACGTCCCAGGCTCCGAGGTGCCAGAGTTGAGAGGACGTATCTCTGACGACACATGGTCCTTCGTCAAGAACGACTTTGCTCATAAGGTCTACTAGGTCTAAGAACTCACACACAAACGAAAGCTCATCCTCTCGTTGGCTTTTATGCACGGAATATGAAACAGAATAACATGTCTTATTCTTTCTTGAAACAGATTATTATAGAATGAGAGTATCAATGTAAGTAAATGATGAACACGGCTACCTTAGTATTCTCTTTTGCTGTAGTGGGAGGAAGTGCTTGCTCAACGCTTCAACCTCGAGGTGGAGTTTCTCCGTCGGACTTTCCAGCGGCCTTTTCATATGCGGGCGGTGTTATAAAAAACTCTGCGATGAGCTCTTTCTCCCAAAGAATATATAAATGCTTCTTCCCTGGTGAGGTTGATTGAAGGCTTTTTCTGCTTAGCATTCGATAATACCTTGGAGACAGCAAACGATGGTTTGCATTGGCATCATTCGCTCATTACTCTGGGTCCTTTGGAGGCATCCAACGGAGTTGTTCATCCGCTTGTTCTTCGGTGCAAGTTTGGAGGAAAGGTTATACAGGTATTACATTTCATACCACACCATAATAGTCCAAATGTTTGTTAGCAACTTTGGTTGGTTTGAATTCTTCCTCCTGTGGTGCGTATGGCTGATATCTTGCGCTTTATTCTTTGTATACTGTGTGCAAAGGCTGGCTGCTCTACAGAGGATGAACGCTATCTTTGAAGAGCTCTTGGGAGAACCGTCGCAGACATTGGCATGCCCATTCATCTCCAAAACTTCATACTTGAGAGCCCTTTCACAGTGCTTCAAAGTGGCAAAGTGCCACAGGCATCCAGACTGCTCCATCTATGAATATTGGTATGTGTTTAACAACGAAGGACGCTCTGAGTTGCGAAAGCTCTTCTCCTCGCACGAGCCGTCGTTGGAGCGAGATAGGTATCTCTATCTCACTCCAAGGCTCTTTGGACATGAAGCCATTGCTGAGACAATGACATGGACTTTCTGGTCAACAATGGTTACGACTCATGGTGATATTGAGCAAGCGTGTGAGTCCAATGCCATAGGCTTGGATGATGAGTATGGGAAACAACAAGACTCTGTCAAAGCAAGCTCAATTGACAAGGAAGCAGTACAGAAACATCTACTATTGACGTTTATCAAGAAAGCACTTTCCAACCATGGTGCTTTTGAGGAGCTTTCCCACTCTTTACAGTCCAAGAAATGTTCAATAACCGACAAAGAAGGGCTTACGTCAGTGTGGAAAGGACTAATATGAATGTAATCTCAATTTATATACAAGGTTGTGTTTGCTACGTCCTCAAGCTCTTTCCTCGTAGCACAGCATAGCAGCACTGTTGATGTTTCTTCTCAGGTCCTGATAATCAACGTCGTGGGTGTCTTCGACTTCACCCCAACGCTCTGTTTGGTAGACAATCTCCAAAGAAGCCAAGTGTGCAATCTCCTCCAAAGAGATGTTCAGCTGAGGATGGCTCAGGCCATGTGAGGACTTTGAACACACAACAAGGACACCACAGATGAATGACTTTGTTGTCAGTGTCACCTTTTCAAAGGCAACGAGGTCCCAGTATGAAAGAGCATTGAGCCATTCACGGGCCTTGGCTCTAGTCTCATCAGATTGTCTGTTACCACGGAGTCCATCACGGTCGGAGTCCAAGTATGACAATTGGCCACCGAGCAAGCCTTCAACTGACTTGATGACAGGTCTGTATAGGTCTTCTTGGGCCTTTCTCAAGGTGCCCTCGTACTCCTTCGCAGGGGAGAAGACCAAGAGGGTATCAGTGTCCAAGTATCTCAGCAGCATCTCAATGATATCAGAACGCTTGCCAACCTTGGTGATCGCTTGTTCATCGTTCTGCTCATTGGCAAACTTCAGATCAATGGCACGCGATGTTAGCGATGTCAATGGCAAAGAATGGGTCTTGATGACTCCACTCAGAGAGCTCCATTCGTGCAACAACATGTGTGCAAGAACACCACGGGACAATGGGATGCTCAGATTGTTCCCCAGAGGAGTTCTCAGCGATTTGTTATCCAGCTGGAGCTCATACGACGAATCGTTCTTGACGAGATCAACCTTGGTCCAGAACTTCTTCAACGTCTCGTTGGAGCCCTCTGAGCCCGTCGCTGATGGCTGTGGCTGTGGATGTCCCGAGGCCTGAGACACCTCTGTTGCAAGTGTTCTCATACTCCATCTGGTAGCAGCTCCCACGGGGAATCTAGTCAGTTTCAACATCTTTTCAGAGCAATGGTGCAAGAGTCAGTCGAGTTGTTAAAAGGTGTCTTCCGGAGAAAGATTCGTTGTGATTTTTGCTCTGGGAATTTTTCACCTCCGCTTCCAACATCATGGGCTTAATACTTCACATTACACAGCAGGAAGACCATCAACAAAGGCGAACAATGTCGATGAGCGAAGGCCAACTACAAAACGTGAGTTATTCATAGAGGCTCCACCTTGTTTTGGCTCTGTACTAACGGTGCTTAGTTACTACAAGAGCTCTCCGCTTCTCATCAGCAATACACTGCACAGCTTCAAGCCACCCTTGGATCACTACGCACGGTTGCAAGGGATGAGGCCTTACTAAAGGCGACGCAGAAGGAACTAGGAGCATGCACAAAGGCCGGCGATTCTGTATGGAGTGGTGTAGGCAAGATGTTCTTGAAGACGCCAATTGATGAGTACACGAGTGAGCTCGGCAACAAGTCCCAGGAACTCAGTGATAGACAGTCTGCGCTTGAAAAGAAGAAGGACTACTTGGAAATTAGTGTATCCAAGACACAGGATAGTCTAAAGCAGATTCTCGGTGGTGCAAAGAAGTGAATATTATATATATATAATACGTTGATACTAGTAGTAGCCCAATGTTTTATGTTCTTGCCAGTGTCTGCTTTCTTCCACTGTTGTAAGCAGCTCCGTTATCAATATCACAAAGTTCACACAGCACTATAACCACCTCTATCGCCTCTGCCCACGGCACGGCCAAAGATCTCGCTGACAAAGCTTGGAACACCTTGTGCTAAGCTCTTGAGCGTATCTACAAAGTCGTGCACTGCGTCTGAGAAGTCCGCAGGTGACCTTGTGAAGGTTAGCCAGGCCCCCATTATGATGTAGACACCAAATGCCAGCACCAGGATGATGAAGAGCCATGTAAACCAGCCCCATGAGTCATCAGCAGGTTCTTTGTTCTTCTCGCCATCTTTTGGCTTCTCTGGTGGCGGTTTTTTTGAGTCCTTTAAGCATGCAAACGGGGTGTTCCAAGAGAGAGATAGTGCCTTGGAATCCCATTCCACTGATAAGTCGTCATCCTTTGCGCAGTTGAACTTCAGCGTGGAATCCACGGTATTGGACCCCCAGTTGGTCTCGCCCATCTTCACAACGAACCCAGATTCTGTATCGTTCTCGACTGTATAGCTCAGTCCCTGGCCCCAGCTAATGACCTGCGACACGATGGGATCCTCGCCAGCCAATAGCACAGTCTGTACACCGCATATTTGCGAGTTCTTTGGACAGTCCGCTGGAAGCTCGCCTTCTGCTTGACAGAGGTTGAAATACCAGGTGGTGTTGGTCTTTGACGGAGGCGTATCGTCCAATTTGCTTGTAGAGACCAATGGAATATCAGATAAACGATACTTTGATAGAACATCATCTTTTGAACACTCAAGTGCACTGGTTGTTGAAACTGCTGCTGCAATGACCAGCAGTGCCATTGAATTCAGCATCATCATGTCTACTTTGATTCACTGTCTATGTTGATACAATTGATCTTCAACAGCTGTGTTAATTGTATGGAGATGTGGGTTTATCGTTGGTTTCCGTTCTCTGTTGCTAACGACAATTAAATGGCCCCCTTGGGCTTCTTGCAGTTGACAATCGTAGCCCTGGTAGTTTGATCATGTGACGTTGCCAAACATTAGGGCTTTCGGGTCCTTGCGCATCCAGACACCACCCCATGCAAGTGACGACTATGTGTCCCCTACGATTTCCACTCCACACCGCAGGTTCTGACGATTTGCACATCCAAACACCACTGGGTGTTTCCGCATCCGCTCGGATTTCGTGAAACTCTTGACATAAAAACCCGATATTTTTATCTACTTTGGGGAATTTTCCCATCCCACGTAGCGCAAATTGGCGAAGTTCTTTGCGACGCAACGCAAAAAAAAAGGACTCAGAGTGCGTGCGTGAAAAAGTTCCAAAACGAAATCTTCAAAAAGTATCAACACAAACCTTTAACAACCTTCTGCTACCAAACCAGCACAACACATAGATCAAAATGGTTCGTTACGGCGCCACCTCTACCGACCCAGCTAAGTCTGCCTCTGCTCGCGGTGCCTACCTCCGTGTTTCCTTCAAGAACACCCGTGAGACTGCTCAAGCCATCAACGGTTGGCCATTGGAGAAGGCTCAAAAGTACCTTGCCCAAGTTACTAAGCACGAGAGAGCCATCCCATTCAGACGTTTCAACTCTTCCATTGGTCGTACTGCTCAAGGTAAGGAGTTCGGTGTCACCAAGGCTAGATGGCCAGAAAAATCTGTCAAGTTCATCCAAGGTTTGTTGACCAACGCTGCTTCCAACGCTGACGCTAAGGGTTTGGACTTGTCAAAGCTGTACATCTCTCACATCCAAGTTAACCAAGCTCCAAAGCAAAGAAGAAGAACCTTCAGAGCTCACGGTAGAATTAACGCTTACCAATCTTCTCCATCCCACATTGAGTTGGTTTTGACCGAGAAGGAGGAGACCGTTGAGAAGGCCTCTGAGAAGACTGTTGCTAGATTGAGCACTAGACAACAAGCTAGATTGGCCTCCCAAAAGAGAATCTCTGCTTAAACACTTGTGTTGATTTAATGTACAAAAAGAATATCAGGTTTTAAGGTTTTTAATGTGGTGTTTTTCCCCTTGCAGTGTAGTGCTTAGTAAATCAGATTGTACAATTACGTCTAGCTATAGGACCCCTCTACAAAGTGAGTAGTAGTTTTCTATGTCTATTAAAGAAAGGCTCATCGAATGTTTACTTTGACTCTGCTATACTCCAGTACTGGTCGATTTCCTTGGAACATGACTGTTTAGCCTCACAGTCCCTGAACACGACGACAAAGTCACCCTTTGAGTAATGTATATCATCGTTGACTGCTATATCGGAGTCCAAACCAGCAATAGTTCTTGGTGGCACAATTGCAGTATGTGCTAAGAACTTTGGATGCCACTGGAGAATGTGTGTCAATGCAGACTCGGCAAGTCTTGGGAAGTTGTGATAAGACTTAAAGGTCTCATCGTTCCAAAACTCAACCAATGCTTTTGATAAGAATGTGTTCTTTAAGATGAACGAGTCGGTGTTAATATCCTGACCGGCTTGTGTTACGACAAGGTCAACGTCTGCTGAGTCGGTATTCTTAAAGGTACGGATGACTCCATTTGGTGGGACTATAGGTTGATTTCTTAGCATGATTGGGTCCAAAACCTTTGGATTAAGGAGGTACTTCACCATATCAATGTCGTAACGCATGATCATCGCCTCTTCGTTCAAGTACCAAAAGTACTTTGCGTTAGGGAACGCATACATTGCTGCTCTCAACGCGTAAAGCTTTGCCCAGTCGTACTTAGCATTGTGCACTGAGAGCATTGGTAGGAACTCCTGCGTCCAACGCACATAGATACCATAGTTATGCTTCTGAGCATAGTTGACCCTGTTTTGAACAATCTTTATGAGCTGGGTCTGTTCATACTTTTCGAAATCAACGAGAGTGACGACAACAACGTCTGGAGACGATGATCCCGTGTATTTGAGTTTGCCGTGTTCCAAAAACGACTTCTTCACGTGCAGCAGCTGTGATGTAGAGTCATCTGACTCGAACTTACGGTTCAAGCTGGCCTCTGAATCCTCAGTCGCAGCCTCGGTCATGAGGTAAAGCTTCTTGCCTTGCGCATCAACCTTCGTGTTGAACAGGGCATCAACCCCCATCTCCCTAAGCAGAGGAGCATGCTCGATCGAGGGAAAGATCAGCGCGTTCTTCACCGGGATGTCGTTTGCATAGTAACTATGGAGCTTGGTGGACACATCGGTGGCACCCGCTGTTCTGGCCTTGGAGAACGAAGTGTTCACTATAAGAACAACAACAACAACGAGAAACACAACTATCGCCGACAGCTTCGTCGCGTTCCTCTTCAGCTTAACAACAAACGAGTTGTTCTGCGGCTTGAACTTGTTGTTGTAGGCCAGTTGCATACTTCACAGTGCTGTTTCCCTGTCCGTGTTCCCTATGTGAACCAATACCGCCCAGCACAACAGAGGCGAAAGGGCTACGGTGGAGGCCTTGTGGTTTTTCTGGTAGTTTTCGTCCCTTCTTCAACTCACAGGGCCTCGGGTGTTGCGCGTACCGAGAAGACAACACCCATACACCACGCTAATTAGCTATGGTGATGGAGCTTGACTATGATGAAGAGACGGGGGGTCTTGTCTCTTCAGCGTGTAGGTATAGCTATGTCTACGTGCACTACTGGCGTGGTATTCTGTGGATGTGTTGTTGTTGACTTCTAGCATAACTTTGGCGTGTGTCGTCTCCCCGTGGTGCTGGATCAACTCCGTCTCAGTCCTCATCGGCTCCATCCAGCAGCTGCTTCTCCAGCTCCTCGGCTTCCTGTTCTTTACTGCTGCCGTCACCCTTGTTGGACGCCTCCTGTTGCATTCTCCTCGTCAGGAACTCGTTGATATCGTCTTGTAGTCTCGTAACCTGGCACCTCAGCAGGCCCATCGCACTGTCCTTGGCCTCTGAGGGCTTGTCCCTGTCCGTGGCTCCCTTGGACATCACAAACTCGGAGGGGCCGGTGGTTTTACCCTCGGTCGTCAATTCGTCTCGTGGAACATCCGTCGTGAACTCGTGTTGCAGTCCGTTTGTCTTGTAAACAGCAGATGGTGGCATGGCTGCGCTAATCGAGTCTGTGTTGCTGGCTCTCTGTTTCTTTCTCTGCCTGGCTCTCTCTCTCTTTCTCTGCCTGGCTCCCTGCCTGGCTCCGTCTCTCTTTCCGCGCTACTCACGGGGCTCCTGCCTGGGCCATCGCTTGCTTGGGCCTGGAAAGTCGCGGGCCCCAGCCCAGAGATCGCAGTTACCCTCCCTAACCGTTGTTGATAAAATTTTCCAGCGTACAAATGTCCACCAAAATTTTGTCCGAAAGCTTGTACTGCGAAGGAAAGGAACAGGCAGAAGGAGGGAAAATAGTTGAGGACATTCACTACACGATGACTTCTACGGCTGCTGTTGATGGAACACTCCACGAGTGTGTTTTGGAGTACTCCGCTGTGTTGGACCACTTTGCTGGGAACAAGGAGTTCAGCGAGAAGGTTTCTGCGTATGCCACGGAAACCGCTCAAGATGACCAGAGCGATGAGGAGGAGGAACAAGAAGCTGTACTGTACTCTGACGATTTGTTCGGTGCAATTGCAGAGAGTGCGCCACTTTTGAACAAAGTGAACGACCGTGAATTCGAAGACGTTGCCAACTTGGCGGTTTACATTCTTTCCCTAGGCGATGATTCAGATGCCCGTGTCGAGAAACTAGTCACCGATCTCATCTCTCTACAAGATCTACAGGAGAAGCTTGTCAAGAACAAGAAGAAGACCATCAAGGTGTTGAGTATCATCTCGGTGCTGTCAAATGTTTTCAACACGTTTGATTCCGCAAGCTTACAAAAGACTGTGCTTGCCCAGATCCTTCAACTCGTTGAAGTGTTGGACAATGTGTCCCTGTTGCAGCCTTTTGTTTCAAACATCGAGACCATTCTTCTCGCCAAGTCATCTGATGAATCCGTAAGAGAAATCGTCTTGAAAACTGCACAACTCATCCAATCTGAAGATCCACTCGGGAGCTTGAAATTGCAGTACTTGTCATTGACCAAGATTGAGGCCCCAACACAAGAGTTGGCCAACAATTACATCGTCAACTCCTTGAACACTCCTTCTGCATTGGACTTGAGTAGCGTTATTGGCTCCGAAGTGATCTCTAACCTGGCTTCCAAGGAGCTCTTGGACTACACAAATGCATACCTATATACTAAACACGATGAGTTTATCCAATCCAAGGCTCCACAGTCTGTTGACACCGATATCGTCACCAAGAAGAACCAATACCTCACCCTCCTACAAATTGCATCCGGAAGGGAATCGCTCTCCTACAAGACCATTGCATCCGAGGTTGGGCTCGAAGAGGCCGATGTTGAGCTATTCTTGATCAATGCAATCAAGCTCAAGATCATCGAAGGTAAGATCTCGCAGCTGGAGAACACCTTCCTCGTCTACAAAGTCAAGCTAGTGGTGAAGAAGATCGAGTCCAGCGACTGGAAACAGATCAAAGAGACTCTGACCAATTACAAGAACAGTCTCAAAGAGGTCAAGCAATTGATCGACCAAGTGCAAAATAGAAGATCAAAGAACTGATGTCTTCGTTCTATGTATACTAGTTTTCTTCAAAATAGCTTGAATTAAAGAACCATTTGCGTAGTTTGCCCTGTTCTTCGTGCCCATGGAGGCAGTGGGAAATTAGGCAGAGACCCAGCCCGGGGAGGTGCAGAGGGTGGGAGGACACACAATGAAAATAAGGGGACAGGTCACCAGCCAACAACCAACAACTCGTGAACAGTGCCACCAAAACTAAAAGAGCAGCTGAGCTGAGGAGGAATTGGAGACTGACAACGTGAACAACAGTGTATGCCGCTATGTCTATGAGCTCTACGTTTGCGAAAGCGCTTGATTCATGGGGAATTGTTCAACTGCCAACGGTCCAGCGTAATCTGGACGTTAGTGTTGAGGAGGTGACGGCTGCACAAGAATCGACATTGGAGTCCAGAAAGCACCTTGCGGCCAGAACGAAGGAGTTCAGGAAGCTGAGCGACGATGAGAAGCTGGGTGCGTTCAAATCTCTGTTGAAATTGTACCAGAGTGAGGTCGATGCGCTGACCAACCGTGCGAAGAAGAGTGAAAATGCGCTGTTTGAATGCTATAGGGCCATTGGTGAGGTTCCTGATCCAAAGCCATTGCTAGAGGCATCTCTGGATTCTGTCCTGGTTGCCTCTGAAGTAGAAGAGTTGAAGAGGGAGAACGAGAAGCTGAAAGAGGAGAGTCTCAAGTATTCGGACTATGAACAACTACAATCAAAGGTTGTCAGGCTAGGTCAGCAAAATGCCGAACAGCTAGCCAACAAGCTCAAGTTGAAAGAAGAGGAGATGAACAGTGTGTTTGCAGAGAAAGAGCTACAATGGCAGGAGAAGGCCAACGCGATGCAGCAGAGCATCACGAGTCTTCAGAAAGAAGTTGTTGAGTTGAAGGCACAGTCCAAAGTGGATAAATTGAAATTGAGGAACCAGAGAATCGCTCTTGGTGGAGCTGCTGCTGCTGGTGATGATGGTGCTGACGATGATGGTAACTATGACGAGAACGACGTTGATGCTTCTGTTTTAGTGTCCGCAGATGCGAAGGAGTTGGAGGCATTGAAGCATGAGACTGTTATCAAGGATAAGCGTATCTTAAACTTGGAGAAGCGTAACGAGGATTTGACGAAGAAACTTAGTGTGGCGAAGTCTGAAGTTGAGCAACAAGAGCGTAAGATGGCAATGGAGCTCAAGTTGGCAGATTTCGAACGTGAAAATGCCACATTGGTTGCAAGAGTTGATCACAAGCAACATCAATATGACAGTTTAACAAAGACCAGTGGTCAAAAGATACAATCCTTACAATCCCAAATTGGTAAATTACAGGATGAGTTCAAAGCACTCAATCAGAAGATGGGCTCCATGTCTGATTATGACCAATTGAAGAGAGAAGTCATCACTCTTCGGGCCATTCAATTCGGTGAAGATGAAGATGACGATGATGAAGATGTTGATGAAGCTGATCCTGTTAAATCGACGCATCAATTGGATGAGATCTTAGCTGCTCGAAACAAGAAGTTGACTGCTGAGGTTGCAGACTTCAGATCACGCTATGATTCTTTAAACGATACCATTGCCCAACTGAAATCACAAGTCGATGCACAGAGTAAGGAGATGGAACGTTTGAAATCGCTCAACTCACAGCTGGAGGACGATTTGCTTTCGTTGCAATCCAGCAATGGCAGCAAATATAACGATACAGCATCAATGATCTCCGGTGTGACACGTAATACATCGATGACACACACGCACAAATCCAGTGGCCGTCGTACTCTATCACCGGCATCTTCAATTGCTGGTGGTATTATCTATGAGGAAGAGGGCCAACAACAGCAACAGCAGTCTTCATCCAGCGTGTTGCCAATCATCACTGCACAAAGAGATCGTTTCAGATCCAGAAATGCTGAGTTGGAGACACAGTTGAAGAAGCAGACTGAAGTTGTGAACGACTTACGATCCAAGATTTCGAAACTACAAAAGGATAACACTGACCTGTTTGAAAAGACACGTTACTTGAGCTCATTCAAAGGCTCTGTGAACCGTGGCGAAGACGTCGAATCCCAACAAGCGTCCAACTACTCATCAAGCTACGAGGAACAACTCCACCCACTGGCCAGATTCCGTGCTCGTGAGGAGCAGCGTGCACTTTCACGTCTCTCTCCTCTGGAGAGAATCTTCATCTCGTTTGCCAAAGCAGTCTTAGCAAACAAAACCTCCAGAATGTGCTTCTTCGGCTACATCTCTGGCTTGCACTGCTTAGTCGCACTGATGATGTGGTACTTGATGGGACTGCATGGAGTGAACGTTGCACGTGTAGGCCATGAGACCACCACTACGACAACCATGGGAGGCTCCAGCATTCATTGATCCAGCGCTTTACATGAATTTTTATGTATGTCCTTCGAATGCATGTGACTATATCTCTACACTGTAGATCATACACTGTAGATCATACACTGTAGATCATACACTGTAAATCCCACATTGTAGATCCCACACTGTAAATCTCAACCCCCAAGATTGAGCTGCATCGGAGTGAGATCTAAGCAGCAGCTTGTTGTGTCGTCGATCTCTGGCAGCCCATCCATCGGTCTGGTTGCCTTGCTTTGTAACATCTACACCGTCGGGTTCGGCACATCTCGGCCTGCCTGGTCGATCAGGAGAGAAGGTGCGTGCGGCTGAGCCAAACTTTGCCACAAACACAACAACAACAACATCAACAACATCAACATCGGTAACTTCCGCTTGAACTTGCTTCCAAAACACCAGTGACGGCGCCAAGTTGATGGTCTAAGTGCTTGTTCCCTCCCTTTGGTTTGATCCTGTTGGTATTCACATGACGGCTCGTACTACTTCGGGGACTGATGGCGGTGTTGAGCCCGCGACGAGGAGAGATGGTCGTTTGGAGTTGAATATGTCTCCAACAACTTCGACGGGTTCCTCAACAGCCAGGACATCCCAGTCAGAGGAGGCGAATGAGATTAAGATACCTCCACACTCTTTCACTGCGAGCAGGTTTTTGTATGCCGATGCCAATGAGATCAGCGCGTCGTCTACTGTTGTGTTGCTAGGGGAGATTCCTTGGACCTGGTACAAGGAGCAGCATAACCATTTGGTGTCGAACTATCAGAATGAGTCGCCTGAGGTGAATGCACTATACTCGCACGGGAACGAGGAAGAGGGCTCGTCTTATAAGAAGGATGAGAAACTGAATAAGCTCCTGGAGAGCTATTACGATGCAGAGGCTGGTGAACAGAGCAGCGGCTCCGATTATGAGAATGAGGATGAAGATAACCAAGTAGAGGATGACGCTGGTGATGTCGACGCCGACATCGATGTCGATGTTGATCTCCACCCTGACAATTATACTGGTTCCAAGCGTAACAGCGAACCCTGTGACTGGGACCATGATGACCATGACGTTTTTAGTGTTCCCAGTATGGCCAATACGAGGAGTTCCAGGAGAAGCTCAATTCTGCGTAAACTGAAAATTCAACAGGAAAGGCCTGTTCCAGATATATCGGTTGAGACATTCTCACCTGAAATGGCCATACCTCTGCATGAAATGCCAAACCCACCTGCCATTCCGGGCTCAAGATCACAAGCTGGAGATACTGGCACTGGTTCTCGTGTTGGTACAGAAGTTGAAAGTTTCCATACTGCTTTTGAGAATCCATCTGACAACGTTGCTCCTAAAGACTATTCTCCAATAGTTGCAAATGAATCATCTCCAAAGTCGTCTGATACCGTCCTCGCCAACACGACTCCAAGTACAGGTTTGGATGCAGACGGCCTGTTACTGACACCACAAGTGACTACCTATTCAACTACTTCAAAGGTTAGGTTTGACGATGATAATCTACAAAAGCACATGACCAGAGCCTCCATTAAGTCAAGAATATCTCAGTTAAGGCCTACGCCTACTGAACTCAGTCTGGAGCCGGAAACCGTCAATGAATATGAACATAGATTCCAGAAATTGTTTTCTGCTGCTAGCCACACAAAACATATGATCAAAAAGGATATCCAAAAGAGTCATGGGCTGCTCTATAAGAGATTTTACGCAAGTTTCAAACCTGGCGAAATAATGAAGGCTGAAAAGATGTTGGTTCTTGTGAAAACCATTGAAAACGCCAGTACAAATACAAGGTTTGAAACATTCACTGAACAAGAACCTTGTGATACGAGAATCTATGACCGTTGGAAGGAGTACATGGTTATTGCGAGGTCGACTGGTAATCCTCAACAGCCCATTATCCTTCAATTTCGCACCAAAAGAACCGTTGTAAATTCCGATTCTTCAAACTCCAGTTATGAAGCACTGAGTGTTACATTGTCTAAATCTTGCATCGTGAACTTTTACAGTGCATTGGATAGAACCATTGCATTGGTAAAAGGTGACAAGGTCTATATTCTTAGGTGTCAAGTGCCTAGCTCTTCTATTCGATGGCTCAGCTTCTTATCATCCGCAACAGGAGGAAATATTTCCAATATTGTGAAATTAAGCATTCCATCATTCAACATGGCATTGAATATCAACGTCAATAGAGATTTCTTTCGTAAATTTCTGAAACATTCCCATTCTGGTTTGAAGTTGCTTTACACTTCGGACGGTTATATCATCCAGGGTCTTCCCGCAGTTGAATACTTGAGTAAGAAGATTAAAAAGAAGTTGATTCAAGCAGGTTTGGAGAGTAAGATCAAACCATTTGTTCACAAACCTAACGCATATGGTCTCTGTTGGAGGTACTATGATCGTCTTGAATGGCTCTTTGGGGAAACCCTCATAAACTTGTTCTGGGAACAGGCAATGTATCGTACCCATGAGCTTGAGCTGAGGGCAATAACGCATTACCCAAGAACAGTGGATGATCCTCAAGGTAAGATTTTACACGAACAGCCTCCTTTAGAGGGATTCCTCTTAAGATTGACAACAAAACAAGGGCAGTTAAAAAGAGGGCCATTGCATAAACAAGTTTTCACTTTTGAGTATTTCTTCACAAGTGGCCATCTGTTATTCTTCAAATCCGCTTACAAGTCATTCCCACCTCTCCCATATTCAGAGAATTTGATGACAAGAACGGATTTACCCGCACAATCACCAATTTTAGAAGAGATCAAAAGTAATCTCGTTCCTATCTTCACCCACAACCCATACACTCTTGATGAAAATAACCATATTGAGTGGCTCAATCCAAATATCTCACCACAAGAGTTCGAAATGAGGGACAGATTTGCCTTTGCCGCTTTCAAGAGGCGTATTACTTCAATTTCCAATGCATCAAAGGTCTTAAACTTAACCGATGTTCAGTCTGTTGGTGTATTCGATCCCGTGGATATACCTAAATCTGTTGAAGTAGCGAGCTCTTTCTATTGGGGGTCGTCGGATGATCAGAAGAATATCTTGCATCTGGAAAGAAGTGATACTTATTTCTATATCTCGCTCAAAAATGGTTCAAGAATGGTTTTGAAAGCACCCTCCGTTCAAGTAAGAGATGAATGGGTTCATCGGTTACAATACCATGTGAAGTACTGGAGTTTACGGATTCATAAAGATCATCAACTTATCAAAAGTATGAAAGAAACAAATATCGAAAACCTACACATGGACGAGTTTGCTGAAACTGATACATTTGCATTTGATACAAGATGGGAAAAGAACAATGGGACTTCCAGCACTGAGGTTTATAACGTCACGTCGCTTGCGATGTTTCGCCCTGTATCATTTTCTGGCTACATCTATCAGAAACCGAAAAAGCATTCAAAGTTCAAAAAGTACTTTGCAACGCTAATCCCAGGTCATCTCATCTTGTTCAACGTATTTGTGCGTGATATTACTGGTTATGTCAAGCCTATAACACATTACACGAGGTATGCATCAATGCCATTGCGGAACTGTTACATATATTCTGGAACGCTATGTGACACCGATCTCTTAGACAGGCTACTTCTGCACGACTCTGGTAAGCAAGCTCTTCCAAGAGTGTATGAAGATGGCTGGTTATCTTCGGATGATGAATCGAGTCGCTGCTTTACAATTTGGTTTGGCACCAAGCGTGCAATTTCTGGCAGTGCTGTGTCTAACGAGAAGTACAATGGTGTGGAAAACCCTGGCTTGCTCCACATGGTTAGGAAACTAGGGGTAACGGGAAGAAGCATGGTGTTTATGTGTCGTTCACGTCAGGAACGAGACTTGTGGCTCACCAATCTATACGCTGATCTAGAGAGATTTGGACGTTCCAAGTGACTAATATACAGACACGCTGTATGCTACAAAGTAACCATAAACACTTCTGTACATTTCTATAGCTCTTTTGAAAGGAGAGTCTTAGTCCAATGCCATTTGTTCTGCTTTCTGCGGGTTGTTCAAAACGTTCTGCAATTTCAGTGGTTGAGTCTCCTTGATGTTGATACCAAATCTTCTATCCTGGCCCAATTGAATGAGTTCCAGGGCACCTTGAATCAGCGGCTTCTGGTTGTTGAGCTGGAAGTTGGAATGAACCCATGATGGTTTGGAGGTCTTCGACCCACCTGTCAATCTGAGAACCTCTGGCTTACCACCTGAAGAAATGCCCTGTTGAATGAGGACAACAGTGGACTGTTCTCTTGCAACAGGGATATCTAGGGAGTTCTTCTTCAAGAGGGACTTGAGTTTTAGTGAGGAGACACCAAGACGAGGTAATGGCAGTTCCAATCCTGGTAGTGTTGGGTTCTCGGCATCATATCCACGGGCACCTGTTGGATTTGCAGCATTGAGTATAAAGTGCAATGGCAAGAACTTGACAGTTTGTACAGAGCGAGCCACTGTCAAATGGTGGTTTGTGATTTCAGATAAACCGAGACGAGATGATTTGATATCCTTCTTGATTGCATCAATCTCAGGTTTCAAAGACTCAGGTCCGTTGGAGTGCAATTGCTTCAAGTCAATTGGGAAAGAGTCTGACAAGTGAGCGAGCTTGAATGGGTAAACAGATCTTGTCTTGTCGATCTTAGTGAGCGTTTGTCTTGACGTTTTGAGCTTCAAAGTATGTTGCATGGCAAAATCTCTCACGTATATACTTGGCTTGATGTTGAGAGCATCTTTGTCGTGGTTCTTACCAGTATATCCATCCAAGGTTTGGATGGTCACCAAACCAACTTCGTTGAACTCAGCGATAGGAGCCATTTTTAAGTCAACAACGTACACTTCACCAGGTGCAACAACAAATTCGTCTGTTGGAATAGCTGAGTGTTGGCTAACACCTGTATTCTTGATCGACTTCTCAACTTTGATCAACTCTTGCGAAGTAGAAGCCTTCTCCAAGAGAGAAGCCTCTTGATCAGCCTCAGTCCATGCAACACCTTTGTATTCTTTCTCTGCAACGATACCTTCTGATTGCCCTGCTAAGAATCTTCTGATACGACGGACACGAGATCCTGGAACAACAACACACTTGAACGACGTTGCAATCTCGTCGACAACTTTACGAATTAAAGTACCTGTTATAACGTTTGAATTGTTATTAGACTGCTTGAGAATAGCTGGTAGTTTCTCTGGCGTGAGTGCAGCACCCAACAAAGCAACCACTGCTTCATTGGCAATGTGGGCAGCGATAACAGCGTCAGCCTTTGGTCCAAGCAATGGTCCAGTTGGGCGTAGCTCACCATCAACTAGTTCACCTGGAGGATAAATGACTAAAGTGTGGGACAAATTGGCAGTGTAACCATCGACATGACACCCTAATGAGATCGTCACGATGTCACCTGGCTGGAAGAATTGGAACGAGTTTGACTCGTCGTCAATCTCAGGACTGAAGCCAACATTGACATTGTTCACATCGATAGTGACAGGCTGCGCAATACCCTTCTCATTGACACTGTTGGAGCCTTTGCTGTACACTGTTTCCAAGCTGGAAGCCATGAAGGAGTCACCGAGAAGACATATCTCAGCAGACGTGAGCTTTGGTCCCTGGTTCAAGTGGTAACTGTCATTGATGATCTTCGTGATGTAGGTGAGAGTGGTCTGTGCAACCTGGCCGGCGAGTCTGTACTTGTCTAAAACGGCCGTGTCGATGACGTTCTTGGTCTTGAGCAAGATATCCTGGTCCTGTGGAGCAATAGCGAGTTCCATGATGCTGAAATACAGAGAATGCTATGAATAATGGATCCTTTGATTGACAACACTTGGATACAAATCATAGGTTAGAAAGTTGTATAAGCAAAAAAAAATTTCACACTGCAGCGCAGGGCATCGGTCAGCGCAGCATATTAGTCACGTGACCTGTGCCCAAGAGGGTTTTGGAAAAAAATGACGACAACTGCAGGATTCGAACCTGCGCGGGTAAACCCAAAAGATTTCTAATCTTTCGCCTTAACCACTCGGCCAAGTTGCCTTAACGTTGAAAGTTAAAAATTCTGCTGAAAGTGTTGTTGTGCATGGGCAGACATTGGTGATGTTGATGGGTGTTAGCTACTTAGGGCTATTCACTCTAGGGCTACAACTTCGTTAGCTCTTGCACTGCTTGTAGTGAGAGGATGATGGGTGTTGTGAGCTGTGTATTTTTGCTGATTCTCGGAGTAAGTCTCAAGGAAGAGCCTTTCCTGGTGAAAGTTTCCATGATCGGTCTGTGCTCTATGTACTTAAGCCGATAGTGGTTGCCATACGATGTGACAGGTTACGAGCTACAACATGTCGAACTGTGAGGAGCTACTACTGCCCAGGAACCCATACTGTTCTTTTCTCCGTACATATATATATATATATATATATATATATATATAACAACTATTCGATACACTTCAACTATTTCACCGTTCCAATTCTAAATCATAGCACAATGCAGTTTCTCCTCAAGAGCTATTTCTATATGGAGCAGCAAAATACAATTCTCTATATTACATCTCAAACTCCAGTGGAGCCGTATCTCGCTGCCCATTCTTCAAATCTTTTCAGTGTCTCTGGCGCAACACTTCTTCTAATCACCCTCATGGCCTTTTCAAAATCCTCAAGACATAGTCCACGAATCTGCGAATAATCAATACTCATGAGGTTTTCCCCCAGATCTCTAATTGGTTCCATTGCGGCTTCTTTTGCCAATGCAGTGATATCAGAGTTGGAATAACCCTTTGTCTGATTTGCAATGATTATGAAATCGGTCTCTGACAAGGAGCTCTTCTGAGACTGACACAGCTTCCGTAACTGTGCTAATCTTGTATCAAACTCTGGTAATGGGATGTACAATCTTCTAGAGAATCTTCTTCTTGCAGCTTCATCAATGGCCCATGGAAGATTTGTAGCTGCAAGGACCAATACCCTTGGTTTATCGTCACCGTCTTCTCTGGCAGTGGAAGAAGACAAGCCGGACCATTGAATGAGAAACTCAGTCTTTACCCTTCTTGAGGATTCGTTTTCACCATCGCCTCTGGCTGTTAATAACGAATCTATTTCATCAAAGAAGATAATCGAAGGTGATAACCTCTTCGCCATGTAGAACAAGGCTCTTATGAGCTTTTCAGATTCTCCAAGATACTTAGAGAGTAACGACGATGCACTTATACTGAAAAAGGTCGATTGTGATTCATTAGCCACCGTCTTTGCAATCATTGTCTTTCCTGTACCAGGTGGGCCAAAGAGCAGCATACCGGTAACCGGTTCTCTCAATCCTTTAAATAGATCAGGTCGTAAAAACGGATAAACCACTGTTTCCTTTAATGAGGTCTTTGCAGCTTCCAACCCAGCAAGATCATCCCAGTGTAGCTTTTCACCTTGGAACAAAATCTCATCCAAGATTTGTTCACAAGCTCCACGATCAACGCCGTGTAACTCATCCATCACTTTCTCAATTCTTGGGTCAGAATAAACCTTCTTCTTCTGTGGTGGATCGTTTGGATTTGGTGATCTAGCGACGACATTACCCTCCGTCTGTGGTATTGGAACTTTCTTCTTTCTCTGAGCAGAACTCGATGATGGAGGTGGACTCTTACTTCTATGCACAGGGGTCAAATTGATCTGCGTGTTCACTGTGGGTTGGACATATTCATACTTTCTTCTCGCATTTGTATGAATTGGCGAAGCTGACCGTATAGGCGGTGTCACTCTGCGCGTGCTCGTAGAATGTGTATGAGCATGAGAAGAGCTGCTCTCATGATTTGTGGAATTCTCTTGCCACGCAAGCACGGCAGCCTGTGAGATTGTCAAGTCAATGGATTTTGGACGATCCTTTCGATGGCTTGGGGCTTTTCTTTGGATATCTAATGACCTTCTAGGAAGTTCTAACGAACATCTTGCTCTGGTAATGTCTGCAGTTGCCTTAGAGCTGGAGGCTGAAGCGACTCTTTGAGGTTTAGCTGGCTTTTTAAACTCTTCCACGTTCCGAAGTTTAGGTGATAAAGCCTTCTGGCCAGTAGCATCTTTCGTGCCACTGCTACTCTTGCCGTTGCTGCTGTCTGTAGCAGTACTGTTGGCCCTTCCGTTGCTTCCATTGTTGCTGTTACTCTTTCTGGGGAAAGCAGACATGAAAGAAGAGTAACTTCTCGCATTCCGCTGAGTCTCATCGCTCAGTATAAGAGGCTCCTGTGCTTTCAGCCTCTGCTCAACGTTGTTTCTTCTCTCCAGGACTTTACCTCTCAGCCTGAGTAACGAGTCCCACGATACCCTATCAAGAGGTGACAATGACGAGGACTTCAAATGACCCGGGTTGTACTGCTGTTGCATGGACTTAATCTCGTTGTCTGTCACCAGTAGCAGAGCATCGTACACCGTCAACGCCTCTTCATCCCTCTGTGTGATCTCAAGCGTGATGATCTGCGACAGTTGTGAAGTAACAGAGTCATAAACCTGTTGCACAGCTTGCTGTAATGTCTGCATGGCGAAGGGTCCAGCGGAAGCGATTCTCGATGAATAGCACGGGTTTTTGATACACAACAGTACTTTCTCTATGTTCAAATGGCCTTCTCTTCACGTTGCTAAAGCAGAAACGGACTTCTTCTAAACAAAGATGGAATTGAAAGCAATGACAACAACAAAAGCAGCATCGAATAAACGAGCACCTGGCGCTCTGCGCCAGCGAAAAACAAATGCGAAAAGCATGGCTGCGATGCCCAATTCCGTCAACAAATGTCCCGAAAGAGTAAATGTCGGTTGCAGTCACCTGACTGGCCTCCTCGGAACTCGAAATGGACGAAATTCCGCTTTTTTTTTTCGTTTTGTATGTCGGCGGGAGGACGAAGCTCAAAGCACAAAAATACACAGAGCTCACCCTCAAAAGCACCAAAACAAAGCAGAAAAGACCAGGAAAGCAGAGACAACTCACACACGCAAGATGATTCCAGTGCGCTCTGTTGCTCTCAGAGCTCTCAGAACGAGTGCTCTGACGACCAGCAAGCCGATGTACTCCAGTGGTGTTGCCAGGGCGTTCACCACGTCGAGATTTGCTCTTAATGACTCGAAGAAGAACAAGCAGGAGCCAAAGTCGATCTTGGACGATGACATGCTGTTTAAGGCCGGTGTTGACGTTGAGAGCGAGCCAAGTGCTAAAGCACAAGGCGAGTCGTCCGGTGCTGACGGAGCTGAAGGCTCTGAAGGTGAGCAGGCGCAGAAGAAGAGACGCTCTGTGCAGAGCTCCACGGATAAGAAGAGAGAGAGAGCTGCGAACCTGTTTTATCTGGGGTTCTTCGCCACTGGGTTAGGTGGAGCTGCGTACCTTGCCAGAAACTGGGAGGAGGATGAGGATCCAAAGATCAAAGAGGACATTCCAAACGGTTACTCTGCTGATTTGTTGTGGAAGAGACTGAGAGCAAGATTCAACTCAATCTTCACCTACTTCCAGGAGCCTCCATTCCCAGATCTCTTGCCAGACTCGCCACCAGAGCCTTACAAGCGTCCTCTGACGCTTGTGCTCACTTTGGAAGACCTGTTGATCCACAGTGAATGGTCCCAGAAGAACGGCTGGAGAACTGCAAAGAGACCAGGTGTCGATTACTTCTTGGCTTACCTATCCCAGTACTATGAGATTGTTCTCTTCAGTTCAAACTACATGATGTACTCTGAAAAGATTGTTGAGAAGTTGGACCCACTTCGTGCTTACATCTCATACCAGTTGTACAAAGAACACTGCTTGTACAAAGATGGTGCCCATATTAAGGACCTGTCGAAATTGAACAGAGATATTTCTAAGGTTGTCATTGTCGACGTTAGTGACGACTCCATCAAGCTACAACCTGAGAATGCCATTAAGTTGCCACCTTGGGAGGGACAAGCTGATGATGAGTTGATCAAGTTGATTCCATTCTTTGAGTACTTGGCCACTCAACAGATCAAGGATGTTAGACCTGTCTTGGCTTCTTTCCACGATAAATCTCACATTCCGGAGGAATTTGAACAAAGAGTTGAAAAGCTGCGTGCTGAATTTGAAAAGGACCAAGAGAAGAAGGCTTCTACAAATTTCTTGAACAAGCTATTAGGTTTGCCAGTGATGAAGCAGAAGTTCCCATTGGATGCAATTCATGATGAAGGTATCAAGAACTATCAACACTTCTTGAAATTGATTAAAGAGGAAGAGGCTAAACTCAAAGCACAAGCTGAGATGCCAAAGGAAACCTTCAAGATTAAGGATTTAGTCGAAGGTAACATCCCAAGTCAAGAAGAGATGATGAAGAGACAGTTGGAGAAGCAAGCTGAATTTGAAAGACAACAACAACAAGCTACTGTTAAGGCATAAGAAAAGAGACATGACGTATGAATTGTTTGTTTGATTGATTGCTTTTTCCCCCAGGGGTTTCTCCTATGTATGTAAAAGATACAAAGAATTTTCCATGTATATAATTAGAAAGGCTCTGCTCGTAAAACGCTTCTTCTTTGTAACAATTCAGATGATATCCTCCTCATCGTTGTCCTCAAGGACGTGACCATGAGCTTTGAAGTTCTCTGGTGGCTCAATGCTTGGGATGAACTCAAGTACAGCGTACACAATACCAATAACAACGATGAGAAATCCAAACACGATTCTAATGGCATTGCCCCCTTGTGCTATCAAGACACCAATCAGGACATAGACTGTAAATAACAGGTTAGTTTCTTCCTTCTCTTTGAAACGACACGTCTTCACAGTATTACTCACAAACACCACGCCCTAAGAACGAGAAGAGGAAAGAGGCGTAGTGGTAAGCCAATGGCGGGATGATGAACTCAAGCCCACCAATAGCAACACCAAACGCAATGAGGTAAAGGCCTAAGAAGAAGGCAGCACTGATCGTCGTTAGTACTTTCAACAGGCCTCTTGAAGATTCCTCCCATGTTTACACCATACTCACACTCCTGAAAGCAACTGAGTCAATCCTAAGATGGCCTACAGAGCAATGACGGCACGTTGTTAGTCTTAAAAGCTCTCCATATTCCTTAGAGCAAGATGAGCAAGGCAACACTCAGGAGCACTCACAGAGATACCACCAACGGTGAGGTTAACAATCTTGAAGACTCCGCTGAGATCGGACATATTCACTCAAGGTAATGTTTAAAGTATATGTTGCTGAGTCGTTTTTACAGAGACTCAGTGTCAATTTGTTCGTTGTGATTGATTGAAATGTAATGTGTTGTTGGCTAGCCACAGTGCTGTGAAGGTTACCCCTGTGTGGCGCTTTTCCGCGGGAAAATGAAGGATGCATTAAGATAATATAATTTATAATGTTTATAGGATAGTAATTATAATTATACTGCTATGGGCTACAAGTCCAACACAAGGTGCTTTAATCTTCAGACAAGAGACAAAAATCTGTATAAAAGACAACAACCCCTGTGCGAGGTGTATTTTATATAGGTAAACTGAACTAAACTGGTTAGCCTGTGTATAAGCAGAACAAATGGAAATCAAAATAAGACGAGAGGAGACAAAAAGGAACACTTCGAGAAAACAACCCCAGCGGGGTGAAGTTGAGTGGTATAGATGTAATAATGACAAGTGGTGGAAAGATTTGGGAGATGGATTGCAAGAGAGAGAGACCAATGACAGGAAGAAAGGAAACAGAAACAACCAAGAAGAGTACAGAAGGTAAATCAAATAGAAGAAAATAACATAGGAAGTTAAAAAGACAACAAAATAACATCAAGAGTGTGTAGAATCTATTGGAAGAAACCTCCTCTTTGGCAGTATATCAATATAGGAATGGAGCCTTTTCTAAAACGTAGAAACAAAGAAAAAGATGAATTCCTTCTCAAGTTGCTAGATCTTTGACAAGGACACCTACCTCCCCTGCCCCCACTGTTTTCCTTCTCTTCCACTTCCTATACATCAAGATCATATCGGTTCACTTTCTCTCTTTCTCTTTCTCGCTCTCCACCTATATCCTTCCCATCTTCCTTGTAACCATTTCCCCAAACATCAGATTTATTCCTCGTCAGCCTTGGCATCAGCTGGCTTCTCCTCAGCTGGGGCATCTTCTTGACCAGCTTCAGACATATCAGAAGTCCACAAGGTCAAGTTATCACGAAGCAATTGCATGATCAATGTAGAATCCTTGTAAGACTCCTCGCTCAAGGTATCTAGCTCAGCAATGGCATCATCGAAAGCTTGTTTGGCCAAATGGCAGGCACGGTCTGGAGAGTTGAGAATCTCATAGTAGAAAACAGAGAAGTTCAAAGCCAAACCGAGACGGATTGGGTGAGTTGGTGGCAACTCTGTGACAGCAACATCAGAAGCAGCCTTGTAAGCCTCTAATGACAAATCAGCAGCCTCTTTACGTCTATCGTTGGTGGCAAACTCAGCCAAATAACGGTGGTAGTCACCCTTCATCTTGTAATAGAACACCTTTGATTCACCAGTAGCGGCGGATGGAATCAAATGGTTTGTCAATACAGACAAGATATCGTCACAGATCTTGGTCAGCTCAGTCTCAATCTTGGCTCTGTATTCACGGATCAAGGCAACTTGTGCTTCGTTACCCTTAGCCTCCTCCTTTTGTTCAATAGAGGAAACAATTCTCCAAGAGGCACGACGAGCACCAATAACGTTCTTGTAAGCAACGGACAAAAGGTTACGCTCCTCAACAGAAAGCTCTTGACCAGAAGAAGCAACGGCCTTCATGTTCTCGACCATTTCCTCATAACGCTCAGCTTGTTCAGCGAGCTTGGCCAAATAAACGGAATCCTCACGCGAAAGAGACATTTTTAATGTTTGTGCTATTCAATGGTGTTAGTAAACCTAACCTCAGAATGTATAGAATGTAGAGAAAAAGGAGGCTGTCCAATGGTAATCATTCATCGATTCACTGAGCTTCAAAGATTGATCTGTCGTTTTCCCTTAGAGCAATGCAAAGATCATAGCTTTCTTCAACGCCTCTATCCAAGATCAAAACAAAATCAGGATATAACTTCCCTTCATTCTCCCTCCCATCCACAATCGACAATCACTTCAAGCAACTCACATTGTTCTCAATTGGGTTCCACAGCAAAATCGAAAACAAGAAAAAGAAGCAATAACTTTTTGGGTATATGTTCGTATTTCGATTTGTTGTCGTGTTGTGGAAAGAGAGGAGGAGAGAAGGAAGAAAAAAGTGGAAAAGAAGGGGCAACGAACGGGACGCCCTCATTTGGGCAGGGAATTCATGCGCGGTGAAGTGCAAAAGGGAACGAAAAAAAATTCTCGCAAAAAAACAAGCGAATTGGGGAAGTGACAACATCGAGGAAACATACGCCAAGTTACCCAATTCGGTGTTTGCCACCAAATGATTTTCGCAACGAACCTTTTGCATTTACGCAAAATTTCGGGCCTTGTGCAAAGCTCTGCCAAAAAACATGACGGTAAAAAAAGAACAAAAACCGAAACGTAAGGGAAAAGGGAAAAGGGGAACGATAGAAAGGGCATCAGAATTGTAAGCTAGCGCGGTTGATCAATTGTTGCTTTCAGCGATATGGTCAAGTGAGCGTGACGGTCCTTGTAACGTCTTCCGTAGATGAATCGTCATTGTATGAATTGAGTTCCAGAAAACCCGCGTTGAAGTTTCCCAAGCATCAGGTTATGTGTGTGAGCTCCCGCCAAAAAAATAAAAACAAAACAAAACAAAGGTAAACAAATCAAAACAAAGAAAACACATCCAGTATCAGGCTATGACTCTTTGTTTCCCCCATCATCTCCCTCGTGATTACCTCTGTTGACACATACCGCTGTATTTGATCTCTAGCTTTTTATATCAAATGCCTAGTTCCAAGTGGTTGTCCATTTCCCTTAGCTTACTGTGCTTCCGCCCCCCCCCTTTTTCGATCCTTAGAACAACCCTTAACAAAAACACGCATTGTTCCCAAATTTCACATTGAAAACGACGAATGATACTCTCCGATCCAACAGCTCCTCGATTGTCTATAACTTATAGGCATTATACTCACTAATCTGTACGTTTTTAGTGTGTGTTGGAAAGTTTTGCTCCTTTGTTCAAGTGGACAGATAAAGTTGGTTTTAACTAAAAATTTTGGGAGACGTCGAGCGAAAGGGCTCGTGCGCGAGGGTGGTTGCGCATTTTTCGCAATTTTTTTTCTCTAACGGTGTGGGTGTGCTCTTCATTCGATTCTTATTTGTTTTGTTTTGGTGTTTTTTCGCCCACGATGTTCAAAAGGGCAATGCAAAATTTGCGAAATTTTAACCAAAATACGAAAAACCTCCTTTTGGGTACAAACGACAAAATGCGTCTTAGATCAACGCTCTTTGCCTTGGAATAACAAGCTATTGGTCTTGTCTCTATACATCAATGGTCATTAATACGATATGTAAATACACATATATATAATGTCGATCTTGCTTTTTGCTTCAGGAATTGCCAAATTCCGTCATTGTAGCAGTTACAAGAATGATGAACATTCCGAAGACGCTCCACTTCATCACTTGACTGGCAGACCCGCCAAACTGAATGGCACTTGAAAACATCTGCATAGCAACGATGATTAGGAACCCTGAAGTCACGCCAATCAGAGACCCGAAGACAAACATGGAGCCTTCATCTTCAAGAACACGTCCTCTCAATACTAGGAACGCCAGGAGTGCACCAACAGGTTGACTGAAGCCGCACAGCACTGCCGATGCACCAAATGCTTTGGTCCTCGAATCCAACGCCAGGTATAACGGTAACGTCATACTAAACCCTTCAATGATGTTGTGTATGGCAAGTGAAAGGAAAATGGCGATTCCCAAGGATGGGTTGGCCTCAGATGTGGCATACGTGATGAACCCCTCTGGTAGCTTGTGTAATGTTAGAGCAAGACAAGTCTGTAATCCAATGCTCAATAGCTTGGATACAGGAGTGTTGATCTGATGATGGTGATCATCCTTATGGGAAGCGTGCAAATCCAAATTAGGTTCACTCGAGAGCGTGATGTCTTGAGGAATCTGCACAGGTGGCAGACCTGGTATAGACGCCTGGCGTCTCATCACATTTGTTGATGGTGGTTGTGTATATGCAACAAGTGAACTCATAGACTTGTTGATCTGCAACCCCCTGTAGAAATCCAGATGATGGATATCGTTTGAGACTTTATTCTTAATCTCTTGTGTGACACACGTTGGATAGCCAACACAGTTTGTATCATTAATACCAGTACATTCATGTGCGTTATGTGATCCCAGGGTGATCTTGTCGATAGCAGCTTCAAAGAGAGACCTCTTGTGTTCTAACTGGGGACGAATCAACGCTGTATCCTCGGTTGGATAATCAACGTCATCGAAATAACTGTTCATTGTTGGGCCCTGCAACCCGTGGTACTCGATAATCTGTTCCTCATCTAAAGGTCCTGTGTTCGGAGTTGGGACTTTATCGTCGGAGCTATTGGCAGAAGAACTTGAATGGGAATGTGAGTGTGAGTGTGAATGTGAGTGTGAGTGCGAGTGTGAGTGTGAGTGGTGCTGCGTCGACAATGGTGAGATAGATCCATCACTTGTGTCCGCATGGCTGTGCGTGTGCTCATCTCCGTCCCCACCGTGGTTACAGTGCACAATACTCTCACTAGTCATGTAATGCACCAGGCTGTTAAACACCAGACAAAACACCGTCCCTCCAATGAAGAACACCATGACCCAGAAGCTCGGTGTGAACCTGCCCTTTTCCTTCTCCATAGACTTTTCAAAGTAGCTAAAGGACTCAGGAAGCAGGCGGTACAAACTCGTCAGCGTCAAGCACCCTGAACTCATACTGAAGCCGTAGATCAGCACTCTCTCTTCCCCCTTGATGGTGAATGTAGACTTCCTATTGAAGAAATGTATCAGCACATCAAGGTATATAGACGACGCTCCAATAATGCCCATAAGCGACCCTAAGAAGGCCAGAACCCACCCCTGGTGCTCCTCGAAGAAATCATGCAACGCTGGCCAGCTCATTGTTCCTCACAGCGAAAGCAGTAACCTATACAGCTCAACAACGATATACAATCACCAAGACAAAGCAGTGAAACGGATTTTCCAGGTCACTTTACCAAATCACAACAAACCCAAATTTCAATAGTTCTCTCAACGGAGCGCGCGTATCTACCTCTGCCCCTTTATATCTATCTCGAGATGTTGCAGCGATAACTTCAAAGGTTGTAAAATCATGTGCGGGCTTTCGCGCCAGCACGACACGAGCAAGATGTCTGGATGTGCGATGCGCCATCATCGGATGAGGACTAGTGGGCGGTGGTATACCGTTTCTTCTGGGTTTTATATGGATAACAAGCAGGGAAACTGAAGCCTTTGGTGAGTGTTATAGCCCTATAGATTGAATATATACGTTGACTTTATCCCTTTGTTTGTTTCTGGTGATCCCGTTGTAGTGAGACGGATGCTCTTCTACCAGCGATGACAGACTCTATTGTCGTGACGTTGGCACTGTTCTTTGCAGGTTGCGGATTAGTCTCCGAGTGGGTTTGGCCATGTGTCTCCTGTGTGGAGTTCATCGTGGATACCGAGGATGACGATGGGAGGCTCTCTATCGAGCTGCTTCTCTTCTTGTGGAACTCGTTGATGTCGATCTCTCCATGCAGCCTGACAAACTGTATAAGCACAGCTGCTATAAACAGAAGAGCTACAAATACGTAGAACACGGCCTTGGGCATGAAGTTGACAGTTTGGCTGTAAACGTACAGCGCACCAGAAGGTGCCAGCATGCCGATGATATTCTTCAGAACAGCCAATGCTCCGAAGATCGTGCCTGTTTTGTTCTCTGGGACGTACTTGATGATGGTTGATTGTACTGTTGGTGTACAAAACGCACCTAATGACCCTAGTATTGCCGTTGCAAAGACTGTCATCTCGTTCTTTGCAACGAGAACAAGAAGTGGTACACACAGCTCAAAGAACACCGCGATTGAAATCATTATCATATCAATACGATCCGGTGCTGACCAGTGAACAGTCGAAATCTTCTTCAACAAATGTAATAGTAGTGGGGAGACGAAGTACAGAACAAAGGTCTTTGATAACCCTGTGGCTGCAATATAGTAACCAAGAGCTTCGGAGTTTGCGTGGAAGTTGTAAACAGCGTACATCACTATCGGTCCGCCAATGGCCACGGCAGATGCAATCACTAGGCATTCCACTGCGACGAGAAGAACAAAGTTGTAGCGTGGGATGAATCCGATGGCTCTGTGCTTTGGTAGCCATAGGTTCTGAACGATTGATAAACTCTCGGCAACAGAGTCATAAACATCATGTATATAATTCTTCCATGATGGAGGTCTAATTGACCTTTGAGAGGCAAAACTTGCTCTTCTCTGGAGATGCATAGACTGTGATCTATGCAACGATTTCTGAGGACGAGACTCTGGTATGACAAATATCCCCAATACCACCAAGCATATGTTGAGTCCGATGGACACGTACAGGGTGTAGAGCGGCTCGCCTGTTCCATGTACAATGAAGCTACCGATAAGAGGTCCAACCCCTAGTCCAGCATAAAATGCACCAATGGTGAACCCCAGCATTGTGGTTCTTGCATGAGGCTCCACGATATCAGTGACATAGCTCGATGCCAAGCTAACCATCATCGAGATGCCACCTCCGAGCCCCATTATTCCACCATTGAGAATGAAAAACCACGGGTGGAATGGTGTAGATTCCAAAATCAACAACAGGTCGCCGATCTTATTGATCAGTGCCATTCCACATGCAAATATCAACAGAGGCTTTCTCCCAACCCTATCACTCATCCCACCAATCTTCCCTCCTGCAATGACACCAACCACACCGTTGGCCAGCAGTATCTTAGCCTGGATTGAGGTCATCGACTGCTGTACTCGTGAGTCTGAGCAAACCACTGACGCGTCCAGCGACTGCTCGTGGATACACACTCTCGTGAGCAGCAACATCACATAGCTCGCAACGTACACCATCGCTGAGACAAAATAGAGAAACAACACCGCGCACATGATCGTAACCGTGGGCTTACGGTGCCAGGCCAAGGACTTGTGCGCCAGCCTCTGTTCGCGTAACCACCTGATATCGTCACTGTCATCTTCCTGGTCAACGTCTGTGATGGCGGATTCGAAAATCTGTACAGCAGCTTCTTCAGCGATATAGTCCGGGTCCAGCAATGGCTGCGTCTCAGAGCTCGCCTCCCTCATTGTACAATCACTTTCCCTGCTGTAGGATTATACAACTGTCTTGCGAAGGGCGGCAGCTGTTGCTTGAAATTTGCTATTCACTGTATGGCCTTCTGAAGCGATTGCTATTCTGAATAGGAGAGTACGATGAACTCCTGTGTTTACAGTGCCTCCTCTGTGTAGAATCTGTGGGCTTCGTGGGACTGCCCACAACAATTGCGCAGAGGACTATCTTGCGTGCTCCCTAAATGGAAATAAGTCCGTGGGCAGTGTTCTCCAGAGCAAATACGCACGCAGTGGATGAGGTTGATTACGTGGTTTACGGCGATTGAATTGTACAATGAGCGTGTACGGTGTAGCAATTCGAGTCTATGGAGCTGGTCTGCCGGTCTAAATCTCCTCTAGGAAGTCTTCCATGGTTCTCGCGTCCAAAGTCCATGTCTGTCCCTTAACAAGGCGATTCTCATCATCGCACCAGACATACACAACGCACTTCACCTGAGGATCCGCACTTCCACCAGCGTTGCTGGCGTTGCTGGCGTTGCTGTGCTGGGCTATCGACACCGATACGCTGACTTTCTCATACTCCTCGCCTTCGTAGCGATCAAGCAACTCCATTTCTCTGGAGCCGAGCCCTTCGATTATCGTCCCGTCAACCACGCCGCACGCGTCGGCCACTATCGCAGGGTATGCCTCGTTAGACACTGCAAACCGCTTGAACCCGTAGAGCGAGCCCGGTGAGAACCTCAGGTGCTCTATGGACCCTTCACAGTGTTCCAGTCCCTGGGCAGCTAGAACTCTTAACAAAATTGGCTTGTATTGGAGGGTACCATACACACTGCCCCATCCCTCCGTCCCCCAAGAACCCTGTTAGTTACTGCGTTCGGTCTAAAGAGCGAAATGTATATAACGTGTCCCCCCAGCTCTTCCATAAGAGCCCTGTTACTTACAACAGCGGAGCATTCTCTTTCAACACCATCGCACCGTCTGCTGAACAAGTCAGTAATCCACACACACAACTCTGTCTGCTGATAGAGGAGATACAACACGATATAAAGTGATTTGTATATACCCTGCGCACCACCACACCGAGCAATTCCGACTTACCGGAAAAAAAAATAGGGTTTGCTAATTCCGACGTGTCTGGTGTCTGGGTGTATCGTGCCTCGAGAACAGCGCATCTCTTCAACTTTCCTCTGAGCGCGTTCAGTACTTCGCCCTTGTTGATCTCTCCGTTGCACCAATTGCTGTTGATCTGGGAGGCGAAACATGGCTAATAACCGTCTGCTGCTGCTGCTCGTGGGAGTGGCGTTCCACTTGTTCTACCTGTGGTCGATCTTTGACATCTACTTCGTGTCGCCGCTGGTTCATGGGATGCAACCTCATCTGTCAACACCAACACCACCTGCAAAGCGTCTGTTCCTGATTGTGGGGGACGGGCTGAGGGCAGACACCACGTTTGATAACATCACACACCCCACCACCGGTGAGACTGGGTTCCTGGCGCCTTTCATTAGGAAAATGGCGTTGGAAGAGGGAACGTGGGGTGTTTCGCACACCAGAATGCCTACTGAATCAAGACCGGGACACGTTGCTATGATTGCCGGTTTCTACGAGGATGTCAGCGCGGTCACCAAGGGCTGGAAGGAGAATCCCGTGGATTTCGACTCTGTTCTCAACCAAACAAGACACTCGTACTCCTTTGGGAGTCCCGATATCCTGCCGATGTTCAAAGATGGTGCTTCTGATCCGGGAAGAGTCGACGCGTGGATGTACGGGCACGAGTTCGAGGACTTCACCCAATCTTCTATTGAGCTGGATGCATACGTCTTTAGAAACTTGTATGAGCTCTTTGATAACTCAACTACCGATGACAGGCTCCACGAGCAGATTCATCAAGATCAAACTGTTTTCTTCCTCCACCTCTTGGGCTGTGATACTGCCGGTCACAGCTATAGACCGTACTCTGCGGAGTACTACGACAACGTTATCTACATTGACGATCAGATATCGACATTGACGAAGCGTGTCAAAGAGTTCTTTGGTGACGATGACACTGCTTTCATCTTCACAGCAGATCACGGTATGAGTGCATTTGGTTCTCACGGTGATGGCCATCCAAACAACACAAGAACACCTCTTGTCGCTTGGGGAGCTGGTCTCAATCGTCCAGTCCTTAACGATGAGCCAATTTTTGATAACTATACCGAGAACTGGCAGATGGGATCAGTTCAAAGACATGACGTGAAGCAGGCTGATATTGCTTCTCTGATGTCATACCTCATTGGTGTAAACTATCCAGTGAATTCCGTTGGTGAATTGCCATTGGCATACATCTCAACCTCTGAGGAAAACAAACTAAAGGCATTATTCCAGAATGCTCTGTCGATTGTTGAACAGTATCATGTCAAGGAACAAGAGCTGAAGGACTCACAGTTCTTCTTCAAACCCTTCGAACCGTTTGAGGAAAAACCGATTGAACAGTATAAGTCAGAGATTGAGTCCTTGATCCATATAATTGCACAATCTGATAATTTCGATAAAGAGGCAGACGCCATCAAACTCACCGAAGAGTTGATGAAAACGACACTCGATGGTCTCAACTATTTGACAACCTATAACTGGTTGTTGTTGCGTTCAATTGTCACTTTAGGATTCGTTGGATGGATCACATATTCCTTTATCATCTTCCTGAGACTATTTATTTTGGAAAAAGACGTTAAGACCACAACTTCAATATTGAACCTGCTATCCTTCACTATAATTGGTCTAATTTTGAACTACATTCTATTCTACCAACGCTCACCATTCAACTACTACATGTATCTGCTATTCCCACTTTTCTTCTGGTCTCAAATCACAGCAAAGTCATCTGTTTTAACCCAGGGTATGCACACATTCTTCAGAGGTATTTCCAAAACGCACGGATTCTTTATTCTGTTGGCGACCGTTGGTGTATTCGAAGGTATCGTTTTAGGCTTCTCAGAGAGACTCATCTTCACGGTCTTTTTCATCATCTTGGGGTTTTACCCATTGACTTTGGGTGTTCAAAAAGCTACAACTTTGATACTTTGGCTCATAACATGTCTGGGAATGAGTACATATACCATTTTCGATGCAGTTAAGATTGAGGACTTGTTACAGATCGATGTTGCTGGTGTATTGATGATTCTGCTGGCGTCCTATGGATACTGGAAAATCCTCGTTGAGGCCTCTACAAATCCAAAGTTCCCACCAATTTCCTCCTACACCAAGACGTTGATCTCAATTCAAATATCCCTAGTTGCAGTAATGATCCTCATCACCAACAAGTCTGTCTTATCATTGCAAGCTCGTGAAGGTTTACCAAAAATCTCACAGTTCCTTGGTTGGCTGAACTTTGTCGTATCCCTTTTCGTCTTGCCTTGTTTGCATTACTTGGATCCACATAACGATTACCGTATCAGACTGTTGGTGATCTTCCTTGCATTCGCACCAACGTTCCTTATTCTAACGATATCGTTTGAATCGTTATTCTACGTAAACTTTTCCCTGTTGTTGCTAGAATGGATTTCCATTGAGACCTCTATATTCGAGTCACAACGTACAGAGTCGAAGCAGAAGAACAACACTCAGTTGGTTCGTGTTTCAGTGATTGGGTTCCTGTTCATGCAAGTGTGCTTCTTTGGTACCGGTAACGTTTCAAGCATTTCATCGTTCTCACTTGATTCCGTTTATAGACTGTTACCAGTTTTCGATCCATTCCCAATGGGTGCTCTACTGATGCTCAAGTTGATCGTTCCATACGTGTTGTTGAGTACAGCCCTTGGAATCCTGAACGTGAAACTTGGTATCAAGCCTTACACGATTTCCACTTTGATTATCTCTACGAGTGATATCTTGTCGTTGAACTTCTTCTACCTTGTGAGAACTGAGGGAAGTTGGCTGGACATTGGTGTTACAATTTCAAACTACTGTCTTGCCATCCTTTCCAGTTTGTTCATGTTGATACTGGAAATTGTGAGCCATGTTCTCTTGAAGAATGTTCAGTACAACGAGCGTGAGAAGCTAAAGACTGAATAAAACCCTGTATATTAATATCATAATCTAAGGAAAACCACACACACATGTTATATAGGACGAGAGAAGATCTACTTATTCTTCTTTTCAGAAGACACTTTCTTCTTTTTGAAGGCGATGATCTGTAAGAACAGGATCAAATTCAAGACAACGCTTGCTCCATAGCCCAATAGGATTAACCGGTCATTGAAACCACTGCTCAACACTGTGAACACTCTGACGATGGTGCCTAGTAAACCAGCACCGATTGACGTCAATGATAAAGTACCAGTGGATTTTCTCTTAAAATTACCAATGATTTGAGGCAGTTTGGCCAATATGGTCAGGGGAGCCGCAAACTGTGCCAGAAAGTTAACATCCTTATCACTCAGAACCCCGATGTTACTCGGTGAAGGACTTCCCAGGAAGAAATAAGTAACAAGGGCACACAGGCCGATGAAAGCGTTGATGTAACCTGCCCTGTTCGTATAGTAGAGAATCAAGGCCAAAATGACAACGTTCTGCAAGGCAGAGAACACCACTTCACCAAAGTTGGTGAATGGCATGTGCTGCCTAAAGTTATAGGCAATGGTGATGAGGTAGCTCAGTGTGTCCATGAGGATACTCGGGAATGACAGGCCTTGAGCTGACGAGTTGGACAGGATGTTCAAGATTTGCGGCAGCTTGACGATGGACGACATGGAGAGAATACCCAGGCTCAGCGTCTTTGAGATGAACTGTTGGACCAGTGGCGCGTTCTCAGGCTCGAAAAGGTCCAATTGGACAATCACCTTGTCAAAGACATCTCTTGAGTAGTAATCCCTGCCCAAGTTGACGATCTGCTCAGGCAACAGCGTCTTTGTCAATGGGCGCAATTGAGTCAGAATAGGCTCAGCAATTGGCTCGATCTGGTTGAGCAACTGGGTGATCTGGTCAGCCATCGTCTCCAGCGTGATTGATAACTACTCGCTTGTTTGGATGGAAGATGAGAAAGGCCACGTAGGTGATGTGCTCCGAGGCAGCTCAATTCTGAATACGCAGCGCTGCGCTGCATGGGAGTCGTTGAGGCACGCACGTGAAGGACACACGCTCTGTGTTTCTGGACAGGTGATCACGTGCTGATGATGATATGATAATATGATAGTTGTGGTGAGGGTCTGAGACCTCAGTGCTGGTGTCAATTGGATTGTCAGTGGCTCAGTGCTGCGACTAAGTGGCCAAGTTGGAGCATCACCGTTTGCAGCTTCACTCTTTGCAGCTTGTTCTGGGGATGAAGCGAAGCGCAAGTCGTAGTATGGGAATATCGTGCAATATGATTAGTTAGGGGGGATTTGTACGAAAAATGTGATCTATATATATATATACTAGGCTATATGGTGATTGGTGGCATTCTTTATACCGAAATATATATTCTGGAAATATAAAGAATATGTAATTTCAATTTAATAGATATGTCTCTTTTGCATCAGTAATATTGATCGAAGAACTACAGAGTGCTGTGAGCATTCTGGTGCCTGTGAAATCGGTCATATTATGCAATTATCACCTTCAAGCCAAGTACAATAGCAACGCTTGATAACCTGTTGAGTAAATACCGAAATAATACCAGGTTGAAGTAGAATACACGGTCCTGGCTATTGGCATAACCGATGAAGTGCTACTGGCTGTATGACGCCGATGGGCTAATGTCCGGGTGTACATTCCCTAATGTCCGGGTGTCCTCCTAATGTCCGGGTGTTTCCTGATACCGCCTCGCCCGCGCTCTCTTTGCGCTTCCGCCTAAAGCCCACACACTGAAATCTCGAAACCGTCTTGCACCCCTTCACCGGCTGACAACAACAACAAAATCTCCTCTCAACCATTGGACAACGGCGTCGACCAGATCTTCTTGCCACGGCTCTGCATCCCACACGACCAGCTGATCACAGACGTCACGGAAGAGCACAATGTCCTACAATCCCTATGATTTCCAGCAACAGGTTCCATTCCAGCAGAGCGGTTTCCAGGCCCAGGGCTTCCAACAACAGGAGCAGCCGCCAGCACAGTTGCAAAGCGTGCCAGCGCAGTTCCAGCACCCGCTACCGCCGTCCACGCCGTCACAGGAGAGGAAGTATGACCAGCTGAGCTTTCTAAGCGAGCAGGATCAAGTGAAGTTCGAGCGGTTATTCAACCGCCACACCGATGCCATCTCCATATCTCCAGATTCCGCAAGATCCATCTTGCTCAAGTCCAATTTGGCACCGCACAATTTGGCCCGAATCTGGGAGCTGAGCGATATAAACAAGACCGGTGATCTGCTGTTTCCTGAATTTGCACTGGCGTTGCATCTGTGTAACGTTGTTTTGAGTGGGGCCGAGCTTCCTTATCAGCTGGAGCCTCGTATCAGGAATGAGGTTTCTAACCTTGTGGATAAGATCAACTTCAATGTCCCTGAAGGCGGTGCCGTTTCGAGTCAACAGTCTGCTCATAGCACCGGTGCGCTGAGTGATGGCGATATCTTTGAGACTAATCCTGTCTCTGGAATCCAACCTCAAGGTCAGCAGCAGCAGACTTTACAACAACAGACTTTACAACAACAGACTTTACAACAGCAGCCAACCTTTGGCTCATTCCAACAGCCTGAATTGTTCACCAGTCCACAGAAGAATCAAAACGCATTACAACAGAATGACTTCACTTCGCCTTTGAACAACCAACCTACAGGGTTTGGATTCCAAAACACTCCTTTTACACAAGGTTTTAACCAAGGCTCAACTCCTCCTTTGTCATCCAATATCATGTCAAACACGGTGCCATTGACCCAGCAGCCTCCAAGATTGGTTCCCTTAAAGTCCGAAACTACTGGTGTACCAATACAGAGACAACAGACTGGGTTACCAACCTCGTTTCAACTACAACAGGCAAATGCTGCGTCTGATTTGATCCAAACCACTCCTGGAGAAATAGCTGCATTGAATGCCCAGGCAACTGGGCTGGGTCTTGTTCCTCTAAAGATGCAACAGACTGGAACCAATGCGCAAATGCCTTTGGCTAGCCAATCAACTGGCTTTGCAAGTGGTGTTATGCCAACCACGTTCCAGACTGGTGGACAAAGTGGTGTCAATGCTCCGTTACAACAACAAGCAACTGGATTAATCCCATTGAATTCACAGGCCACCGGCTCTCAAC